TTGTTCGCATATGCTTCGGTGGCCTGCAAACAGGCGACAGCGCATATCCTACGCGGTCGAAAGACAGAGGCTCTCCTATGCGGTCTCGAGCTCGGTGGGAAGCATCAACAGCAACACGATGCGTACGATTGAAGAAGGAGAAGCCCTTCTTTCTGGAGAGACGGGCGAGAGGAAACAAGAGCAACGATTGAGTGCGCGTTGGAAACTGCTCTATGTTACCTTTGGGTTATACATCGTTGCATTGCACGTTGCCCTTCTTGTTTTTTTATTCGCGCACAACGGAGTTCCCAATGCTCCTATAACAAGATGTATAGTAGCTCCGAAGAACAACACAGACACGATTCTAGCTAACTAGAAAGCAGTGCGGACACTTCGATCGCAACTCGGAACTATGACGAGCAATGAGCATGCGACGAACTTCACGTCTTATACGGCATTTTCAGGGCCACCCAGCCCCGGGAATTCTGCTGCATGGAAAAAGCTCCTTCAAAGTGAGCGATAAAGACCTACAGAAGCATTTATTCATGGTCTAATATCCGCACTCAGACTTGTATTTCAACGCAACAAGAGAGGAAGTAGTCACAGAAGGCGGTGATGCAGAGACAAATATCCCAAGTCAGGGGCGGCGGTTATTTGGCAGCTCTAGGTGTCCATCATGAGCTCCACTGTTTGGTTGGTGATCTTGAATCTATCTCCTTATGAATATGACACGAAGACCGACTGACTGTTTCCTTCAGAACAAGATGAGATATTTTTTTATACAGCCATAAGACCGAGCAGACATGGAATCGAGAAGACATGGACTATTGGTACAGACATCTGGGTGGGTCAACCGTCTTTTTTTTTGGTTATCACTTTCATTGATTAACACCGGCTGCAAAGATCACTGCGTCGAAGTACTTAGACTTTCCGTGATGTGCACCGGCGACCTCAGTCTTTACACTTTCACTTGGCCGAAGAACAACAACTCTGAGTTCTTGGATTTGCATTCAAAGTCATATCGCCAATGTGCGGATTGGGGCCAGATAGAGAGATGGAGTCGCGACAAGCGGACTTCTATGCAGCAAGGTCTTTTAGTACCAGAGGAAGCATTTGAAAACTAATGACAATTAATTCAATCAATCAATCATAATTACTATCAGTGTTGTTATTGAGCTCTTGCCTCACGGAGAATTATTCCCTCGGAGTGGATGTATGTGAGCCTGATCTCGAAGTATGGGACATGAACTCGAGTCTGTCAAAGGATGTGCTGGCCTGCATGTGGTACTGGGCTAGGCTCGCTCTTATCGCACGTACGAAGCTTGGTATCAGCCCTGAGAGCATTCTGTGACCTGGTTTGGGTCAATGTGCCCGCATACAGATCCGACAGAGCTTACTTCAATACCAAGAGATAAGCTGTCTTTGAACCTACATGGCTGGACACCACAGGGTACCTCTTATGCGGGGCCGTGTAGAGCAGTATGCCCGCTAGCTCTCACCTCGCTGTGAGCCGGTGCAGGTTCGCCGAAGGTCATCAGGTGCACATCATGTGGATGCACTGATGGATCCTTTTGGCGTTTGCGCGGGTTGCGATTGAGGCAGTGCTATGATAAAGATATGGGACAGACAGTTGAGCGGGTGCTGTTCCGCGAACGCGGGGTGAGTGGTGAGGCGTACGTTAGTCCTGGTTCAGTTAGTGCGTTTTTGACATTCACCGGTGGTCAAATGCTCAGCCCCGTACGGTACATTTGCAAGCCGTTCAACGCTTCCACGTTCAAAACTGGTAGCGATTAGATGATTTGCAGCATACGAAAAATTTATATCCATTCGCTCTAGACTAGACTAGACTGCACTCACAAGGTCAAGGATGGATTTACACCACCCAAAACAGCTAGCCTCGAAATGATTTCGCGCTAATTATGACCCCGCTACTTTCATCTATTCCGATTCAGCCCTGCGACACACAATCATAATGTACATGCCCTACCAGGTCACCAAACGTTGTTCTGGGCCTATATCGCTATCACTGACATGCCCCTGGATGGACTCATGCCCACAGCCACCCCACCAATTAATACTTGCCAGCAAGTATGAGTCTTTCCGTATCTAGACATAGCCTGCGTATACGCTTGTGCTGGCTGTAACCACGGTATTGTGGCTAGCAGCACAGCAGTACAGCAGAGTGAATGAACCCAACGAAAGGTCGACGAGAAAAGTGCCGAAAGGAAACTCATGCAGGCGAGAAGCTGCCATCGCTTCTGTAGTGTCATCAGCCGCCACGGGCCACCAAGATGGATCCTGCAAACATGTTGTATTGGCGCGTACATCTAGACAATGTGACGGTAGCCGACGTGCTCTAAAACGCACGTCAGATCCCAGCGCCAAGCGCCAGGGGCAGAAAGGCATATTCTGCACGATTCATCAAATATTCCTGAACCCATACACCTTCGTTCAAGGATCTTTATTGCTATGCCGATTTCGCCTCGTAAACGGCCGGATCAGGGAAAATGCAGGCTTAGAAGATGCCCGTAAACGCAGATACCATAGGTGTAGCATCGACTGAACGCCTAATGCCATGGCATTCGTGGAAATCTGTACTGCATATCATCAAGCGACCCGGAGTCATTCCACGTCCCTCATTCCGCAAATGTAGAAACGTCCGATGGCTTAGAAGAGTGTGCAGGCGCCATCTGCAAGCGAGCACAGGGTGAGGGACTGTGGCCAGCGCGGGAACTGTACCGCCGAATGCGGGTGGATGCCTATGCGAGTTCAGTATGGTTACAAGTAGGCAAGAATTCACAGTACCGCCCATGCGGTCTTTAGTCGATCAAGCCTTCCCAGAGAAAATCTACCTTGCCATCGCACTGGAGCACAATGAAGCTTATTTTCACCGTCTCGTTGATCGTTGTTGTTCTGTCACATAAGGTCATAGCGCTCCCAAACGCGTATACAGCTCCTCACCCATTATTCGACAAGAGAGGTATTCCAGCGCGTTTCAGAGTCGTCAGCCACGAGACCATCAATGGCGTCGAATCTACTACGGTAGAGAATTCCAACATGACAGCACTCTACGGTGAGTAGGATGAACCCGTGATCTGAGCGATCTTTGACGGAAGACATCAATAGAGATTCCCGACGACCTAAAGAACTGGCCTTGGTGGTGCAGTGAGGACCGCAGTTACTGCAACGCGGACTGGGCGCCTACAGTTGCCGAAGGTAAAAATTGAACAAAACTTTGTTGTACTGGTCATAATGTTTTCAAGGGAATGCTCTCTCGGAATTTCTCAGCAGACTCGGGGACCAAGAGTGTATCATTGAGCGCCCACAAGACTCTAACATAGATGGATATACGGCAATGGCGCAAGCTAACAACCATGCCAAAGTAGGCATGTTCTTCACGCATTTCGGAGATACTGATCGGGCTTGGAAAGCGTACGTGACTCATGCCTACTGCACCTTTCTTGACTTTCACTGACTTTCTATTCACACGTTTAGCTCATTTCCATGTTGGAAACTCGACTCCATTCTAAGTTCATTGGTAGAAGCTTGCCAGTGCAATGGAAGGATTGTCGGTAAGACCAGGGTTCGCAGCTGGCCGAGAAAATTTCGCTAACACATAGCAGGGTCAACTCCAATCCCAAATTGCTGGATCAACTATATGACCTTTACTGGTGATCAGGCACGTCCCCCAGTTCCAAAGTGGATGCGTGCCTTCTGCAACGTAAAAAGAAAGCCTTGAGTGTATCCTTGACCTAGCTGAGACACGAACCAATGTACTATCCACATTTCTTTGAGTCAAACACTGACTTTGCATCTAGAACAGTCCCCCTGGCGGAAGTGCCGCTTACCCAGGAGCCGGGGTTGGGATCGCACCGTATCCCTAGATGAAGAGAACAAAATGAAAAGGCTCAAAGGCTGCCTTAATGAAGGTCGCCGTGGTCAACCGCGAGTATAGGTGTAGGACCAATTGGCTAGGAAATCATTATGTACCTACTTTACTCTCATCTTCTGCGTGCACCCACTGTGCCGCCCTCATCGCAACAGCGTGAAGCTGTGTGCCTGATGTATCTTAACACCAAGGGGACTCTGCAGAAGTTCTGACATATGACTAGCTGAACTCATGTGCTCGTTGTCGCTGCTTTTTGAATGTATAATCCTTGCCCTCCTGCGAAAGATTAAGGTTAGCTGTAAGTATGCCAACTAATTTATGTGCGCGATATTGAATATTAAAGACCTGCACCTAGTACTGCCTATCTTCTACTTGACATCATAGGAACGTATTGAAAACAGTATGTGGTATTGTGCCTTTTAATGCTGGCCCGTCATTCAACATGACTCATTCTCTGTTATCCACTATACAGGATATGGACTGACCGCCTAAATATGACAATATGTGACTTTCTGGGGCGTACCAGACTTAATTCTGCGTTCAATAGGGTCATGATGAAAGATGTGGTGTATTGAAGAGTAAATTTACTATACCGATTGATCGTTGTTGTGGCCTGACAATGTATGACCGGCTTTCATTTTGGCACACAATGCTGTGTATATAGCGATTAACAGGATCCTCGACAAATAGAAAGCTATTACTCCTTGTATGGCTGTATATCTCGTCTTCCGTTCTGTAAGTTTTCACTCTTCATATGCTAGATGCAGTAGAACGGGCGTGCTTGTAGTTTGTGGATTCACACAGCATCATCTGCTAACGCAGCTCACAATCTGTAGACGTAGCTCTCCTATTCAGCCATCAGAGCTATTCAGGCTGCGCTCTACGAACATCTCGGACTACTATGTATATCTTCAATATCCCCCCATGGGCAGATGCGCATTCACCAGAAAGACCACGTGGGGTCACATTTCACAGACTACCTTGGCACATTCACTACACGTGCGCTGCTTTGTGGTTATCATCTACCACCTCAATGTACATTCCTCCTGATATAAATCCTCATGCTACTTCCCTCAACCCAAACGCAATAGTCAACAGCCACTCAGGCAGATCAACCAATTGACCCCTCAGCATGGCGACGTCGCTGATCGAACGCAACACCGCCAACTCTCCTTCCCATTTCACGCAGGGTTGGTGCTCACTACCCGCTGAGCTCCGCCTGCAGATCCTATCATACGTACTGACCATCGACAAAGATGACTTCGAAGGCCATCGTATCACTGCGTATGATTATATGGCTGCAAATGAGGCGTACAAGTACCTCTACGATTCTGCCTACCTAGGCCGATTCGCAGAGATCGCACTTCCTCTTCTTGCATGCCCCCGAATCGACGAAGTCTTCAACATGCGCAAGGCTGCCCTCGATGTCTGGTACGGCAAGAACACCTTTCAACTCGGCGGCCACAACTATCAGTCGGGCGAGAAGCTAGCCTTCTCCTACCTCGTGCCCAATAGGAACGCGTTTGCTCACTTGCAACATGTCGAAGCCTATATCCGCGGCGACTATGTTGGCTGGAAGGACCTCGCTAGCTATTGCAAGGCTACCAAAGATATGCCGATGTTGAAGGTCTTCGAGGTGGAGTTCATCCTTCTCCGAGATATCGACGAGGACTCAAAGACTCTAGATCAAGCATTCACCGAGATTGGGCCGCTCATTGTATCAGCACAGAAGTTCGTGATTGAGTGCCGCTGCATCGGTCAACTTCTGGGCGAGATCCGGCCACCAACCCAGTTGGACCGTGTAGACTATCCCGAAGCGGCCTCTGTGTTCGAGAACATCAGCATTGAGGCTTCGGGCGGAAAAGCGGCAAAGGAGAAGTTTGCGCGCTATTGGCATGATTACATGAAGAAGGTGGAGGTAGACGAGGTGTGGGCCCTTCCGCCGACGTCTCAATACGCCTGGCACAAGCGTATGGTGCGGACACAGTGGCAGTAGGTGTCAGGATAGTAGAACCCTAGGATTGATCTGACTTTCTGAAGTCTTGAAGTCATGGAACACGAAACCTCGAGGACCGTAGGGTATGTTGCACATCAGTGAAAATCAATGCACCGTCGTAGTGGTGTGGGCTCTAGGAAGGCCTTCGAGAGACTAAAGACATGAAGGCAATGATCACGTAAACGTAGTATCGAAATATCATGCAACTACGTACATCGCCTTATGTGACAAATAGGATTGTAGAGACCGGTCTCGAGCGCATCGCATGAACATCTCAAGTCCCCGAGCCCATAAAAATTGTTTGGAAAACCTCTTCATGTGCCAAAGTATGCTACCGCCCCAGACCGTCATAAGTCCACCCCACAAAGGAGCATAGATCACCTCCTACCCTACTCCTCGTTGCTTATAAGCGTTCTCAAGATAATACGACCCTGCTCGCGGTCCTCTTCTTTGTAGATGCTCAGTCCGTGGACCGTGAGAAACTTGTATTCGCTACCCCAGTGCTGCTTCGCGAAGTCTTTCTCTGCATCTGTGTACCCACTGTTTACGCCATCCTCTCTAGCATCGACCGCCTCGTTCTTCTGGGCATCCCGATAGTCTTCCCACTTCTTCCTCTCTGTATCCTCCCAGCGGCAGTTGATCATCCAGTTTTTGCCTTCCACAATGACGGGCGGTCCTAGCTGCTTGCCCTCTGGGGCTTCGATTGCGAGAACATATAGCGGTCGTTTAGCAAGGAAATATGCAATCTGTTGGTCCAAGTCGTTGCGGATGGTGCCCTTACTTGTTTTGTCTCCTCCCCATATAAAGGTGTAACCATATTTATCGACGAGAGGTGCGCCAAGCGCATTGCAGACGAAATCAGGGACATGTAGGACGTCTTCAAGTCTCCATAGCGTGGTGGAAGTACTGTTCGGGGTTTGCTTGACGGGGATGTGAACGGTACCGATGCCGAGGATGCGCATGTTTGATCCACCATACAGAGATGCAAGCGTAGATTCGAATGGAGTGTAAGAAGTGAACCAATCACGATCTTTAGCGACGCTGTTGCATGGAATTAGCTTTGCTTAGGTTTTCGACTGGCCGTAGATACTCACTGAACGTTGGAAAGGTTGAGAAATACCCAATCCGGACAGAGCTGATTGTTCGAAGACGAAGCCATGGTTAGGTGCTCGCTGGCGCGACCAAATTTGTGGAATTGAGTGTGAGTGCCTTTCTTGACAAGTGATACGAGGGTTGGTATGAGAGATAGTGAGAGCGACGTTCGTATGCCCTTAAATACGAGTTACTCAACATAGTGTTTGCTCGTTTTACGATCAAGCGAAAGGGAAGCAGCTGACCCGCTTGTTTGCATGCCACCTCCAATCCATTGAGCTAACCTAATTGGGGTGTATCATCATGTTGCTCTTATTCCAGAGTAGGGGCTTCATTCGTCAATCTACGCTGTAGCCTGAACTGGTTCTAATAGCTTGTCGTGTCAACAGCAGTAAATACAAGGTTGTTAAGTTCAACCATGGCAGCTTGAGCTGTAATACGTCTCTGAAACTGTAGCTGAATGCTGTGCTTGGAAATGCGTGAAGGAGCAGGTAGGTTCTGGCACGTTCAATTGTCAGTGTCGGCCGTTGTGGTCGCAATCATGGTGTTCCGAGGATGTCGTCAAATACGGTCCCGCTTTGACAAGAAGCAACTGACGACGGTATGATTCCCTTCAAAATGATGTTGATTGGTGTAAGCATCAAATTCTTTTGGTATACACATCATTAATTTACTATGGTATGTGATATTAATGAACATCAACATCTTCAAATCAGTGGAATGCACTATCTCCCAAAGGCCTGCTCATACCCTCCGCTCGCCTCCTCGCACCTCCAGGCAGCAAACTCGAACAATCCTGCAAACTGCCCACATCGTTGCCCACCACCGTGAAACGCTCCCAAGCACTTGTGAACGCAGCGCTCCAAGCACCCTGGCTATTCGAAAAGCGATCCCATGAGCCGGAAGTCTAGCGCACAATTAGTATCGATGATGAAGTGCAGACTTGGAAAACCCACCGAAGAATCATTCGTCATACGCTTATCACTCGAGAAACTATACGGCGCGGTCCCCGCCTTCGTCTCCCGGTAGAAGTTGACATCCCACCTGCTCGGCGTAGAGTCAAGTGCTTTCCCAGCCTGGCTCGGGTCATCGAACGATTGTGTGCCTGCAGTGTGCGATCCTACGAGGGCGACAACATCGGTCGCGCTCATGCCGACGGCTGCAAAAGTGCCCAAGATCTTGTCGATTGGATCTTTAGTTGATGGAACACCGCCTTCTGTGGCTGGGGTGCTGCTATCTGTCCTGCCTATAAGGGCTTTCACTCGAGGCCCGAGAGGACATACCGCGATAGCAACGGAGGCGGCGAATTGGATCATGTCTGCAGTCCCGACGTTGTACTGCTTCGCTTTGGAGGCTAGTAGAGTGCATGTAGGCGTCAATCCGGCGTTTTCAGATCGCGAGCATTCGTCTCCGAGGATCAGAGAGCCGTCGCAGCCGTTGTTGATACAATCGTGGAAAGGAGCTCGGATGGCACCTCGTGCAGCAGGACCACAACCCTGGAAGGTGCTGGCAAGGTCTGAAGCGACTGCAGACCAGGCGGAGCAGCCACCTGAAGAAGAGGTGCTTGAAGGAGAAGAGCTTGATGCCGAGGAAGAAACAGATGGTGATGATGAAGAGCTTGGCGATGAGCTGTCTGACGATCCAGTGCCACTCTGTGAACCAACTACGATAGCCACTAGAGTAGACAGTATAGCGCTTTGAAAAAGCATGATCATAGATACAGAACGAAAGAGCGTGAACGAGAGCAAGAAGTGAATGAAAGTCGTTGCTGAATGCGTGCACAGCTTAAGACTTACTCGCGCTCCATCTTATACCTGTAGATAGAACTCTCCCGTGTGTTGACTACACGGCATGAACAAGCTTGAGTGCTAAGCAGTGCTAAAATCAGCCCCTCTCAATGTTGGTAAATCGAGACGTGCCCTCGCATAGTGCGTAGCTGAGAACCGCACTAGCTCATGAAGTAAAGAGTAGTCGTTGGAATTAAGCATCCGTGACAGCCGGGACAGGTCCGAAAATGGGCATTCGTGACCGGAGCCGTGATGTGGGGGAGGCTTAATATTTGGCACTAACGCGAGATTCTGGCCGGATAGGCAAGCCTAGTGAATGGTCGTGGTAGCTTCCGGATGACTCAGATACCGACGATGCAAGTCCGATAATGGAGGCGGGGAAGTAGCTTATCTATATCGATAAGTTGAACATGGTGTTGTCTAGTCAGAGACGGTGTCGTTGACGTTTGTCCAATCGACGTTCTGCCGCCACACAAGTGCTTATTCCGAGCCGAACGGCGCTGCACGTTGTCGAACCGTTCCCTCTACAACTATTTAGGGGTGATAGTATGCTGATCTCGGCGTCCGATTGTGCAAAACTGCTTGACCGTGATTGGCAGGCCTCCCGTCAGAGACGAGAGCGCCGATGGTAGGGCCTGAATACGGAGCTCCCGAAGTCGTGGTGTTTTGGTGTAAGAGCACATGTGAGCGCGAAGCTTGAATTACTTTATGACCTTGGCGATCTAGATGTGGAGCCCGCAGACAGAAGTTCCGATTCAAGTCGCTCTGGCAGAGGCGACGGCTCCGGGGAGGTCGTGCCTCAGCTCCGGTCTGCTTTTTGCATCTCCAACATTTCAAGCGTTGTGCGAGCATGCATCTAACAGTTGTGACACTATTGACAGGACCCGCTTCCATTCAGCTCTTCATGGCTTATCATTAGAGCGATCAACACTTTCATATGCATTTCAAGGGTTTCCAATTCGTGGAAACGGTAACACGGTGACTGAGGGTTCTTCTTGGACTTACAACCGAAAGTATGCACGGGATGTATGTCCAAGTCTCGTGAGAGGAAGCTGTTGTCCATGATCTCAAGTTCCTGCACTTCAGATACCGTTGTGCACTGAAAATGCGCACGCTGCCTCTACTTGGCCATGATTCGGACTTCTCGGGGTAGACAGGCAGAGCGACAGTACGCTCCTCACACGCTTTGAAAGAAACATTTGAAGCTCACATCCACTGTTCTGATCTCTTTGTGTCATGAACCGCAACACTACCGTATCTCCATAGAGACTAGTGGCGGAGATAGGGTCTCTTATGTTAGCGTCTGTTATCCGCTGGTGCGCTCCACCCGAACTTGGATCGGCTCTTTGCGAAAAGGTTGATGAGACCTAGTCAAATTCCCCTTCCGATTTGTTCGGTTAGGGCGGGGAGCCGTAGACAATTCTCCGTTCTGCTCGAAGGTTTGTGTACAACGTAGTGTTTTTGGAGAATAGCTGAGAAATAGGACTACGTTGGGTTTGACGCCGCCACATTGTGTTCTGGAAACGATTATCTCTTCGACGCGACGATCCCAGTCATCGTATGTCTTGAAAACGCCCCCGTAAAGAGGGGGACGAGAGTAACATAAGCTGAATCAGACACGCTTGCGTGGACTCGAAACAGAACAACCTCGGCATGGAGAGCGTTTTGGGTATAGTCGATATCTCACAAATCCGCACTGCCATGAACGGGAAATAAATTTCACTGTAACAGCGCCTCCTGTTCTTCTTTTGATATGCCAAACAGATACAGCACATCCAGCATACTCTTCGAGTTTAGCCTTGCGGGAGCCTGCATCTGCACCTTGGGCTTCGCATGAAATGCGACTCCCAAGCCTGCGACTCCCATCATAGGGAGATCATTCGCGCCGTCGCCGATGCAAACAACCTGATCCAGCAATATGCCCTCCTTCTCTGCGATCTCAAGGACGTGTTGACGCTTCTTTTCGGCGTGAACTATCTCGCCAGTCAATTCGCCGGTGAGTTCCTTCCCGTCTTCCGAGACGACGAGGTGGTTTGCGAATGCATAGTCTAGGCCTAGCTTCTGTCCCATCCACCCAGTCAATGGCGTAAAGCCGCCACTCAATACCGCAGTCTTGAACCCCAGTCGCTTCAGTGCCGTAATAAGCTCCTGCACGCCTTCGTTGAGCGTGATGCACACTCTCAATGTCTCCCACACGGTGCTCGGCACGCCCTTCAGCAGCTTACACCTTGCCCTCAGACTTGCCTCGAAGTCCAATTCGCCGTTCATAGCCGCGGCTGTGATGGCGGAGACCTGGTCTTCCACGCCGATGAGTGACGCAATCAGGTCGATGACTTCTTGCTGGATGAGGGTGGAGTCCATGTCGAAGACTGCCAGGCGCTTGTACCGCCTATGCACCGTGTCCGCCTGCCACACGATTTCGAGGTTCCATTCACGCTCGAACCGGCTAACTTGTTCATCTCGTCGCAGTGCTTCTAGGTCTGCGCCCGCGGCAGGGAAGCGCACCTCCACGACCCGCGCCAATTTCTCCCTGCTCAATGGCCTTGATGTGATACCGGCTTCTTCTATGCGCGGTATAATGTTGCGCAACAGTACGAAGAAGTCTGTCAGACAGGACTGGCTGATGTAGCTGCCGTAGAGGTGGTCAAGCGGATTGGGACCAGGCGTAGGAGGTTCTAACGGGTATGCTTCCAGATTGTCTGTGGGAGCGGCGCCATCTCTCAGTGACTCAAGAGAGGCGGGTGCGAGCGCATCGGTAGGGGAATGTGGTGAGGCATCGGGGTGTGGAAAGAAGTGGGGCGTATTTGACTTGTAGAAGAGCGTCGCTATGAGGTGACTGGGGCCTAGGCTCGGGAAATCCATTGCAAAAACAGCAGCGCGGGAATCGCTAATACGAGAGCACTGTATAGAAGGGCAGAGAACGAACTTCAATTGTAAGTGGGCGAATGCTTGAGGAACTTTTAGCAAGCTTCAAAAATAAAGAGGGGCTGGTTTGGCGGGGTTGACGGGGACCACACGCACGCACACCGAAAACCCTGCAGATCTGTGGACTAGCCTCCGATCACGACCTTGGTTCAGTACACGTCTTTGTTCGCATCCGACAGACGTCTTACAATCCATCGTCTTGTGGACTTTGATCCGCCACGATGTATCTCACTGCTCGCGCACGAGACCGATGAAGGATTGAGACGGATCTTCCGCGGACTGCGAGCACCTTCCCATTGGCACGATCTGCACCTTCCATCACAAGTGAGCCGAGGCTAGAATACTAGTACGACATGTTCAGCTCCTCTTTGATCTCCATGCTTGAGAGTGTCAACATTCATTCGCGTTCAAAATCGTTTGCTGTGCAATCATGACCTCAAACTCAACAGGCCTGAGCGCCTACATCAAGCAATCACCGCCTCTTGACTTCTCAATTCCGTACGATGACGCCTGGGTAAAAGACAGAACGATCGTCGTCACCGGAGGCGCGAGCGGGTTCGGCGCAGGCTTCGTACGAAGATGGGCTGCCAACGGCGCTACAGTCATCATTGGAGACGTCAATGTTGAGAAAGGCGATGCACTTGCAAGGGCCATCCGAAAAGAGACGGGACGGGATAGAGCTGCTCATTTCGTCCATTGCGACGTAACAAACTGGCAATCCCAGGTCAATCTCTTCAAGGAAGCCGTCAAATGGAGCCCACATGGCGGCATCGACACCGTTGTTGCGAATGCCGGTATACAAGCAAATGATAGACTGCAACAGCCTGGAGACCTGGGCGCAGCAGAGCCCCAACCACCCAACTTCGCTACCATGGACGTGAACGTGACAGGAGTCTTGTACACGACACATCTGGCCTACTATTGGCTGCCGAAGAACCCCGGATCCAAGCCTTGCAACATGAACTCAGTACCAGACAAACAAACACGAGATAGGAACCTTGTACTTTTGGGCAGTATAGCAAGCCTGGCCCCAATTGCGGCAGCACCTCTCTACGGGGCGAGTAAACATGCCGTCCTGGGACTATTCCGCTCGCTCAGATCGACATCACACATGGAAGGTATTCGGGTCAACATAGTCCTCCCTTACTTCATCGACACGGCTATCGTGCCTCCCATGGCCAAGCTTTTGCTTGCGGGAGGCGGCATGGGCAAGGTGGAAGACGTCGTCGAGGCAGCTACAAGGCTAGTAGCTGACACGCGCATCCTCGGCCGCGGCATTGTCGTGGGGCCAAAGGTTACAATCAAGCAAGATGAGAGTGGAGAATTCAAGCTGGTCAACAAGGACACCGAGGGAAGCACTGAAACGGCGCTATGGGAGGCTTATGCGGATGACTGGGAGGAGGTGGATGCCTTTGATCGAAGGGTGGTCAAGCTATTGAATGCTGTCGAGCAGGCGCGTGGGTGGGTAGGCTGGGCTACAGACATCGCGAAATTGGTAGGCTATCAAGTCTTTGGGTATGGGGGTGAAAGATCGTGAGAGGCCAAGGAGTTTATGTGGAACGGTCCGCACTACGAGCGTCTCGAACGCTTCGAAGCGTCAGTGGCCCTTGCCGTCGATCGCGCTGGTCAGAAACGGCCTGCACCTTCGTGAACTTTTTTCGAGATGGTGTCGATGTAGATGGCCAAAATGGGAATGATGGGACCATTTGAGCGAGGCACAAGCACTAGCGTGACGTCACATGCCATGCTCGGGCATATTCGCGGGAGCTAAGGCGGGAGTCGGCAAGGATGTGAAGGGTGGCGGCTAGAAATCGCGTCCAAGTGACGGAGCGTTTGTTGTCGTCGCGCGACAGTTTGGGCATTGCGCATCCGCCGCCTTCCACTGAGTTTACCCCTGTCGCTCGGCGTTGTCCAAGTTTTGCACTTGAGCATGCTATTCACATGCTATTTCACATGTTCCACTCTTTATGAAAGTGGAGCTTTGCAGTATCGTGTTTTCCTGCGCTTGATATATTAGTTGACATCCATCGTTATAATTCGCACTGCAACCGCCATGGCTTACAGCCAGAGGCAATCCCCGCCACCCCCCACTGCAGTTCACCTCCACGAACCCCAACTTGCTTCGCCTGAGGAACGAAACGCACCGCAATATGGCTCGTTCTCCAAGCCTTCCGCGACCGACTTTACAGGATCGCCAGGTGTGCCCAGCAAGATGCCTATGCACGTTGCGTACAGTTCCGCGCGATCAGCCACACCGCCGGCTTCCGACAATGTCACGGATGTCGCGGAAGAGAACTCTGCACGACCATCGCTGCAGAAGTCTGCGACTGAGCGACCACAACCCATGGGAAAGACATCGCTGCAAGAGATAAAGCGCGCGGGAACCGCACAGGATATGACACGGCATATGCATAGGCCGAAAACGCTGACCTTCGTTCCATACGACTCCGATTCTGACTCCTCGAGCAATTTCGATGAAGACGAGACACTTGGAACACGATTCAGCGCCACAAGGATGAACAGCCGGAAGACGTCGAACCCGCGACCGTTCTCGAAACTGAAATTTGGCAATGACCATTTCCATACCAAGGGCAAGGTGTCAAGAAAAGATGGGCGCGTAAAGCTGTCCATTAGCGAGACGTTGAATAGCGGTTATTTTGCAAAGACGTTGGGTGCAGGGCTGAAGAAGCACTTTGCTGGTGCAGATGAGCTGCAGAATGGCACCGACGCACCAACCGCCCATGCAAAGATTGCGCCCGATGATGACTGCATGGAAGATCCCAAACGGCGCGTCCGCCTCAACATTGTCATCATAGTGATTGGGTCTCGCGGTGACATTCAGCCCTTCCTGCGGATAGGAAAGATCCTAAAAGAGGACTACGGTCATCGTGTTCGCATAGCTACCCATCCTGCTTTCAAGTCCTTCATTCAGGATGACTCTGGGTTGGAATTTTTTTCCATTGGTGGTAATCCATCTGAATTGATGGCGTTCATGGTAAAGAATCCTGGCCTGATTCCGAGTTTGGAGACGGTCAGGGAGGGTGAAATTGGCAGGAGACGAGCTGCCATGTATGAGATGTTTCAGGGCATGTGGCGGGCTTGCATAAATGCTACTGATGACGAGAATGATCATGCCAACCTGAAAATGAGTGAGTTGCTGGCAAAGGTCGATGCTTACAAGATTTGCTAATCGTCGTACAGTGGGTGGCGGCCAACCTTTCATTTGCGACGCCATTATCGCCAATCCCCCAAGCTTTGCACCGCCTCACATCGCCGAGCGGCTGGGTGTTCCACTGCACATGATGTTCACGTAAGTCCATACCCGTGGTTGTCTTCCTTACCGGAATGTGTCCGCTGATTCTAGCCAAGCTTTCCCTACACGCCTACAGTGCAGTTCCCACACCCGCTAGCCAACATCCAACATAGTAATGTCGATACCAAGTATACTAATTTCATGAGCTACCCACTCGTCGAGATGATGACTTGGCAAGGCCTCGGCGATTTAATTAATCGATTCAGGAGCACAACGCTGCACTTGGATGAAGTAAGCACGCTCTGGGCGCCGGGGCAGCTGTTCCGTTTGAAAGTCCCTTACACCTATATGGTACGTTTATACCTGACACAAGCTGTAATTGGACTAACGTGGAGACAGTGGTCGCCAGGCCTAGTTCCTAAGCCCAAAGATTGGGGTCCTGAAATCGACATAGCAGGCTTCGTCTTTTTGGACCTAGCATCTTCGTTCAAACCACCCGATGATCTCCAGAAATTCCTTGACGGGGGCCAACCGCCGGTGTATATAGGGTTCGGATCTATCGTCGTTGACGACCCTGACGAATTCACTAAACTCATCTTCAAAGCCGTCGAGATAGCTGGTGTCCGCGCCTTGGTATCTAAAGGATGGGGTGGCTTTGGCAGCAACTCGACGGCACCGAACAACATCTTCATGCTCGAGAACACGCCGCACGACTGGTTGTTCCCGAAGGTGTCTGCAGTCGTGCATCACGGCGGTGCTGGTACGACTGCTATCGGTTTGAAATGCGCGAGACCGACGATGATCGTACCCTTTTTCGGCGATCAACCGTTCTGGGGTGCTATGGTGGCAAAGGCGAAAGCCGGAGCGCACGAATGCATACCCTACAAACAACTCACGGCTGAGCGTCTAGCAGAAGGCATCAAGCAATGCCTCACAGACGAGGCAAAGCAGAATGTACAAAATATTGCAGACAGCATCGTCAAAGAGGGCGACGGTGCGCTCAACGCCGTGCGTTCCTTCCACCGTAGTTTACCGCTAAGGGAAGGCGGGACTATGCGCTGTTCACTCCTGCCGAATCATGCTGCTGCTTGGCGACTCAAAAACACAACGATCTGCCTTAGCCCGGTTGCTGCGGAGTTGCTGGTTGAGTGGAAGAAAATCAAGTGGAACGAGCTCCGTCTACTACGGCACTATGAGTGGAATGACTTTGGTGGACCCGGCGAACCAGTAACTGGAATATACGAAGCGATTGTGGATACAATCGGGGAGATAGCGACGGGAATGGGAGGCGTGCCCTACAATATGGCGAAGAGTGTCAAGAACAGAGAGAGATACTACGAGAAGAAGTACAAGGTCCACAAGCGTCATAAGCAGAAACAAGATCATAAGGCGACAGTCGACCGTACGAACATAGAGCATGAGGAAGGGAAGGACGATGGCGATTCAACCAGCGATCACACTGCCAATGGCGACACGAACGGTGACTCGAGGAAGGGCATGCCCAAGCCTGGTGAAAGACAACAATCCGTATCATCGAATGTCACAGAGCCGGATGAGATTCTCGCCATCGAATTCGCAAAAGAAGCCGAACAAGGTCTCCGCAAAACAGCAGGCGCCGTCGTCCGCTTCCCCATGCGCCTCCAACTCGCCCTCGCTCAGGGTTTCCACAATGCCCCGCGTCTGTACGGCGACACCACCGTACGCCGTATCCCACGCATCACCGGCGTGCACTCTGGCATTAGAGCTGGACGCGACGAGTTCGTCTACGGGATCCGCGACGGCGTGAGTGGGCTCTGGATGCAACCCATTTATGGTGCCAAAGCCGGAGGCGCGATGGGTTTCGCCCGAGGTCTTGGGATCGGGCTCGGCGGCTTCGTTCTCAAAGACGTCTGCGCCTTCGTCGGCCCGGGCGCCTACTTCCTCAAAGGCTGCGACGAAGAATACCTCAAGAAATACCAGCCGACTCACTTCATTCGGCGCGCACGCATCCTCCAGGGAAGGAAAGAAGTCGCGGAGCTAGCCTATGCGGCAGATCGGGCGGCCAATTCAGGGGGCACGGAGGCGCGTGCTGCAGATCGGAAGGCGGAGAAGGCAAAGAGGTGGGAGGTTGAGAAGAGGGTTAGTACGGAGTGGAGGGCGTTGCAGCCCCAGGTCAAAGAGGAGAGAAAGAAGACGAGGAGTGGTTTGAAGGCCGCGCTACTGGGGCAGCCAAAACTAAAAGAAGGCGCCCCAGTGCCGCTGAAGGAGGAAAGATCTAGCCTGCAGTCGACGAGGCATGAAGATAGGCCCAGGAAAGCGAGGACGCAGCCCATTCTAGAGACTGATGGGCAACCGAACGGGGGCGTCAGTGGCGGGCCCAGTGTCCCAAGAAGCGAGAGCGCACCTATGACTGCCGAGCAGTATAAGGAGACGGGCGCCACAAACAAGAAGTGGAGGTTTGATCCGCTACATAAGCATGAAGAGCGCAAGGCAAAGGACGAAGCGCTGTCGAAGGGTACTGTGTTGAACGGCGGCGCCGGCTTCGTTAATGGAGATGTCGGCAGTGTAAGAGCTCTTTAGGGGTTGTTGACGGTCATATCGTGGCGTTTTTGCGAGCATAGGATGGGACGTTAGAGAGATACCCCTGGTCAAATACCCTGGTCAATACCATTTCTTTTGTTTGTATTTTGATGTTGCTTCTTTGCTGCGATGGTTGAGATCAGTCCTGACTATGCTCAATCGTAAATGGTCCATATTACCGCAGTGGTACGTGCCCCATACTCATATTTCTTAATCAGTAGAAGTAGAGCAGTATTGACATTGGCATGTTCGTATAATGGCTTCGGCCATACTCTTCGAAGAAGCTCTACCGCGTGAGTATCGATATCCCGCATCTGCCCACCTACCCACCCGGGCACCTGGGCACCTGCACTGTCCTAATCACGTGACGCATCCTTCTTCAGGGCTCTAGGGTAGCTTCCAAGCCGCTGGCATCGCGCCTTCGATATAGGTAGGCACAGTGGGGAAGGATGCATCCGATTTCAATCCCAGTCATCTTCTCTCCCCGGCTCAGAGGCAGTCGCCATGTCACCTGCTGCGGCTCGCGGCTCAATAGCATCCAGAAAACGAACACCAGGAGTTAAACCACGCACGAGATGCGCACGTTGCAAAACGAAGTGCGCCAAATATGATAAACCGAAGTCGAGTGCCAGCTTTGGCTCAGGTTGGCTTTCACCTGCCCGGGATAGTCCCTCAATATACGATGGTACATGTCGCAATCTTTCACATTGTATTTACACCTCGGTCCGAACTTCTATCAATCACCAAAGCCTCATAGCAAAGCCATGACTGACGTCGGCGAGGAAGTGCACTCGCCATCCTGTCTGTGCGCCTTCCTAAGTCAACCTAACAAGCCGCACTCGTATATAAACCACACAACACCCTCGACATTCTCGACTACCTACCCAAACTGACTGTCCGCCACCATGGCGTCACAACCAGAAGTACACGCCAATCGGTCCACTTCGCACGATTCTGCCATTCTCGCAACCCCAGATGCGCAGAACAGTAAGTCAAACGACTTATCCGATGGATTTGTTACATGCATATGTACTCGACTGATTGCCTTCTAGCAACAACCGCCAAATCCCCTGTTGACAGACCAGTTCATTTATATCACATAATGACCCTCTCACCAGGCAGACGTCTGCTCGCTACATGCGACGACCCTATAACAACCGACTCGATTATCATTCACGCCAAAACCCCCGTTCTGTTGGAAGCTCCACAACAGCAACCCATCATCCTGCATCCACAGTCTTGTTTGGGCACAGATTTCGTACGAGGTTGGAACAAGTTGCCTTTGGAGCTAAGAATTCACATTCTGGAATTCAACCTTATCTATATTGCGCCCTACAAAGCCACCGAGGACGCAACAACGTCGATCTTGCTACCATACCTTCGTATGACCAAAGAGATTGCCGACTTGGCTCGCGAGATTTACTTTAAAAAGAACGTTATTTGCTTAGAAGTCAGACGGCAAGATGGTAGGAGGCGCGCTCTTCGGTACCCACCTCCTCTTTCCAATCGCTTCATTCGGCGCCTGGAGGTCGAGCTAGCATTCATTGATTTCGCTACCTCGCGATTCTGGCCGAAGATTCCGGATCTGGCTTCAGGAAGATACGGATTCCCTAATCTCCGATTTCTTCACATACAGCTGATACTCTGGGGCCGGGGTGGGTAGGGTATATCGCTCACACGGTTGCTGGAGAGACTTGGTGTTCTGCAAATCAGATGCGACGGTGATTTCGACGTCACGTGGATGGATACGAGATCGTATACTACAACGCCACAGGAGCGAGCTGACTTCGTAGCTGAGGTTCGGAGGCTCTTAGTCTTCCAAGCTTGAGCACTATTATCAAAAAGGATGTCGTCAAGACGCTCGATCGGTGCAGCGTTGGAATCAGGACTGTACGGGAATTCTGCGTGCCATCCGCGAACGTGCGTCGAACATGGCCGACATATCCCTAAGAGCTTCCGAGCTACGGGTCAATGATCACCTATAAGGAAGGAACATGATGAGGTTTGGCATTGCTAAAGTATGATAATGGCATACAAATGTCCTTTCAAACTCATTAACAGTCCTCGAAAACCGCCTCGATGATTGTAATGCACTCTCGGATCATGATGAGCAAAACAGGACCTGAACATGCCCTAGAGGCTCCAGGTATTACGGCCTTGGCCAGGTAAACATCTCGCCGCAGCTTATTTGCTCTACAGCTCCGCGAGTGTTGAGGAATACACTAGCCTCCTAATGCCAACCGTCCAACATCCCTCTGTCAGAATCCCTTCATCCTCATAGCCATCCTTCACCATCTAATACCTTGATACGACCTTACATAAAATTCCGCGATCGCTCTATGAATCATTCGTTGACTGTCGTAAAGCTTCGCAAGCCTCAAATACGCCTCAGCTGAACCTCTTACCCTCTTCATGCCCCTACATTCTCATTATACCCTAAACCAAAGACAAACACCAAATCTGCCACGCTTGTACACACTCCTAGCCAGCCTTCACATCTTGTAATATCACGACAAAGCCCTCAACACCCATGCATCTATTCTTAAGCCGGTATTTTTTCTTTTTTTTCTCTAGATGCAGCTCACAACCCGTAGCAATGATGCACCGAAAGAACAGCCGCAGCATGACTACAATAGGTAGCTTCATAGTTACCCGTGGGTGTGGCTAATCAGCGAAGGCAATCGTGCCATGTCCTGCACAGTTTTGACTAGCGGATTGTCTGTAACATCGAAGAAAATCTTCACGCTCTCAATCGGTGTGTCAGAGCCAGCCACGCCAACGCGTTTCGATTTTATGTACTTGCTGTAGGTACATGGAGGACAGCATGCGCCTTCCCAGGGAACCCATCCATTGCCGTCATGCCATTTTATCGTCTCACAGGAAAACCTAAGCCAGAATCCACATCACACGTTTATCACATTCCTAAGCTTGAACACCGTCTTGTAACATGGCCAAGTCCCAGAAACAAAATACGGAAATGCTCAATAACATTAGCCACGCACTTAACCCTGCTGTCTCCTTCGCTTGCCGACCTGGGCCGAGAAACCGGTCTTGATGGCCGACACGGATCGTCGCGAACCGCATGAGTTGCAGGTGACGAAGTACAGACGGTTCTCGCCCTTGGTGAGGTCCGAGTCGGGGGAGCGGCACGTCTTGCAGGAGACGTATTCGACGATGTAGCGACGGAGGACGTTTTCGATTTGCTTCTGCTGGAAGCGACCCTTGATGACGAGGCGGCGGGAGCCGTCAACGGAGCCGGAGGTACCCAATTCAGCGAACAAGAATTGTGTGACTAAGCACAGTGTTAGTAATGGACATTGGAAAAGAGTGTGGGAATACATACCATGCTCGTCTGTTCGCTTCATGCGCTTGCAGATCTCGCTGATGTTGGCGAAGATGGTCTTCTTGTTACCTTCACGCAAGCACTGCGGCGGCGGGATCTTGTAGCTCTTCGAGCCTGACGAGGCGAGATCGGGGTGCTGCGAGTGCAGCAGGGTGAAGAAGCGGTTGAGCAGCATGTTGTACGGGATCTCTTTGGTCTGGTCGTGCGCCCAGATGCCGGTGCCCTTCATCATGTCGCCCTCCTCGATCTCCTCCTCCTCGGGCTCCTCCTTGTCCTCCTTCTCGTCGCCCACCTTGGCCGCGAGCTGTGCCTCGAAGTCGTCCGTGTCCGCCTTGGGCTTCTTGCTCTTCTTCTTCTTCTTGAGGCCGGAGAGCACGTCCTCGGCGTCCTCGCCGCCTTCGGTCTTGGGCTTCTTCTTCTTCTTTTTGGCGAGGCCGGCAAACATGTCGGTTACCTCGTCGACTTCCTTGTCCTCACCTGTGATCTGTGCGTCAGCGCCGTTGTTCGCGGTGTCGTCACTTTGGAAAGACGTACCAGCCGCGTGCGACGCTGCGCTATCTTTGTCTCCGTTCATGGCGGCAGACTCTGTGACCTGGCCGTCGCTGTCAACGATGGTGGTATTGTCTTCAAAAGCGACGGATTTGCGAGGTTTCCGCTCGGTGGCGTCTACCTGTGGGAATATGTTAGCTGCGCTCTCGACCTTCATATCGCTTGCGGCAGGCGTGAAGCGCGCGCCCAATGCGGAGGAGGTGTTCGTGCGGGTAGTGTGTGAAGTGGAGATTTCGCGCGAGCGCGGGGCAGTCTTGTAACGTACATCAGCCATGATTGCGGTTTTCGGGACGTCTGCGGCAGTAAATCGAATCCTTCTGCGTAATCGTCGTGATGTGTAGTCGTTCCAGAGGTTGTGTTGTAGTGCAGCCTCCCGTCGAGGTGGGATGCTCTTTTTGCCGCACGTCAACGGTGGTCGGAGTCATAGTTACCTAAGCCTTGACTCAGGCACCCCTCGCCCGCTGATTGGCCATGAGTCGACCGACGCGATGCGATCGCAAAGCAACCGAGAAGCCGCCCGCAACTTCCATCTCCAGCAACGACAACACCCTTGCCAATGCTTACACGGTAGCCCGAATTTGCCTTGCCGACCGACTGCAACCGCCCAAATGTCGATGTCGAACAGTCAGAGCTTCATCGAGCCGCCCCCAAGCGATTCCGATTCCGATGAGGTCAACTCACTGCCCTCCTCCTCCACCGGATCCTCGATCGACGATGACGAATATGTGTCAGATGCGGAGCGCGAATGGAGGGAATCATTACAGCAGATTGAGCTGTTGTTGACAATGGTGCTTGTCCCGTATGTGGGGAAGTACTTCGGCCGGAAATGTGCATACTGGGGTGAGTGAATTGGGTCCAGCAGGGGAAGACCAGACGTCTGTTGACGAGCTCTCTCTATCCGCTGGAACAATGGCAGGTGCTGCATATCACAGTATCTAACCATGGCAGCAGGATGGGCGAAGTACATGGAGTGGAAATACCCCGTCGAGATCGTCATCACAAGTTCCACAGCGTTCAAGGCCGCAGGCGCGGTGGAGGCAGCTGCATCGATATGAAATCAACTATGCTGATATATCGAATCGCATCAAACAGCAAAAGGCGTTATGGCGTACGAAAAACAGTTATTCTCATTAATGGGCGGAACTCACACATCCAACATGTACATTTACAAACCAATCGCACACCGAACCCGCATCAACCCCATTTTCAATAGACACGGTTCTCCCTTGGTCCTGAAATATGAATCCTGCCATACTGATCCTCGTGTACGGATGAGCCCTGCATCACAGTGTACCAATTGTGGCTGTGCTTGCGATCGATACCACCCTCTGCAGCGTACAGCCTCTCCATCTCCTCTCGCTTCTTCCCTTTGGGCTTGTTCTCCTTGATCCTGAGTTTTTCGAAATACACATAAGCGCCATAGTAAACGGATGAGGTGTTACCAGCATACGGACCCTTCTTGGAGCGGAAAGAGGCAAGCTGGCTGGACTGCACACGACGCTCAGGGTGGAATTGCGCCATGACATTGCGAAGGAAGGAGGCTTGTGTCACACCCAGAAGCTTGAGATGCGCATTTATCTTGCGCCGGATATCGTCGCATGTGTCTATAGCCTATAGTCAGAATCGAGCGCACGAGTGAGAATCACACGACAGGAACTCACCGAAGACAGGCACTTTCTCCTCCATCTCCCCGTCCAACACAATCCCCTCGACACTCGGTACACCGCTATTTGACGCAGCTGGTCCCGCACCAGCCGCGGTCTTCTGCTTCTTGGGCATCTTGATCCCTCGCAACTCCCGCTTCTTGAAGAACGCCCACGCAGCATCGTACACCGAGCTTTCTAACCCTTTCTCTGGGCCGTTCTGACCCATAAAGCGCGAATACGCATTGCTGGTCACGTTGATGGCTTTTTGGAACTCGCCAACTTTCATCTCGCCTGAGTCGAGGAAGGCGCGGATCTTGCGGCTTGATGTGAGTTAGTTGAGCTACAGGTCAGATAGTGTTCATGGACAGGAAACGCACCGAACTACATCACAGCTGTCCGTCATTGGCACATTCTCAAGCTCTACGTCAGAGTCGCATCGTCCATGGTAGCGAATTGGTCTGCCGTGCGCTTCCCTAGAGTGGACATCTTCGTTTGGCTACTCTTCTCTTTGGTTCAGGCACAAGTTCTGAACGAAATATATTGAGCGTGAAATGCTTTGGTGTACTACAGTACTGGACACATGGCATGAGTCGAATGGAGTGTTGAGTGTTGGGCATTTATTGATTATGACGCCGTGAAACGCGTACCGCTTTAGGTTGTTGATGCACCGTGCGGGGAAGGAACTAGAAGGAACGCGTAGTCAGGTGCTGGTGGGGGCTAGCGCGCTTTCCTGCTGTGTACGACGTGAACTTCCTGATGAGATCATCTTGGAAGTTTCAGGAAGCTACGGACGGACAGCTCGCCACCTAGCATTCCGCTTTACGCGCGACTGCTGAGGTGGGAAAAGAAATTATGGTATACGCTACAAGGTTGTAGTCCGGGCTACATGAAGTCATGTAAAGGATCGGCTCGTACATACGCTATTCTCGAGTCTATTAATCCAAGTTAGGTTTGCTTAGCATGTTTAAGAACAAGTATCAGGCAGTACTGTCTATTAGGTAGCTACACCCACGATTGTCTGGGTTGATGCTATTGACGCATGAACGCAACCGAATTTGTTGGGCGCAAGCACCACCAACCAGCCGGACGGCGTAAACCATTGGACTTCATACATCGGTTCGTTCACACATAGCAAGAGCTATAAGCAATATTCAATAGTAATATCCCCAGATGAGAACGTCCTCTAATTTCACAACAAGCTCTGCCCTGTTACCACCTCCTGCAAGATCGTCCCCGGCTTCGCACCCTTCTCTCGACTTATCGTGTACCACCGCCACTCCTCCGTCGTCGGACACCACCCCACATTCCCTTTGTTCCAGATATGGTTCACCCGGTGGATTTCGCGGATCTGGTCGGGCGTGTATACGTCGTCCAGCGACATACCCTCAACCATGTTGTTTGCAAATGCCCAGTCCTTTCTTCCAAACTCCCTATCCCCTTCCCGGGCTATGCCGTGCACTACTTTTGCAAACGCATCGGCTTCAATCTTATCGTCGGCCATGGCATACGAAGTTTTGACTTGCACGTATATCCCTCGGTCACGGAGGTTATAGAAGTCTCCTTTTGCGGCCAGAGATTCAGATTTGGCGATATTTGATGCCGGAAAGATAACGGAGGAACCGAAGCGGGAGGGGTTGTCATTGGTGAAAGACAAAAAGGAGCCAAAGGCGCGAGCCAGGCTGGATCCAGTGACGGATTTCACGAAGGCCCCGTGCAATTCCTTGTAGCCCCCCGGCTTGTTGAAGGGATCGAGAGCATTGTGGATATCAGCAAAGGGCGTTAATGTCGTGGTGGCATTCACTGTCTTCGCCAGGACCTCTTCGGAGAACGTAACAGCAGCCGCTTTCTCCGCCTTCTCAGACGGCCCGAAAAACGAGATCGAGAGCAATACTACTGGAGCTCCCGGCCGAGGCGCAGTTGGCGGAGCCCGCATGAATCCTAGGAAGAAGTTCATCTCCGGCGGGACATTGGATTGCAACGTCAGATACGCCTCAATTGCCGTCTCCAAAGCATTGGGAGCGAACACCAACGTGCGCTGCCAGACCTTATCCCCTTCGTCCAGATCCAACGTCACAAGTGGAAACACCTCCATTGTCACACTGACCACAACGCCCATCCCATGTCCGGCGCCTCTTAGAACGTCCCATAACTTCTCTTCTTCACCCACAGACTCCCTATTCACGGTAACCGGCTTTACTGCTCCGCCATCGGGCATACTGAATGGGACAATGGTGAAAGACTTCACCGTATCAATGCCCATCCCATGTACACCGCCCAGCGGATGGTTTAACCCGCCCAGTAATGCACCCGTCATTCCTACACCATTCGAGTTTGGCACCGCGGTGTAAGACCCCTTCTCTGCTAGGCCCTTCAGCAAGGGGCCGGAGATGCAGCCGCCCCCGATGGTCGCCTCATTCCGTTCCTCATCCAGATGAAGTGATGAAAAGTTACGCAGGTCAAGACAGATAACATCGTGGGTGATGGGGACGAAAGCTCCTCGTGCTCCACCTGAAGGGATGAGTTTGAGGTTTTGGGAGGTGGCATATTGTATTGTAGCGATAATGTCGGAGACGGTGGAGGGTGTGACGATCGCGTAAGGCTTGGAGATGAGGATGTGGGACCAGCGATTTGGGAAGAGATCCTCAACTTTTGATTCGGGATTGGCAAGGAGTACTTCGCACGTAGATGGAAGGGCTGAGCGGATGTCGACCATGATGAGATTCTTGTGGCGGTGAAAGCTGAAGATAGAGTAGGTGTTCCAGAGTATTACTGGTGTATATTCTACAGTGGGTGTTTCGGGATTGTTATCTCCTCAAGTGCTGATTGCGTTCTCTGTATACGTGTCGATGGAACGTAGTGACCGGCTTCCGAGCCACTCTAGACTAGAATTCCTCCGCCAAATCTGACCAATCCCTATGAATACTGCTGACCAACTATGGAAGGCCTTTGTTCCGCACCGGTAGGATCTAGTGGAGTTGTAAAACTGAACTCGATTGTCTTGCAGATTCTTGGTAGATCTACGCATTCGAGCGCACGCATGGAAGTAGAAGTAGCTACGTCGCGCTCATCAATAATTCATCGGCAATCCGAGCGCGTCCGAGCCGATAGCGTCTTATACATAGTAAGCTCAACAAGCATAAGCAGCGATTCTGCCGCCCGAATTGGCCGTCAACAAGGCACGCTAAACACCCTGAACCCTCCCCGCAAAACAACGAACCACAACCCTGGCAGAGCCCGTCACGCTTGTTCCAACGTCTATCAAAGACACCCACTCACGCCAAGCCGTCCGACATGCCAACCATCTCACGCCTAGAAGCCTCGCACCTTGGGTGTTTCCGTGCCGCGCAGCTAGATGCCCGCGGATGACTTCTGATTGGGCGCGCTGCAGACGAGGGGCACCTGCAGCGCTTAAATACCCCGCTAACACATCGCTGGACAGCAGCGAGGCTGAGCAGCTGGAGGTGCGCGCGCGTGGAGAGCTATACTTAGAGCTGTACTTAGACTGCGCGTGAGACCGTTTTCCTGACCATCCGCTCTCTGCTTGCCTTCCAGCGTGACTTTAGCGCGTCGAGCTGTTACTTGTACGAAGCGCCACCCCGGGGAAGAGTATCTGGAGAGACAACATCGAGTGAGCATGTCGGGCTTCCAGGGCAGTCCGCCGCCGGGTGGAAATTATTATGCGGGTGAGTAGAAAAGCGAGAAAGCGTGTACGAAGCAGAGGAAGCTGACTACATGCCAGCACCACCCGAGAAGGGAGGCTACGGAGCCCCACCAGGTTCGTTCCTCGCATATTCCTACCCTCCGACCACATCCTAACACCCGTCGAGACCAGTCACAGCAATACTTTGCGCCTCCACCGGGCGGCCAATCCTACCCTCCTCCGCCCTCGTCGCCCCCCCGCACAGCAGCAACAGCAGCAACACTATCCGCCCCCACCCGCCGGCGCACCGCAACAGCATTTCTCACCTCCTCCCGACCATCACACTCAACAACAACACTACCCTCCACCTGGCGGTGCCCCTCCGCTGCAGAGTCCCTATGGCGCACCGAGTCCGAGCCCGCATCCGGGCATGCCGCCGCAGCAAATGAGCCAGCAATATGTACAGCAGCAGGAGAAGCAGCCGCAGGTGCAAGTACAGCAGGCACCGAGCCAGCCGCAATTTGCGGGCGCGGGAAGCACGCAGACGGATGATGTGGGCACATTCAATGGTGGGAGCTATAGGGTTAGTCATAGGGATACAAACACCATTTTGACGGTACAGTTGGCGATTGGGGCGCCGTTTACGGCAAAGCCTGGTACGTCTCTTCCCTTGGGACGCTTTTGGAGCAAGGCAATGTGGAAAATGGCGTCTTCGTACTGACAGCCTACGACAGGCGCAATGATCGCCATGTCGCCCACCATCACCCTCAAAGGCAACATCAAGTTCTCCCTCAAGAAAGCTCTCGTCGGCGGCGACATGTCCAAGTCCTCGTACACTGGGCCTGGCGAACTGCTCCTCGCGCCCCCCTTCCATCGGCGACATCACAATCATCAAGCTCGCAGGCCACGAGCAGTGGTCCGTTGGCAAGGACGCATTCCTCGCGTGCACGCAGGGCATCGTCACAGAGTACAAATCGCAAGGATTCGGAAAAGCCATATTCTCTGGCGAGGGACTTTTCGTGTACAAGATCAGCGGGCAAGGGATATTGTGGGTCACGAGTTTTGGCGCGATTATTAGGAAGGATGTAAGTCTGCCCTTTCACCAATTCCTAAATCTTTTTCTTTTTCGCGAGTGAGACATGTTGACTGTGAGACAGTTACAAAAGGATGAAAAGTACTACATCGATAACCACCACCTGGTCGCCTGGAACTGCAAGTACGTGCTCGAGCGCGTGGCTTCTGGAGGTATCATTTCGAACGTCACGGCGGGCGAGGGGTTGGTGTGCAAGTTCACCGGACCGGGCACCGTGTTCATGCAGACGAGGAATCCGAGGGAATTTTCGGCGTGGTTGGCGGGGCAGTCGATTCAGAACCCGTGATCATGAGTAGGATATTTATGTCGGTCGCTTTGATGCGTGGTGTTGGGGGTGGTTTTGTGTCTATTCGGAGGATTGGAGTCAGATCAATGATGAATTCCAAGTTCGTAGCTACTAGCTGTGGCTACTGTGAGGTTGTGCATGCATTCCGCATCATAGCGGATCGCTCATTTGAACGCAGGTTAGTATCGTACCTGAGCGATGGACGTTGACGCAGTGCATCCTTACCGTCTGGAATGGGAAGTGCAAACACAACAAGACGTAATGTCGAAAGAGAAAGCTCCGCTGCTTGTCAAATCTCGCGCGACAAGCCATCATGCAAATTATATGAATGTCTCCATTCAGAAACTAGTGATGATGTTTGAATCGTGTTCATTGAGCAATACAGCGCTTGAGTTAATACTCAGTGTACCAAATTATCTATCAAAACAACATTTGAAGAGTTGGCCACCCCACCGTTAAGCATCCGCTTCTCCTGCCCATGTGCCCCACACGCAGAGGTATACACATTGCCGACTCAAAAGTTCTCTTCCGCATCACCCTTTGGCTTCGCTTGTCCCAACGGCAGCCCCGCAACTTGCCTATCCAATGGCCCCTCATGCGGCTTCGTTGGCTTCACGCTCTCGGGATAATCAAAGTACCCTCCCCTTCCATTGAACGCATTATGCTCTGGTCCCAGCACCATATGGTTTCCACCAGACAAGAAATCATGCGGGAAGCCAATCTCAAAGCCATACGCCGCATCAATAGAGGCCATATCCTCAGCGTCCAGCTTCAACTTCAGCGCTTCGATGTTCTGGCCAAGGTAGTCCACTTTGCGCCCGCCGATGATAGGGAATACATATGGTGCTTTGTGGAGCACATATGCAAGCGCCACGCTCGTTGCGCCCGTACCTTTCTTCTCCGCGACCTTTTCAAGCACGCTGCGGACTTGTTCGTCGCGCGACTTCGAGCCTACCTGCAGCGCGCGCGTCCCTTCCTTCTCCTTGACTTCTGCCTTCTTAAATCCGCCGCCTCCGAGCACGCCCCAGGGAGCGATCGCCATCCCTTCGGAAAGACACATGGGGATTACATCGCGTTCGAGGTCGCGGCAGCCGGCGCCCCAACGCCCTTGGTACACGGAAAAGGGACGCAGGCCGTGCTGGCGCGCGTAGTCGTTGCACTTTACGACGAGCCAGGCGGGGGTGTCACTGATGCCGAGGTAGAGGACGAGGCGCTGGGAGACGAGCGTATTGAGTGTGTGCATGAGTTCAGGAACGGAGGTTGTATGATCGTATAGATGGATGTAGTACAAGTCGATGTAGTCTGTTCGCAGGTTTTTGAGCGACCGCTTCACGCTCGTATGTATGTTCTTCGTGCTGTTTCCGCTGAAGTTGCTCTGGATGATCTTATCTCCGAGATTTTGATACTGTCCGCCGGTGAACTTTGTAGCGAGGACAATTTCGTCCCGTCGGCCGCGGGATTCCATCCACTCGCCGAGCCACTGCTCGCTCTCGCCGAATTGGTAGTTTACAGCGGTGTCGATGAAGTTTCCACCCTGACTGTAGAAGTAGTCAAGCATGGCAAAGGCAGTGTCTTTGGTGCATTCGCCGAGAGAGTCTTTCCACGCATCGCCGAAGTTCATGGCGCCAAGGCAGAGGGGAGAGACGCGGACACCAGCGCTGGGAGCGAGGATACGGTGGCGGCCAAGGACAGACTTGGGGACTGGAGGTGCGGGAAAGGCCATTGTGAGGCTTGGAGTGTTGTTGATGCGAAAGTTCTAGTGTGGTTGATTTGGAGACGTAAGTGTGCTCGACGTGTATGTTTGTGTTGTAAGGCCAGGCGTTGTAACTTCCTTTGCGGATTCGCCCCTTCCATATATATTCTTCCCTTGGTCCCTTACATTAGCGTTATACATCGGATTTTGTACTACGTCCATATTCGCCTGCTCCGCTCTCGTACGGGAGCTTAAGTTGATTCGTTGTTCGACTCTTTCGCCTTGAGATATCGCAGCTTAAGTCCGTGAAACTCCGAACTATTGCCTTCCGAACGTTTCGGACCCACGCCCGAAGACTTTAGCGTCAATCATAGAGTGGCAGACTTACGGGCCCAAGGCTTTGAACAAGCTGAGCCGGACAGAGGATTCTAGGAACGGTGAGGCTGTCGCAAGTAGGGCTGGAGTCTCGACGACTAAGCTCTTCTAGTGTTAGCGTGCCGTGTTCTAGCTCTACAATTCGTTGACATCACTGTCTCCACATGGTCCTACATCATCGTCGATGAACTGCGTCGCGCATCGCGCCTGCTGTCGCCATCGACAACCGGTACCTTGCATACCTGTCAAGGATGAAAGTGCCATAGCGGAAGATCTGCGTCGCATCCACCTTTAAGAATCCCATTATGACTTGATAATTGCTGATGACACCAACATTACCGAAAAGTTATATAATTTTCCATCACCTCTTTTGACATCCTCCCCTATAAAACATCATCTCTAGCAAACACTGCCTATCTACCACAATGTCCTCCAAGCTCTTTCGTGTTACCAGATTGATCAGCGCATCACGCCCTGCAGCCCCAATCGTGTCTAGAGTATTCAACAATCGCACATTCGTATCCACAGCCCGCGCAATGGCCGCAACAGTCGACTCAAACTTCATCTCGCGCATCACCGCCGCAGAAAAGCAAATCACAAACCAGGACGAACCTGTTGCCGGAGGCCCAACTGCACAAGCCCAGTCTCATGCCAACCAACCTTTGACTGGCCAAGTCATCCACGACATCACCACGGGCGAGCGCAAGATCACTGGTCTCGACGGCCCCGTGCCTTCAGGTCCCACTTCCATCGCGCAGTCAATCCTCGATGCGTCAGGCTCGACGACAGGTAGCGGTGCATCGGGCGTGCTGGACAGCGAGACGATCAGCAAGATCACACAAAAGGAGAAGGAGATCACTGGACAAGAAGACCCGGTTAGAAGAGGCCCGACCGCAAAGGCACAGCAGCATACCGGCGAGCCGATTACGAGTGAGGCGTTGCATGATATCACCGAGGGGGAGAAGAAGATTACGGGTGGCGATAGGGTGAAGGGGGGACCGACGAGTGCGGCACAGAGTGAGCTTGCGAAGAGTAGGCAGTAAATTGGGAAAGGCGGTGTATGACATGGCTGTATAATTATAGATGTTGTGGAAAATGTAAGATAATTGAGGTTTCGTCATGATGATTGACCAATCACCATTTTACCTGCCTTTGCACGACCCCACCTTTCCCATCGCACCGCCAATTGTTCCACAACTACTGCATTCGCTCTGGCATATCATGTATCTTGGGGCTCTCGAACATTGACTTCCTAAATCATCCATGTACTTCAACCGCAACGCTGTTTTCATTACCCAGGTGTACTCGCGTGTTTCGCGGGGGCCAAAGTTATGCGCCGAATACGCGCGAACGAGCCCATGGCTCTCAGCCTTGTCGTGTGCAAGTATAAAGAGCCGACGTTTCCAACTTCGCGTCGTCGCCTGACATGCTTTCGCGTTACTCACAGTTCTATTCCCTGATTCTCCGGCCTTAAGAGCTCTTTACATTCGACACATCGCAGTCGCCAGCATGCCGAAAGCAGAGAGAGTATCATCAGTACATACAAATCCAGTGAGCACAGCTTCAGCGGCTGGAGGAGGTGTTCGATCCTCATCTTGGTCTCAGACAGATGACGAGACACTAATTAGAGCCCGCGCGCAAGGGCTCAATTGGAATCAAATATCAGCTAAACATTTTCCGGCCAAGTCGGCGAATGCCTGTCGCAAAAGACATGATCGGCTCATGGAGAAACAAAACGCCGACCAATGGGGCGGTGTTAGGCTAGACGTGCTTGCAGAAGCATATATGGAAGTGCGATATGAGATGTGGAGGATCCTAGGCGCGAGGGTCAACGAGAACTGGCAATTGGTTGAACAGAAAGTATGTGGTTCAATGAATTAGCCATTGGATGCTCTTGACTGATTTACTCCAGGTCATGGAGAATGGATTGAAGAATTTAACCCAAGCTTTTCGTCAAGCGCAAAAGAAGCATGTCAATTACGATATTAATCCTGATAGTGGCATTGGCATTTGTGATGAAGACGAGGACACTTATGAGGAGCCAGACGCGAATCCTAGTGTAATTCCGAATTTAGACGCACCAACACGCACACCTAGTGGTCTCTCAAGTCGACAGTACCATCATGTTAGTCTTCCGAGGCTAGGACCAGTGCCTGCAACTGGTATGGCACACGCCTCTATAAACGCGAACGCTGACTCAAATAAAGTGATGGACACTGATGCTCCAGGAGCTGCAAGTGGAACGAAAAAGGGACACAGAGAGCAAACACAAGATGCAGTCATGTGTTTGCCCAACACATCAACTGACTTCCTTCTACTTAACCGGACCATTTCTTCGAACCCTTCGAACAACACCGATGCTGCTCCGTCACCCTCCGTGGAGTCCGAAGGCACTCTAGAAGCCGGTGTGGATGAAGTTGATGTACGCAAAGAACTCCTAGTCGATCGACTCATGCTCCAATTTTACAGCATCTTTGATGCTCAAAACTCCCCTGTTCGGCAACACCAAGGCTCTTCAGAATCCCCAGGAGGCTCTCCGTCCAAAAAGACGACATCCAACACCTCGAGCTCTAGACGAACCACAAAACATGGCCGTTCTTTCGAAGAAGATGACGACGGTAAAGAACCTGGAGATCGACCTAGGCGAAAGCCTCGAAAATTGAGCAACGCCGACGATATCTCCAATCATGAGAAGAAGAAGCCTTTAGCTTGCCCTTTCTTCAAGCATGATCCTAGAAAAAGGTGTACGACCAGGTCTTGTTCAGGGCCAGGAGGTTGGAAAGATATACCCCGTCTCAAGTGAGTTCAATGCCTGGGAAGGCTCGCTTAATAATCCATGACTTACGTATATGACAGAGAGCACATATATCGTAAACATACCCTAGCACCTCGATGTGTCCGCTGTTGCGAAACCTTTAAAGACGAAGGCGAGCTCGCAGAACATCAACGCACGCCGGTGGCCTGTGTCATCAGAATGCAAGAGCCTCTTGAAGGTTTAACTCAGGAGCAGGTTGAGCAACTAAAACGCCGCAAGAGTATGTTTCAAGCAGAAAGCGAAGTAGAAAAGTGGAAAATCGTCTACATGATATGTTTCCCAGATACTACCCCTGGCGACATGCCTACACCGTGTAAGTCGGCGTCGACCTCGACTACTCCAGCTTGAATTGATCGCAATAGCAGACTATGACAATGAAACCAGTGAAACCGATCTCACGGACCATTCCCTGAAGGACCCTACCCTCGCGCAGTATGAAGCGTACATGAATCGTGAGCTTCCGCGAAAAGTCCGCAAGGAGCTCGAGATAGCAATTGGAAAACTCTTCGGTCCGCTGGAAGAGACGTTGAAGAACCAGCTCGAAGGCCTCATTCGCAATTGCCAAGAAAGACTATCGCGGGATTTTGTGAAATCCAAAGAATCTGCTCACGAGAGAGGCCTGGATGCGACATCTGAATTAGCCGGTCCGAGTGATAGTGGAACGCAACCGCAAATTGGCGCGACTGCGACACCAAGTGTTTTAGCTCCGTACACCGTACCCATGGACTCTTCTTTTGAACTTTGGCAGGGTATGGATGCCACATTCAACCTGCAAACCTCTACTTATCCGGATTCGGCATATTATTCGGAGACGAACCCACTTCCCAGTGATCCTTGGTGGCCTACAGCACTCGAAACAATCCCATGTTTGGCCAATTTTGATCCAGCCGAATCGGGAATGATGAACAGCCTAGGATCACATTGGCAAAGCACAGAAAACGTATCGAATCCATCTTACATGGGTAAGGGTAAGGGAAGAGCAGACGAGGCTACTGGCGATTGAGTGGGGTTCGGAATCACATGCGTTCAGCAGATTTCGATCGAGCAGAAGCACCTCAAGAGAAAACGGTTCATCGAGACAATCAAGGATCCGGTGTCGTGGCTACTTGCCTTGTAGTCGTCCTCTTGGATGTATTCCAACCACTTTCAATTACGGGTAGAAAAGCCTAAATGCCTTATTCATCGTAATAACGCCTCTGAACTCCAGCCTGGTCACTACAGTAGAAGATGCCTTCGGTGCATCCTGCTGTACCGTGGCAACACTTGCGCTCCGCAGATGGCTACGCAATACCGTGTTCCACGACTCGCTCAGATGCTTGCTGGTGGTTCCCTCTGCTTGATCGCGCTATTGGGAAGCTTGAATATCTCAGAATATCATTGCGTGGGTCGGTATCTCCTCAATTCAACTGGTGATTAAATTTCTTGCTGCAAAGGCCTGTGGAAAGAGCACAGCATCTGGCTAAACTCAGTGATGGCGAAAGCGAGGGCGGCTACATGGAAGATATTAATGTCAAGATGACCATCGGCCATTCTCGATCTCACAGATTTGCAGAACAAACTCTTTCTTCTCAATTTAAACATGTTGAGTGTTGTGGTGGTAGTGGGGCCGGACCAATGCGGTTAGTCCCTCCGTCATACTACGGTAGTATGGCCTGACCTTCCCACCTTCCTAAAGTCCTGCCCACCCTCTGCTCTATACTCCTTCGAGTGCATACATTGTTTGCTTGAGTAACATATTCCACTCTTTCTGTTGATCCCTTGATGCAGGATCTGCATATGTAAAGGTGACGTAAACCTTACATACGACCACCCCTGTACTATGTATCATTCAAAGGCTCCCCAGTCGCAGCAGGACCTCAGATCTGTTATTTCCCACCAGATCTATACTCATTTATTCACTGTGAAGATCATAAGCCTCCAATATCCGCCGTATGCCTCCGCTACGTCAAATCGTCCGGCCACTTGTCGCACCAGCGACACGATGCACGCCGCGATCGAAAGCGTCACGTTGGTTCTCAACTAGTCACCCCGCGCAATCTTCGAAATCTGAGTCTCCCAAATGTCTCCTTGAAGACAATGACAACGGATTCGGGTTCATTCGTAACAACCGACTCCCTCCAAAGCCCAGAAAGACAAGCGTCACCGAGATCCGCGGTCCATACTATTCTGCCATGGGCCCAAACTACCTGACAGACGTTCTCAAAACTATCGGTTCACATGTCGACGGCTTGAAGTTTGCGGGTGGATCCTTCTCCCTTTTGCCAGAACCGGACCTGCGGGAACTCATCGACATCGCGCATTCGCACAATGTCTACGTCTCGACAGGTGGCTGGATGGAACATGTGTTGACACAAAGTGACACAGAAAGAGCTGTTGACAAGTATCTCGACAAGTGCAAGGACCTAGGCTTCGATGTCGTTGAGATATCTGCAGGGTTCCTCTCTCTCCCGCCGGATGACTGGCTCCGACTTTGCGAACGCGTAATGCAGAAAGGTTTGAAGCCTAAGCCTGAACTCGGTATTCAATTCGGCGCGGGCGGCGACACCGAAGCTTCCGATCTAGAAGCGATGGGAACATCAGACCCGTCGCGCATCATCAATCAGGCGAAGAAATTCGTAGACATGGGCGTTGAGCGCATGATGATCGAGAGCGAGGGCATTACTGAGAATGTGAAGACTTGGCGAACCGATGTGATTCAGGCCATCTTGAGAGACGTACCACTGGAGAAAGTTATGTTTGAAGCAGCCGACCCTAAAGTCTTCAATTGGTATATCAGGGAGTTTGGCGTCGATGTGAATTTGTTCGTCGACCATAGTCAGATCTTCCAGCTAAGCTGCCTCAGAAGAGGCATCTGGGGCATGGCGGATACTTTTGGTAAGATCACGACTTTTCGACCTTGAGGATCATGAGGGAATGGAACAACAGAGATATATAGGCTTCTAATATATACCGCTGTTCTTTCCAGCGTACCCCAATGTTGCCGAAGATTTCATTGTAAAGATCGTAAAGGCGATCCTCGACACACCCGTCTTCTTTCAAGCGTCTCCGGAGCATGAGTGTTTCTGGCGAATGAATATTGTACTCGATCCTTGAGCTGTTAAGCTAATGATAGTCGGCAAATATGCAGCTGTGCTGCATGTGGTGGGCCACACACCAATCAAACGTCCCGTGTCGTGCATGCAGTACGACGCTTAGGCGGCGCAGCAATGTTGAACCATGGAGGCCCAAGTCATCTACTTGTACATGCTGAGAGTGGAGACCATTGTGCTTTGAACCTTTGCAAACCCCTGCTACATCGGCGCGTCCCAGCCCCAGCCTAGTGTGAAGTCAGCGGAGATGCCTATCTCGCATTTAGGGAATCACTTACCGAACCAGCCTTGCGGATCACCCACGTCTCCCCACCCGATATCCAGACTCTCATCCCGCATCAATCTCTCCCAGTCCATGTCTTGACCAAGGTCCCCTTCAACGCCGTCAAAACTATCACCAAGCCGACTTTGCTCCTCTAAATCGCGCGGCGTGCCTGTAACATCGTCCACACCATCGCCTCTTCCGTGATCCTTCCCTGCATATGGATACGGTTGCGAGAGATCAATATGTTTCCCCTGCTCCGCAAAATACGCCTCCCGCATGAAGACGGCGGTATCGCTTACAGCCTTTTTCGAAGCGGAAAGGACGGCGGCACCGGGATCAGTGCGGGAGAGAAGAGCGTCGACTCGAGCGACTGCGGCACAGAACCAGATGTAGCCTTTCGCATTGACATCCCCGTTGCAGAGACGCTTTTCGGTGGCAAAGCGCGCGAAGACTAAAGCATTGTAGTAAGGTTGTAATTCTAAAGGGACGTACGGGCGCGAAGACGACGGTGAGATAGTGATGGGCACCGTAAGCAACGTATCCTGCTCGTCCTCCAGTCGCGACGTGAGTTCAAAGTAGATCGTGGACATGCTGTGGAGGATGAATGACTTGACAAAGCCGACGCATCGATATGTCAACCGGTTCCAGTCATCTTCTTCTTCGCCTTCGGTGGGATTCGCTGTTGGCCTGGCGATCATGATGGATGCGTCCAGGCATACTTTGCGGGAGTAGTAGAATCGGGGATCGTGGGCTGAGCGGGTGTAGAACGGGCGGTGCAGACATAGAAAGAATCGTCGCATAAACGTATCGAAGAGCTTTACTTGGAAGATATTCGGCGAATGTGGGGTGGAAGAGCCCAAGAACGACTGCACGAATGTCAACTTCTCGCGACATGCGGCAAGCATGTCCGCTCCGAGTCTGATCGCCTCATCATACGACAGTGAGAAGTGAAGTGAGTTGATCAAGCGACAGATCTCTAGCCGGAGCGGCAAAGTTTCGTAGAACGCAATCTGCATCGAGCACTGTGTATATTCCTTTAGAGGTTTAGGTTGCAGAGGAACAGTGTCGGCCTCCGTGAGTTCCTCATCGTTGACATTGCTGGGCGGAAGCGTGTCGTAATCGTCTGGCGATATCATCGGCGGCATACCCATGTCCAGGCTACTCTGTACCGTCATTTCCATTATCGTGGCCCACAGGCGACGGCGCATCTCAGCATGGAATACCGACATCTTCCCAATGTGGCTCGGATCGCGATGAAGACCTAGGTGCATGGCGCCTCTGAGTAATCGTCCCCCGGGCACCCCTATGGCACGGATACAAGGTCAGTAAAAGCCGACCAAGCGGGGAGTGACATCGAGAATGGGTCTTAATCAAGCGATAGAAGGTTTTCCCATCGCAACGAAGACCAAGCCATGCATCTAATGTTCCACTCACAAATTAGATCCCCATCCACGGCACAGATTTCTCTAGCAAGCAATATCAGGATTTGTATCTGTGTGCCGGCCAGGTTGAAGCGTGACTTTGCATGAGGTGCACTGAGCCAAGATTCTGCAGCCTGAAGCCACTTGGTGCAGTCGGCTCGCAGCCGTGGCTGTTCTTCCCCAGTATAGAACACTACACCAATAGCGCAGACAAGGAGTATTCTCAATAGTACCGAAGGTACTGCAGCAGTAGGGTTTATCCAAAATGCCTCATACTCTTTCATGAAGGATGGGATATGCAATATCCGAAGTACTCCTTCGAAGGTGCGCAAGTAGCCCTGGACAAGCTGATCACAAACATGCCTGGATGGGATAAACTCTTGCACATCGCGCAGGATTGACGGCTGCATGATCCGGGATGCTTTTATCGTACGGGACATGCGCTTACACTCTGCTACGGTGGTGTACAGTTCGGAAGTCTCATTGACTTCTGTCCTGTTGGTGCTCGTGTTGACAGAGACGTTGGAGTGCCCAAGTGCGTCGTACTAAATAAATAAGCATGCTTTATCGAAGGGATTTCATGCTATTTACCGGTTCCAGAACATTGACCCAGTGGCTCTCCCCATAGAACTTGGATTTCACGAAATGGCTTGGGCCAGACTGGGCGACGGTGGGGTCTGCTTGTGCGCTACTCTTAGATAGTGTAGAATGGGAAGACGTCTCCAATGTCGACTCGAGCTGCCGGACGCGGTCAATCAGGTGCTGTATAGTCTCGTCTTTCTTCTCCGAGTCACCGTGACTCGGATTGCTGCGCAGAGACGTAGCCGAACGGGAATCGTCATTAGTAGATGCGCCGCTTGAGGTCGCTGCTATCGGTCCTTCGATCGGTGATCGACGCTCGTCTACCGACATGCGTGATCAGCTTGAAATGGTAGTCTGGAGTACTGGTGGAAGCTTACTGTTCCACGGGTGTGGTCTATAGGTGCATGTCACCGATTGTATTCGTGTGCATGGTCCACAGGGTTTTGCGCGATCGCATTTGACTTTGCGTTTCCTACATTCTACACACGAAAGTGCCGGTCTTCTTCTTCGAACAGGGCCTGCGCCGTCTGTGTCGGCATGGTGCACAGCCGGGATTTTATCGCCCATGGTAGACTAGTCTGACTCGGACAACCGCTTTCCAAGGTTGCCCAACTAACACGTGCCGAAAATGGGGAATATGAATTCGATGCGCGCCAGCGTGATGTGGTGATTAAAGAAGAATTGAGCGATGAGGGAGGATAGACCGAGTAAAATGGGTGGTCGCTGAATTCAATTTAGCGAGAAGACCGAGAAGACCGACACGCTAATCGTTCGGAGATTGCGGGCTACAGGCGGAATCCGGTACCAGATCTGTCAACGAACACTTGGATACATCTGCGATGATGCTTCGTCTATTCTTGGCTCACACTTTGTGTCCCGGGGATGTATCGGTTAAGAGTGAATTCTGTCCTACCGTCCGAGCGACTGATCGCCGTAACGATGTGACAAGTGTAAATACACGTGAGCATGCAGAACCAGATCTGGAGCGCACATCACTCGAAGTTGTAACATCCCAGGCACGAATAGGCATTCATTCAAACGCGGTTTAGCTGTCACCTGAGCCCGCGCTGCTGCGGCGCGCGCCCGCGTTCCAAGGTTGCTGGTCCGTGCACGTTTGCCTGAACCTCGCCTCTACCATCATCATTGTCAACGCGCGCAAACGCTCCTCCATCCCTCACTCCCCTTCCTTTCTGTTTTCTCGCGTTCAAGATGGCTGGCAAAGAAGCGACGGTGTATATTGTCGACTTGGGCGCGTCGATGGGCAGGAAACGGCATGGAAGAGAAGTGTCGGATCTTGATTGGGCGATGGAGTATGTATGGGACAAGATTACCACGACCGTAAGTGTGCGCTGGAGCCTCATATCCGGACTGCAGATATTGACATTGCCTAGGTCGCTACAGGAAGGAAAACTGCTTTGATGAGCGTGATTGGAGTTCGAACAGATGGTATTTACAAAGACTAGACCTATGATGGTACAGTCTACTAATGCTAGTGCTCATAGACAGCGATCTTGCGGGCGTCATGCCTGTAGAAGATGGCTACGAGAACATCACGGTCTTCTCACCACTGAAACAGTAGGTGTACCACGTGACCATGTAGTAAAGATCGCTAATTAGATTAGATGGCTTCTGCCGGACATCCGAGGTCTGCAAGGGAAGGTGAAGCCTAGCTCAACTGATAACGGAGATGGTATGTAGTCGCCTGACTTCAAGAATTGTACTTATTGTGTCAGTAATGTCTGCTGTCGCGGTTGCAGTACAGCAGATCGATGCCGCAACAACCGGTACAACAGGGAAGCCTCTCAAGTTTGATCGCCGAATAATCATTGTTACGGATGGTACGGGGTCACTAGACACTAGTGATCTCGGGCAGATTACAAGCAAGCTCAAAGACTATGATCCACCGGTTGAGGTAGTGTTACTGTAAGTATTGCTAGGTGCTTACGATCTACGCGCTAATGTGCATAGCGGCGTCGACTTTGACGACCCAGATAGCGGCTATAAAGAAGAAGATAAGGACGCTCATAAGGTAGGAGTACCGGTTGACGTTGAGCCATCGCACTAATCTGGCAAAAGGAGGACAACGAGACGACCCTCAAAGAATTCGTAGACCAATGCGACGGCAACTTCGGCACTCTTGCAGAAGCCATCGAACAGCTAGCAATTCCACGCATCAAGGATACTCGGCCTACTCCCAGCTATAGAGGCACGCTTACACTTGGAGACAGCCAGACTTACGACACAACAATCACCATCGATGTTGAACGGTATCCTTGCATCATGCCCGCGAAGCCGCCAACCGCAAGTTCATTTGTTGTACGAACAGACTTGGGAGGCGTTGGAGCTAGCGCTCAATCTTCCAATACTGTAGTCGGAGACGACGACCACCCGATGGACGGCCAGCTCTCCGCGGTACGCAATCAGCGCGTATATCAAGTCGACAATCCCGACGAGCCCGGCGAGAAGATGAACGTTGAACCGGACGATCTGGAACGAGGCTTCGAGTATGGCCGCACAGCAGTCCATATCAGTGAATCAGACGCGAATGTGGTGAAGCTCGAGAACGATTCATCATTGCAACTCCTTGGCTTCATTAGGGCAGAAGAGTTCGAACGGTTCCTTCCCATGTCGCGAACCAACTTCATCGTTCCACAAAAGACGAACACGCAGGCGCAGCTTGCACTATCTTCCTTTATCCACGCATTATACGAAGCGGAGTGCTACGCCGTTGCGCGTCTGGTCGCTAAGCAGGATAAGGCACCTCTGCTGATTGTTATGGTTCCCCACATTACGCCTGCCTATGAAGCTCTAGTGGAAGCCGAACTGCCCTTCGAGGAAGACATGCGCCGCTACAAGTTTCCCCCGCTAGACAAGAAGCTTACAATTTCCGGCAAGACCATCACAGAGCACAAGGACCTGCCTAACGCGGAACTCACGCAAGCAATGAGCGACTACGTAGACGCGCTGGACCTCTCTGAGTACGACAAAGATGATGAGGGTGAACCAACAGAGTATGCGAAGATCGAAGACTCATACTCTCCCCTGCTTCACCGCGTAAATCAGATCATCCGCTGGCGAGCAACCCACTCAGATCCCACACTACCTCTACCGGATCCTCCGCAGATCCTCACTCGATTCTCAGAACCGCCTTCAGATCTGCTGCAGCAAACAGAAGCGCAGCTCAAGACACTCAAGCAAGCTGCGGACGTCAAGAAAGTCCCACCCAAGTCCAAAGGGCGGGGCAAACGCTCCCGCGCCGACCGCGACAAACCCCTCTCCGGTCTCGACATCGATGCCCTCCTCGGCAACCCTAAGCGCGTTAAGATCGATTCTAATAATCTTATTCCCTCCTTCAAGCAAGCTCTTGCTGTTACCGATGACCTCGATGCCATTCAGGAAGCTGCTGATGCAATGGCCACCCAGATACGTACCCTCATCCGCAATTCTGTCGGCGATAGTGCATACGGTCGTGCGCTCGAGGCGCTGCGCGTGATGAGGGACGAGCTCACGGAGCTCGAGGAACCAGAGATATGGAATGTATTCGCGAGAGAGCTGAAGGGGGAGTTACTTGGAGGAAAGTTGGGCGGTGATAGGAGGGAGATGTGGTGGAAGGTGAGGGGCAGCAAGTATGGGCTGATTGATCGGAAGAGGTGCTTCGCGAGTGATGTTACTGAGGAGGAGGCCGCACAGTTCTACAAGTAACATGCCTAACACGGGAGTCCTAACACGGGAGCGATTGGGGTACCAGGTGATACGACTCGGGTTAAGCATCATCAAGCGAGGCAACCTTTTCAAAATCGTGGGTATGACAGCAATAAGCGGCATTACCATTCTTTTCCGAGGCTATCGAACTAGAGCAAGTGGGATAGATCCCGGTCTCCAGGTCAACCTCAGCCCTTTCGATGTAGAATGCACGCTGTGAATACTTCCCCAACTGTGCTATGATCCCAGAATTTCCTCATGCTGGACATTTGCTCTAGCATGCCGTATGAGCTCAGCAATACCTAGGCGTTGATCTCTTATCAAAGACACCAGCACGATCTAGAAAGATGCAATCCACGACATCGTGCAGTCGCGCATTTACCCACCTTATTATTTTCAATCCTGCGATATCGCGTGTCTTGAACTATACGCAAAGGCCCGTTCCCCCTTTCATCTGATGTTGTGGTGAACATGCGCCTAAAGAGACAAAAGAAGCATGTTATGTCCTGCTGGGCGAGTAAGCAGATTTCACACGACCAGTGTGGCTTCGCTTACCTTCCGCTCACCATTCTTCGTCCATCCCTTCCGGCACTTCGATTTCACGACCCTGACTTGCGGGACTTTGAGGTTTCGGCCTGGGCAGCAGCTCATAACGACAATTTTTGTCGGAGAAAATTTCTAGCAGCGTCTTTTGGACACTCTGGCCAATTGTCCGTGTCGGTATTTGCGCCGTTATCCAGCAGATAGTTCATTGCACCCTTCCTGTGCTTCTTTGAAGCGATGAAGAGTGGAGTTGTTCCGTCGCTGGTAGCCTTATCAACGTCGGCGCCTGCAGAGATCAAAGTGGCCATAGTTCTAACGTTGCCAGCGTGCGTCGCGATAATAAGAGGCGATGTGTGACTGTATACCTTGTTCACATCCAGTAGGCCCTTCTCGATGTAATGATTGATCATCGTGTCCTTTCCAGAGCGACAAATTAACTTGACAACCTCCTGCGTCAGCATCCCCTTGCGGCCACCTCTGTTCTCGATGACAGTATCCAGCGATGCCACAGAATCGTGAATAATGGAACATTGCATCCAACCTCGGTAAGCCCTCTTCTCGGAATAGTAACAGTGGCCCCATGATCTGCAGGTTTGAATGAGGAGCTCAAGCGCGTCTACGTTGCCAATTTGGATGGCTGAGTCGATGGCATCGACTATATCTGGGTGCGTGTTGTTCTTAGGATGGAGCTTCTTGTAGCAACTGATGAGGGTCCGGACCATCTCGGTGTCCCTATTCCCGGTTGCAATGACCAATGGACGGCTAAACATCGTATAATCTCCATTCTCGGGAAGTTCGAAGAGCCCTGGAATGAGATCATGTTCTCCTACTGCTACGACTGCAATGAGTTTGTCGGCAGCCGTCGCGGGAACCATATATGCATCCGCATGGTTGTGCCTGTGAGGCCAAAGCTGTTCGTCCCATATGAAAGCCATCCAATACAGCGGATCGGGATCAGATACAATGCCTTCGATGAGTCGCGCTGCGCATTCTTGACGCTTTTGGAAATCTTGAATGTGCAGTGTCTCCGTCGGGTAATCCCATAGTTCTTGGATTTTAGACACAAGCATGCCGTTGGCATCAAGACGCTTATTCAATCGGTTGCGCAGATACACAGTAAGATTGTTCTGGAAGATCTTCATGTGTTCGGACGTATCCATAGACGCCAAGAGTATTTCTTTGGGTTGGTGAGCGAAGATATCATGATGTATTTCGGCTGCGAAGGTACCTGACTCCTATCAGCACCGCGAAAAGGTTGGGTTAGACAGATGTCGAGCTGCCACTTACGGCAGACGCCACGCAATTTCCAGGCTTCGACGACTCCGACATCGGAAACAAGCTCATGGACAACACGCTGGAAGACCTCCGGTGGCAGGTCGAGAAGATCTTGAGGCATCGCGATTGATGCGCCAGGATTGATGCGCCGCGATTGATACACGCAATGCCTGCCTGGCTTCGCGCTATACTTAGCCGCTCTCTGATGTGTGGTGGTCGACTTGACGAGCAGGCGATCGGAAGCGCTCGATAAAGCTGTGACTGCAACCCCGTTCCTGGTTCTGTTCTTATCGTCAGATTGCTATCATGGAGGTGTCTTTGGACGATCGTACCGAGGTAGACAGAATAGAGCGGTTCTTGTATGCGGCAGCCGCTTGAAGGCCAGTCGCTTGCCGTCGCGAAGACTATGCTTCCTTGTTTATCAGTCGCCGCAAAGGGTGAACGCGTGTTTTCGTGCGTCTAATCGGAACGCAAAGCGGCTTGCGTGTGACGTACCTGTATACTCGCCTTATGTCATTGGCTTGCGGGTGTTGAAAGCGGAAGGGGTGGACTGCACTTGGCAGCGTGACTGTCACGTGAAAGGAATCGTGCCCATGTGGTGAAGGCGCGACGCAGCGGTTCGGGGTGAGGGAAGGCCGATTGCACCCGCCTTGGTGAATTGTTCACCAAAAGGGAAGGCACGCGGTAGCCTACGACCGGGTGATTTCCGGCATCGTCGGCCAAAGCGCCATGCATATGCACAAGGTAACCTTCTATATCGGCTTTCTGTCTTATGAGTTGCGTGTAATAGATCGAACATCACCTCTCAAGTGCTGCAGGTCTGCTGCATCCACTCATTGTTGCCACATATCATACATGAATGTCGCTACGCTACTGAAGCTAGCTTCCATAGTCAGAGAAATGTACCGAATATTCACTTGCCTACCAACAGTGGTTGGTCTTGTGTCATTGCCTACGCGTGTATTGGTCCCATCAGGGTCGTGCACGCTCCACCAGTATCGTGAACCAACATTCATCAGAAAGACAACCGCATCCCGGAACGCCTCGGACGCAGCAAATACCCCAAAACAAGATATTCCAGGCAAGCGTATCCATCTTTGTCCTCCCTTGCACTCTGAGAAGCTTCAGCGGAAGCCATTGCCCGCAGAGTTCGGATGACCAATGATCCTTCTATGGTAGAAATTCCATGCCGTTCCTCTCCTGTCGGGCCACTTCAAAAGATCGGAGTCTGCGCCCTGATCCAGCAAGTATCTTGCGGTTGTATAGTCATAATCCCGACAAGCGACGTACAGTGCGGTAGTATTATCTCCAGCTGCTTTGTCCATATCGGCGCCTGCTTCGAGCATTGCCTTGATCATGTCTAGGTCCTTGCGCTTAGTTGCTATGAGCAGAGGCGAGCTGTTCGTCCACGTTATGTCCGGATCCATACTACCATTGTTGAGGTAGTGCTGAGCGGTAATGGCACTGCAATTCTGGCAGATTGCTTCGACTTCTATACGGATCAGAGGACCTCGATGCTTTTTAACGGCGAGGATAGCGTCAATCATCGGTATCGAGTTCTGTCGAGCTGCGTGTGCTAGCCAATTTTGGATGCACCGCTTCTGGTTGGCTCGAGTGCCTTTCACGGGATCCCAATAGCCAAGGAGAGCATGGAACATGGCGATGTTGTCCACTTGAACGGCTATAGAGATGGCTTCTGCAAGGTCGATACGCAAGATGTTTGGGAATCCTCCGTAACAGCCGATCAGAGTATGGATCAGTGCTTGGTCGCCTTGGAAGGTGGCGATACTTAAAGGCTTGCCAAAAACCGTACCCGTCGTATCAAGGTTAGGCTGAAAATGCGCGGTAATGGTAGCACCTGAGCCTACGCTTATAGCTGCAGAGAGTTTCTGCTCAGTTGTTATCGGTCCTAGGAGTAAGCTTAACTTGTTTTGGAAGTCATTATTCCAGGTGGAGTTCTTGGGGCGTCTGTCGGTCCAGACAAGCCTATCGATCTCCCAAGGAGTGAAATTCCAGGTTAGACCTGTGAATAGCTTCTGAGCGCATATCCGACGCTTCTCCTCATCGGTGATGCTAAGCAGCTTTACGATGTAGTCCAGAAGCTCCTTAACCTTGTACATCAAAGCCCCATCGGCTTTCAGGGAGGTCTTCATGATGTTGCTAAGCCAGAATCCAATATTCTTTCCGACGAGGTTTGTGTGCAAAGATCGTCGGATGATGCCGCTAGGTTGACGAGCAAATATTTCATCGCGAATCTCGACCGCGAAGGTACCTGCTTCATGTCAGCAATAATGAAAGTCGGTAAAGAGTAAGTCTGACTTACGGCATACCCCGCGCAACTTCCACGCACGCGCAATTCCAGTATCTGTAACTAGCTCTCCGATTACCATGCGGAACATCTCCGGAGGTAGATCGAGTAGGTTTCCAGGCATCATGGTTGAGAGTCGTTGAGTCATGAAGGTGTGGGTATTATACGCCGTCAAGAGATGGGTAGAGGTTTTTTTTGTAGCGAGTATGGCTGCGGCTTTCGTGGCTGTCGCGTGAAAGAGCTAGAGTGGGTGACGATAAGCGGTGTTAGCGGAGAACGCGCCCATTTTTGTAACGCAGACTTGCTGTTTCGGAAGCTCTGAATGACCCGTGCTCGTTTTGCTAGTACTATGAGGTATAAGTAGTCTTGCTGAAGGCATATGTTCCTTATGAGGGCCGTCCACCGTACTTGTCGCGCTTTAAGGCGTTTCATGGGCACGTGTTCCTTCCGCAGTGAAGGAATTCTGATTTCTTCTCAAACAATCTGCATACGGCGGCTATTCTCGGTAAACAACTGGCCAGGCTCTCTCAGGTGAATGAGGTAGTCACGGGCTACGGACTATGAATCTTCCGTTTGCACGCACAATACTATCTAACTGCTCGCACCGTCACCCCGCCACCAACTCGCGCCCCGCAGATCACCACCATCGACAGCCCGCAGCAACGATCTCAACATGGAGGACAAATTGGATCTCGTCGACTGGGCGAGCAAACACCTCGATCCAGTGCTGTTGTCTGGGGAACTGCCCAGCTTAGTGGGGTCACTGCAAGATGTCCTCTGGAAGTTAGTCTCATACTCGATCTGTGCAACAAGCGACGACCGCGGTGACTAAATGATTACAGAAGCGTGGGGCATCACCTCCAAGAGAGCAAGTACGGTAGCCTTGCCCTGATGGCAAACGGATATGCGTGGAGCATACCCGCGTCGTTTGCCACGTTGACCTCGGCGAACATGAAGATGTGGGTAGACAAGAAGCACAAGGTGAGATCAATAAGAATGGCAATGCTACGATCAGTGAGGTATACTAACAGATACTAAGGAGGGCGTACCCTTGGTGTTCGACTTTGACGGTCTCCGCTGGGCACACCCCTTCGTGGTCGAACATATACGCATTTTCTGGTACGGATTAGAGGTCAACATCGCCAAGCCTCAAAGCTTGCAACAACCTCAAATCGTGCCAGACAACGCCGCTGAGCTCAGTGTCTCCATCACTACGCTAATGGCTCTTATCTTCCTCTACGATGCAGCGACACATCTAGATGACAGCCTGCTTGAAGCAACCACCTTAAACGCTCTCCATGGTCGCCTACTTCATGGAAGCTTTACCGATCCGGAGTTTATCGAGGCGGTCGAGGAGGTTTACAAGCGCGAGAAGAAGAACGACGCCACAAAAACACTACACAGTGCTTTCTTGACTGCCGCAGTCATCCACTTCGAGCGTTTCATTGTTGGTGCCCATAGGGCTGACTTTCTTGATCTGCAATGCATGCCGGATTTTGGGTACAATCATTCTTATGGTCTTTGCTGGTACATGGGACACTATGTCGGTCGCAAGGATGACTAGAAAGTCGCGCCACAAGCCTCAGCGGAAGAGGGGGTCACAGCACGCACCGATGATGTCCACATGAAAGACTAGATGCAGAGGTCATGGTCTTCCCGTCTCTATGCAGTTGATTTGGATCACGTCTGAATGGCTTGTTTATCGTTGTGCCACTAAACTGTGCTTAGAGAGGACTTGAAGAGACTGGATCCAATCCATAAGGACTATGGCACGTTCGATAGGAATACAATGATCAAACATGCGATGCACCTGTTCTTGCTACAACGCGTGAAGATGGACAAGGAATGAAAGCAGATTAGCGTCGCATCTGACAGGTTCCTGTTGAAAATTGACTCACAGTCACTTTGGTGATAGGTAGCAATGTGACGACACACGCCGGACCGCTACCATTACTCGAGCAAGCTTTCATAAAACAATTACTCCTCTATCGGTCCCTATGATATTGTCATCTGGCGAACACAGAGAACCCCAAGGGTACCGTCTCCTGTACCATCTTATGACTAGAAGTATAGTTTAATGGGACATCTAGCTGGGTGTGTATCAACTCGAAAGCGCTGCCGCTGACTTTACCTCTACTGCAGGTGGATAGGGGTTGCCATGGCTCAGAGAGCTTTGAGTTTGGGTTTCAGTCTAAGCTCATGCCCTGAGAGATATTCCGGTAGGCACGGAGGACGAGATATAAGATTCATCCATATGGAGTGACGAGTATGCGAGTGTAGCTCTTACTCTAAAATAAACCTTGCACGCGCTATTCCTTTTGTCCTCTGTAGTTGTTGTTGTATCCAAATGAACGCAAAAGTAATATATCAATACGCGTTGGATACGCACACACTAGGATTTGAGTTTTTTAAAAAAAAAAAAGAATAAAAAGTACAAAAACATCACCCCTATCAGGCTCGAACACTTGATAGGATTGACGATGAGGAGCAATTTAATGTCTGGTAGCTAACCGCCCGCCCGAAATATCTTGCGGTTGGTTAGTGACTATTTGCTGAATTTCAAAATATATATACCAGAAGAATTGTTGTCTAATAACGAAGCCTTAGTTGAGTAGGTGGATAGGTGAATGGAGGCTTGTTGGGCACGTGCGCAGCAGTCACGTCATCGCAGAGAAAGCGCAGCAGAGCGGCGATGAATCTGCAGAGGTCTATTCTCTTAATCTTTGGGCACGAGGCTTCCTTAGTGCATTCGATACCTAGATAGGCTAGAACGATGCATTGGAAGGGAACACGAATTAAAGAGCTACATGACACAACTGGCAAGGACGCTGGTAGATTAACAGTTAGCGCGAATCATAGATACTATCAGCGACCGCTATATCAAGCACACTCAGTTGCAACTGCATAGACCTTTGCTGGGCGCGATGTAGTAGAAGCGTGAGCGCCCATTGGCGCTCCATGGCTGGAGACGAGAGCGGTATATGTCGTAGCGGTAAAATTTAAGCCGTTTACATCACTATCTACAACACGAAAACAACATATAGTGAAAGAAGACTACTTGCGAATGGTCGACTTGAGAATTTAGGATAACTCTGATAGGATTGAGAACCATGAAAGGAACATTGACAGCAATCACAGTGCCGGGCGATGGTCGTCCATGTCCCGGCGCCCGTGTCTCTTACGTCAGACGAGAGCCCAAACGAGCGTCAGCGAGTCAGATATAGTATAACATGTCCTAGGATAACTTGCTCTATAATCCAGAAACAAAATCATAGTTTAATAGTACATGTGCAACTTTCACACTCTGCGAGAGCCTAAGATAAATACTGAAGTCTTGTATGTCGGTCATCGTGAATGAGAGATGGCACTGAATATTAGATGGGCTGGTCATACTTAGATATGCCACAGATCCATAGATGCGGTTGAGCCCACTATGAAAAGCCCGAACTACACAGAGAATAGTGGATAGTGACGTCGTAGAGAGAAGTTTTACATTATGCGCTGTGTAGAGAGAACCCCTTCACACTGTGGCCTTCAACCGTGAGTCAACCTTTCTGATAATTCCGCTATGATAGAGGAACCTGCGGGCAGATTTCGTCAATTTATCAATGGGCCATGCCTAATACCTGCAACTCTCTACACTGCTACAGAACCAACTGCATGACGTTCGACGAAGGAGCTCCATTGGAAAAGATGGGAAACAGGCCGGCTTGACGTGGGCACAAAAGAATCTGTTTCTCGAGCACTATGGGCCTCCAAAGTCATTAAGTATGTTTTCCTACCTATATGATATTTCAAGTGCATCAAAGCGATACTCTGACAGATAAAGAGTCATCCTGGGTAATCTAAAATGCGATACGCTCTGAGGCAGGATGCTCTGGAGCTACATATCACAGACTCTGGTTGGCATACTAGCAGCTACAGACGCGCATATGTTGATTTGACTCCATACTATAAGTTCTTCTGGATAGCCTCGTCCAAGCCTAGAGCGCCGCGCGAAAGAGCAGAATTGATCGCATCAGCCAGCGGAAAATCCCCGGAAAAGGCAAAAAGAACAAAAAGAAAAGCTACTCCACCAACGTGGCTCGAACAACCACAAAAATGCTACCCCGGCCTGGCTTCGTCCACTTGGCAAGTTCAACATTGTAGAACAGATTCATGCTCATGTCTGCTACCGACAGGATGGCCTGACTTCAACAGATGGCATTAATGCCAATAACATAATATATGTACCCATAGAAAAGATAGAGTTTAACCGTGAACGCCCGGTCGGGCGAGTGAAGCATACGCAGGCAGCTACGTCACTGCTGGACAGCGCAGCCGAGTGCGAATCAACCTCAGTGCGAATCAACCTCAGTGCGAATCAACCTCAGTGCGAATCAACCTCAGTGCGAATCAACCTCAGTGCGAATCAACTTCAATGAGAATCCGTACATTGAAAGGTACGCGTGGTACCCAAAGCGCCTATATCTCTTTGTTTACATCTGGCGTAAAAGAGGCCTTCAGAGCTTGCAATGGTACAATCAGCGGGAACAGCATGACTCATCGACAGCAAGATGCACCTGACTATATAACGCGTAATAGTTGTCATTTCCAAAACTGGGTACGCCTTGCAACAGGCTACTGCATCCAGAAGCAATCCTTCGACCCTGATACGGCGACGTAGAAGCAAAAGGTATGACTATAGATAGCCAGCTGCCTTTGTCTTATTTGCAAAGGCTCAAAAAGAGAGAGAAAGAGGAAAAAGAATCACCCTTATCAGGCTCGAGCACTTGTAGTTTCGTTTTTAAAGTCTAGTAAGTTAGCCACACGACAAGTCGAATTGTTAACGTCATACGCTTGGGTGCTAACATTTCGATTACAGCGACACATGTACCCGCAGCATGAAACAACCTCCTCAAGACAACTACTCTGGACCTGAGCTATGTATCGTGCATGCGTCAAGACTCATGTTACTGGTATCACGCGATAAAACACACTAAACGAGGGAAATCAAAGGTGCCGAAGATACACGTTGTCTTCTTGAAGCTAGTTAAAGATATATACCCAGAAGAGAAATTATGTCGACCACATCCAGCGATCCTTCGCAAACCTCCCACTCACACGCTCCTTATCCAGGTAGAGACTCCCTCTAGCAGGAAGCACCGGAAGGCACGTTAGCGCACTTAGTGCTCTTCTTTCCACCGGTGAGGGAAACACCCTTCCAGGTCCAGCCAGAGCAGCTTCCCTTGCCGCAGAGAATGTAGACGGGGGTAGCGCTGCTCGAGACGGAGCCCTTGACACCGTTGATGGTGAGGTCGGTGATCGGGACGCCGGTGGTGGGGTTTCCGGTCGGCGAGCCGTTCTCGTAGTCCTGCTCGAGGACGATACCGTACTTGGTGATGCCGGAGAGGGTAATGTCCTTGTAGGTGACGTTGTTGACCTTGCCGGTGGCGTCGTACACGGTCTTGATGCGGACACCGTTCTGGGAGTTGGAGATGGTGCTGCTCTCGATGACGACGCCGTCGACGGTGTTGTCGGAGCGGCCGCCGACGGAGCCGATGGAGAGACCGTGGCCGCCGGAGCATGTGCCGCCGACGAAGTGGATGTTGGTGCCCGAGTTGATGGCGAGGCAGTCATCCTGGTTCTTGATGTTGGCATTGGAAATGGTAATGCCGGAGGAGGAGCCGACGTCAAAGGCGTCAGTGTTGTGGCCGCCAGTGTCGCTGTCACCAGCCGAGTTGTCGATGGTGATGTGGTCGAGGACGAGGTCGGTGGCAGAGTTGATGGAGAAGCCCTGGACAGGGGTGTTCTTAACGTTGAGGTTGGAGATGGTGGACTGCTTCATCGAGTGTGCGTAGAAGAACTTGGGCTTGGTCTTGCCACCGTTGGAGCCCTTTCCGTCCCACCACTTGGCACCGTTGGCATCAATGACATGGCCGCTGGCACCCTTGACGGTGATCTTGGTACCGGAGACCGAGATCAAGGGACCCTCCCACTCCTTGTATCCGAAGGAGGTGGTGCCCTCGAAGATGACAGTGGTTCCACTGTTCAACTTGGTCAAGTCGAGAGTGGTGCCTGAAGGAACAGCAACGTTGCTCAGGACAATGGTAGCGCAAGAAGCCTTGGACTTGACAGCAGATGCAGCACCGTTGGCGCCGGAGAAAGTGCAGCTCGCGGCGCGGTCCTCAAGCTTAGCGGCCTGAGTAGGCGTCGGAGCAGGGGCGGCCGACACAATAGCGCCAGCGCCGAGGAGAAGAGCAGAGAACTTGGCAGAGACCATTTTGATGGTGAAGCGAAAAGGCTAGAAAAGAACGACTGAAGAATGAGTGACTGCGATGTTTCGCTGATGTCTTAATGGGAGGGCCTAAGGAAGATACTTATACGCCGTCCTGTCACCTCCACACCGGTTCACGCGGAAGCCATGGACGAGGACAGTGGTGGGTCCGCGAGAGTGGGAAGGGAAAGGCTTGGTAGTGCTCGGCGGAGCTTGTTTCTACCTCAGATGAAGGGTTGCGCTGGAAATGAGGAGATCCACCACTGAACGATGACCACCGCCGAGATTGTCAATGCATTTGGTTCCCGCAACCCATGGCGAACGCGAAGGAACGATAATTCTCCGTCGATTAGAGCAGCGTGACCTTTACCTTTCCAAAGCGAGCAATACAGACGATGCATTCGTTGATGGTACCTTGAAGGGGTGCTATAGAGGCTTTCATGATCCGTTCCCTTTCCGCGCGGGTCCTATTTCGTTGGTGGAAACATGTTCATCCCTGTCGGAATTTTATCGAAAGAATCATGGTGCGACAGCGCGCTAGAACATGGAACGCTGAACTGTGGCTGCCGCCACACCGCGTGGTGTAAAGCGGTCCTATCTCCGAAGAGGCGTATTCTAGAGGCGTCGAATGCGGTTGCACGATGTCCCGCACGTTCTCTTTGGGTGCAGATTGGGGAAAGCAAGAGTGATTTCCAATGAAACAAAAAAGGGAGGTTAGATAGGCGAGATGAAATCAGTCTAGCGTCAACGCCTCTGCATGACTCGCCTGCTGTCATGCGTTCTTGACATCTCACCACAAGCGCAATCTCTAACAAACATTTCATTAGATATTCTCCGCTAACCGGCATTTTTTTTAAACCAGTGAGCTAGTTGCCCAACCCCAAACCGCTTGTTGTCAACAGTATATGAGTTCTTACTACATAACTAAAGGACCACAAGTCTCTAGCGGTAGCATAGCATATACTTCGTCCGTGGGAGGGAATCTAACAGTTTGCAATGCTCACAGCTAATAACATCATCCTCTCTACGGAGCTCGGATGCCTCAATATATACAGCTGACCCAACTCTATACACCTTAATTACTCCTCACAACTTCTCCGCCTCCTTCTCCGTCTCCCCAATATCCCTCCCCTCAAAACCCTTCTCCAAAATCCCAATCAGCTCATCCAGCTGCCTTACTACTAAATCAGTACACTCATGCTCCTTCAAATGCCCGTTCGCCTCACTCTCCAGTAGCACCGTTGCAGCTCCCGCTCTCCGTCCCGCCGTCATATCATCGATTGAATCCCCCACCATGATCAACCCATCCCCGCCATCCTCATACATCCACTCCTTCGCAATATGCAAAATCCCCGCTGGATCAGGTTTCGGTGGGCGAAACTCCCTCGTCACGATAGGATGGAACAAACTCTTGGGTAAAAACGTCGTCAACAAGTGTTCAACAGGCGCATCGAAATTGCGCGTGCAGATGCCTTTTCTGATATTGCGGGAGTCGAGGTAGTCCATGAGTTGGACGAGGCCGGCTTGCGGGCGTTGAGAGGCCATGGCTTTGCGCTCGATGGCGCGGATTTTCTCTTGGGCTTCTTCTTGCTCCGAGGGTGGGAGGGAGTAGACATGGTCGAGGATATCGGTTGCTTTGGTGATGCCGAGGGCGGAACGCATCTCGCCGAACATGTAGTTTTGAGGTAGGCCTGGTTGTGTCAGTGGAGTAATACTTGAGTGGTGATGGCGTGCCTCGCCCAGGGATTGAGCAGGACACGTGACGGCGTGGGAATCCTGGAACGACGTGGGTGTGGACCGCATAATTGCGATAGAGAGATGTGTACGGCGTGTTGTGATACCATAGGTATAACGAGCACAGAACTTGGACTTACATAAAGTGCCATCCACATCAAAAACAATACCCTTCAGCACAGGTCGGTCATCGCCCTCTTTCTTCTTCGCTGGGTCTAGCGGCGCAAATCGCCGGGGTGCCATCTTCCCTGCTCTTGTGGATGAAGCGTACGCTCTGCTCGATGTGGAATGCCGAATCACCGGTATGGATCTGTTCAGAATCTGGCTCGCACGTTGCATGGTAGGTAGGTGGTGCTGCAGCTGATGCGGATTGCTCGTTCTGGAAGTGGGTCTGCTTTGGCGGGGTAGCTCTGCGTGGGGGTTGGAATCTTCACACTGGAGCTGGAAAGACAGGACACTTGTCTGCAGAAGTGGACTGTTTGAGACTGTGAGGTCGATGAGCATCCTAAGGGCTGTTATTTGCTAGATCCGACTGCTAGGAGTCTTTACGTCATGATCTGAGGCTCAAGTTTGTTTGCTACACTAGGCATGCCAATGAATCAGAGCAAGAATGGTATCTTCATCTATCGAAGTAAATGCAAACTCTGCCTTCGTACAGTGGCAGGTCTTTCAAGATAGGCTTTCGCAAGGAAATACAACATCTGCTCAACCTGCAACGTTCTCCGCGACCTTCTTCCCATCCTTGCCGACAACACCCTCCTCCCTCTCCGCCTTCTTTCCCTCAACGGGTGCAAATATCTTCGTGATAGCTTCAATCGTAGTGTTACCTCCACTGAAGACCACACCGATATTCCATCCCTCCACTCCCGCCTCCTTCTCCACTAACCTCCTGAAATCCTCATTATACAGTATCGTCGCCAACCCGACGACCGCACTCGGCTCAACGAAGCACTTCATTCTCTCCAGCACTAACCGCATCGCATCGCTAATATTATCCTCTGTTACCGAGTACAGGGAGTGAACGTATGATGGGTCTGCAATAAACCTCCAGTTGATCTCGCCGAGCGGCGTGCGCAGCCCGTCGGCGATGGTAAGCGTCTTGACAGTTGTGACTCGCTCGCCAGCTGCAACACCGCGCCTTGCGTCGTCTCCACCTTCGAAGCTGGGCTCGGCGGCAAACACCTTGACGCCGGTGCCATGTAGAGCGACCGCGTTCCCTGCAAGCATGCCGCCGCCGCCGCAGGGCGCGATGACGGCGTCCAAGCCGGTCTTTCCTTCCCTCACGCTGAGCGCAGGCTCGCTTTTTATCAGAGAGGAGGCTTGCTCGGTAAGCTCCAGCGCCATAGTACCCTGCCCGAGTATGATATGCGGATGATCGTACGGCGGGACAAGTGTTGCGCCCGTATCCTTGATCACCTCTTCTACTACAGCCTCCCGCTCTTGACTTGTGCTCCCACTGAAATGTACAATCGCGCCCTGCGCCTGCGTCCCCGCGATCTTACTCGGTGTAGATATCTTGGGCATGACGATGTGCGCGGGGATATTGAACGTCTTCGCGGCGAGCGCGAGCGCCTGGGCGTGGTTCCCGCTGCTGTGCGTAACAACGCCTTTCCTGCGGACTTCTTCGAGACCTTCGGCTTCGATGAGGCGCTTTACGGCGTGGAACGCACCGCGCACTTTGAAGGCACCGATGCGCTGGAAGTTCTCGCATTTGAAAAAGAGTTTTATCTTCGGTTTGGCGGGCTCTTGTCCTTCCCACGGGGTCCCCTTGAGAGCTTCGGCGGTCTGCGGCGTCGATGCGAGGTTCGAGAGCGTGGTATTGGTCTGTACGGGCGTGAGGTGAATGTGCGGTTTGATGAGTTCATGCGCGCCGATTACGGATTCGCGGGTCAGCGGCAATTCGGTATGCGAGCCCATCGTGAGCGAGTAAGAGCGTAAGTCACGTCGAGGTGCGGAGGATGCATGTTGAGCGTGGTCATTGATGGTGGGGGGATTCGTAGGGCGTGAGGGCGGAGGGAAATGTGGGGTGGTAGCCCCCGGCCTCGGCTGCTTGGCCGCCCTTCTTTGCGCGAAATATATGCGCCAAATATAATGAATGTTCTAAAATCTCATCATTCATCGACTAGCTAATTACACATTACAGCCGTCTAGTACATTCGCGGCATCCTCATGCTGTTGCTACGCGACTTCTCAGCGTGAACCTTGAAATCCGTAGCATTGGCCTGCGGCTGCTCCACCCACTTCTGCGTCGTGAAAGGGTCTCTCGAACTCAAGCTGTCAACGCGACCGAGCAAGAACTCGAGCTGCCTGTAACCACTGCTGGGCTGGTACTGCGGCACCATGTGTCCGCTGAGTGCCTGCTGCACCCATGTGAGCTTGCGCTCGGTGTGAGTGATGCCCATGATGCCGCTGGCGCTCAAGCTCTCGAGGCTGTAGTCCTCGTGGTAGGGAACGTAGAAGGCGTCCGAGGGCGCTTCCTGGAAACCCTGCTCTCCACCGAACGTCATGTTCTGGATGGTAAGAAGCGTGCCGTTGTACAAGAGGATGAAGTCCAGATCACCATGCACGATGACGGTGCGGTCAAGCGCGTCAATGGCACGCGGGAGAACGACCCACGAGGAGTCGACCGAGGTGTCAGTCTCAAGAGCGGTTTGGCACTCTGCCCAGGGCTGGATAGGCGCATTGATGGCTTTCTGCACGTCGGTGCGGTTGAAGTAGATCTGCTGACCCTCGGGCAGATAATCAAAGGAACCGGGGAAGCCAAGCTGATCCCAAAGCAAAGGGCATGTTGTAGCCACCTGGTAAACGTCAAAGCAGGGGTTGGTGAGCATGACGGCATCGATAATGTCGCTCCAGATAGCGCACCCATCGTCCCTGTTCGTAGAGTTGGGAGTGGGCAGTTTGCTGATTGGAGGGAAGGTAAGATATGTGTCCATGTAGTCGGTGTACCCACACATCTCAGCGCGCTGGTGGATTTCATCTGTGAAGGACTGGTTGAAGTTGAAGAGGCCAGACCAGCGGTCAACGAAGGGCACCGAGGGGATGTCCTCGAGCAGAGTATCGGAGGCCACAGAAGGGTCGTAGATCATGATACCCTTCACATCATAGTACTCCTTGTCCTCCTGGTCCAAGAACTCGTTGGCGAGGTAAGGGATATACTTGCCGGCGTAAGACTCGCCAGCGATGTAGACCTTGCGACCACAAAGATCAAAAGTGTCTAGGAAGTTCTTCCAGAAACCCGCAAATTGCGCTGCAACCTCTTCTTCACTAGTCGCAGTTGGTTCGCCTTGGGTAAATCCGGTACCGACAGGTTGCTCGACCCACACCATGTTGGTCAAGTTTGCCCAGTTCCACGGGTTGTACACGGGCTTGGGGGTTCCGTATTGCCAGGAGATGGGCCCATTTTCCTGGAGGAAACCCTCGAGGGAGGAGCAACCGGGGCCCTGGTCCTTGTTAGTCTATCGATTGGGAGATGATGCGAGGAAAAGCTACGCACGCCATTCAACCAGATGGTGATCTCATCCCCAGCATCCTCGTTCGCGCTCGGGAAGAACCAGAAGTAAAGCTCGTTCGTCTCGTTTGCCTTGTCGCTGATGGGCATCAGACCAGCGTAGCTCTCGCCAATGTCGAAGTCGACTTCAGGTATAGCGCCGGCAGTGCCGTTCACGACGAATTCTGCTTTGGTCAGCAACCTATCTTCATAGTACTCTTCTGTGCTGGTGAATTGGCAGATGGGTTGACTCACTCGCCGTCTTCTCGGTCTGCGGGATGATAGTAGCATTACCATCGCGCTTCACAAGCGGAGCAGTGTGCTTCGGCGCGCTCCTGGGCTGCGGGAGCTTGATGCCCTTTCGCTCGAGCGCTGCGCCGCGAGAACCGCGGGTGTTGATGGCGCTGGCGACCCCCGTGAGGGCGAGAAGTGAGAGCAACTGCATTGTTACTGCTCAATTGGCCTTGTCTCGTTCGATATCCGAGCCTCGAGATGCTGTCAATGACGGACAGTTGCAATTGACCCAGGCGGCGACCGAAGGGATAAAAGGTACCACAACTTCCGCGCGACGTCACCCATCTTTATTCCACCAGGTAGTACTCAAGCTATACTCGGAGAAGCAGCCGCTTGCAGTTGTGATTGGCCGTCATCATGGGTGATATCTGCAGGTGGCCCGGGTTGTAGAGCTCTTCACCCAAACAGGAAGGCGCTCGCCTTCAATTTCGTCGCCACTGGTTGTTCGGCTGGTTCCTGGGGGCGGGGAGAATCCTGGTGGCGCGGTCGAGGAAGCAAGATATCCGTATCTTGACAGCGGGCAGTATGTAAGTAGACGCAAGCTGGCTGCTGCGCAGTTGACATCTGGAGTGTGGTGTTCCGAGGGAGCCTGACTCGTTCGCAAGCAAGCTCTACCCCAAACTCCCGACCCTTTTCCCTGTGCTCTTTCGTCAGGTACAAGTCGACCCCGCTCCCTGCAACCTCCTCGACCTTGCCCCTTGCCGACCGTTCCAACACACCACCCAGAAACCCGGCTTCCGTTCCTTCATGCGGCAGCCGGCCGAAGCTCCATGTGCAGCTGCGATATCGAGACAAGCTCTTCCCAGTAGCGGCCGAGGCTGCCCAAGATACGCGGAGCAAGCTTGCTCGGAGCTTGCTGTAGATAAGCCCTGACTAGCATGCTTTGGGCAGGTGTGCCTGCTTAGCGGACGCGAGACTGTCGCGTGTGGATCTTGTCCATGATGTCAATAATGCGGGTAAGATGGAATTGACGAGAAGAGAGCATCGTATGCGCAAACGGGCTGCACATTGAGCCGCGTTGATATGGAGCTGATGTGAGGTTGGAGTCGAAGACGCGTGGCTGCGCTGGTCGCGTGAGATTGGCGACTACGGGGAAATACACGGGTGTGGCGTGCAACGGCGCAATTGGCAGCTGGGAGAAACTTCAAATTCACTCTTTGTCATAATTGTACCTCAATTCATTGATTCATTATACATTTGATATCTATCCATACATCGAAGGTAGATGTGACAGGGAAACATACTCTCCAATCGTTTAGACCCTTCCGTCAAGGCCCCGGCGCCCGGTACCGTAGCCACCACCTTGCGTGAGCTTGAGCAACTTGCCAAAATCAGGCGTGCCCAGACCAGTAACCGGGTCCCAGCCCTCTGTCGCGTTCCACGAAGCGTTCGGAACGTACGGTGCTGGGAGTCCAGAGTAGATGCTCCTTCCAGTGCAGCCTCTAGAGCCGCCTTGAGTGATGTCGGTGAAGCCAGAGGCGGATTGGTACAGCCAGGGGTTTAGGAATCCCAGAGAAGGTTTTCCGGCAGAAAGACGAGCGTTGTTCAGAAGACCAATGACAGATGCGAACGTCGGGGCTGAGGCACTTGTTCCACCGACCGAGATGAGAGCGCCCTTGTCCACAACGCGATAGCTTGTACCCGCAGCAGCAACATCAGGGAAGCCACGGCCCTGCGGGTTGTAAAGACCCTCCCATTGGCTGCCCAATTTCCCAAGGTACGCGGACACTGCAGTCTTCTGGTACGCAGGAGTCTCGTACAAATCCGAGAAACCACCAGATGAGAAAGAGACGGCCTTTTCTGGGTTGACTCCGGTGGTGCCACCAACCGACGTGACGTATGGGCAAGCAGCCGGGAATATGGGCAGGAAACGAGTGGTGTTCTTGCCGTCGTTGGTTTGGCAAGCCGAGCCAACACCAGTATCACCGCTGGAGAAGATGACAGACATACCACGCGTGCCGAGCTGTCCAATCATATCACAGACCTTCTTGTTGTACTCCGGTGGCACACTCTGTTCATCCTCGCCATAGGAGGTGGATAGCACTTGCGGAAGCTTCTCATCGGGCAAGTTGATGAGGTAGGTGAAGAGATCAAGGTAGGGCTCGTTGTCGTTGTCATCTTGAGTTGGCTGGTCCAAGTCGGGGACCAGAATGCCACGGCCGGCTGTGCTGTAGAAGTTGACCTTCACAGCTGGTGCAACGAGACCCAATGTGTACTGAAGATCGAGGTTGGCTTCAACACTAGAGGTTGTGGCACTTTGATCAAGAAGACCACCTATGTATTTCGTTAGCTTGAGTGGGACAGCCGGTAAAGGACAAACAAACCGTTTACGGAAGACCAGGTGAAGTTGCTTCCAGCAGCGTCGGGGGCGAACGTGCTCGCAAACTGAGCCCAATCCTTGTAACGGGCATATTGCTCCAGATATCCAGTCACGCCGAGCAGAACAGACGCGTTTCCAGGTTTGTAGTCGGCGAAGTTGTACAGATCCTGCAAACATTGAGGGGTGATGGAAGTGCCACAAGTAGCATTCACTGCAGCAGTCGTGAATGGGACCTCTTCCTGGTCGTGAATGTTGTTGCTCTGGGGACGGAGCTGGGCGAATCGGGTGGTCGGCTGGATCAAGTCGATGTGTTCGCGAACAGCCTGGGGAACAGAGTAACGAAGCGTGCGGATCTTCTTGACATCGGGGCGGTTCACGTTCTGGTAGGACTTGAACTTGGTGTCCAACATGTCCTCGGCGGTAGCAACGGTGGCCAAAAAGTTGACCCATTCTCCATCGTCTACGATGTCTTCGGAGGGAATGCCCGAATCCTCCAGCCAAGACAAGACAGCGTTGGTGGATTCTTCTCTAGGCTTGATCAATTGCTTCAACTCGTCCCGCTTGAGATGTTGCCCATAACGGTAGTGGCTGGGGGTTGAGATTTCCAGCAGGGCTTGCTCGAAAAGATCGTGGTCAGGCTGTGAGGGAGTCAGCCAAGAGAAACTGAAACAGGCGCAATCTGACACGGAGAACACGGAACGTGCATTTCAAGTAAACACAGGCTTGACATGCAAGCAATTGAATTATTGTACTCACCGAGTGAACAGCAATGCGGAAGTGTAGCTTGCGGTCCTGGGCCGGCACGCCGACCTCCTTCCAGCCCTGAGGGACTCTGTGGAGGTTCTCTACCAACACATCCTCGACGTGGGAGGTAGACTTGGCATGTACGCCAGCGAGAGCCAGCAAGCCTGTGAAGACTGCGTACTTCATTGCGGCGAGCGATTCGAAGCGATTGCAAGACGGCAATTGAAGGAATGCGGCAGCCGTAGCTTGGAAGATATAGACGAGCAACGAACCGCCAACGCAATGTCTCAGCGCACGTCTTGGATTCTCGGCGACTTAACTTCGCAATGACGCAAAAGAGAGACGGTGGGGTCGCAATGGCGGACGCAGCGGGCCTAATATACTCGTCAGGCCCCGTAGAGCATAGATAGACTCATATCCAAAAAAGCAGGAGCTACCCCGGGCGGCCAACAAGCGCAACCGTCAAGCTCTGGGATCAGGGCGCAAGGGGCAGGCGATCAGCGTGCCGAGCGACTATTATCTGGGCGCTGTGTAACAAGAGGTCCGAGATTAACGTGGGGCGGCTGTCGTGATTGGGCCTACTGTTTGAAGCATATTACGGTGGGCTTGCAACTGGGTCAGCCCGCGGTACGGCGGCTGAATGCGGCAAGTGAACAGCGCTCTCTGTCCAGGGCATAGGGCCGTGGTCAGGTAGATGTTGCTGATCGCCATGGCGCGGTGCAAAGAATAGCATCGTATCGTGCGGCAGGGAATAGAAGGAATCCGTGGAATGTCGAAGGAGTTCGGGTAGCGGGTCGTATCGCAGCGCCAGTGACGCTGCTCTGCAGCCAAGATACGCGATCACGTGGTGTTTACAGCCGCACCCCTGTCGTCCCTGCTGTTTCAAACACGCTCGATGAGGGAAGGCGCGCCTGGCCCAATGTCCCTCAACGATTAGTGCTAGTTCTTTCATCACTGCCGTCAACACCCAAATTGCGCCCAGCCATCGCTTCAGCCGCCTTGCCACAAGATGCACTCCTGTGTCGCTTCACTGGTGCCTACGATACGGTCGACAGTCGCTTTTCCCAGCTGTTGTCCTACTTTGTCCGGCGGGATTCATGCATACGCCAATATTTGTGTGCTGATGTAGCACGTTGGCACTCTCGTTCCGGTATCTGAACGTTTCCGAAGAAAAGACCTTGGTGGCGTCGGAGCGTGATTATCGTTACACGGCATTCCTTCGACTGTCTCGGTCGGATCGTCGTACAGTCACGCTGCGCGCCTCAGGAACCTGATGACTAGCGCCTTACACGTGTGACATGTGGATTGCACGACATGATTACGTTTGCAATGCGGAACCTTGAGGCACATCAGCGAGCATATGCAAGCCATACGGTGGAGACGACAGCTGCGTCTTCGGAAGTGACATCTGCATACTTACAGGAAGACTAAGAATTGAAAATATGCATTACCAAGATAATTTGTCTGCTCACCTTGGACTCTGTGTGTTAAAGGCGATGGGTCAACTAGGACAACCCACTAGAGTTGCTGCTGATGATCAGACATGCCATCAAAGCCCTCGGCATTCTGGTGCAACGAAAACATCTTTGCTGTTTCGGGAACAATTGCTCGCTGCTAGCAGATGTTTTGGGTATGAGGAACCCCATCAGGAATGGGCATCCTCGTTGACGAAGCTCGCAACCTCGAGAGCAACAAGAGTGCTTCTGTTCGCATGTCGTTCAGAGTCTTGATTTGACATGTTTCACCTCTTCACCAGCATCAGTGTACGTCAAACGCTTTCACCCCGGCGATTCAAACACGATGGTGCAGCAATGGCCTCGAACTTCACACATGAACGCTACATAGGCCCACAGCTTGGTACTCGCTCTCCAGTCCAGTCCAGCACTCTACGCACACACGTTCAACTATCAACAGCCTAATTGGTAGTGTCCATACGACCGCGACATGAGCCCACGCTATCAGCCGCCGTGTCCTGATCATGAAGGATACATCCCCGACATCCGCCAGCTACCACTCAAAGATCGTCAGACTTTTGTTACCGGTCCAACAGTCAAAATCTACGATGGCGATATGTATGTGATGGACATCCCGAGCAGGCTCTTCTTAGCCGCCACCGCCAACCCTCGCCTCATCGATGACAGTTCAAACGTTCGCCTGCCACCGGATACAGGCTGTGAAGCCATCCTTGCGATCGGTTACTACCTGCTCGCGCTCACTACTTCGGAAGACGCCTTCAGAATTCGCAACACGCAAGACTTTGAGGCTGATCTCCGCATCTTGAAAGCAGCCCGCCTTCTTTACTTGGAGACGTACATCACCCATATCCACAACTGGTATTGGTGGAAGCTGAATAACAGGCCCATCAACGCAGCGAACGTTCAAATTGTGCTCAAAGTCGCATTGGGATCTGATGACCCAATCTTGCAACTCGTCTGTAGCAAGATCGCCGGTCTGATTCGTGGTGGAGTTGGTGGTGATATCGACAAGCTAAAGGTGTTCGTCGATAGTCAGCCGTATCTCAAGAGCATAGTCGCACGTGAGGACAAGCGATACCATACCATCCAAGAGATTCAGGCTGCCAAAGCCAAAAGTGTTGCTCGCCGTGAGGCGCGCAATGAGCGTGGTGCGGCCGGAGTGGCCCAAATTGCCGCGGTGGATCGAGGGTACGCTTCGGAAGTTGTCGAGCGCAAGGCGGAAGACGGAAACCACAAGCTCTCCAAGAACACGCAGAAAGCAAGCGCTAGGTGGGAGAAGAAGCGAAAGGAGGAGGCAGAGTTGGGTCGCTCGTTGCAGGAGAAGATGCGCTTGGGAAAGAATGTGGCTGTTCTCACTCGTGCTGAGGCGCGGTACTACGAACGGAACAAGGGTAAACGCTGCCCGTACAAGGTCAAAGGTTAGTATTTTGACTTTGGACCTGTAATTGATGACTTACAATACTGTTATATACTGAGGCTTCCTCACGAGCAGATGCATGAGATCTGGCTGGTACTTGAATAGGTCCGTTCGCAGTCTACCTGTTAAAATTGGATGGTACATTCGCTTTGATTCCATGCAGCTTGGGAACTTGTTTTGTTATTCACACGAGGACTTCCCATTTCTAGCACAATGAAATGCGTGTTCGCTCTACGTTCCCTTAATTCGCGCTTCCTGATAGATTAAGGAAGTATCCTATTCTACATCGCCATAGTCGAAGATGTCTACTTTCGCATAGACTAAGATTTACCACTTGTTGAGCTGCGCGGTGGGTAGACATTGACAATTATTGATCATGTCGACTGGAACCGAAGACTACTTGATGTTGCATAGGTGCTTTGGTGTGACGCTAGCCAAAGGTGGGTTGCTTACAAAGATCATTTCCAGCAGGCATTTGTAACCTCCGCAAATACTTCCCTCAACTGGTGACCAATGCAAGAGCTGCAGCATACGTCAAACTATCATTAATCAGCGAACCTGGGGCGTCTATCTTACTACGGCAGTCTATTCGTCCGGTATATTCGAACGGGGTCAAAAACATGGTCTGAGAAAGAAAAATCCCGGAACGTTTACGGCGACATGATTGGTTCGAGCTCAAGCGAGCGAATTGAGGCCGAAACGCATTATCCTTATGATGACTAGTCATTATCATGGTTAGTGCAGAGAAAGTGGGCATCGATGAAATGTACGTTTGCATTAGGTATAGACACTGAGCACGAAATGCCTTGGGCAAGGTTCGGGACTTTGGAAGCCTCCGAGCACGTGCATAGCGATGTAGCTTTTTCAGTACGACGAAGGGATATATAAAGCAGGAAGTGAATGGGAGAATGTTTCTCTCCCATCGACTATCTACAACCAACGAAGATAACCCAACATGACTTCCAACCCATCCTACGGCAAGACAAGCAGCGGCATCGAGATCGCCCAAGCCTACGCAGACAGTATCAAAGGCAAGACCGCACTCATTACCGGTGTATCGACTGGTGGTATTGGAGATGCCATCACTCGAGCCTTTGCTCATGCAGGCGCTGCGACCATCATTATCACTGGTCGTGATGATGCTAAGATGTCCGCCGTCCGGAAAGCCCTCTCTGCCGACTATCCAGGCACCAAGTTCCGCTCCCTCAAATTAAACCTCAACTCTCTCGCTGCCTCTAAGAAAGCAGCGCAGGAGATCCTTGAAGACGCTTCAATCAAGCAGGTCGACATCACTGTTGCGAATGCTGGCTTTGGTACCGGCAGAGACGAACGAGAAGTCACTGAGGATGGCATCGAGTCCCACTTTGGCGCGAACCATCTGGCGCACTTCGTCTTCATCACCACCCTGCTTCCCAAGATCAAAGCCGCAGCAAAGAAGAACCCACCTGGTGCAACCCGTATCATCACCTTGAGCTCTAACGCAAACGCAGCCAGCCCCATCCGCTTCAGTGACTGGAACTACGAAAAGCACTCTACCGACGTGCCTGACGACGAGCAACCTAGTTGGATCCTTCATCCACTCATGGATCTCCCTGCTGACCCTGTACCTTTCTCCTTCCTGGTTGCATACGGACAGTCTAAGACGGCTAACGTGCTGATGGCCGTCCATCTCAACAAGCTTTTGTCGAAGGAGGGTATCGCAGCATTCTCACTGCATCCCGGTGTTGTGGGGAGCACTGGGCAGAAAGCGCTCATTACCCCAGCTCAGAGTGCCAAATTGGAGGCCATGTTGGGAGCACCCAAGACAATCGATCAAGGCGCTGCAACGGCTGTGGTGGCGGCCTTGGACCCGGGCTTGAAGGGTGGGGAGAAGGTTTATTTGGACGACTGTCAGTTCACCGACCAGGTTCCGGCATGGGCTACAGATGCCCAGGCTGCAGAGAGGCTTTGGAAGTTGAGTGAGAATATTGTGAAGGAGAGGCTGGGATGAAACAGCACGCTATCATGGCAACGGGTATTCGGCTGAGCAGCCATTGGGAGAACACACATATTAGGCCTATGGCGAGGACCACTGTTGCGACGCCACCTTCTGCGTGTGAACTATCATTTGTTCGTAGTACCAATAGAAAATGAAGCAGTTATGCAGCAGTCATGCTGCTAGGCAAGTTCGACTGTTCTAATTGCTCCTCCGTTCCATTCATTGTACAGACACTCAATATTCAGCGGCCGTTGACAGCCAACTGTTTCGCATAATCCAAGTTTTCGAAGCCCTCCACCGAAGTATAGATGATAGGAGCTGTCTTTGCCCTCTACAATCATCTAGGTAAGCTGCGAATGAGCCTGCGTATCAGACTGCCTTGAACTCGAACACTTCTTCGATACGCCGCATCATGCTATCTTCCGGCACTTCAAATTTCTTTCCCACAAGAATGCTCACCATTATTTTCCCTGCACACCGAAATTGAATCTTGTTCTTGTTTCGCAAGTGAGCCGTCACGTCGTAAGCTGGCATAAGATAAAGAACGACCGTGATGAACTCGAGACGTTGGAAACCAAGTTGCTCAGAAGATAACTCCTGTAAGGTATCGTATGGGATCGGGCAAGAAACGTAGGCTGATTCTTCGGATGAATCGGCCGAGGTCTCGAGGAGGGCATATAAGGGCTTCGTGGTTGGGACCAAACAGTTCTTGCTCAATGCGAAAGGTGTTCAGCGAAAAGAAGGCTTCCTTCGCCAGTTCCGCGAGCTCTGGGGTTGATCTGAGGAGCCGAAAATAGTCCTCTGCAACGCCAAGCGGGCAATTTGGGTTACAGTGTTGCCATGTGACCGACTCCTTGCTGGTCAGGGCGAACGACACTATCAGGAGCTTGAGCTCAGTGGCAAGCTTCTCCCAGCCGGCCACAAATGTGGATCCAAGCTCTTGAGTAGTTTCTAAGATGACGTAGCCATCGCTTGGAGATGTATGAATCGGAGTCGCTAAGTATGGAAAGTCAGACGAATCAAGGCCCCCGTTGCGGGAGTGAGAGTGGTTTTTGCTTACCGGACCAAAGCTTGAGACCTCTCACGACAATCTCATGGGGCGACGTCACTCTGTGCGTTACCTTTGCTTTTAACTTCATGGGCGCATATAGCTGGACTGGAGGGTCGCTAGATTTCTCTGGTGCCGGAGTGTTTGTCGTCGTGCCAATTGAATCTCCTGCTTGCGCATGTCAGCTTGGAGCACGATTTCTATGGGAGGCTCAACGGCCCGAGCGCTAAATACCTAGAGTGGCCCAGGGAAAGACCTGCTGAAGGCCGACTCCGAGGAAGTGCGGTAGTCTACGAAGTGTGTCGATGACCAGTGCAAATACGTAAGTCAGCATAGCGACGGCCATCACCAATCAGTTTCGGAGTGCTTTGACGACTATATGATTACTGTTTTTTATGTCGTGTTGGTGGCGAGTAGCGGAGGTGATAGAGCTTTCCCCGCCGAAAGTGAGAGATTGGGAATTCGCCATCGAGAAGGTGCGCAAATAGGAAGGCTCACGGACCTAGTATTGCACGTGTGACTGACCTACGCTATCTCTTTTTGGGTCGAGGTAAAAATGAAAGGTCCGGACCAAACGCGTTGAGCTAGAGAGTCGGCTTAGTGACTGGAAATTCCTTACCTGCGTTTATGTTCTATGCTCAACCCATTTCTGCCGGCAGGCACAAACGTAACCGGGGTCTCGGAATAGATCGTGATGGGACAAGTGATTGGGCCTGAGCATGTGATGCGCAAATGAGAGCCATAGGTAGTTATTATCGCCACAGATATCAAGATCGGCCGCGCTTCTTGTAGAACCTGCACGAATCTCACAAGTGGAGTCATCACTTCCAGCTCACGCCCGTCCCACCCATCGCCTCCTCACTCAACCCCCAATTCCCGTACGCATCATGAAAACCTTCTTCTTTCAGATATTTCCGAGCCTCCTCTCCCCTAACCGCCAGCTGTGCCCCCAGTCTCCAACTGGTATCCAGCTTCTCCACCACCAACTCCACAAGCTGCACAGTTTGCGGATTTACTACCTGCGGCTTCTGCAGCACAGCGTCGAATTCCTCCTTTGTCGTGACACGGTGGTAAGAATTTTGGGCATCAGGATGCTTGTAAAGCGGCAGCAACTTTTCGTAATCCGTCGGCACAATATCGTTGTATATCTGCCTTGCGCCCCAGATCATTCTCTCAACGGTATAACCCTCGTTATTGATAACAAAAAGAACGCATCGACTCTTATGTTTGACCATAGATCCAATTTCCTGGATAGTCAGGGCGAGACTGCCGTCGCCGGTGAATAACACTGTCCTTCCACCATTTTTCTTGGTAGACTGGAGCAGTTCCCGGTGCGCCACATCCGCGCCGAATGTTGCGGCCGCCGCCCAGCCGATGCTGCCGTAGTATATTTGCGCTTCGTACTGTAGAGAGGAGGGAAAGGTGATGTCGTAGATGCCGAAGTTTGAGGTGCCGGTTTCGCCGAGGAGGACGTCGCCTTCCCTTAGATAGCTTCCGATTCTATCCCAGATGTATGACTGTGTGAGCTTTTTCTCGTCCTTATCTTTTGGTACCCTTGATGCAGGTAGGGTAGGCTTCTCGATAGTATGCTGAGGTCTCTCCGGCAACGTCTTGAGGAAGGCGGAGAGGAGAGGTTTCATCGCAATGTCCGAGTATTTGTGTCCTTTTACGATGACCTCGTGTGGTTCGATACGTATGGTTCTTGCTTCAGTGAGGTTCCGTGAGAAACCGCCGGAGTTCGTATCCGCAGGGAGGTAGCCTAAAGTTACGACAAGATCCGCCTTCTTGACCTCGTCCAGAACTCCCGGACTGCTCACCGCGCCCATCCATACACCACCATACATCTCCTCGGTCTCATTTACAATGCCCTTCCCCATATTCGACGCGAAAACCGGGACATTCAGCTTCTTAGCTAGCTGTCGAGTTTCTTCCGCTGCACCGAAGCGTCTGGTAAGTACATCGACTAGTAGAGTTGGGTGTTTCGCCGCCTTCAAGGCCTCCGCAATAGCTTCCACTGCCTCGTTCTGCTTCTCCTCATCGAGCCTCTGTCGGAGATCGATATGGGTTTTGAGTAGCTCGGCATCCACCATTTCGGCGCTCAGGTCCAGCGGTAGAAAAATGTACACTGGGCCACTCTTCATCACACACTCCCTAATCACCCTATCAATCTCGCCCGGTGCATTCTCAACATCCCATAGCTCCGCGGCCGCAAATCTTAATGGCACACTCGCCTTATTATACTGCTGATGATCCGGTCTCTGCCCAATAGAATGGTGAATCATCATGTGATTCTTCTGCATCGCGCGGGTAGTTTGCCCGACCACGTGGATAATAGGGATGTTCTCGGACATGGAGCCCGAGATGCCGTTGAGGGCTGAGAGCTCACCGACACCGTGGGTGGTGACAAGGCAACCAGGGACGCCTTTTACGCGAGCATAGCCATCGGCGGCGTAGGCGGCATTGAGTTCGTTCTGGTTCCCGACCCACTTTAGGCCGTCGACGTCAAAGATTGAATCTAGGAATTGGAGATTGAAGTCGCCGGGGACGCCGAAGATGGAGTTGACGCCTATTTGATGTATTCTGGGGGGATTGTGAGCCAGGTCTGGTATCCAACACGGTGTGGATTTGAAGATGGGTGTGCTGACCTTTCCCACATATACCGACCAAGGCTAATCTTGTTCGCCATATTTGGGATGAAGCTTTGTTTGTCGTGAAAGCCGGCGGTTATGTTTGTAACAGGTGTATTGACTCTCGGATTTGACTCAATATATCACCATGCGCTGAGGAACTTTTTTGTTGATTAGCAATGATCCGTGTCGAAGAGTGTCGTCGCTGTTCCAAACACTTGGAGCGCTATGTGCATAGTAAATATTCAACAACGCTGATAGAAACGGGTATGCATTTAGCTCCAACCAGAAGACTTGTAACTCAGAACAGGAGCAGACTGGATTACATATCACCGACCTATTGCGTGAAACGGAAAGTCACTCTGGTTACAACAGACGACAGGAGTCAGTAGCTGCAGGCGAATCCTACACCAGGCAGTATAAAGAGGACGCAGAGAAGTGGGCAGTATAATATAGGAAGAAGAGGAAGAGAGAAGTAAACATAGGACGTCAAAGAAGTACATAGGGCGCAGTTCGTTGGGACCATTCCCAATACGTCAGTATCCTCGGTGTCGGGGATAAGCGCCAGTGCATTGGGTAAAGTCAGATGCGGGGAATGTATCCACTTCGGAAGGGCTATTAGATAGCGAGCGGAGATATGAGTTCGTGAGTACATTGTCGGTGTTGCTTTGCAAGGAGAATGCGACATCTTGCATGTACTAATAGTGAGACACAGCAACAGAGCATCCTACTATTTCAGAAAGCCAGAGGACAACATGCAAGTTATCCCTCAAAAAGCTATCGTCTTCCACTTCTTACCTTAGACTGCACCGCTCACCTCGGTCGCGCCTGCAACCGAGTGCTTCTTCGCATCCTCAAACGTCGCCATCTTAAAATCATAGGGAAGTTCAAACTCAGCATTCGGGTCCCCCTCGAACGGCTTAAAGTCCACAATCAAGCTCTCCTTAACCGCAAAGACCGCGTCATCTCCAATGTACTTGCTATTTCGATCGAAGATCTGCGTGACGATGGGTTTGTAACCGGGTGCAGTGAGCTACGACTATGGGTTAGCTACCAGGCATGTGGATGGAATGTGTGGTAGGGCGCGTACGATAAAATGTATATGCGCCGGCCTATACGGATGCCTGTCTAACGCCTGCAGAATCTTGCCTGCCGGTCCATCGTAAGGTATAGGATACGGCACCGGTCTCAAACAGTAGAAGCGGTATTTGCCATCTTTGCCTGTAGTGAACCTCCCTCTGAGATTCATCTCCGGCTGCCCTGGATCCTGCTGCTCGTACAGCCCGTTCGGCGCCGTGTGCCAGACATCCAGGACCGCGCCTTCCACAGGCTTGCCAGTTCGAAAGTCCGTGACAGTACCGTGCATATATGTCCTGTCGCCCTTGCCTTCTATGCCTGATACAATGGTGTCGCCCATGGCCTTTTGGGGAGCATCTTTCCGCCAAAACGGCCCCAAGATGGCAGTTGCGGTCGGCTCGTCCTGCGCGTCGGAGGCGAGCTTGTAGGTTATTTCGTCAACGAGTGTCTCGAGGCCGAAGATATCGCAGAGGAGTTGGCCTTCGTTGCGACGGTCGTCGGACATGCGGCCTGCTTCGTTGAGCTGGAGACATCAGCTTCATATAGAGAGTCGCGTGTAAGGGCATACGAGGTCGAGGCCAGCCATCCATTCGTCTACCGTGAGCTCGTTCTCGCGCGCATAGTCGTGCAGGTGCTGGATCAGGCTCGTCGTAAGCTGGCGCACGCGCGGCGTGGCTTTGGGGCCTGTCGCATTGATGACGGCTTGCGTGAAATGCGGGTTGAACTTGTGCGCTTTGGCGTCTTCAATAGTACCGTTCTGTGCCATTTTGGCGGCGTGGAGTCGCGTGGATCAGTGTCTCGCGGTCTGCAATTGTTTGGAGGGTCCGTGAGCTAAGCTGCGAGTAAGTGGGGGAGTGTCAGCAGGAAGATAAAGAGCTTCGGCGCTCGTGATATCAGCTTATGTGCGCCATCAAACACAAGCATCTTTGCCATTGACTTGGTGGTGGACATGGTGGGGCGCCGTGCCGCAAAGAACTGGGGTGAGCTGCGCGGGACATCGTAGCGGAGGGGTGCTGGGCGCGTCATCCGAGACGAGCTTCGCAACAGCCAATCACAGACCGTTTCAAGGTACCCAGAAAATGAACGGTCGTGTGTTCACACAATATTGCAGGCTCGCAATATGCTCCCCTTTATGTTGAGACGTTGCCGAGCACCTGTGGTAGATGTGTAGTTGATTAGATACCTCCAAAGCACATGGCTCAGGCCTACCTACGACATAGTAAGACCATTCAAATATAACGAATTATTGAAGAGATATACGCCACCTACGTGCCAAAGCGATGATTTACTTCTTTCCATTCAAACATTACTTGACCGAAACTGGAGAAAGAGTTCCAATCTAAATCCAAGAAGAAATTCGTAAAAGTGGTATCATGTATCCCCGCTCGCCTCCGCCTCCACATGTAATAGCGACCCATCGCAAACGCTCCTAATCCGCGTTCCACTTCGTCTCACCTTTCCAGCCTCTATTTCTTATCAGCCGGCTCATCCCCTTCTTCCCCCAAGCCCCAAATAGCCCCCGCACTCTTCGCACCTCCCGCCAACCCGCCTCCTACACTCGAACCAGCATTCTTCACCCCATCAACAGCACCCTGTCCATAACCCCCAAGAGGTCCTCCATAACTTCCGTCGTTATCCTTTCCACCCCTCTCCGCGCGGTTGATGCCCTCCTTGGAAAAGGCATCGCCGAGAGGCTGCGCAAGCCCGCCTTTCCCGACCTGTCCGCTAACGAGGTTGTTGACACCGTCTTGGAGATTGTCGACTTGTTCGTTGCCCGTGATTTTGGTCTTGTCAAGTTCTTCTGTTGAGGAATTAGTATCAAAGATAGGAACGAAGCAAGGGGAGGAGAATACGGACGCTTTGTTGCGTAGGAAGCTTTGTTGTCTTTTGTGAACCATCGCAGATACTGATCTTCTACCCAAGGCATCCAGCTCTCATACTGTCGGTTGTAAAATTCGCCTGCTTGCTGCTTGTACGTCTTCTGGTTCTGGTTCTGATTGTTGTTCTGCTCGGCCATCTTGGTGGTCGTGATACTGTTGGTTCTCGTGAGGCAAACGTTGAAGCAAGAGAATAGTGGATTTGTTCGTAAATGCAGAAGATATCTTCCTATCAAGGCAGCAGGTGATATATACTGGGTCATCAAATGACAGTGACGCAAAAGCGGCTAGTGACGATGTGCTGCAGACCCCTACGTCATTGCCTTGGAATGGGGCTGGACCTAGTGATCGTCCCGCGTGCGGCATATCGCCCTTGGCGATGTGCCTATCATGCACCACGCGTATCAGGGCCTAGTCAATCAAGATCTTGGTCTGTGATACAGAAAAGCAAGCTTACCGCGATGAATCTGTTCACATGCAAGTATTTGTGTTTCAGCCATAAAAGAGATCGGCCCGACTGTTACGCGGTTGAGGGTCCTCGAGGCATTGTTGTATGGTTAATTATCGTAATAAAAGCGACAGCGGGTAGGTTCGACGTGGCCTGCCCTCATGAAGAAATAGTTGAGAGAGCTCAAATAGTCAAAGTAGTATCCAATGTTTAGTCTTCGTACTTACACCTTCGTCTCCAGTACAACACCATCTGCGGCCTCTCGATCGGTAACCCTCACTCTCCTCAATAAGTGCTGGCTGCCATCCACGCTCCTTGCACCACCCGACTTGACAAGCACATTGCCCGCCTCGTCGTGTGTTCGATCCCATTCTTCGACATCTACATTGGGCACCTTCCTGAAGCGATGCGACACACTGCCATCCTGATCCGAAATCAAAGTTTCCGTTCTGATCGAGTAGTGCTTCAATTTTGGTAGCCACTTGATCCATACAAAGTAATACAAGGCGCAAGAGACCAGCAAAGCAATACCAACGGCACAGTAGGTCGCGTACCAGAAGGAATAATCGTTCTCGTCCGGCGGGTACCACGGCATGACGAGGATGAACAAGCACACAGCAGCCGAAAGGATGTTGGCGATGTGCCAGGCTCGGAAAGGAGCCTGTGGGAGGCCTTCTTTCTTTCTCCGGTGCCTGATAAAGTAGACGCCTATGACCATCAGGAACAGGAACACCGAGTCTGGATAACTGCGGAGGTCGACCAAGAAGTTGAAAGCATCTCCGAATGGCAGCGCGAGTATGACAATAACGGTCAAGAGCCACATCAGGAGCGTAGGTGCGAACGGTGTGCCAAAAGGTCGGGTACTCGCCCACACATGAGGCCAGGGCACGAGGCCTTGCCGTGCACATTCGCGCATCATGCGGCTGTGGCCGATAATGACAGCCATGATGTTACCTGCAGCGCTAACGGCGATCAGTGCAGGCAGACCTTTTGCGGCCTTGGTCCCAAAAACCGCTTCGAAGAACATCGCGGCTGCCAATTCGCCCGACTCACGGATTTCTGCAGCGGGTACGGCGGCGAAGTATGCAACGTTGCAGAGCACGTAAAGAATAGACACAATGATAAGCGAAAGCGGCGCTACGCGCTTGAGGGTATGGAGCGGGTTCTGGATCACTATTAGACTCATCAAACCGGATCGACTTGACATCGGACTTACCTTGATTTCTGCCACGACATTGAAGGCATTGGAATATCCCGTATATGCAAAGTTGATGTTGACGAGAGCGCTGACGATGTCGTTCGCATTGTTCGTAATCCCGTCGAAACTGTTCCGGAAGTTGGCGTGTGGGTCTTTGATATGAGTTCCACCACCGAGAACAACGAAACCAGTGACCGAGATGAAGACAAGGATGATGAGCTTGACAGCAGAGATCAAGTTCATCAGCCGAAGTGACCATTTGTTCGAGATCAAACAGAAAAAGGCCAATAGGGTGTATGCCCCGAGAGCCAACCCCTTATTAGCCCATTCACCAGCTGGATAGCCCGCAGCCCGGTAGATGTATCGCGCAAGGACGACGGCATTACTGCTAGAGAACGAAAAGGCGACCGTGATGAAGGCATACATCGTGGCGAACAGGAATGCTGGCTTGGGGAAGGCTTGTTCCAAATAGACGACCTGGCCTCCGGAGCGATGTGGGAAAAGAGATGCGTATTCGAAGAAAACGGCCAACGCAGCTGGACTCATATTAGGCAATGCAGTCGATTCGGGACGAATTACTTACCAGCTGCGATGATGGCACCAAAAAACCAGTACATCATGGACATGCCGACCGAGTCAAGAGCACGCAAGATACTGCCAGCTGTAAGATTGTCAGACTTGACGACTATTAATCTGTACTAGAAACTTACGTGTACTGAACACGCCCGTGCCGACCATCTGGCTGACGTTCAAGAACAGGATGCCATACCAGCCGACATGGTAGCCCAAGGGGCTGACCTGTTCCACAGGAGCACCATTTGCATCCTGGTAGACGGTAACACCTTCTACGGAGAAGCTGTCACCAATCTGCGCGTTCTTCTCTTTCACGACCTCAGTATCGACATCTGCGCCCGAATCATTGAGCTGGAGTATGCGCTTTAGCTGAGCAGCCATGGTCGATGCAGTCGTCCTGGAGGGAGACGAAAGCCTTGGGTGATGCACGCAGTGCCCTTTTCTTATCGTTATTCATATATGCTATCTCGAATGCTAGGGTTCATATCCCGGCGGCATGGGTCGTGGATGCTGCAAGCTGCGCCCAGCCTTGCATCATCGGGTTTTGTCGCACGCAAGCAGCCAATTAGGAAGGTGTTTTTCCTCGCGACGAAGCATTGGTAAGGAGAGGGTGCCCGTTGGAGATGCCCAGATTTATTCGAAGGTGCCCAGAACACGCCCAGGAGAATTCAGAAAATTCCTGGTGGTCCTACATATTGCCGCGCCGCACAACGTGCTTTGGACGCTTGATGGTGGAAGGAAATAGGATGAGAAGCGCCTCTGGTGGACTGTTGGAGTGATCGGCTATACATATAATTGATCTAGATGTCGCCGCGCTGTTACATTGTTGATATCTCCAGCTTGCAACTCGAGTCAGCACTCGTTAGTAGTGACGCATGCACGAATATTATAGTCTTCTTGCATATCTTGCTGACCAGATTGCATCATTTCTTCCCGACATGTTAGCATCGGCAGAAGTGTGACTTGATACGTTTTTTTTTTTTGGTTCAGTCAGCCGTGAAGTCAGCCGTGAACGTGCCAAATTACGGGAGTCAGACTCAAAGTTGCCATCGCCAGAAAGCGAGTATTGCAGGTGGAGAAAGTGGTGAGGGGAGCAAGGCGACATTTTGAATCTTTGCGACTGGCTCTTCGAAAACGAAGAAGAATTGCGTGAAGTCAAAGACAGCAGAGTTCAGTGGACGCGGCGCCAGACGTCCGCCACCGCACCCGCCAGCCACGGCGCACAGGCCATCGGCTACCTAAACTCATTCCAACATGCACAAAGCACATGTATAGATACTTCCTCTTTCGTTCCTCGTAAACAGCCAATGACAGCCGGAAGTTCAATAGCTATCTTGTCACTGGTACGGCTTCTCAGCGTGTCTTCATCGCTGTAAAGATCGCATTCACCGACGTGTGAAGGTTTCTACTCGTCCGAAACAGCGAAGGAAAAAGCGTCATACAAGGTCTCAATTTAATGCACACGTAGTCGTCCCAGTTCCAAAGTAAGACCTTCGAAAGATTGCCGCACGGACCATCAGGTTTAGCGAGGACCTGACCTGAGAACGAAGTACCAGCAACCGATGACCGTGCCGTCCACCCTCCATTTCATCCAAAGGGCGGAGGGCAAGAAAACTTCTCCAAAGCACAGCAACAAACCGTCTCTTCGCCCTTCAAACACCATAAGATGTTCATTGCCAGTGTAGTAGCCAGCTACTGGGCCCGCTACACTGCCAACAGCGAGGTACAATTCTTCAATTGACATGATGAGCAACCAAGATCCTGTTGTCTCAATGCGACGCAGGAGTGTTCCTGATCTTTAGGCATGACTGTGGGGTGCAGGCCCGTTTTAAGACTCATCTCCAATGGAAGGCCTTATCGCAGAGCTGCCTTCAGGCAGCACCGCCTCCGCCTCGGATGCTACCCCCTTTTTGGTCAACTACCAAGTGTTGACTCAAAGTGCCTCACAACCAGCCACATCTTAAATGTCATATAAATGTAGAATAATACCCAGCAGATCGTCGCGTCACAAACTCAGACTTCCTACACGATGGGCTCTAAACTTAGCCGGACCGTGCGTGAGCACAAGGCAACTGCTTCACGGCGAGCCGCAACTTCCCAGCAAGACCAATCGCAGGAAAATAGCCGCCAAGAAGCGCATGGCAAAGAGCAAACGGAGAATGGCATAACCGCTACTTCCACTTCATCCCATGAATTTCCCGCATCGCCTGTCTCAATTCAAGACACCGAATCGATGGACATCGATCAGCACCCGCGACGGTCCACTGATTCGCGCTCAGCGTCCATTCTCAGAGACCTCGAACAGCTGCCAGGAGGCGTGGCAGAAGATGGACCGCTTCCGATACCGCAAGCCGCGAGGCCCCAAGAACCACCGTCCCCACCGCCATCCTCCTTGAATTGCCTTATTTGCTGCACACCATGTGAAGGACCCGAAAAGAAACCGGCGAAGGCAGTCCATCCATGCCGCAGGTGCGAAAATGCATACTGCGTACCGTGCCTCAAGAACATGTTCATCGATGCCTGCAAGGACATATCCCGGATGCCGCCGCGCTGCTGCAACCAAATACCGATACATCACATCCGCCCGTACCTGTCGGTCGACGAGATAAGCCTGTTCAAGTCCAAGTATGAAGAGTGGGGAACGCCGAATCCTTTCTACTGCCCAGTCGCACGATGCTCCACTTTCATACCCAACTACTTGCTTCCGCAAGCAAGAACAAACAGCAAAGGCAAGCAGCGGGTAGACTCTGGGATCGGTACACCTACCAAACCTACAGTAGCGTGCCCCAAGTGCGAAGTCGATATCTGCACGAATTGCAGGAGCCTAACACACGACGGGGTATGTGGCATCTTCGACTTTGGAGTGGACAAGGAGACGGCAGATCTGATACAAAAGTGGGGATACAGGAAGTGTCCGAAGTGTGGACAAGGGGTGAAGCGCATGTATGGATGCAATCACATGGAGTGCCGATGCGGAGCGCACTTCTGCTGGGGATGCATGCAAGGGAAGGATAACTGTATAGGAGAGTGTGACGATGATGAAGAGGAGGATTACTCAGAATATGAGCCCGACGAGGAAGAAGATGAAGAATTTGAAAAAGAGACTGCACCAATGGTACCGGCACCTCCAGCCTCGAATCTCGCACATGTGTTCCCTCACATGTCACAAATTGAAGAGCCTACAGAGCCATCGGCGCCAACGACATCCCAACCGCCTGACGACACCGCGACAGACCCGACAGTCTCCACTCCGCGAGTTAGAAACTTAGACGGAGGATCCGGGCGCTACTGGGAAGAGCAAGACTTCGACTTTGGCGAGGAGCCAACAGACGATTTTCAGGACCGATCATGGGACTGCTACCACGACTTTGGCACTGCGAAGATCGAATTCAAAGCCGCCTTCAGGAATGACGCATCTGTCAATCAGATGGAATGCATGAAATGCTGGGCTACCGTGCACCCAGAAGTGAAGATGCCAGCTAACGTCCGCGCCGGGGAGAACAAGATCACTACCGCCGTCGCGACTGCCAGCCGCGGAATACGCATACCTTCTAGAAGACGTACGGGACATGCACAGCACGCTCGGAGACGCGCTACGGGCTCTCTCCGCGGTACCCGGTCAATGGAGACTTTCGAAGCCACGGCTTCACCCCTGAGCAGCTCGCCCGCTTCCTTCTCGAGCTTGATGCTATATCGCGGTTCAATACCAGGTGAATCTCAAGAATCCCTCGAAGGAAGCTCTTCAGCGCGCGTGGTCGATCTGTACGGCAACACCATCGCCACGGCGAACAAGGCAAAGGATGGCAATGCAGATGAGCACATGCCTGACTGGAACCAAGTAGACGAGGGCAAGAGCGGGCTCAGCTTCGCAACGGACAGCACACCTTTCAGCTTCGCCTACGAGTGCTACGATTGCGGCCTGCTCGTCTGCCATCGGTGCAAAGACACTCTCGAAGGCCATCATGTGGGTGTAGATGTAGAGGGGGACAAGACTGAGGATGAACACAAAGGCGATGAGGACACTTGCAACGTAGCTGACAATGGAGAATAGATCTACGCGTGACTTTGAAGACCACATGTAGGCTGGGTCTTTCAGCGTGTTCGAAGGGCATGGAGTAAGCTTTGGCATGCATTTTCGCAGCAGGAGTTTTCTGGCATAGCACGGCGTTATGAGAGATTAGGACCGGCATACTTTGTAGAAATGAGAACATTTAATTTACCGAAGCTAAATGAGAACAGCTATGGGTGCATAATGTATAACAAAGTCAGATCTTGGAGACTCAGTCCTAAAGTAATGAACTACTCTTTCATGTGCCTGGCAAACTACACCTTATTTCAATCTGCGTGTACAGGCTGGTGTGAGTCAAGCCATGGCCAATCATTATACGGGCAAGTCTGGAGTAGACGCAAGGGAAGAATTACTGAGAGGCGACATATCCGTTGTTTACCTGGCAGTGGTAGGCTGCACGTTTCTTTCTACATCAATCTATCACACGACACATCCAAAGCCGCCGTAACGACACTGATCGAGCCATATTAGAAGCTGTGAGAGACGCTTTAAAAAGGTGAGGTGCAGCTTCGGCTACCCATATCATGTTTTGTCTCCAGCCAAGGTAGACCATAGGCCCATGACGGTGCGCTGGTGAGGTAGATAGGCGTTTATCTATATGTCTACCTTTCCATACTACTGTGTTCAGTCAGTGCGTTCGCTGCGTCTACCCTTTGCTTCTACACTTGTAGGCTTTGCAAGCATATATCCATGTTCTGGAAGGATGATCAAAAAGGCAACCAAGATCGGTGATCACACACAATTCACAAGCACAAGGTGGCACAATTTGTAAAAGAGTAAGTAAAAGGAGTAAACTCTTAGCATAGCTAATACATCCAGATAGATGATTTGCCCGCCACACCATCCCTTGTGAGATCCGTGTATCTTTTTGTCCTGACGGCCGTTCGGCCCACATTCCTTTCATGTAGCATTCACACTGTTCAGATGACGGTCATTAAGCCATCAGGTTGCGATGACTCCCGCAGGTCACGCAAGTTCCGCTGTAAGGGAAACACACTATGCACCCAGGCTGGGGAAAGCGTTGTTATCCTTGAGGTTGGGGCCAGACTGGGCACCACCACGGGGTCCGCGTCCGCCACGGCCCTCGCCACGACCTTCGCCGCGACCACGGCCACGGAACTCGCCGCCACGACCACCACGGCCCTCGCCGCGGCCACGACCGCCACGGCCGCGTCCACCGAAGTTTTCGCGGGGGGCAGGCTGGAGGAGGCGGTCTCCGTCAAGCTCGACGAAAGCCTTCTCCTTGCGCTCACGAGTGCGCTGTTTCTTGCCACCAGTTCCGGCAATGAAGTCCTCATCGTCGTCGCGGGCAACAGCCTTGCCCTCGGGGAACTTGGCGGAGCTGCCCTCGTTGGCCTTGCGCACGTTCTGGTTGCCAAGGTCAAGCTTCTTCTGGGCGAGCTCAGCAAGGTACTGCTCGTAGGACTTGGTCTTGTCCTCAGGCTCCTCAACAGCGGGGTCGGCATCGGCGGCGGCGTCTTCAGCAACGGCCTCCTTCTCGTCCTTCTGGGCGATAGCCTCACCAGCGGTCTCGTCGGCCAGCTCGGCGGGGCCATCGGCGCCTCCCCATCCGTGAGCAACTTGCTTGTCGTGGTCGCTAGTCGCAGTCAGTTACAGAGCGGAAAGAGTGCTGAAGGCATAGCATACGCAACGCCGGTTCGGCTGGCACGGTCGCCCCTAGCACCACCACGGCCACCGCGGCCTCCGCGTCCACCACGTCCACGTCCGCGGCCTTCTCCGCGAGAAGAGTCACCACCCTCGTTGTCGAATCGTGCACCTCGGCTACGGTTCTTATCCGCACCTACGTTGCGATCCCGGAGGTCTGCAAAGGTTAGCCATAACCCCAATCGAAGCCACCGTCGCCCAGCCAGGCCACTGCAGACCAGCGTCGTAGCCGTATTTCAAGAGGGTAAACATACAGTTGTCGTTGGCGTTGCCAGAGTCCTTGGCAGGGCGGGAAGTAGTGGAGGTAGTGGCGGCACCGGACCGGGCAGGAGCTTCGGCGGGAGCATTGCGCTTGCCTGTTCTCGCGGCGGGCTTTTCGACAGTCTTGACCGGCGGCTGGGGAGTAGCGCGCTCGGGGTCGAGCTCTGGGTCGTTGCCTGTGACGGACGTTAGTGGGGTCCTCAGGTCTCGCGATCATGTCAACATGGGATCCACGCACCCAGCAACTCGTAGAGGTTCTGCAAAGAGTCAGCAATGTATTGCAAAGAGCGATTGATGAGTTGCGTTGGCGACTCGAGAAAGCGCAGAGGCTCGCGGGGTTTGATGCAAGGTGGAGTAACGCACCTTGGAAGCGATGGACATTCTGAGGAGTTAAAGCGCCTTTCGCGCTTGTCCTTCTAGACGCTCAATCTGATGGAGGACGGTGAAAATTACGAGAGCGGGCCCTGGGGTGCAAGGGTCGCGGCTCTCAAGAAACAGGTGGATAGCTCAAAGCGTGTCGCAGTTAACGTTGAGGATGGACGGTAAATTTCGATTGTGGATGGAGCTGTTCGCTTAGTCAATAGCGGCCCGTGCCCACCCTTCGAGCAACAAAGCAAAGCCTCAGCTGCCTGCATGCAGAGGTGCATAATCAGCTTGTTCGTAATTCCGGATGCTGAAGAATGGGCTTCAAGTTACACAGTTCACAGTTCCAAAAAAAGACGAGATCGAGCCATGGGAAGCGCTGTTGCTCTTCTCGACACAGAGTGGGTGAGCAGCTGCCCCTCATTTGAGAGCACAACGTCGAATTACGCCTTTCTGAATATCCAAGACCAACTACGCAACCATGGAAGGCCTTCCCAAGATCCAGTACTTCCTTGTCGACCCGAAGGCAACTGGCGCTCTGCTGTTGCACATGAAGTCTGCGGTACATACAGCAAGTGTGCTTAGCTTGCAAAGGTCTCGAATCCCCGTTCAGCCCACAAAACTAGAACAGGCCTTCGCAGGAGAAGAGCGGGTGTGTACCTTTGCATGAGCAATTGGATATTGATTCTGTACAAGAGCTGCTTTTGCATTGGCGACGTCAGAGCCCAGAACTCGCGGGTTCGTAGATTGATCTGTGCGTCTCCGCAGCCGAGATGCGACATGTGAGGCGTCTGGGGTAGGGATGACGTTCTTCGACAGAAATGGCAAATGCAGAACAGCCACTTATGGTTCGCTTCACGATTCTAGCGGGAGTGACATGGTGGTGGAAGAGATCGTTTCGATCTGAGTGCAAGTATTTACAGAATCTAAGCTAGGTCTTTGAATCGAAGCGACCCTTAGTATGGCCAAGAATATGGAACAGTGAAGCCGTGACTGCCCAAGCCAAATTTCGTAGTAATAACCCTCCAGCTCCAACCCACTCATCTGATAAAATGATTCCTAAAAAACTTTTGATAATGCCGCCGTCCTTAGAAACAAAACCCATTAACGCATGGCCTTCGTGGGGTAATCCTTGCCCAGGACAACAAACGCCGTCGTCGAATCCTCGACCATGCCATGACCTATTCTGACGCCCGCTGAAACAAATAAACCCGTTCGCGAAAGTCCCAATATTGAATGCATCATCTCGTAATGTCTTCATACAGTCCGAGAATGTAAGTTCGGAGCTCGTCCTTTGGTGCATTATGTGTACTAATCATATATTCCGTGATGCTGTATCTCATCTCGATTCATACATGGTCGGAAAGTGCATGCTGGCAGAGAGTCCGAATGGATCCGCGTCTAGCATGGGATCGTAAGGGTCGAAGAGGTTATTCATCCCGTTGAACGCATGATTGCCGTCATTGGTCGATACCGGCGCGTTGTTCGCATACGGTGGATTCTGGGAAGGTGGCATTGGAGGCTGCATGCTCTGCGACTGCATTGAATTCGACGGGAAGGGATGTGGGTACGGGCCAGGCCCAGCGGAGTGATCACTGGGGTCTTCTTGGTCGAGCATGTCGCCTTGCTCGTCATACTCTTGCTCTACACAACGAAGTCAGCCAAAGTTACAAAGGCTTACGCCCTAAAAAGGAATGGGTCAGCTTGCCTAGTTGGTTCATATGCTCCGAATAGGGAGTCGGGAAGTAAGACTGCGGGCCGCCGCTGGTGCTACTCTGCGTCATTACACTCCCTCCGCTACCCGTGGATGCGCTCGATAAGCCGTTCGAGGGCGGTTGGTTCGTGATGAGCGATGGCCGCTGAGGGCCCATTAGGGGTGTGAACTGGGACCTAGGCGGCTGTGGCTGCAATTGTTGGTGCCGCTGGGGTTGCTGTTGCGGAGGAATGGACCCGAAGTTGGGAGACACCGATGTGCCTTGTGGAATGAAGTTCGGCGAGCGCGTAGCCGACGCGACGGGCGAGGGTAGATGCGAGCCGGGAGTAGGCTGCGACAGTGGTGAACGATTTGGGATTGCTCCATCAGGTTGAATCATGGGCAAACCATGCACACCTTCAGCCTTAGGCAGCCCTCCCAGTGATCGGCGATTCTGCTGCTGTCTATTCATCATGGCGCGCTGCTGGAGCGGCGGTTGGTTTGGTGAGGCCGTTGCAGGCGCCGGTTGGCGTGTGGGCCCTAGGTTGGGACTGCCGGTCTTTGCGTGAAGCTCAGCTTGGACATCTATCCCTAGACGTTGTTAGGCCTGGTGGTTTTGATGGGACGTCAAGACAGAGTAGTACCTTTTTCAAGCAGGATTCTCTCCAGCAGCGAGTTCTTGTACCGTAGCATCAAACACTCGTCGGCAGCACTGCGGTGACTCTGCTGCAGGTTCTGCAGGGTCTCTTCATGGTGCTTGATGGTGCTCTCGAGCTGCTTGATGTACTCGGTACGTCGCTCGCGGAAGGCAGCCTGAGCCTGACGGTTGCGCTGCTTGCGCTCCTCCGAGGTGGCATATATCTTGCGGCGGGTTAGTGATGGTTTGGACATTGCGATTTGGCGTGCGCCAGGCACAATGGGTAGCTTACAGGCTTGCGCCCGCCTTTGCGCTTCTGCTGCTGCTGCGGGTTGTCCTGGGTATATGCAGCTGGTTCGGGCTCGGGCGACGAGGCTATGGAGGAGGTCGAACCATCCCGCTCAGCCTCCGTCTTGCCCACCGTGGCCGTCATATCTGTTACGACACTATCACCCATCTGCGGGCAGCGTGCCCCTCCGGACGGTAGGAGGGGCACAGACGCCAAGCACAGAGCGACGCGACAGGTTGGTGGACAGGAAGGCCGGGGAGAGGCTCTGGGGGGCTAAGCGCGCGCTCGATGACAGCCGCAGCGCCGGGTCGTCGGTTTGCACGTGTGTGTGGAAGCTGTTGATAATGACTGATAAGAGGGCAGCTACGGTCGCTGTGGGTGGTCGCGCGCAGATGTTGTGAGGTAAGACTTTATGTAAAGGAAACGAGACGTCCAGCGAAGGCGGGAGAACAGCGATTTCAAAGGGGCCGGCGCAGGGCTCTGCGTCACGGGCTAGCACATGGGACAGCTGCTGGCCCAGAGAACGCCTCAATTGCGCAGGCTGCGTGCGAATGGTAGGCAAGCGCGGTGCCCAGGAGGTGCTGCCAGTGCCAATGCAGCGTGAGCCCCCCGCGAGAAAACTCTTCGCATCCGTCGAGCGGGCGTCTGTTTGACGACCATGGCGGGGGTCCAGCAGTGGATGCGCCGAGGCGAGCTGCAGGCCCATCGGTGCTTTGCGCCGCTAACGGGATCGCTTGCCCGAGACCGGCAACGCGCGCAATCCTCGCAGCCGCGCCACAGAGCAGAGATCGTGCATCTCCGGCATCTCCATGGATAAGGCCCCAGCGGAGCTCTGGCAGCGGCCGCCTGGATGCTCTTAACAGCACCGCCGCCAGCGCGCGCGGGCTCGGAGTGGAAGATCTGAACTCCTCGCCCGCTGCGCGACGCGCTGCCAACTTTCCGCACACGAAAGCGACGTCCTAGCACCAGGTACACAGAACCGCAGCCTGGCGCCCACGCGGTCCGAACAAGCAACCCGACGGGGACCAGCGACGCCCCGGCGATACAGCGACCACGCGCCGTGAGACGCAGGCATTGTGCGCCAGCGCCAGGAGGTCACTGGTCCCTCTCGCTGTAAGGCTGACGCCTGCAGGGGCGCTCGAGTCCGATCTGATAAGGCACGGCGTATGCGTTTCCCTTCAGTCAAAGAGATGGACGCAGCACGTTCGTTGGGGATTTGAAGACATGCTCTCGTTGCGACACCGGCGATGCCCACTGTCAACGGTCTCGACCACATTGACAGACGCGGCTGCACAGACAGTGCGCTCCCGCGACAGCCTTGGACTACTCACCCCAGCAAGGTCCTCCCCTCTCCTCGAACAGGCAATCCGGGGACGCCTCGGACGTGTCGGGAGCTGCAAGAGTCGAGTCTTGCATTTTGGCAGACACGCAAGAGATGCCGCAATGCCGCCGGCACACTCCACCGCCTGCCGGCAGACGAAGCAGCAGTCGACACGCGTTGGCTCCCAAGTCACCTGCGCACGCAGGAATCCAACACTGGAGCTGCAGCCGCCTGCAGCGCCGTCCAGAAAATTGTTTGAAGGCTGGCGGACCCGCTGTGCCGACTTGTGCAGCGTCTGCGATTGATTAACTATATGTGGATGGCTTCGCTGGTCACGTTGCTGTTCGACTTTATTCCGAGCCGCCAAGGTTTTGTAGCATTGCGAGTTGGTCTCTTATTCGGTCCGACTGCGACCAGAGATCATGGCGAGTCGTGAAACGCGTATGTTAGGTTTGACACGCATGATCGTAGAGCCGCGAGGCAAATATCCCGGTGTGACTTTGTCGAGTCGCCCGTGGAGCATGATGATGCCAACCGTCCTCCACTGTGAGCCTGCTATGTTCAGTCAACGATGTTGCGAACTCTATCGACAGGAGTAACCACCCTTGTGATGGCAGATCTCTAGGTGAGGTCCGGAGGCTCCTTGCGACGTATTCGATTCTAAGAGACGTTCGAGATGGTGTGGACACAAGAGAAATTCAATTACATTACCCCATCTCCACGCGCGTATTTTCTTGTTTTTCTTGTTCCTTCCATCTTCATTTGCTCTTCACATTCGTGCTGTTACCCAAGACAGGAACGCGCCTTCCTCAGCAGCATCCTCAACATCATCATGTACGCAGCGCGCCGTATGCGACGACCCTCAATCAACACACCTTGGATAACGAGCATCGACATAGTCTCACATGACTTTCCTACTGTTTCCAGCAACATCGGATCCCGCACAAACAGTAATCATCTGGTCAGCATCTAATCGCTACGCGTCAGCCCCGCGCTCAATCTGTCTTTGCGAAACCCTTCGCAAACAATCCCGGCTCCACAGAGATCGCTACAGCTGACGGTATGCCGTTGGCTTTGTCGGAGATCGCGGGTCGGATGCTGAAGGGATCAGGTCACCCGCAGCCACCTCCGGGCAAAGGTCCTCCTTCTGAGGCTCGTCTTTCACTGGAGCGAGCGAGCGGCTCTGTACATCTAACATCATCTGGATCAGAGGAATTCGATTGTAGAGGCATGGTGGGCAGTGGCCTTGGAGAATCCAGAGGTCATTCGAGCAACATCGCGTCCTGGGCAAGGACGCGCCCGTTGTCAGACATCCGTGAACTTACTGAGCCGAGCCTTGCCGACACTATACCGCGAAGACTTCTTCCTGAGAATTCGCTCCGGCGTAGTGCATCGCGAAGCGAATTGACCCGGAAACCATCCGTCGGATCGAGGCGGCCCAGTCTTGACATACGGTTTGCAGAGAACAGGGAGCCCGACCGGAAGACGAGTTTCGACAGCAACGGCGTTAGATCAGCGCACCGAGGGCGGTCCTCTCAAAAGGCTGGAGACACTTCGTACGTTGAGCTAACTCGATGGGACATTCCATGCCCGCTAAACTATGACTACAGTAGGACACCATCGCCGGCAGATTTAAGCATTTCCAGCATATACAGCATTCCACCCGGCAGCATCCCGCCTCGATCATCTTCCAGAACAAGGGCACGCAGTGCGTCGCGAAACCGGATACCTCCACCAAGCGCATCTGTTATACCTCAACGCGTTCCTCTTCCGTCTCTCAACAATGTTCCTACGATACCTCTGCCTCCACCTCGTGGTGCTAGTAACACAATACCCCGCCGCGGGCAATCACAGTCACCTCTTCGCAATATTGCAGCCCCTGTCGCACATGATACCTGCCGACGCCCACCATCTCGGACATTCATACGCGAACCGCTTTCTGCCGAGCTGCTCGAATATCCTTCCCATCGACATCCGCGCGTGAATCTTGGGCTAGATCTCTCAGCAAGCCTTTTCGTTGGAGGAGGCTCGATCGAAGGCACTGTGCAAATCAAGATCGAAGATGCCGATCGAATACGACATAAGAAAACATTAGCTCTCGCACGCGTATCAATTGACCTGCTTGGGCTCGAAGAAATGAGTGGAAACAGGCGATCCGTATTTCTTAACTTGGCTACGGAACTCATTGACGAAGAAACCCCTCCACCACAAAACATGGTAGACAGTCAACAACAAATAGGGCTCGACGACCCGTTCTGGCATCTCGTGCCCTCGATTACCAATCTACCATTCTCTATGAGCCTGCCGCTCAACGTCGGCCCACCACCTTTTCAGTCCAAGAATGCCCGGATCCGATACGTTCTTTGCATCTCATTGCTCATCCGCGACCAAGGTAAACAATATATTGTCAGGGTGTCGGAGGATGTTACGGTGCTGTCTGTTTATGACCGTAGGTGACACATCGCAACACATGGATCTTACTGACATTGATCCAGCCGAGAAGGCTCTCATGTCTCTCCCCAGTCCTCTCACCGCGTCCGACGAGTGGCTGAAGCCTCGCGATGCCACCCTTGAGATCGTTCGGCTGACAGCCGGCTTACACCGACAAGTGTGGGTTAGCGGGACCAGCATATACGTCGATGTGCACATTGCCAACAATAGCCGGAAGACAATTAGAAAGATTGAGTTACATCTGGAGCGAGACATTCTCTGTTACAAACATGTTTGTCACAGGATGAACACGACTTTGAGGTGTCTTGCTGATCGAATATAAAACTAGGCAGCCGCATGTACGATGGAGAAGTCAGCAAGCCAGGCTCGTATATTTGACAGCAATGAAAAGTCTATCCTCAGCAAATCCGTTATCAAACAAGGTGCGGCCGGTTGGCACGGAGTTCCTGCCCATAACTCGCATGTACGAACGTGCGACCTTGAGGTACCGCGCGGACACGCCACCGTGAAGTGTGGTATGTGCAATGACCGCAACCGCGAAATTGGCAAGCAATTGACCGAAATAGGGAAATATTTCGAAGTTCGTTACTTTCTCAATGTCATCGTGGGAACCTCTCATACGTCAGTTGTTCTGCACTGGCTTTACTGACTAAGACTAATGCAACGTAGAAAGCTCGTCACGGTGCAGCTACCGATTGTGCTCATACACATGGCACGTTCATCAGCTCACTCTCCAAAAGCGAGCGCCTCTGTCATGTTATGCCGTGAACTGACGCTTGCTACAGAACTCACTTGATGTTGTACCCAATTCGGTGGCACAGGTTGCCGCGGCCATCGAAGAAAAGCGTACTGCACACACCTATCAACGTGGTCATTCACCACCTCGCCTTGGTCGTCGTCCGTCCCGTTCTGTACAGGGTCGTGCTTTCGCTGCACCGCGCATGCAATCACTCGATCGCATGCGCGCTCAAGTCGAAGAGATACAGGACCTGGGTAAGATCCTCGACCAAAGTCCTCGCAAATACAGCTTGCGCAAAGTAAACTCCCATTTTGACTACCACACGCCCCCGAGCAATAGAAAAGGTAAGATCTTGGGCGACGGCGACGTGGCAGACTTGCAAAGTCGCCTCAGGAAAGTCCGATCGAACGAAACGCTTGGCTCGAGAGCCAATACCATGTTCAGGGCCAACTCTACCAGTTCGAGACGAGGCAATCGTTCTGCGCTGGGCTTCCGCGAGGCGGAGGTACGAGAGGACATAGAGCTTAGAGGGCTGGGTCCTTCGGGAGAGACATCTTTCAAGCAGCGTCTCGAGCACAGTCGCGGGAGACAATACAGTTTTACGAAGAAGCGGAGCGTGGAGCGGTGGAAGGGCGTGGCGAATGCGGGAGTAGGATGGTTCAAGGGGAACCCAGGAGGGAAAGAAGATAGGCAACGCGATGAGTGGTTCTGAGATCTTCTTCATCTGTCTGTTTGGATACATCCTGTACAATCTTCTTGGCTCAGCACTCTCGGGATTGGGATGGGTTTGAGTAGTTATTCCTACGATAGACCGTCTTAAACCTACATGCGTTCTATATGCTTCCACATCGTCCCACCTGACTCGGTTTCTGAATCGGATCTGTGCTTTTGGTGGGTGGTCGGATAGTATCTTTTTCTTGTATGGGCACAGCAATCCAACAATACTGCACCAGCGCAGGTGAAGTGATGTAACTCCACCCGAGAAAATAGCTCGAACTTGAACCAGTAGTGGAAGTAATCCACTGCAGGTCGTCGGACCCGAGGCCACCTTCTGCAAGCGCTTGGACCTGGGATGTAGAGGATCCTCAGGACTACGTGGGCAGATTGACTTTGCTGTCTTATCACAGGTATTCCGGTACTCAACTGCGCGCGTGCTCTAATTTGAGAGTGTCATAGGATTGAGAGGCTAGTGACGCGATTTTGGGTGTGAGGAGGTGGTGGAGGCCAAAATGCCTGTAACATGTCAGAGATATGTTTCCTAGCGCTGTGTTTACGACGATATATGTAACATAGTTCCTCACATATCGATCGACTTGTGGCTTGGTGGTTCCTTGGATCATTGTTTCAAGAAGCTCTCAGTGAGCTAAATCGCACTGCGGACGTGCTTGGTTATACAGGTGGTTTGTTTGGATCTAGTTTGACATTCAATATAATAAATCTATCAACGCTACACATAGCAAACTTGCCATGTCAATAGAACGAAAGTTGGACATGGAGCTTGTTCCCGGTTCGAAGTTTGTATGGCGCTTGTAGGACAAGCGGGAAGTCCTTTGCGCTGCTTTCCCCCCCTCGTCGCATCATCTAAGCCGCTTGCGATGCGCTCTTGTACGATTACATAGGTCGGCGTGACAGCCCAACCGTGCCAGCCCTCGCTGGGCTAACATGTACTCTTTGCTCAGTCAGAGGCGGGCAGTCTCGTCCTCCGTCTTTGATGTAATGATCGCAGTGGCTGTGTGTTGTTGATGCTCGAGCGGTGATAGTGATTTCGGCAGAGATTATCAAAATCTCGATCTAAAGGTTCTAGATACGGTCAGTAGTACTCTAGAGATACTACTGTCTGGTCGAGCGGACCTCATGAACCGTGTGAATGCGTGGTTGACGCACCCATAAGCAGTGTCCACGGTGGCTAAGATTCGTGGTAAAGCAGGGCGAGCGCCACAGTTGCTGGCCGCTTATTTGAATTCAAGTGAACGGGGGTCTATTGGCATGTACTTATCCCGAGAAACGGTGTTGATATCGCGGGTGACGCCGCAATTCGACGCGTCGCGCAATCTCTGACTTCACCTTGACCTCCAGCGCTCTTGCTTTCACTCCACGGTGGTCTGTGCGGAGCAAACAGCGTCCGCTCCTGCTACAAAAGACGGCCGTCGCCGCTGTCTCTCACTTTTTCTCTCCAGCCAAAACCTCACTTTCTTTTGAGCCTGCTGCCAACGCGGCCCTCACTAGATCGTAGGCACGGCTCCGTACGCGAAACGACAGCAGCACAGAAAACGCCCTTTTTCCCTTTCCTGGCGATTTAAAAAAAGGATCGGGTGGAAACACTTGCTTCAGTTGCTGGGCTTTCATGCCCGCCGCACCACCAGCTAGCCGGAATCCTCTGCAAACAATGCGTGCGCATGATCTGTCACCAGCCCTACCGGTCAGGTTGGGAATTCTAGCTATCTGGATTTTGCACGCATCGGAGAGAACGAACGCGGTATGGTATCGAGATCTGTGTCTCAACCGCCTGCAGGGCTGTTACCGGAGAGCTCGCGCTCCGCCAACAAGTCAATCACTCATGTGAGCTGCGGGTATGGAGTTACTTAGTCAAGAGGACAGGCCAGAAACGTTCCGACTGAGGATCACGGCGGTGATCGCTGCTCTATGGCCTATGGTTTCGTAAGTCTCTTCCCTTTATGATCTCGACGCGACTAACTTCTCTCACAGCGGAGCAATCCTCGATGTATGCAAGTCCCTCCGAGCAAACTTGAACCCTTCCTTCCAAACCTGGTACAAGAGTCTCTCGCAAAGGCTCGGTCGACGACACGAATGGCTTTGCAGGCAATTGAACACTTCGGTGGACATTTTCGGATGCTTACCATGACCGTCGAACACCACCAGGATGCGGAAGCACGTGAGGGAGTCGGCCCATTCCTGGTACGTTGGGGTGGGGTGAAACGACAAATGTCCGGCAAGTCTTCGCTGAGGAAAAGGTCTGCTTGGCCCGAAGTACTCGCGTCGATGTCACGGCATGGGGCGCCTGAAAAGGCAATGTTCGGTACTCTTTTTCCCAGTGGAGTTGAAACTGATCGTACCGTTCTTCAGTGTCTGCTCTTGAAGTAGGGCTGCATCCGGGCGGGAGGGGCCAGCAAAGCTGACGTGGGGAAGAGTTGGTGCGTGCAACTGATGCATTACTGTTTTTCATTGAGTCGTCTGCCGATGGTGGCGCTTGAGGAAGAGCTGGAGTCGATCAGTACCGGGAGTGATATCATCATAAAGTTACTCCCATTGAATGTATACTGTTGGAGGACGGCACGTCGAAGGACTGGATTCGAGAGCTTCAACGGAACGGGCCGCAGATCTTTCCGCAACATCAAATAGACTAGCTTGTCCATGGCTTATAAGTTCCTTTCATGTTTCAAGTTGGAGCAGCAGACTGATCAGCCTCACATCAAATTCGACCATTGAAGACCTATGATACGTGGAGCTTAGCGTATCACTATGTAAACATACGAAAACACAACCTCACAACATATAACCTACCCACCTAACGAAACATCATTTCAAGCCCAGAATCTGGGAGGTCGATCCTTATCGGCGATCATCCCCAATTCTCTCTGTGCTCCAACCGTGTCAGGCATGATGGACATCTCGGTATCGGACCTTACCAACACCCGATGGGCCCTCACGCTACACCCTGAAGACCTCATAAAAGATACGATCGCGACGTCGGGGGATGGCGCATCTGCTGAGCGAAGGGCTTCCAACTCGAGCTGCCCGCATTCGAAGAGGACTTTCGATTCGACCTTCATCCTAGAGAAGTGACGACACAGGACGTTCGTCCGCGGAATCTGCAACCTGTCGCTGCACAGCATCGCCCTTCTTGTACGGGATATCCCTGGATTCGCTGCGAGGGACGTGATCATCGCTGTGATGGCTGCAATGTCGAGGCAGCGCGTACGTGGACCGGGGTGTGAAAGATGCAGAGAAGGTCAAAAATGGGATGGGCGATGCATAGATTGATTGTGCTGTCCAGCACTGAGGACTTGATGTGGGCTTCTGGCCAGAGCTCGACGTGAAGTAAGTGTTGATTAAAAAAGGTCTGTAGAATTGATCTTTGATCTGCTGTTGCACCCGCGCTTTCATAGCGAACAGGTCCTACACCAACTTGATGTGTATGAATATCGTACGATTTCGAAGTCCAGCCGTACCAATATTTGTCCGAGTTTGAGGCATCCTTTTGCTGGCTGGTAATCATGCGTAAGAATACACCATTAGCAATCTTGAAGCTACATGCTGGCACTCTAAGGGAGTGTCAGTCTTGGCTATGATGACACAGTTCTTTCCGACAGGATTCCTCGTAGATTCTTCCTCGTAGAAGGACGAAATTCAGGCAAGCCACATTGTACAACTCTTCGGAAGTTCGAAGATTTCGTCATTCCGCCGTCATCCGGACGTCATCCGCGGAAAGAAGCATTTATTGTTATTGATACGCCCAATACGAGGTGCGTCAAGTCGCCAGGGGCAGTGCGTGTTAGCTACAATGGGAAATTGGAGGTGCAAGGTGGGGCCCGTGATCGTTAAATACAGTTTTTGCTTTTTGAGGAAGCACAACGATCGCCAAGGTATAGTCTACCCAACTAATGCCGCTGGTCCACTTTAGGCTAGCGCAGCTGGTGCTGCCTGTCCCATTCGTCACGGTGAATAAGTCCGCGCCCCATCAGCACAACCGATACCTTCTCTGCCTACATGATACTTCATCTCGAGCTTTCGAAACTATGTCTTCCAGTGGGCTGCGGGCTTTGCGGGCTCTTCTTCCAGCCGTTGAGCCATCCCAGCGACAATTACTGTCAGAGGAGCCGCGCGCGAAGAAAAGACCCAGGCAGACAGCTTGTGTGCCGTGTCGCGACCGCAAAACGAAGGTGAAAGGGAGATACTCTCATCTGCACCCGCTCCTCTAGTAAAAGGCTAACAGTAGGACAGTGCGATAGCGAAAACCCCATCTGCGGAGAATGCACCAGGAAGTCAACTGTGTGCCGTTACCCAGAACTAGAGATTAGCCTGTCCAAGCATGATTTGCAAAACCAAGTGCAAGACCTCAAACGTCGCGTCTCCACGTTTGAGAAGTTTCTCGAATTGCTCAGGACGGCACCTAGAGAGCGTGCCATCAGCATGCTCGAGCACGTTCGAGCTGGAAACGACATGGATATCCTGCTAAACAATTTCACCGGAGCAGACCTACTATTACAACTTTCAGTTGTCCCTGAGACCGGAAGGCGCTACGATTTTCCTTTTGCCAAGGGCATGCCTTTGCACTTACTATTCGAGGGTAATACATATCTCGATTCTTTCGTGTATGAAGCCGTGATCCCTCAATCAACGCCGAGTACTACACGGCTCGAGAGAGCGATAAACGGTATAAACGGTGTAAACAGTACACTTCAGGGGTATCCCATTACATTCCGTCAGGGCGCATACGACAAGCCATTTCGGGCCGCGAAAATGGCGGACCCAATGCTCGAGAAGATTGACGTTTCGAAGTGGACGTCGGTCAGTTCGGACAATCGAGTCCTGCGGAAGTACCTAGGATCTTATTTCCTAAACCCCTCAGTACTGTCTCCGGTGCTCCATAAAGACCTTTTCTTTGAAGACATGATTACTGGTGAATGCCGTTTTGCGTCGAAGCTTCTTGTCAACGCTGTGCTAGCTGCCGGATGTGTAAGTGAACTGTGTCCACTTCAAGAGCCATATTCTTACTGAAATCCACAGCAAAGCTGCCTTGATCTGGAGGATCGTTGGATGCTGTGGAATCCAGACAATATTGCCTACAAATTCCTGAGCGAGTGTAGGCGTTTGTGGGATTTAGAACTGCCTCAGAACAGCCAATTGACAACAGTTCAAGCCGCCTTGATAATGAATGTTACGTACAACCTCAATGCCAATGACTTCATCGCAATCCGATATCTGGATCAGGCGTGTGACATGGCCAAAGCGCTTGACCTCTTTGGTCCAGCCGGCCACGGTACCTCGGACGAAAGCTACCGCGCTCGTACAATCACCGCTTGGGCTCTCTGTAAGTGAAACCAGATCGACTCCTCAAACTCCTTTACCTATAGCGCAGGACTGAACTTTGTTGCGCAAGGGTCGCGACAAGCTGCGGTCTGCCTTACGTACTCTCGCCCACTCAAGATCAAGAAGCCGCCTGCGATGGCACTACCAGATCCCATGAGACAACCAGGATTCTACGCCAATGATATACGGGTGCAGTATCCGCTCTCGGAACAGCTGGTATCACTACGCATGGACCACAAGATGCACCTGGAAGCCCAGCTGTACCGGACTCTTGGCGAGATGGCAAGTTCTTTGCCTGTGGAGAAGCAATCTTTGGCAGACGCATTTCGCTTGAAAGGGAAATTGGACCAGTGGTTCTCTAAAGTCACCGAGTTATTTGATCCGAAGGTCCTGGTCTTCCCGATCCACTTTGATCTTCAGTGAGTGCATGCGAAGCATCTTGTTACACACCCTAACCTATTCAGTATGCAATACTACTACTGGATCATTCGCTTGTTCCAACCGTTGATCGTCCAGACAGCAACAGCGGCACCCGCGCCGCCGTCATCACTGGACGGAACGCCTCAAGGCATCGTGCGCCACTCGCAAGTCATGTTCGAGACCCTCCTCCGAATTTACTATCTTCGGCACAGTTACAGCACCTATGACGCATGGATCATCCACTTCCTCCTAGTACTAGGCACCAACGCACTCAATTCCCTCTACGATGCCACCGCTCCCACAGCATTCCAACATCCAGCCGACGCACTGTCTTCGCTCCTTCTTGCGGTTAAGGGCCTCAAGCAACAGAGCAAGAACGTATACATCGCTAGGATATGCGCGCTAGGACTGCAGAAGAGCATGAGGCCAGACGATCTACAATGGGTGAGGACGTTCCTTTTTCTGAAGCCTGTCACTAAAGAAGACCAACGCATGATCGACGAGAGCGCGAGGTGTTCGTATCCCGTGCCGATAGTCAGTTCTGAGGGGCAGCTAGAGACGAGAAAGCTGGGCGAGATAATGAAAGGCGTTGAAGAGCTACCTGTGGAAGAATAGCGCTTGGAACTAGATGGGGGCCCAGAAAGATGACGTGGCATTGAATAAAATCCAACAAAAGGTTGGATGATGGGAAGAACTTCTGCTGGGAGTTTACATGGATGATACCATGGGTAAAAGCTTGTGTGGCTTTCTGCATTGCGTTTGATTTGTCTTAGGTTATCTCTCACTCCTTCTATGGTATTACATCGGAAGGTCACCTTCAGTGGCCACGCGACAGGAATGGCCATGCTATCTGCATGGCTGTGTTCGTATTTCGGGTATAGTCTTAATATCATGCGACATGAAAGTGTTCGCTACGACTTTCGTTGACAAGGAATGATATGGCTCCAGTGTCCTCAGTATCATGTATTTGACCATCCGTCTTAGTTGGTAATGAGTGTCATCACCTCCAGAAGGACTGCAGCAAAAAGCCCGACATCAAGCTCACCAGCTCGGAAGAAGCCGCAAAGCCGAAACAACCTTCCTTGTAAGCGCGCCAACATGAGAAGCATGGTAATTGATCATCCGTCTTTCGTACAAACACATGATAATCGTAGTGTAATTGCGCTCAGGAAGAGACGTAGTATCACAGCTTGGACTTTTATAATGGAGCCGGACCACATCACCGAGTGGAAAGATGCTTCCAGACTTGCCCAAAAGACATGAAGTATACAACGCTGCTTTTCGATACCGGGAGATCCCCAGGCCATAGATGACCACGGTATTATCTTTGGAATAAGATAGCTTGTGGCAGTCCTACCCGTACAGGGCGCGCACATGGCATAAAGTCATACACATGTCAATTATGCTGCAAATATTATAGAAGGACTACAACATCTGGACAACAGAGCCCGCGAAGACATAATCTTGACCTCGTATGATTTCGGGGCCGGAGCGAGCTCCGAAAGACCATGGGTCTATGAGCCAGCAGTTTTGGATCGCAAAGCTCATGAATATAAGACCGGACACTTCGAAACAGGGCCAGAAACAAAGACATGAGTCGCGCCCCTCGGATCTTTTAGAAGTGAAGAGGACTCGTGCAGAGTGGTGGAGTCGAGGTCAAGCAGATCAGAAGCTTCTTATAGACGGAGAAAGGCCGAACAGAGATAGAACCGCGTGTGTAGTCGGAAAGATTCCGAAGTCACACATCATCAGTGCGTATTTTTGATGTATCATAGTGGTGAGGACAGTAAGGTCCTTCCAGCAGCGAGAAAGTGCACATGCGATGGCATGGTAGAATTTTGAGACACCAAGAAACATGAACTTGTGCCGCCTTGCTTTTGGATCGCCTGGGACCGTGCAAGGACATGAACGTGCGCTAGGTGTTTTGGTCTCCGAAGCTTCGGAATCCCATAGGGTATAGTCGATCTGCTTTTTTCAGAGACGGACGGTTCCATCAAATAGTAGGTAGTAGGCTTTGGAAGCAACACCAGACACCAAAAGACATGTATTTGGCCTGCGGAACTTTCGCATGGAAAAGATGGAGTCATTTTAGTGCCAGTGCCGGAGAACCAAGGCATCAGATTGCAGCAGTACTTTTTTGGTCAGACAAAAGCGGAGCAATGTGTGTGCAAGAGTAGAAACGGGGCAGAACAGAGGGTCTTATAGACAGAAGAAGGTCGAACAGAGATGGGACGACGAAAGTACCAGTAGGCGATAGTGCTGTCTAATTTTTGGATGATGGAGCCGATCATCATCGAGGGGTCCGACCTAGTTTGATGGTCGAGACACCCGCATAGCACTTCGTGAGCTCTTAGATATGGACGTATACGCAGCTATTTGCTGGGTAGCTGTCCCACATCATCGCAGGAGCATCTGCTTCTGCTTGCGTTCAATGAGATGTCCGAAACCTCAAGCGCCAGCCAGCAGATCTCTAGAGTCATCATTCACCTTTGCCTTTCCGCCGCCACCGCCCCCTCCGCCCCCTCCGCCCCCCCCGCCCTCCCCGACCGCCACGGCCACCCCTTCCTCTGCCTCCTTTACCACCTCTACTTCCAACCTCCTTCTCCCATGCGTCCATATCAACGACCACGCCATCTGGTAGCACACCTTCACTCATCAGCACGCCTCCGTCCTTCTTCCTGCTCTCCACCCTCTTGAAGAACTCATACGGCAGAAGCCCCTTTTCGTTCCCCTCTGACAGAATGACCCCATTCTCACTGATGAAGAACTGGATCCCCGCCTCGAGCGCAGCCTTGATATCGATGTAAACGAGCACAGTCGACGACTTCCTCATCCCCGAGATAACCGGCGGCGCCTCCTTCTCCTCTCCCGCCGCCTCTCCAGCATCCAGCGCCTTAAATCCCGCCGGCAGTCCAGATGCAAAGTGAATATGATTCCTCGTCATGCGCCTCAACCCTCCACTCTTCAAGATGAGATTCCACGCCGCCTCGTCCGTCCCATGCACAACGACATCCGGCACATTTCCCTTCTCCACGGTAATAGGCGTCAGCAGACCCTCAGTATCAACCTTGATACTATGTCCCTGATTCGCCCTAATAACCCACCTACTCGCATCCTCCTCTTCTTCCCCACCAACATCAACACCCTCAACCCCCTCCGCCTCGTCCTCTCCAACCTTCTCCAATCGCTCTTTCAGCACCATGGAGTACCGCTGCTTGTCGTTCGTCCTTACAACATCTCTTAATTCCGGGAACGTGACTTTGAGCTGTGTAAGGCAGCGTGTGCGGAGGGCCTCGTCCACGCCGACATATCCACCTTTGCCGAGCTTGAGACCCTCGGAGTTTGCGCCGTGCCGGAGCAGCCACGATACTTTGCGTGAGACCTGTTGTTCGCGGGGGAGGGAAGCAGGGTTGCGGCCGCCGCGGCCGCCGCGCGCCATTATGAAGAGTTTGGGTGGGATTTTGAACTTTGGTCGTGGAGAATGAAAGTGTGCGGTTTCTTGGTGTTGATATGGGCTTGGCTGGCTGGGATGGAGTCACGCTATATGTGAGGGATCATGGGTCGAGATGAGTCGATCATAAGGATGCCTCAGGCGATGGTTGCGCCCTTGGTCGAAAGGGAAAGAGCAGTGGCGTTTGTGCGGGAAATGCGCCACAGGTGCGCCACAGGAACATGTCCAATCAGATCAGGTCTGTTACCCTGTTACAATCTCGCATCAATTGCACAGCCTCCTAGGTATACAGTAGGGCGGAAGTTGCTCCGGTGAGCGCTGATTAGGCGGAGCAGCTTTACAATGCAGATCACTTGCAATACATGAAACAGCCTGGTTGTACACTTTTGTATGTCTCATCTACCTTTTCGCCAAGATGCGAGCGCTTCATGACGAAGCGCGATAAAGTAAAGGGTATCGTTTCCGCAACACCTGTCTTTATAGACAGATGTATGCCAATCCGTCCGAACGCTCACAGTGCCATTCTTTTTGAGATCCAAGTATCAAACGCGATAATTTTCCGAGAAAACAAAACGCCCACGATGTGTGCGCCCTAGATGGTATCATTCCATGCGCAGAAATTCCAAGAAATGGTAGACGTCGCAGTGGCAACGCAAATGTGAAGATCAAGTACAAGAATAACTGGGTATCCTGAATCGGAGTCAAAGGCGGTCGTTTGAGAGTTCCTGCTCTCGCGCAGAAACCTGTCTGGCCGGGGTATCATTTCTATTTTCATCTTCGTCAAACATGCCGTTTAGTTGAGGGACTCGCATGGCTGTGTCCGAATGATCACTGTAACGTACGTAGCATCGCAATCGTTTGTCCAATTCAAAAGGTGCTCAGGCGGTGCGGTGATAACCAATGTTACGGCGCTGGTAGTTCTCTGATGAGGCGGCCATGTTGACGATGGAGTCACTACCAACCCCCCATGTTCGGACCACCAGCGCCATAATGAGGTGGTACACCGTATCCATGACCGCCACTCAGACCTAGGCCAGGATCCATAAAGGTTTGCGCCCATTCTTCTCCTCCAAATATTTCGTCAAAGCTCAAGTTCGTAGGGTTCTGGCCGGGTATTTGAGGTGAAGGCCCGTGAACGTTTGTTTGAGGGTGGAAACTTCGATGTTGCGCACCTTGCATAAGATACATGGGCATCGGCCCTAGGAGTTGTACCTCATTATCTGGTCGCCTTGACCCTGGAGGTACATTAGCTAGGGGGCTTGAAGTGTAAGTTGCAGGGCTCGGCTTGATGTCGACACCAGTGTATTGTGGAGGCAGTTGCGCCATATTCGGCGAGCCGTGCTTGAATTGATAGGCCTGCGGGTGATTGTTTTCGAAAGTAGTCATGGGCTGGTTTGGATAAGCCAAAGGATCTGCTGACGGGAACATCAAAGTGTTGATGTCGACATTGAGTCCTGATGCATCAGGTACAGTCGTCAAGGGTGATCCAGCAAAAGGCTGCCCCAGACGCGGGTGAGACCCTGCCGTCAAACCATAGCTGCCAAGGCTGCTGGTAGTGGCTGATGTTGGAGTCAGGCTCGGTGTCGCTTCAAAATAGTCGGAGCCCGGCGTAGGAGTGCTATAGCGGTCAATTCCCAGACTAGAAAGATGACTTTGCGATAGCGGAATGGCCGTCTTGCTATGAGGCGGCAGTGATTCTGGGAAAGTTGATGCTCGTCTAACGCCCATTGCGATGAAGTCCGAATCCTGCTTTAGCGCATGCGGCCGAGAATGCATCGATTGCGGTGAACTTGCTTGTCGACGTTTCTTATTGTCAGTCGGCTCACCTCCACGCTTCACCACTTCGGGTAGTCTGTCGAAAATACTCTGAATGTGAATTAGAACGACAATGAAGACGATACACGTGAAAAATATGCACGTACCTGTAAAGTCTCTGCGCATCTGTCCGCTGCGAGACTTTGTTTAGCGAAATAATCAAGGAGCTCCTTCCCTTCCACGACTTCCCGGAAAAGTTCCCGGCTGGTCTGACTTGTCGGATTCTCTAGCACAAAGTAAAGAATAGAAATAATAGAGAAGAAGGTGGAGTACATGGAGAACCAGTACGCACCAACGAGCAAACCTCGTTTCTTCATCTCTGCTGATATGTGTATGATGTTGCGCGATACACTGATGCAAGCAGACGCACAAGCGAACGCCCGTTGGTCGACCGAGGCTTTGCTGCGTTCTGTGCTCGACACGTAATGTAGGAAGGGCCGATATAGAAGCAATTGAGCGTGAGCGAACGCCATGCGCAACAGTTGTTGCACTCTGCCATATTGTCAGCTAAACAAGCGAAACTCATGATGACGGTCTACTGACCGGAGAATGATGGGTGGGGCTTCACCGCCGGGCTTGAGCGCCATCGGAAGCTCGTCTAGCCATCTCTGCATGCTTTGTTCGATTTCCCGAATCTTGGAGTAGCTCACAGAATAGGTAACTGAGTGCTTCCCACCATTTTGCGTGCCTTTCGTCGGATACACATATTGACAAAGCTTGCTAAGAATTCGAACAATCTTCACGTGGGCATTCGAGGCGTGCATGATCGAGATCTTGCCCTCGGGCATAGGGAGAATCTCGGTTTCCGTGATGTACTCGTCGTCAACTTCGGTTGGGTAGTCCTGATCGACATCTTCGTCTTCGATGAAATGAGGCAACCCTAACATTGCACCCACATACGTGTCCATTCTCCAAATAGCCCAGAATAAACGTTTGCGAGTTTCTGCTTCTATTGGTGTGAAATTGATATTGAACGACCGGTGCATGCCCATTCGAATGGCGGAACGCAAGGCGACACCGATATAGGAATAACACGTGGACAGCTTGGCTGTGCTCTGAAGAAATTGTATCATGAACACGATAGCTTGCAGGGACGTTGAATCGCGACAGTCTGTGACGTCTAGAAGTTGACGTGACGTTCGGAAATACTTGTACCTGGAACAGGTCAGCGAAAGATGATTTGGAGCAGGGTTGGCGACGTACCCTTCATCGGCGTAGCCTTCAACTCCAGCTAGCTCGGCCGCACTGGAGACTTTAGGAAAGAGCGTGCCCAGCGCTAGCACAGCATATAGTAGTGGTAGAAAGGTATTTTCCGCATTACCGTAGTTCTCAGGCGTTATCTCATATATGCGATCGAGGGATTTGTAAAATGATGGCAAATGCACGACTCGAAGCATTGCACTAGCATCGATTAAGGCACTGTCGCACAGTGTTCTCGCAATCTTCTTGGGTGGTAAGTCGGTTCCAGCTGGAAGCGCTGTAGAATCCGCGGGTGACGGATGAGCAGAATTCGGCGAATCTAGCACTTGAGAAGGCGGCCGGTACTTAAATAGTGAAGCAGAGGGCGCTTTGCCACTAATTATGTCTCCGTACTCCTGCTGAATTCTGCGCATGAAACTCAGTCCCGACGACTGGCCGTGGTAGTCCCAATTGCCATCCTCGTCAAGGTCCAAATTACCAGTCGCTTTTACCATGGACTCCAGATGGGAGTCGGTCGTGTCCTCGACCCTGGCTGGATCATCGCGACGTGGCGCGCTACGTGGTTCTTGGAATGGCTGTGGTCGGGCTGGCGCAGCGGGAAATTGTGGTAGCATTCCACTCTGCAGATGAGCGTCAATGCTGGCATCACCGATATCCAGTGTGGGAAAAACAATTGACAATATGGTCTTGGCTCGCTTTAGCTGTGACTCGAGCGCTTCGATGTACTGCGGCGCAGCAGTGCGCCGTCGATTGGAAGGCTGATCGTAAGTACATTCTGGAGGCGTGTCATCAGCAAGTGCGCAACGCGCGCAAGGATGGCGACAATGCGGGCGGGCTTACCATAGCTATATACCGTGCAATGGGTGCAAGGTTGCTTGCCGTCGCACTTGATTTTCTTTCGGCGGCACTCGTCGCTGGGTTCTGTTAACACTGCACAGCCTCAATCGCCACGCTGGTACGTACCATGCACGAGTTACCCGCCTTCGCTTCTGCATCGGCCCTGTGGCTGTCCTGTGTGGCTGTTCCTCACTATCATCGTTGATTGGTGACGTCTGGTCATCGCCGTCGGGAGTGTCTTCGAACTGCACGGCGGCGTCACGGGCAGCGTCAGCGGCCTGTACATCAACGACCGGGGAGGTGGAAGCATCCATAGTGTGGCACGCAGTGGGAGCATCGCAGACTGGGAGGCGCGCAAGCTAAGAAGAATTGAATCAATTTGTCGGCTGGCATTGACTAAGCCGCGGGGAGGGGCGGTGGGAGTGGCTATCCACTGAATTAGAATTCAGGTGGATCCGTGGGCAAGGGCGGAACTGGAGTAGCGCCGAGCCTTCGAGCGTTGGCAATTCGGAGTCGTCCGCGCAGGCGTCACTGAGGATGAAGAACGCAGTTGTCCGCTTGGCACAGAGGTCGACGGTCCATTGCCGTGGGGACCGGGCAGCGAATCGCCGGTGGCCGCACGCGGGTTCAGGCGCTTTTACGAGGGCACATCCAGTAGGGCAAGGCGCTCAGGGTTGGCCGTGGCGGAAGAGGACGACTGCGCCCGCCAAGCTCGCTTATCTGCAGCCTGTGTTGCAAGCTGTGGCGTCACAGCGCATTGTTGGGCGTCGCGAGGCGCATTGATGCCAATGTGAAAAGAGGGGAACCCGCAGAAAAGCCACCACTGCCACAGGTTCATGGAGACGCCGAGCAAAGGTGCGCCGCCGCTTGGGCCTGCACCCACATGTCGTGGCGCGCGCCAGCACGATGCTCCCTCCGCCGGTATTGACGTCTGGCTACAGGAGGGTTGCAGCGGGCGAGTGATCGTCTGTTCCATTGCAGCCTGCCCCGCCGAATCCGTTCTCTTGCGGTTCTGCCAGGCGGATGCTGCTTGGGGGACGATCAGCACGGATAAAACGTGCCGGAGTCGTTTATGGCGTATTGGAGCCTCGTCCAAGCCAAGCCGCCGTTGTCCACTTTCGTGTCGTCGCTCGGTCTCACGCAGCGTGCGAGGATCCGAAGCCCTGTCTTCCACCCCCACCGCTGCCACCAGCCTTCTCAAGCCACCATGGCGTCACCAATTGGAATGGAATGTGACCGAGGTGGCATGCTGCACCATTCCGCTTGCAGGACGGGTGGATTCGAACACTGCACCGATGTCGCAGCCTCTGGTGCTGTTGCCGTGACTTGTCCTGCAGATTCGAGTCGAAACTTGCAAAGGCTCCAGGCGACAACAACTCCAACATTTGGAACCCTTTGTGGCTCGTGAGGCTCCACTCCGGTGCGCGAGGTACTTCTGAAAATGTGCTTGCAATGTGACCGGCTCCGAATTGAGTGGGCCTTCCTCCAGCACGATGGATAACCTAACACTCATGCATGATGCATCCTTGCACAGCCATCCTGGAGTGGAACACACTTTCATTGGAAGCAAGGAACGGCCACGTATTCCCTGTCTGCTTCGTAGGTGCTCTTTGAATCGTGAAATATATTGTGCATTTCCACGCAGGCCGCGCACAAGGTTTGATTCTGGGGAAACAGCCGGTGTGTCTTCTCTCACCGGTAGCGTAATAGAACACGGCAGATTCAGCATTCGAGTCCCGGTGATGTTCCCTCTCGGTGGCACGGTACAAATCGTCAGTGTCCGAGGCTGCAGGTCTCACTCGCTGTGGCAACTTGGTCTGATGAATCAAGCCCGTCATGCTACTCTAATTTCTGACGGGCACCTTGGTACGAAGACCCCACGATGGTTTCTTAGCTGCCCAGCGCCCGTAAGTGTGGAAGCCCGGGTTTTCTAGCGCCCTCCCATGCTTCGGGTGCAGCCACGAGCATTCCTCGTACGCACGCTGCACATTACGTACTAAACCTGTGGGCTAGCTGCTCGGGGAAACCCTGGCGAGTTACCGCCACTTTAAGGCGGCTTGACCGCTGCACTCGCCTCAATTTGCGGCCTCGGACATAAAGCGGACGCTCAGTGATGCGCACCGATCCGATATGACAGATCATCTTTGATCACTGATCGGTCGGATTTCTGCTTCGCATCGAGAGATACTGAGTCATCATGGAGAGTTATCGTCAACAGCAAAAGTGTGAATTACTCGGCGGACCTTGCGCTATCCGACGGGAAGTCGTCTCGTAGTGCTCAGGTGGACACTGAATCAGCTGACAAGCCCACATATGTCAAGCTCGCGGATATATGTATGTATCGTCGTGTAAGTTTGCCCCAGTAGGGAAGGAGCACCGGGACATGTTCGCAATCTCTCATCCACTTGGCGTAAGATAGGTATCTACCTCGGATAAAGCCATATCGAAGTATTGATTTTTTTGTGGGCATGAGCTATTCTCATACTCGTACAACCAAACGCAGTGCGGCGAATTCCGTGTACGAGTAGTGCTGGCGGGACGCGCTGTTACTGCGACTCAGAGTCTCCGTCGTCGGGACAATTGCGGTTGAATGAGGCACAGGGCGATGGAAATAATCAACCCTCGTGTATCTCCGGTGCAGTTGTCAACTCCGACAATGCACAATCGCTCGCTGCTGAGGCTGACCGCGAGGCCTCACTTGGGCCCACTTCCGAGGAACCTAAGACGGAATATGGAAAAGAAAATCGTCCGATAATCGACAACCTGCGAATTTCTAATCCTCAATCCACGACCAATTGAGGCAAGACGACAGATTCGCTGACGCTGTCCGGTTCCTGACGCCTATAATAGATGCAGCATGCGACACGAGATCAACTACCACATTGGTGGTTGCATCCAATCACGCCGCTGGCAGTCGCAATACTGACTCCCGGAAAATTCACCCGGTAAGGAGCTCCGTATACCTGACGCGATTTGCCGGCAAGGTGAGTCAAGCTGATTAAACAGCAGGTTCATCGGTATTCACACTCCCCTTCACCAGCTCACCCTGTCAACTTCGGTCTGACTGCTTACATTTCCTGGTAGATGGATAAATTTCGTACAGCGAGTATATCGTGAGTCGATGGCATTACCACAGGGCCGAAGATGAGTTACTATGAAGCGGTGAGGCGGTGTGCAATGTCCATGACCATACGAAAATGGATTTTGGACAACATGGAAGATGGGGTTCGAAACCAGAACACAGACAGCCTGAAGTAGGTCTGCCGACATTCCATCTCGACCGGCCTCATGACGAATGTGATGTAAAGACCTCGAGTGGGCACGCGCTCACGGGCATAGTTGCCTACTTTGCAGTAATGATCGTCTGAAAAAGTTCTCTGTGACCGGGATGTAGGAATAGCAGGCATATTCACGAGCTGACTTGAAAGATGACGAAGTATGCAACCTTCCGGCAGTGGGCGAAGATCTTCAGTAGCTGGCATGTGTGCATGTCGTTGAATTGCCGAAGTTATCGCGTTCGACGTTGAACTCGGTTCCCGCATCTCCAAGGAGAAATCAATTCAAGATGACACGGAACGTTGATCGCCAAGAACGAAGCAGGTCGTTCATGCAACACCTATATGTTAGTCAGAGTAGTACTACTACCCAAGCCCAACATTGGTAGCTTAAACAGCAGCCTCGCAGGCTTCGCACAGGGTAGGAGAACGCAAGTCGAAGTAGTCGAGTGCGATGTTCCACGTTGAGACGGTGTGTGCTCAAAACTGGACAATGTGCGACCAGAAAACGGCGCGTTGGGGAACGAAATCAAGTAGTCGATTTACAAGGTTCGTCAAGACTCCTCCTTGTGTTGCATTTCCGTCTTGTGATGTACGTGGTTGCATTGTATTAACACATGTGGACGGAAAACGTCGATCATTATGGACGAAGGGAAAGAGCAGGCTGTCCGAGTGTCCATGCAGCACCTGTATGTTGGTCAAACGTAGAAGGGTCCTCAGCATTGACCTTTCAACAGCGGCCAGGCCTTCTGCTTCGTTCGCATGTGCAAGTAGAGAAGCTTCCCGAGCTCCTCGAACAACGTGCGCAAGCACAAGACGCCGGTCTGTGTTCAGAAGACGAATCAGGGCAGACCGGGCGACAGGAAGGCCGATAATAGTACTTGTCGAACAAACCCACAGATGAAATCGATGTCAACGAAAAGGACGTCACGAAAAGGAACAAATTGTGTTGTAGATAGCAGTCCATGTTGCTGTTCCAGAGGCAGTTGCGATGGATGTGCGGCGCGCTAACCCATTCGCGTCGCTTCGCTAACTAGCGCCGCCAAGCCGCACACTCTCGCGAAGCCAACAGGCGCAACTTTGGATTTCTCTTCGACAGCAACGACCATACTAACACCCAGCACCATCCGGAATCGAGCATCATGTCGTCCTTCGAGCCCGTCATTGTACGTACGCCTGCTACAAGCAATTGCATACCTTTGTCCGAGTTGCGCACTCGTCGCCGAGTCGCAACAAAATCCTATCGACACCCGCAACGAGTTTGGAATAAGAGCTTTGGCTAACAAATGGCGAAGGTCATCGACGGCAAGGGCCACCTGCTCGGCCGCCTTGCCAGCACTGTCGCAAAGCAGTTGCTCAACGGCCAGAAGATCGTTGTCGTGCGATGTGAAGCCCTCAACATCTCCGGCGAGTTCTTCCGCGCGAAGTGTACGTACTACCCGAACCGACCATAAGGTGCATTGGCATGGACCAGAGACGATTTTGTACATGCGGCAATTTGCAAAACAATATTCTGACTGGGAGGATTGTCTCTGCTTTGCAGCCGCACCTCGATTCACACTACGTGAGCACCTGGCTGACATTAGACTGTAGTGAAGTACTCTGCTTTCCTCCGCAAGCAGACCCGTTACAACCCCACCCGTGGAGGTCCCTTCCACTTCCGCGCTCCCTCCAAGATGTTCTGGCGTACCGTCCGTGGCATGATTCCTCACAAGACCCCTCGTGGTGCTGCCGCCATGGAGCGCTTGAAGACCTTCGAAGGTGTTCCCCCGCCCTACGACAAGAAGAAGCGCGTCGTCGTTCCCCAGGCTCTCCGTGTGCTCCGCCTTAAGCCTGGACGCAAGTACTGCACCGTCGGTCGTCTCGGCCACGAGTTCGGCTGGAAGTACCAGGACGTTGTCTCTCGGTATGTCATATCTCACAATCTGTATCGAAGTCCTGCTAACGAAGAACGTTTAGCCTTGAGGAGCGAAGGAAAGCCAACGGCGCTGCGTACTACGAGAAGAAGAAGCAGGCACGCAGGCAGCTTGCACAGGCCAAGAAGGACGCGAAGGTTGATACCAAGGTCACCGAGCAGCTCGCTCAGTACGGCTACTAGATTAGATGGATGATGAGCAGGGTCGGCGTGCAATGCATTGGTCTTATGGGAATTTTTCGACCTCCAAGTATCTTTCGACCATCGGTCAGGGTGTCCAGGCAAAAAGAGCTTCAAAGTGCTCACGAGTTCATGGGTTCCTTCACGGTCAGATACTGTCTTCCGAATAGAAGAAACACAAAATGAAAATCTCAGGGCTGCATGGGTTCGGTAATGTCATGGAGTTGGTCTTGTCAATAATGATATCCATGTCTGACATTCGCCGATCCAGTGATGCCGCGTGCTGTATCTTAAACATCAACCCAACTGACGGCCGTCGCTATTCCCAGACCGGGCGCGGACCGATGCCGCTGGCGGCCGCCGGGGGGAGGGCGTTTCTAGCCAATCGAGTGACCATGACCTCGGCTATGTCGCGTCTTAACTACCCCAGTTGTTGCTACCCCAGCTTTCGATGACAGCTTCGCATCTTCGTTACCCATTCCTACTACGCTTTCTTCACTGGCAAACAACTCGATTTATGTAGTAGAGGCTATTGGATATATCGCATATCCTTTCCTATCAACGTAGTCATTGCTGAAGACATCAAGCTGTAGGCTTCGGAAGTGCTCCGCATCCCCTCAAAGCTGTGCCCTCGATACGCCTTCGCTATCCGATCCAATCCCTCGTACGCTACGTGCAGCGCACTTGTCTTATTTACCTTCAGAGACCAATATATACCCTTAAGCTGGGCTCCATACCATTACCACCGCTTCGGAACTCCATCCTACCCCGCGACCCCGCGGCCCTGCCCGTTACTCTGCACCACTCCTCAACCGGAGGTTCACAGGCGCGATGAGCCCAATTGAAAGAATACAGAAGCTAGCTTCACATTTCACATTTGCAAGTCCATTTCCGGGTCCTGCAAACAAGATACAACCCGGAGATAGCCATGGGTATCACCACAGGAATAACTTCCACACATTGTCGCCGACGAGCTTTCTGTGGCGAGCGGCATGCATAGAGCCAAATGTATGTTACATCCCCCACAGTCTATCATCTTTCTCAAACTCCAACTAATCAAACAGCGCTTCACATAGGCCACAGCCATCTACCACAGGACCGCAAACAACAAGATCCTCCAACGCTCCTACCTAGAAACCGCTGATCGAGCGCGCGGGCTCGCTTACTATCTGCGCAAATACAATCACAAGCGCGTCGGACTGCTATGCACAAACACTCCTGCCTTCCTCGAAGCACTGTTCGGTATCGCAGCTGCCGGTGCCGTCTCGGTAGCCGTGAACTACCGGCTGAAGACCGACGATATATCATATATTCTCCAACACTCGGATGTCGACGTCATAATCGCAGACTATGAGTTTGAGGAGCTGCTAGGGAAATATAAGAAGGGGAGTCCCGGTGTCAAGATCATCGTGGACACAGATACAGACGCGACGGAAGGCGAGCTAAGCGGACCATTTGACGACGCGGTCTTCGAGGGTCTTACCTATGACCGCGAGAACGGATCTAAGGGCTGGGCAGACCTAGAAACGCAAGCGAAAGATGAGGAGAGCGTGATAGCGTTGGCATATACTAGTGGTACTACCGCGCGGCCGAAAGGTGTTGAATACACGCATCGCGGATGCTATCTCGCCGCGATGGGCAATGTTATCGATTCCGGGCTCAACTTTCACAAGGGCCGAGCCAAGTATCTCTGGACTCTTCCCATGTTCCACGCCACCGGCTGGACATTTCCCTGGGCCGTCACCGCCGTGCGCGGCACGCATTACTGCCTCAGAAAGATCGACTACCCCGAGATATGGAGGTTGTTGAAGGAAGAGAAAATCACCCACTTTAATGCCGCGCCTACTGTGAATACATTACTATGTGCAGCGAAGGAAGCGGAAAAGCTAGACCACCCTGTGCATGTTACCGTCGCAGCAAGCCCGCCTTCAGCATGGCTATTTGAACAGATGACAAATCTAAACCTGCATCCTGTCCACGTGTACGGCCTCACAGAAACGTACGGCCCGATAACGAAAGGGTACCATATGCCGGAGTGGGAAGAGCTCCCTGAGAAAGAGAAATATGCGAAGATGGCGAGGCAGGGCCACGGCATGGTAATGTCGCTACCATCGCGCGTCATCAAGACAGACCAACCCGAAGGCGTGCTCATCGATGTGGAGCGAAACGGAAAGGAAATTGGAGAAATCGTCTTCGAGGGCAACATCTGCGCGAAGGGCTATTACAAAGATGCTGAAGCGACCAGGAAGCTCTGGGCTGGCGGCGTGAGCCACTCCGGTGACCTCGCAGTGTGGCATCCCGACGGCGCAATCCAAATCCTAGACCGAGCGAAGGACATCATCATCTCCGGTACGTCTTCCGTCCCCAATCCCACCTTTTCCCTTCCCCTTCGCTAACTTCTCTACAGGCGGCGAAAACATCTCCTCCGTCGCCCTCGAATCCATGCTCGCAACACACCCCTTCATCCTCGAAGTGGGCGTCGTTGCGGTACCCGACTCGCACTGGGGTGAGCGGCCCAAGGCTTTCGTCACCGTCAAAGAAGGCGGATTCCTCGAGCCCGACGAGGTCATTACGTGGGCGAAGGAGAATAGCAATATTAGCAGATTCATGGTTCCGAGGGAAGTGGAGGTTGTGCAGGAGCTACCGAAAACGAGTACGGGAAAGTTGAAGAAGAATGTATTGCGGGAGTGGGCAAAGGGAAAGAGGGATGCCGTGTAGTGGATGTATATAGGTAGGCCGGATGCATATGATGATGACGTTAAACTGATATGGACGTGACTACCGTCTTAACCGTTGAAATCGTCTTCGTAGGCGTCTCCATATACTCTCGCGAACGACTGTACCCTCGGGCTCATCCGGGGCAGCTGCTTCCTCAGCCGCTGCTTGAGGTATCCTGGGTCCACTCACGACTGCATACGCAGGCGGCGGCAAGCGCGCGATGGGCGAAATCCTGCCGTCGCTGTCCACCGCACGAAGTTGCGGAGCACGTGGCCGTGGCCGAGGCCGTTGTGGCCGTGCCAACTCTTCCCACCAAGAACGTCCAAACAATGCTTCCCTTATTCGCCGACGCGCTTCAGCGAGTCGCTCGCAGGTAGGGCATACCTCTTCCCGAGTATCGCTATCCTTCACATTGTTAGTTACTTTCGCTTACGTATAATGTACCCTGGGGTAACTCACTGCCTCGTACCCAGACAGGGAACCAACAAGCGTAGTGCCGGAGAGTGTAGGGGAGCCCTGCCCGACCTCTGGAGTACGCGGGCGGGGACTTCGAACCGTGAGCACTTCATCGTCATTACTGTCGATGCCGCTGCTCAGCCACCTTTCGACGCTGAAGGAGCGCGGGAGGGCGTCACCCATGATCTCCCGGAGCCTTGCGAAGGAAACCGGAGGGAGTGTGAGCGTCAGCGGATCCGGTATCCTCCTGGCATGACCTGATGGGCGAAGAGGAGATGTATGGTTACAGCTGGGGCGGGTACTTCTGTTCGACATGGTGAAAGTACAGGTAGGATTGACTTGATGTCAGTTTGATTCGCTTGTGGTGAAGAGGAAGGAGCGAGCTGGCACAAAATCTTTTTGGATGCTGGAGTATTTGTTGTAAGTTGCTTTTCGAAGATAAACTCGATCTTGGAATTCATCTTGCTTATAAAACATGTGTTTTGGCGTTGAACACTCATAACCAAAGTTGTGTTCGCTTTCAACTGCGGTTATGCGAACCACCCTTACCACCTACACCGTGGTATCTCAAACCATCTTCAGCACAACCATGAACACGCGCAAGTTATTCTAGGATAAATACAGTGTTGGCCAGTGGTCATGCATTATGTGCTCTTAGGTGGGGCATGATGATCATCGAACGGAAATAATTCAACTCTCTCGTTCTGAAGAGCTAATCGGCAAAATATCACGTAAGTAGATTGACATGTACGCTTTGCAGAGCGATAGCATGTTGAGCAGGGATTGGTCTCACGTAGCCAGTGTACAAGATTAAAGCAAACAAATCTCTATTTTAAACGCGTGCTATCTGAACTACCTATGACAGGGACCGTCCATATTCCGCACTACCATTAATTCCTGTCTATGTCTGCACTGATGTGTTTGTCACTCAAGTCCATCTACCAGTCGCTGTCGTCGTCATCTTCATCAGCCCAGTCACCGTACTTCTCATCACTGCCGCCGTTCCAGTGACCGTGGCCGCCAAAGCCATGCGTGAAGGAGGGTGCAGCGGAAGTGGAAGTACACGACGTACTTTCACCAGCACCGCCCGTGGACTTGACGCGGTTGAAGCTATCATTTCCAGGGAAGGTCGAAGTGGTCGAAGCCGAGCTCAAGCTGCTGGAGCTCCAGCCAGACGATGAGGCAGCGGTAGATGAAGGTGCTTCAGACCAGGAAGAGGAATCCGCTGTAGGGAATCCCTTCCCACTTTCTTTCGCCGGAGTGGCCGACGAGGCATAAGTAGATGAGGGTGCACCACTCTTGCTAGACCACAACGCAGAAGACGAAGACGATGGTGCGCCACTCTTGCTAGACCACGACGCAGAGGACGAAGACGATGGTGCGCCACTCTTGCTAGACCACGACGCAGAGGACGAAGACGATGGTGCACCGCTCTTGCTAGACCATGATGCAGAGGACGAAGATGAGGGTGCACCGCTCTTGCTAGACCACGACGCCGAGGACGAAGATGAGGGTGCACCACTCTTGCTAGACCACGACGCCGAGGACGAAGACGAAGGTGCGCCGCTCTTGCTAGACGCCGTGGAAACAGACGCGGACTCAGACCATGACTTGGCAGATCCGGAGGCGGAGGTAGAGGCATGCGAAGGTGCTACTGGCTTCCATTTGGACTTTATAGCTGCGATAGATGGTGCTCCCCAAGACGAGGAAGATGTCGACGAAGACGAGGAACCAGTTGGTGTCGACCAGGTTGAGGAAGAGCTTGAGGCAGATGAAGAACCGCCTGGGTGGGACCAAGTCGAGGAAGAGATCGGGCTAGCGCTTGAAGAAGAGCTTGTAGCAGATGAAGTACCACTAGGTACGGACCATGTCGAGGAAGAGCTCGGGGTGGCACTCGAAGAAGACGACGAGTGACCACCTGGTACAGACCAAGTCGACGAAGAGCTCGAAGAAGAGCTTGAGGCCGGTGAAGTGCTTGAAGGAGCACTAGCTGTAACCCATGTTTCAGAAGCGAGCGTGTATGTCCCGGGCGTCTTCAATCCCCAGGCGGCATTTCCAGAGAAAGCCGACACTGCCTTGTCTTCGCCACGAGGTTCCAGGACACGCGCAGACACGGTTGCCTGCAACGCGAGGCCGAGAAGGGCAATCTTCGTGTGCATCTTGAAGTGTAAACGAAAGTAGATGGTACAGTGGCTTGGTGGATGATCAGACGCATATTTGCTGGAGCCCTTCTTATACTCGTTCGGAGAAGTGTCGTTCGGATAGATGCCAGCCACATGTTGTCGACACCAAAAACACCAGTTTGGTTGGAGTCCATGTTCACTGGGACCCTATCGAAGAGACGACTGCAGGGCTTGCCAAGTCCGTCAAGTCATGGTAGTTGGAGGTGCGGGAGGCGGGTCCGGTAACGGTGTTGCCGGTGCGACGTTGAGCGGGTTGGTCGGGCTAGCGCCATGTTGCAAAAGCCGCTTGGCCTCAGTGGACGGCATGTGAATTGACATCTGCCACCCAATGTGTCGCAATGTCGGCGCGGAGCACTACGGTTTCGCCGCACCTAAACAATCTGGTTCAATCCAATCACTGATTGGACTAGTAGGGTGCTGTACCTAGTACAGTGAACTTAAGCTTCACGTGACGTTCGAACTTGGTATGAGATAAGCATGTGAGTTGACTCGAGCATATCATAGGCTCTGTTGCAATGTCGGAGAGTCGGTCAAAACACTGCCGTCGAGCACGTCAGTATATGCTCTTGCTGCTGGGGGATTCTGCAGGGTACGTCTAGGGTACGTTCAGGGCAATGCCCCAGGGGAATCGTTCAGGAACATAGTTCATAGTTGCGATATTTTTGGAACGAATGCGCGTTGGTAGATCTAGCGATAAAGATACTGCAGTCGATGTATCTGATATTCCTCCCTGTCACTGTATGATAGTTGAGGCGACCATGCATGGTATGTTTAGGTCCTTAACTATGAGCAATTCAGTGTAAATCCGACGTCGAGAATTCGACATGCAACCTTCGTTCTGAAATTTTGTACCTCAGTGGTAGCTCCAGTACCAGTACTTTTACCCGGAATCTGCTCCGCGAGGGTGTTGCGCCACTCCGAGACAGTTAGGCGGGGATGAAGCAGGTATCGTGTGTGTGTGTGTGGCTGGTGAAGGTGTCCAGAGGCTGCGCCTATGCGATTTGGCATGATGATCGAGCCTAAGAACTTACGTAGAGATCTGATCGAGTCGCTCACATCGTCCCCTGAGCAATTTGACCAGCCAGTACGTCGATGACCGCTGCGAGTCCGCTACCCGAGAACCCAGGGCTTGATCTTCGAAAAATGTGCTTGTTTGAGAATATCTAGTTTTGGCCTGGAATATTCTGTATTTGTGGGTATGGCACACGGTCGGGTATTTGTGGGGATGCTGCATCGACAATCCGAAGGCATCGCTACCAGCAATGCCAGTATGATGCTCAAGCAACCAAGAGACACTTGATGTGTCCATCAGCTTTTGCGGGCACGTTCCCAGCATCCTAATGCCGAGTGGCCCCAGCTGGAAGTGACAATGTAGAGCCCCTGAAGCCAAGGGCGAATTAAGCCATACTATTGGTGTTAGGCCCGTTAAATCGACGTGGCACTGCTAAAGGACATGATGCTTCATGCTTTTCGATTTCACAATCTACTTTTCGAGTCGATATCGCCTTGAAGGACGGGTATATGGTCTCGAAACATTGCTGTTCCACACAAGGACCTGACGGACGGTGCCCGCTGTGCTGAGCACGGGCATACGCGAGATTCATATGAGCGATACAGCAGAGTGTGGGTTTGAGCGCCGACGAAGCTGTTGTTTACCCTGACAACTGCATTCAGTTAAGCGGATCACGTGCTCTACCGGATGCCCAGGTGTATCAGCCCTGGTGATTGGTTGGAGCAGGGTCCGCCAACTTCGACAGGGCAGAACAGTCGGCCCCCCGCAGGTTCCTGTCCGAATGGCTAGTAGAGGATGAAGTACGATGTAGCACGCTCGGAACCAGAGAGGTTCGTGGGGGTGAGAGGTACACGTACGCTCACAGAGAGTGATCCGGTCAATTTTTCTGGTCCAAGTGATGCACGTCGTCGATAGTGTGAAAATGTCCGTCCGGGTCTCTGCTCAGTGAAGAAATCCGGCATCGCATTCAGGATGCGGGCGGTAGTAAACAGCATCCGAGGTTTGAATACATTAGCGTGCGGAGAGTGACGCGCAATTGCTCTGCTACGGGAAGTCTTGAATGTGCTCTCCTCATTCTTGAGCTCAGGTATAATAGCGCTTTCCATTATTTCCATCCAAAGGCTTTGTGATAGAAATGCAGCAACGACCTTGTGCCTCGTCCATCGTTTCAACAGTTCGCGGCGCGTTTTACTTTCGGGTCTGAAGCAATGCCACGACTTCAATCCACTTACGAATTCCTATGAGACAACTTGTTCATCGTCGACTTACATGATTCTCTTGTGTTGTGGGTTCTGTCCGAGAGCAAATGATGATCAAAGGGTGTCGTGAGGAACGTACATAGCACGCTGCTCATGCACGACCCAGTCGTAGTTCATCGCATGGTGTGCCGTACGGAATAACTTGGCTGAATGATCTGCCTTGCGAGGATGTATCAGCGTGAGGCCACAGAGAAGTTCGGTTGGGACGGAGTGAGACGCGAACGGAATGTGCTAGATTGAGGTTGGGATTTTCCACTCGCTTATTCTTTCTTCAGGTCGGCTGCGCTTGCCGCTTCGCCCTCTACCCATTATGGTGCATGAAGACAAAACGTGGGCTGCTGGCGAAATTTGCCCGAGAGATGGTGAGCGTTGACCCCAGTTCTTTGCCACACTCTGGGTGCATGACTTAGAAAAGGATAGCACCCATGAGAAATCGTGACTGATCATTTGAACAACGCGAGGAACGACTACTATAGGTAGGGATTACCATCTTACTCATCCACAACGCGTTCGAAAATTGAAGAACTCCCTTCTGCTTAATGACCTCATACATCCTCGTATGATCCAGGCAACAACATCCCTCTGTCGATCCCAGCACTCCGCATCTTGGCCCCCATCCGCTTCTCGAAACAAGAACTGCCCCTCATTCAGCCCAACACCCTCCTGTCGCCGTTGCATATGCACACCAGCCTCTTTCAGGCTATGTATGCATATCCGTCTCAACATCCTTGACATGTTCCCACTGCCCGCCTATCGTCGGACTTTTCAGCTTTCCGTCATTTCGCGCGTCGCCAAGCGTGATTCGACGATCAAGACCTTATGGGCGCCAAAGCGGGGCACAGCCTCAATTTAGTCGCCTATCATCCCATAAATAACGAGATGACAGCCGGAAGATGGCGCGCACCTTGCTGCTTGGGATAAGCAGGCAGGCCTAGCGCTGCACTGTAAAGAGGCTTATTTCCCTAAATTGCCTTGAGGTTCCTTCAAAATCTGAATTTGTCGAGCTATCTATCCAGCGTCGCTAAATTGCGGACCGTGGGATATCCGTGAATCTGAAAACAAAAGCACTACACCAAGCTATATTTGTATCACCTGCATCATCGCGTTCGTATCGCATTTTTGGGTTCAACAATTGGACTGTATCAATAAGACACAATGGCAGGCTACGGTCAACATCCCCAGACAGGCTATGGTCAACAGCAACCAGGATACGGCCAACAGCAACCAGGTTACGGCCAGCCGCATCCAGGTTACGGCCAGCCGCATCCAGGTCACGGAGGTCATCCTCAAGGAGGTTATACACAAGCAGGCCATCAACAGCCTCAACCAGGCTACGGTCACCCGCAAGGAGGTCACGGCTCAGGGGTACCATTGGTCGGCCTTTTCGACAGTTGCATGAAACCTTATCCCACAACCATCGTACTGAAAGAGCACGTCCTCTCTTTGACAGGAGACTCTTTCAGCATCAAACAGGAAGATGGAACACCCATTCTGCAGGTTGAAGGCAAAATGATGTCTATTTCAGGCCGCAAGAAGGTTTGCGACATGGCTGGAAATCACCTCTTCGATATCGTAAAGGAGCACCTCCATATCCACACCACCTTCGCTATTGAGGACCCGCAAGGGCAGAAATTGATGGAAGTGAAGAATAGTTTCAAGCGTAAGTGCTTGCCGCAACCCGTCAGGACATCTATTAATGGCTGCTAGTATTCGGAAGCAGCGCAACGGCAACTTTTACCGATAAGCAAGGTACACAGCATGTGCTGAAGATGAAAGGATCGATCTTCGATACAAGCGCCGAGATTGTTGACGAGGCGCGCGGTGGTATGTCACTCTTTCCACGCAATCGATAGCATGATATTGACACTGGTTCTAGGCGCCACTGCTGCGCGTATCAACCGCAAGTTGCTTAGCGGAAAGGACATCTTCTTCGGACAGCAGACATATGCAGTGCAGATCACAGAAGGGTATGACCAAGCGCTGATTGCTGCAATGTGCATATGCCTGGATGAGAAGAACAACGAGAAATGATCAGTATCTCCTGCGGTATGACACGATTACAATGGGCTTATTTTCTTTGGTGCAACGACGTAATCACAGAATTCTGAATCTGCGAGTATTCTACCTACATTTCATCTGTGCATCGATCGTACAAAACATTGACACTTTCCCCTGCATCTTTCCTGAATACGATCAAATCATCCAGAACGCGCCCCTTCGCACGTTCGCGAACTTCCAAAATTCTCCCAGGCCTGCCTCGATGCTCAACGTCAGTATACCAGCCCTGGTTGCCACACTGTTGTCTGTCCAGTCCAGCAACAGCAGTGTGAACTGTATGTCGGCTAGATAGTTGTATTTCGGTACATGCTTCGATCGCAATACTAGAAAGTCGCGACGACTTGGCACTCCCTTAGCCACTGGCAGTGACCCAAACCAAAACCCATCACGGCATTTCTCGACCATCAATGGCCATACTTCCATCATGCGGACTTTGGGAAGATGAGGCGGAGCTGTGAAGCCTACTACTTGTGTTGCAGCGTTGTAAGTGACTGGAAGGCTGACGATTGGACCATCGATGTAGAGAGCGTCAGCAGTAATTGACCGGGGTACTTTTCTCGGAGGAAGGCTTTTGTGTGAGTTAGAATAAGCACCCCATAGAGCCTGGAGCTCCAGCCCTGAATCGGAAAGACGCATGTTTGTGGTTTGGGATCTGTAAAGGTTGTTTTGGCCAAGCGAAATGCTGAGCGGATGAGGCACGATGGTGCTGGACTGGTCATCGTTTGCAGCGGCGACAGGGCCGTATGTGATACCGGATTTGCCAGTCTTCCATGCCGCCCAAGTCCAGCTTGGAAATCCACCGGACGCGCGCCGAGAAATGTTACCAGCGGCAGACCATAGCAATCCCTCTCTGAAAGTATCTCGAGGTATTCCATGCACAAAACCGTTGGGAAAGGAGTCGCGTTGCAATCGGGACAGCACCGCGCCGAATGCGTTGACGGCATCCGAGTCATAGGAGACATCTCGACAAACATACTGTCCGAGGTATTCGACGTAGGTGTATATACTTCCAGCGAGTTTTCCGGTCCACAAAGTGTTTGAGCGGATATAGTTCCGATCAGCGTTCCAATATGGGTTCTCTTTTGCCATATTCTTCGGATCGGTGACTGCCGAAACATAGACTGCTGAAGGCGAGTCTTCCGTGCACAGCATATTGTTGCAATGGAAGTAGACCTGATGTTCCGAGAAGAAGAGGCACCGCCTGGAGAAAAGACCTTCTTGATACGTCCATCCGCGCGATAGCCACACCGAATCATTGATTTGAGAAGAAAGCGTCGGGCAGCGGGAGAGCAATCTGACGGGACCAAATTCAGCGACTAACTGTGGGTGTCGTCGGGGTCCACCATCTACGCCTGGAAGACCAACATTTGCGTTCTCACCCAGAGCTACAATGGTCGCAAACGCTTGCTCGTATATGTAATCCATTAGAGGGAGTTGCTGTTCTTTCTCCTTAGGGTCGTGTTGGTTGATGCAGACGGCGTCAGCCCATAGAAAAGGAACTCCAATATTTCCAGCGACCACCATCGCATGCTGAATGGTTTTGGATATGTTGATTGGTAGTTCATGGGGTTTTACCCGCTTTGGTATAGGACTACCTTTTCCCCAGACGTAGCTTAGTGCTACATACTGCATGTTGGGCTGATATCGAACGAGCCGACGTTTCTGGACATCAATCAATGTGATGAGTTTGAGCTTTTCGACATTCCCGACTGTACGACATTGATTATGCTCTCTGTCGCATTGTCCGAGCCACGACCGGATGCGTGCGTAATCCGGAGATGCATCTACGGGCCTCACTGCCGTTCGATTGACTCGTTTTGGGTCGTATGCGACACTGAAAACGTCTGATACGAGATCGAGTCAGCTTGGGTTATCATATGAAGTTAACAGCAATATTCAGCCTTCGAAGGCCCTTTCTGTCGGGTTTAACTTACGCTTGGGATTCTTATCACCCTTGTGTAATTCGCGTTTATCGTAGCATTCCGCATCGTCGTGATTCACGTCAAAAACGCAATTTTTTTGTACATCAGGACAGGGTGTCAGTGGATTAGTCTAGAGAGTACAGAATCAGCAAATTGGATTTCCAAACGACTACAAATTCATCGAGACGACCTGAACTCACATTCCAGTACATTCGCGATGCCATGGGCCAACCGTTATCGTCCTTGGTGCCATGTTTGAGGAAGCCAGTGGGGTGCCTCTTCAGTGCAAAAGAGCCAACGAGGCCTGATTTGGTTCTCACCGGTTTCGGGGCCGAGCTTGTAGGAGTGGGAGCAGGCGCACTCTTCTTGCTTTTGGAAAAGAAACCCATCGTCCAGCGATGCGAAGCACGAGAAATTATAGAACGAAATTACAAAGCCGAAAGAGCATAAAATTGGTCTTCAGAAATGGAAGAAACAAAACCGAATGATTTCTGAGGTTCAGACGACCGTAAACTGACCAGCCGCCTAAGTATACCATCCCTATGCGGCACGGTTACGCGCCCTCGTATGGAGCCGGCGCTTAACGACCGAATCCTATCGCCGGCGTAACGCTCGCAGCGCGGCTAAAAGCACAACATCTAATTGCAGAAGGAATTTCAGATAAACAGAACGCATGTGGTCTGGCGTACTCGTGAATGTCCTCGCGCCCTCTATTGTGGTGAAGATGTGGGCTGCCAATGCCAAAGTGCTCGACTGACCTATACAAGGTGACATGTGTAGCATATGGGCCCCCGGATCATTTTCTAAAACGCTGCGCATGTTCCAGTTTGAGTTGTCACGGGCATTCCATCTTAAGGTCGCTCTGCAGATCGTGTTTGGTGCCGTACAACAGTGGGGTTTGCTCGACGAGAATTCATGTTCCCATCGCAGAACCACCTCAAGTCCCAAGACCTTTACTGGAGCGGATTGAACCACATTCGACAGATTACACTGGAGACACGGGCGATAATGCCCTCGCCGTACAATTCTGCGGCTGACCCGAATCCAAGCTCACTTGCGAAGGAACATTGGGGGCCATGTCTCCGAACCAGAACTTGTCACGCAGCAAGCTTCAAAGTCGATCAGGGCGTAAATGTGAGCCCTGATTGTCAGCTGTACAACCTTTCGTGGAATACGATGTATGTGAATTTCTTCTCGGTGTGATGTTGCCCGGCTGAGCTGCAACTGATGTATCGACCTTAACCTGTGCGCACCTTGATGTGCCCAGACCTCATCCTCCCTTTGGACGACGATTTGCCGAGTCGGTGAGAGCATGGTGATAGATCGTAGTCGTAGATGCCGGCGTTGTACGATGATATAATAGAAAGCGATCGTGCACTGCCGCAATCGAGAAGAACCCGGCATGCTGACGCCCACTATGTAACGAAGCATTTGTCGGCGACCTTCACTGATAACGAGGTTTATTCTCCAGGTTGCGTTCGTAGCAGATAAACAGATCTTACGATGTCTCCCTCGCCAGATTGGTGGGTCGTCGCATCTGAAACTTCCGCAACTCTCTCGGGAACGTAGCTCCTAACATCGTCATGCGTTGCCCATCACGCACCACTCAGCGGCCGTTCGAGCAGATGCACGCGCAAAAGTCCAAACGCATTGTGTTTGTTCCAGTCTTTTTGCGCCTGCAGTGCTATGCATTGCGCCTGAACAAAATCCTGGAGGAGGCATCAGAGAGAAATGGAAGGTGGGATCGGCGACGCGTCGCCTGAGGAGATCATACATCCGTCGCAATGCAGCGGCAGCTGTCTTTTGTGATAATACTTGCATTGCCGGGGCCGGGTGCGTCGAACGCATTCCACCACCTGTTTGAACACGCGCACGATTGGGACCAGTACGAAAGCTCGACATCCACGAGCTTGACGCTCGAAAGCTCCGCCTTGATGGCGAGCACCGTCGCACCGATAATTCCTATTCAAACTACTTCCTATGCATCGACTTTAGTGACGGCAACCCGCGCCGCGGCGTTCAGCGTCTCGATCTCCACCACATCCAACTTCGTGCTCAATCCAACGGGGACAAGCGCCGCGCGAAAACCAACGTCGGATTCGTCAAGTATCGTAGCCTTCGCCATTATTGTACCGCTCGTCGCCCTGATCGCCTTCATATCTGTGATCGTGTTCCGGATGTATAGGACTCGGAAAGAGCGAGAGGAAGCTGCGGCCGCTGCAGCGGCAAGGGCCAAAACGAAGGCGATCGAGCAGCAGATCTACGACATGGAGTCTCTGTCCGAAAATTTTGATTTGGAAAAGTATCGGACAACATCTGAGGTGAAGGAACTCGAGGGCGCGAAGGATATACCTATCGACATACCCATTGAGCTGGAGGCGGAAGAGCCGGATAAGAGACGATATCATGGGCTTTGATCGAGCGAACTGCGTTCTGGTAGCGCGAAATTTAGGTGCACGACGATAGCGAACTTTTCTGGAGGTTGGGAGAGCATCTCGCTGATTGTGAGCAGACTAAAGAAACTACATTTCGTGCCTATATTCCTCGACGTGATTTGAGCGAATCTTGTTAGCCTGTCAACAGAAGCGTGCAATATTTGCATGTGGCAGCCATGATCACTGTGGAGATCGCTTTGTGGAGGTCTTCCTAAATCTTGACTTCGGTTTTTTAAGACGTGTGCCCATCTCGAAAGGTTCGTGAGCGAGGTTTTCCGTACGTGAATTACTGCATTACACAGTGAGCTTTGAAGGCAGGATGCCGATGCACCACGAACGTGGCTTCGGAACCCCTCAATGCAAAAGTCAATCGCCGATCCATCGCCGAATCTCCGACACTAAGGCAACAACAAACTCTGTCACGAAGCTGAGACCACCTGGAGCAGGCGATATTGCTCTTTGCATCTCGTCCTTAGAGCGCATGTCAGCAATCACGGGGAGCTTACCATGGCCGATGAAGTCAAGGCCAGTGAAGCCAAAGGCCCCTACCAATACTCCCCTCTCTTAGTCCACCCAAACAGTATTCGGCTCTTGCGCCTTCTCCCCGCTAGCCGCGCCGAGGATTCTATTCATTGCCAAATCTTTAACTACTCCCTCACAACCCCACCACGCGTCTCGCATCTGTATGAATGCTTGTCGTACGTATGGGGCGATTTAGAGGATAAGCTGACGATCTACGTCGACCATGCTGAGCTGGCTGTAACGAAGAACTTACATGGTGCACTTCGACGATTGCGCGATCCGTACTTGGATCGTATCTTGTGGGTCGACGCGATATGCATCAATCAAGTTAGTGTAGAAGAAAGGGCGCAGCAGGTACAGATCATGGCTCTAATATACGCATATGCGAGTCGTGTGGTCGTGTGGCTCGGCGAAGAGGCGGACGGTAGCAAGGAGGCGATGGAGCTCCTTCGAGAGGATGCTGGTCGAGTATATCGCCAACTTAGAAGTTTCTCAGGCGCAGAAGATGATGGACGTGAGCGAGGGGAGTATGAGAACGAAGTCTCCGGCGATGTCCCTCTAGGTAACAACACATTGAAGTTAGTAATCAAGCAAGGAAAAGCTCCGTCACGATTTCCCCGGAGCGAAGCCATGGCACTTCTGAAAAGACCATGGTTCCAGAGAATATGGGTACTGTAATCCTTTCGATCGGAGATGTTTCTGACACCGCGAAGGTACTCCAAGAGATAGCAGCGGCGCGCATCATGGTCGTTTTGTGTGGCTCCGAGGAACTCACCGGCACTTGCTTTTTCTGGGCCCTATCTGGCCTTCTTGAGTGGTGTGAGGACGCAAGGCTTCGCGGTGTGGTCTCCTCTATCCTCTATTTGATTGGCAATGCTAGTGCGTTGCGCTTGAACAAGCCTGACGGCCTGGAGCCTTTCCGACTTGGTATCTGTCCGCTCTCTCAGCTGCTGGACATGTTCCGGTTCCGTGAAGCCACCGACCGTCGAGACAAGGTGTACGCTTTGCTTGGTATTATGTCATCAGATCCAGCGACATCCGACATCATGCCAGATTACGGCATAGAATGGGCCGAATTATTCCAAAATCTCGTGAAATCGATGCTAGGCCAGAAAGTGAAGTCCGCTTGGATCTCCAACGACGGTCGTGACTACGGTCGAATCTTGGGCAAGGGATGTATTGTGGGTTATGTAAGTGACGTAGACAACTCGAAGAACCACCACCAAACAGTGTCCATCACGCCTACATACCACCGTAGCCCTATGGTCCATCAAGAATCGAAAAAAGCGCAACTGAGATGGATCTTGCATAACTCCACTGCCGAGGTCCGCCATGGCGACATAGTCTGTTGGCTTGACGGTAGTAACGAGGCCACAATAATCCGGTTCCAGGGGAACTGTTTTGCAATCGTCGTGGTGTTGGCCAGTTTTCCGCCTACTTTGGTCAAGAACCTCTTCCAGGAAGTGCGCGACTCGACGCGCCATTCGAGCCGCGTTAAGAAAAGCGATGAGATGTTGGGTCCCATGCAGCACAGCCGCAATTTGGTTCTTGTCTGGAATTTCGATCCCAAGTGGACAACGCAGTGGACTAAATTATCATCGTCTTCTGAAGCAGAACCAAAAGTAATGTCCACTCTTTCTGACATGATACGAGTGCTGGAGGACGTCAATGACACAGACGCCTTGGAAACCCTACTCGAACGGGGGTCTCAATGTTATCAAAGTGGGGAGATAGCGCCAACTGGGGTAATGGAGCATTTCCAAGATTTGCGCCAAACCCTTCCAAACTGGGACCTGTACCTTGGGCTGAAGACCGATCTCCAGAATGTATTGTGCGGAGAAGGTTTCAATTCTGGATTGCCTAACGACATCGAACTGGACCTTGTTGAAATTCGAGCTAGATTAACTGCCTACCCAGAACACGGCACAGAGCTCATCAGATCATTGTTCAACGAGGTCTCCTTCCTCTCCGCATCGACTAATAGTAGAAATGAGACGTTTTACGACCAGAACCGAAGGATCAAGCTAGCTTTCATGTTCGATATCTGGGGACATGCCATCACACTCGATACAATGCTTGCATTGGTGGAATATGTCGAACGGATCAATTTCGATCAACGGACTACTCTAGGGAACTTCGCGAGCCCTCTATGTATCGAAATAGTCGAAGTTCTTGTGCGATCGAGCGCACAACATCCAGAATGGGGTACAAGGTTTGTTGAGAGATTCATCAGCTTCGCAAAAGGCGATGCTGATCGCATGTATTGTCTTGTGCGTGCTTTCATCGTCTCCTGTGCCGCTGCGGCGGTGTGGAAGCAACAGGTCGTCGAGGCTGTCCTGGCCACCCATTTCCAAGAAGTCTCTGAGGCCATTGTGGACAAGAATGCTTGGAGCTCCTTGGACATTGGAGGACGCTATACGACGATTGTTGATTTCTTATGGAGCCACTACGTGCTACGCGCCAAGGACTTCGTGGGTATATCTATCAGCGGAACATTTCAGCTACGAAGCCAGCTTATGGAAAAGTTCGTCAACGATTATCGGTTCTGGAAAGCTTGTTACGATGGACGCGCCGCTGACATTTGGAGTGGAGTCGTGGAGAGCGGAAGGGTTGACCCTCATATGCTGGTCATCTGTAAGGATGTGAGGGGAAGGTGGTGTCGTGTGGCCGCTTTTGAGGCTGCGGCAATGAATGGTCATGTCGCGTGCTGCAAGCTGCTCCTAGAGCGTGGTTTTGGCTACCGGATAACATCAGCATTGCGGATGCAACTTTGTGACCGAGAAAGCATACCAAATGCAAAAGAGATAGCGAAGCTTTTGAGTACCTACAACCTGGCGGACTGGGAGATACGGACCGTAGCGGAAGGCAGCAGTGGAGCCGCATCCCGCAACGGGAGGAGAAGCGAAACATGGTGAGGTGGACTCAATTAAGAAGAAGATCTAGTGCGCATCACGAAGTCAAAAAACATGAAAAGCTGTTTCGCGGAGAGTTGCGGTTAGCGGATGAAGAGAAGGGGAAAAGGAAGGAGAGACATCGTGGAAGACGTAGAAGAAGTCGCGACTCCATCGCCCCTTCCTTAACTCACACATTCCGCCACTCACGCCTCATATCTTTCTCTTACCGAACACTATACTGCCATGCCTCTGACATTTTTGTATTCTTCAGTCCATGCGACGACGGAGAAGTCGAGGCTTACGATAACTTTCCATTGCCATCCCAGTGTTCGGCTACAGCCTGCAACTGTCCTACTCTGCAATCTCTACGATTGCATCCTCGCTGAATCCGGCACTAACACCAGCGCCTCGACAAGCTCGTCAAAGCTATCTAAACCGGCTGCAAATAGCGAAGAAGAGCAGGCCGAGATCGAGGACTGGGGGCACGAAGAATGAGCTGGTCTCTTTTGAGAGGCTGCGCTTTAGCTAGTGAAAAAGGACGTCCATGGCTTCTTAGACGTTGTGCATGCAGCACTTTGTTCACAAGGAATAACTAAGTCGCGATCATCGATCAAAAAGGAGACAGTTCAATGCTCTCAAAAGCACACACACATATATATACATACACATGGTCTCTTTCTTGGACAGTTGTAATTGCACGTATTCTTATGACTATGTATCCATTTCATGATCGGTCTCAATTGTGTTGCTAACATCTTGTCTCCACCCCCTTCCTCGACACACACAGATACTTCACTCCCTTGTACGGCTGCACGCCCGCCCCCAATCCCTTGCTTTTCTTCTGATCCACATTCAAACTCTCCACTTTGATCCCGCTCGGCAGCCACCCTTTGACTGTGAAGCTCACTGTCGCGCAGCTCGGCATGAGAACTTTGTTCTTCTTGCTCGCATTGCCTTCGTCCCTGGGCTTGGTGGGGGCAGCAGATGTGGAGGATTGATGAGAGGAGGGGTCGTCGTCGTAGTCGTATGTATTACTTGACAGGGAGAGTGAGGTGTCGGGAGCGTCGCCGTCGTCATAGTTGTCGTGCCCAACGACGGTGCCGCGTAGAGTGGTCAAGACGCCCGCCCCGGTGCCACGATCATTAGCCATGAGGGTGGCGATTTCGCGGCTATTGATTGCCCAACGGACGCGAGATTCTGCAGGTTGGAAGACCGCCTCCCCAGATCCCCGTCCAGATTTCAGCTCTACCACGTTCTTCACGCTTGTGGGGAGCGGGATGTGGATTACCATGCCGTCCATGGCTGGGGCGGCAGTCGTGCCTGTACTTGCAGAGCCACCGAAGGCAGTGGACCCCAGACCCTTTCCTAGACCTCCTCTTCCGCCGAAGGAGGATGTGGAGCTGGGGAGCGGACTGGACGCTTTGCCTTTGAAGCGTGGATTGAGCTGGAGGCGAACCTCGAAGTCTGAGCCTGTGGGTCCAAGAGAGGTTAATACCGAGACTGTAGCCGGGATGTTTAGTTTCGGCGCTGCATTCGTGGGCGTGGTGGTGGAGAAGGAATCCAGGGCTGCTGATCCCAGGAGGTCGACTTCGTACCCTGCGAGCGTAAAACGCCCGTCTGGCGGCACGAAAGAGAGCTCTCCCGGCCGGTCTTTCCATCTATTCAGCCTGACGCATGGGTGAAAGGTTGGAAGGGACACCGCGTTGGCAATGCCTCCTGGGCAGCCCAGTTGAAGCATCAAGTCCGGTACGCCAGATATCTTCGCCGTGAACGCAATCATCCCGTTCGCGAGCGCAGCCAACGGTCTACCAGAGGGTGATAGCGTCACATGCAGCGTCTCTACAATATCGACATACATCTCATTGCTCGTGTGCCTAACGTTCGCTCGCCGCCAGGGCACCGGGCTACTCGTCGCAGCTCCCGCGCCCCCACTGGGTCCTAACCTAGGACTTGGTCTGTTTCCCAGCGAAAACGGCGTGTTCGAAGGTGCCAGACTGCTCGGCGTGGCACTCGGCAATCCCACACCTCCCAGCAACGTCTTCATGAAATTCGGCGCGTCCACAACATCTTTCAGCGCATTCGGCTCCGTGCAGCTCACTACGCCGCCGTCCACCATCTCGCCCAGCAATTGCGCGACGACATCGTAGTGGCTCTCAATCTTACTTGCGAGTAATGGCCCACCGAGAAAGTCTTCCAAAGCATCGGTCACGCGATGCAGGAACTCGAGTATCTGGAGCGGGTCGGTGTCGTTCGAGGAGGGGCAGAGAAAGAGGAGTTGGTCTTGGATTATCGAGTAGAGGAGCGTAGGCGGGTTGGTATTCGGGAGGTATACGAGGGAGGGGCGGGGAGCGGCGTGCGCGAGGTAGAGCGGGAGAAGTGTGCTCCCCGAGGGTGGACGGCCGGTGTAGGTCTGCTCGAGGAGGGGCGTGCTGCATCAATTAGCTGAGAATAGCATGTTACTAAGGTAAACCAGACGCACTTGTGCTCATCGAAGATGTACAGAGCTTCTATCGAGCTCATACTTAGCGTCGAGACTTACGCGCTCCATGCGAAAGACCTCGTGTTTGTGATCGTGGGGTTGTCGGCGGGGGTAGTTCGGAGGAGAACTACGCATGACGGAGCCAATGCAAGGGTCCGCGCTGGGAGACGACCGCGACTTTTGCCCGTCCCCAGCAGACACGCGACAGCTCCACGCGCGCAGAGGGCATACTAGCCATGTCACAAGCAAAGGACTCCGGTGTTCCGACCTTCAAGGAAGCGTTGAAGAATGACAGAGAACAATTCAACGACTGCACCCCGTGTCGCATCATTGGTGAGCTGCCGCAATTTTATCTTCATATGCAATCAAAAACTAACATAAGCTGTAGGCAGCGGAGCGTTCATCGGCCTCGGCGCATACACGTATATGTCCGGACACTCGCAACTGAAGGCACAGGAGGCGGTCATAAAGCGGAGCAAAAGCATGTTCGGTATGGCGAGTCGTAGGGCCGCCATTACGGGTACAGCAACGGTCCTAGTCGGGGCCGGAGTGTACAGATGGTTCAATTGAAGATCAGGAGAACAGCATAATGAGGGAGTCATGCGAGCATTCACGGCGTTGTAGATGGGATTCAGGGATACCACACTGTACACATACTGTAAATTCAACAACACAATGAGGTCCATCTACGCGGCCATCATATGCACACAGCCGGTATAATATCTCTGCATAAACACCATCCCATGCATCCTCCAAGAAACGAGAGCCCATCCTCGGCTCAATGTGGTATCATCGTACGAGCTTCATAAGAAAATGTTCCTTCCCAGAAATGCTAACATGGATGCCACATCCCCCGAGTCCTTCTATCGCCATGTATGGAAAACGCCGTCGCTGGTGTGCGCAATGCAAATGCCGTTAATCGTTCCGTATCAGATGAGATCAGGTCATCCGTCCCTTCTTAGGGCCACCGCCAGGGCCTTCCCTGTCCCGTCTGTCGTGGTTGAAGTCTACATTGAAGAAGTCGTTCATGAGCTTTCGTTTCTGACCGGCGCCATTGCCTAGAGAGACGAGATTTTGAGCCGCCGAGCGTTGCAGGCTTCGAGAGGACGACCTGTTGGAGTTTCGGCGGGTCGTGGGGAAGGCACGACGAGCAGCGGCGGCGAAATCGTAAGTAGCGTTGTCCATGTTGTTGTTTGCTGGGTAGACTTGAGGTGAGGCGAAGTGAAACATGGGCGGGAGCGGTGCCATGTCCGTGTCGGAATTGGCTGACTCTGTGGCGGCTGGAGGAGCTGAGTCGCTGCGAGAGGTTGGCTCGGGTGTGACGGAATGGTTCTCCTCAGGGACATGCTCTACGACCGGCGAGGAACTGCGTGCTCGTTGTTCTTCGGGTATGTCCTCGTCCGTGTCGCTGGTCGAATTCACTAGCAGCGCTCCGTCTAGGCGCTCCGTGGCCCATTGCCTAATGCGCCATCCTTCTCCGTCTCCTACACCGAGATTCTCTTTATCCAAGAATCCGAGGAGGTCGTCCAGCGCCTGCTGGTAGCCATCTGAGCGAGAACGTTCAATATCTGCAAGGGCGGTCCTGTACAGGTTGGTGACGGTCAACGCCGTGTCCTTGAACGCTTTGTGGGTGTCGGGCTGCGGGGTCGGTTGACGTCTTCGTGTCCTGGGCAACGAGGTGTTGAGGCTGCGCATGGAATCCATGATTGCAGGTTGGTATGATTTTAAAGGAAGAGTGTTTCCTGAGTTGTCTGCGGAGGTGCAGGTATCGGATGCTGAATTTGCCGACAGGCTGCTGCTGTGCCGCGGTTGCCTGCGGGAAAGTCAAGGAGAGTGTGTGCCTGGAGGGGCAGGTGGAGTGCGGAAACAATTTATGAGGCACGAGAGTCACTGTGGTGCTCAAAGAATGGCGTCTGAAGTAAGTGGAGGAGTGCAGTCGCGGCGTGGGGTGGGGTCGATGAGCGACTCTTTCCGTCTCGCAGACAGCGGCCCGTGCATCTGATCTGCCATCATCCACGGGAACATCATCCCATGACCCTCCCCACGAACGCCAGCTATGACCTCCAAGATGGAGCGTCTGCCTCAAGAACTTGTTGATTTGATTTATCTGTACATATCCCCTACAGATCGCTGTACATTGCGACTTGTATCGAAGCAGCTCTACTTCCTGACTTTGACGAACTTTGGCAACACTGTCTTCTCTAAACGTGTGACGACGCTGGGCGTCGCGTCTCTAAGTCAACTGCTGCAAGCGTCTGGACATCCCCAATTCTCTGGTTGTGTGAATTTGCTCGACGTCAAGCTATTGAACTACGAAGATTATGGTAATCTCCAAAAGATTGATCGTGTGGGCATATATCCGCCACCGAAGCGGCTTCCGAAAGTACCACAGGTCAAAACAGGAGATATTAGGCGGGAGAGCAAGCTCCTCGAATACATGCGTACTCATCAAGACCCCACGGCTGTCATTCATCCACTTGCGCGTGCCTTGAAACGGCTCCGAAATCTAAAAACTATCCGCTTGAGAGTGAACGGTCTCACCCTATATGGCAATCTCCATATCCTCGCCGAAGACGACGTCTACCAATCTTTTATGTCGGCATGTTTCAGAGCTGTTCTGGAAGCAATTGTCCGATCCGGCGTCAAATTACAAGAGTTTACGCTGATCAAGGGTAACTCAGTCCGCCCTATGAGCAAGTCTGCGAACTTGGACTATCGAGCATTCACCTTTTCCTTTCCCTTATTTCAATCGCTGGGGCATGCCTTCTCCTGTTTGAAGTCATTGCGTTTGTCGATTCGTACCGATCCTAAAACCAATTCTCGATCACAAGGCTGGGAGACCGGCGTAACGAATTTCATCACCACTGCTCCGGCGTTGGAAACCCTTACACTTTGCATGGATCCAATAGACTGTAAGCCTCAATTCAGAGCTACCATGATGCGTTCCATATTCAGTACCGTCGAACTACCGATGCTTAATTCTCTTCAGCTGTATGGATGTGCTGTGGACGAGCTGGACCTCGTCGCTATGATAAAGACGCACGCCTCAAGCTTGCGACGCCTCCTGATAAGCGACACCGAACTGCGCCCAGGAACATGGAGATCAATCTTGAATTTGTTGAAGAACGAATTGGATCTTGAATATTTGCGTCTCCAGTATCTGCAGCAGATTCCCCAATCTATCCGGTGGTTTGCAGAAGAGACGAAGCACACGGGCAAATTGATCATAGACGCTGGGAAGAGTGGAGACAAGAGTTGGATGAATGAAAAGTTGTCGCAGGCGATTTCTTCGCTTACTGCCGCCATTCAAACGCAGGAGATTTCGGACATTTGATCTATTAAACCTCTCATCACGATCTTCGCCCATCATCGCGGTCGCCGGAGCCATCCGCCAGGGAACGTTCCATCGGTCAGCATTTGGAAGATGACCTTCGGACTACTTCCGATATAGGAAACTTGTCGCGTCTTCTAACGCGAGTACACAATGGTCGTCGTGATTAGACACAGCAAAGAGTCATATGTATGCCTCGAGGACGGTTAATGGAAACACAAAGTGAAACAACCACATTGGGAGGCAAGCTAGCATACCTGATATGCAACACTTGGACTCGCTAGAATCTACACATCGCGTGCGTGTTCCTCCGTTGCAGAGTGCATGGTCTATCTGATGCGTAGCTGGGACGTGTGACCGCCAAACAGCAGACATGGTCTGTCGCCATCCACAACTTCAAGTGGAGATCTGCCGCAATATTCCACTTTGTTTTAATTGGAGGCCCAGATGGCTACACAGACTACTCAACCGATTCCAGCCATGCTATTCACAACCCCTTCACTGCTTTCTAAGCAAACCCCCTCCCACCTCACTAGCTCGCATCCAGCCAAACCGCCATGGATACTTCCGCTACAGATAAAGCACACCTTAACGATCGGTCACCCCGATGCGCCCTGCAAGTACGAAAGCGGGAACTGGAAACCCATGCGCCTGCATGATTGGCATGATTACGAGCTGACAAAGGTGTGGTGCAGGGTTAGTAACCGCAGCCACAAATCGTATGGCAAGGCTGCGACGAAGTGCGTTTTAGGAATGCGAGAATGCGAGGGGAGCATAAAGATATCGTATAAGTAGACCCAATATGATGTGCGAATTGGTGTGAGGGTCCAACAAGCCCGCGTGCCTATACACCAAGCAGCGCGTTATCGTCTCTTGGCCTCACAGTTGGATTCGAACGGCATTATATCCCATCTTTACAAACCGTTCTCGCCTTCATCATGGGTAGCACATCCCTCCCCACGACTATGAAAGCCCTCGTCACGCCCTCCCAAGGCGCGCCCGCCGAAGTCCGTGACAACGTTTCTCTTCCTGAACCTTCGCCCACCCAAGTCCTCGTCAGAACTCTCTACGCCGCCATCAACCCGGTCGACGTTTTTACCACGCAAATGGGCCTCCTCGTTGAGTCCTGGCCCTTCGTCCCAGGCTGCGAAGCATCCGGCATTGTCGTCAAAGCCGGTAATGAAGCGCGCAATGCCCTCGGCGGCTATTTCAAAAAAGGTGATATCGTTGCGGGATGCGCCAGGCTGGGAGTCGAGGGGCATGGGACATTCGCAGAGTATTTTCTATTGGATGCTGAGGTGGCGTTACCAAAACCGGACAGTCTGACGGCGGCGCAGGCGAGTACGGTTGCTGTGGGGGCTTTGACTGCGTTTCTAGGGGTGTTTGGGGAATTAGGAATTAGTATTGAGGGGCTTGAGGAGGGTAAGGGGGAAGGGGAGGGAAAGTGGGTGATTGTGTTTGGTGGAGCAGGTGCGGTGGGTAGATATGCGGTGCAAACGCTGAAGTTGGCTGGGTATAAGGTTGTGGCTTCTTGCTCGGCAGGTTCAGTTGAGGTACGTCAGGTCCCAGTCTTGCTTATGGAAACAGTGTTAAAGGCTGACGGATGGCTGGTAGCTGCTCAAGTCGCTCGGCGCAGATGCAACGATCGACTATAAGAAATCGGCAGATGATATCGTCGAAGAAGTCAAGCGCATTACAGAAGAGAAGGTCGACCTCGCCTTCGACGCAGTGTCGGTCAACAACGACCTCGTAACCAAGATCTTCACAGCTATCCCCTCTTCCTCTGGCCGGCGCCTCTACACTACTACGAACGACTGGGACCCTGCGCCCGACGCATCTCTGGGTTTCACCACCAAACCCATCGAGCTAGGGCCACTCGGGCGTCCTTCAGCTGCTGAGCTAAATAGCAAGTTGACCTCATGGATCCCGGTAGTCTACAGGTTATTGGAGAGCGGTAAACTAAAGGTCGGGGGATATAGCGTTGAAGGCGAGGGCATAGATGGTATCCCGAAAGCATGGGAGGCACAGAAGAGTGGAAGGTTGGGGAGCAAGAAGGTCATCGCCAAGCTGGCTGACGAGTAATGTTCCTCATCAGGGAATGGTTTGATGAGATGTGTAAGGGTACCGGAAAACCGGCAGCGGAGGATGCTTTCGGCGATAAGTTCCTCCTCAGAAAGGGCTCGGAGATAGCCTGTGACAGCTCGGTGAAACGCAATTGTTGATACAGAAGTGATGAAAATGATAATCTTGCTTATTACAGTAGGCCCTGCATTGAGTTGAGGTTTGTTTGGTAGCGTGAGGTTGGCCGGCGTTTGGCGTGTGGACTACTGTGGAGCCAGTGCGGTAAGTGGACCACGGATCACACAGAGGTGGGGGAGGCCTGGCCCTGATTTGGACTGCTGTGGAATGACGCGCAAGGAAATCAAGGCACGAAGCAGGCCAGATCCAGGCTCAGGAGGAAGAGAGGCACGCGACAAAGAGATGGATGATAGCATGGTGAACTCATAGCGTTGCGCCGGTCGCAGTTCACTTCATCCAGAGCGTACCTGCTACGACTGGCGTGTGGCGCAGTGCTGTGGCGAGTGCGCAGGGCAGCGAATCGCGAGTGGGCACGTGCCTGCGCTTGCAAGCTAACGTCATGCCAAGCCGCTAGCGCATCCATGGGTGAGGCGTGGGATCTGGTACAAGAGCAACGCCGCGCCTTCGCTCGCCTTGTTTCGCTCCCCACGTACAACTCTCTTGTACACCCACGCCCGCACGCGACCACGCACCATAATCGATGGGAGAATCTGACGAGCCCCCTTTATCGCGCAGTGTCAAGTCTACAGCGAAAGCTCTAGGCTTGGGACGCAACAAGGACCCGGCTGTCCTCCCAACCCACAACACACCTCACAATGGCAGCACTCGCAATGCCTCGCACACGTCCCTCGCTGAGAAGCCGGACACCAGCCAGAACCACAATGGCGCCGCGAAGTCGCCTGCCGCTGCGACACCTCATGCTGGATCCACAGCTGAGGGAGAGGCATCTTCCGCCGTAGAGCCAAAGCCACCCATGCTCACACGCATGCGGAACGGAATTATTCGATTTGGAAGACATACCAAAAATGCCCTCCTCCATAGCTGGGTCAATGCCCTGCTCATCTTCGTGCCCATTGGTATCGCCGTGCACGCCGCTGGCCTGGGTCCTGAAATTGTGTTTGCCATGAACGCCGTTGCCATCATTCCGTTGGCTGGTCTTCTGGCGCACGCCACTGAGGCAGTCGCAGTACGCCTCGGAGACACCTTGGGCGCGCTGCTGAACGTCTCGTTTGGTAATGCTGTAGAGCTCATCTTGTTCATCATCTTGCTCGCCGGTGACCAGATTGAGGTCGTACAGGCCGCACTGCTAGGATCCATCCTAGCCAATCTGCTACTTATTCTTGGCATGGCCTTCCTCTTGGGAGGCTTGAGGTATCAAGAGCAGGTAAGCATTCTGGGCAATCTTAGGCTAATGCAACGCTAACGCACGCAGGTCTACAACAGCACCGTCACACAGATGAGTGCATGCATGCTGAGTTTGGCTGTCATGAGTTTGCTGCTACCGACGGCATTCCACGCTGCCTTCTCCAGCAATGCTATCGCCGACAAAGAGACGCTCCAGGTCAGCCGTGGCACCAGTGTTGTCTTGTTGCTGGTCTACGTCCTGTACTTGCTCTTCCAGCTCAAGAGCCATTCGTACATGTACGCTAGCACGCCTCAGCACATTATCGATGAGGAGTCGCACCCCGGTGTCATGGCCGGTGTCTTTGACTCATCTAGCTCGGACTCGTCGTCGAGCTCCAGCAGCAGTGACACCGACAGCTCAGCTGGTTCGCATGTCACGGCAAAGTCTAAGATCAAGCGCGCTGTGCGCAGGATGCGCCGCAAGTCAAGCGCAAGTTCGAAGGAGACCCCGGACCTGCCATCAGTCATGTCCTCGCCGTCTGTCGAACGCCACAACGACTACTTCAACTTGCAGCGCAATGGAACTACTGGCGACGAGAACGCCGTCCATTCTAACAACATGTCCCGCCGCGGTTCCCTCACTGCCATTGTCAGCGGTGATGAAGCCGATGTGGATGATTACGCACCGATTGCTCGTGACTTCGAAGCTGGGTCATCTGGCTCTCCTCCCACCACCAAGCGGGAGAAACGTAAGAAGAAGCACCACAAGAAGCACAACAAGCATCGTCACGAGGACCTCGAGAAGACTGAAATCGTTGCGGCCCCGGCGCCTCAGCCTGATGCTGCGCCCAAGGTTGCCTTCGCCGAAGATGTTAAACAGGGCGAAGCGGCTGCTATCGCTGCAAAACGACCCAACTTCCGCCCGTCTTTACTCTCCGAAAATGTCTTCCGCACTCCGCAGAACCCGGCTCCAGTCGGTGCTCCAGTTCCCAATCTACGCGTTGCCGCAGCCCGCACTCTTCGTCGCACCAAGTCCGAACCAGAGGACATTCGTCAACTGGATTCTCAGAATAGCGCCATCTCACGCCCGACACCTGCTCGACTCATCTCTGGTGCCCCTTCGGTTCACGCTATTGAAGTCGAAGAGGAGGAAGTTCCTGAAATGTCTCGTACCGCCGCCATTATGATGCTTGTCATTAGTACTGCCTTGGTCGCCGTCTGCGCCGACTTCATGAGCGACGCCATCGAGCCCATGGTAGACAAGACGGGTGTTAGCCAAGCCTTCATTGGTCTTATCATCCTGCCCATCGTCGGCAACGCCGCCGAGCACGTCACTGCCGTCACAGTGGCCATGAAAAATAAGATGGATCTCTCCATCGGTGTCGCCGTTGGCTCGTCCATCCAGATCGCCATCTTCATCACGCCGTTCATTGTCATTCTCGGATGGATTATGGGCAAGCCGATGACCCTGTATTTCAACATCTTCGAGACTGTGGCGCTGTTTGTCACGGCTTTCGTGGTTAACTTCTTGGTTCTGGATGGACGGAGTAACTACCTGGAAGGCAGCTTGCTGATTGCGGCGTATGTCATTATTGCACTGGCTAGTTTCTTCTACCCCGATGGCTGCGATGCGTCGCAGATTGGTGGTAGCGCGGATACTTGCGGTGGAGCTACGGAGGCGGCTGTTGCGCATGCCGCAATGATGGTGAAGAGAATGGTCGGGATGTAGATCCCTGATCAGTAGGTGGGAAACAGGAAGGGTCTACCTCCAGGCTAAGTGCTTTGGTAGTACCCGCGGATCGAGGATGGAGTTGAGCATAGGAAGGCGAAGGCCCAATTGCTCCTCCCACGAATATGATTTTAGATACTTTTATGTCTGTTACTCCAGACTTCGATCAAATTGAACATGTTTTTCTTAAACATTTCGTTTTTATGTGCCATGTTACACGTCTGGTAGGCACTTGTGACGTAGAGAAATGTGTGACTTTTACGTACCCTTCGCGATGATCGCAGCTCGCGAAAACACCTCCGAATATAGAACACGGTCCATCGCTCTGCCGCCTCATTTTATTGTATATAAGCTATCCCTCTGTCACAACAATAGACAAATAGACGGTCTTGTAGAGGCTGGCGTGCCAGCGCCTCGTCGAGATGTCCAAAGATGAAAGCGTGTATAACTCGTAAGTCCTCAACCCAATCGGCATCATTCCATCATGAGCCTCCGCAAAACCCGAGATCTCGGTACTACAATCGTCCACCTTCCGTCCAGTTGACGTGCGCGATCGATGACACCCCCTGACATCATGTCTTACTCCCCCCAAATCAGCCTAGCGCCGCACTTCCCGTAGTCATGATGTACGTGGTAATTCACGGTACACATAAATATAATAGCTTAACGCGTACCCTGTCAATTATACCTGTACCTCACGCGTTTCCTCAAACCTCATCCTCAATCATTTATCCAATTCCGCACTCATATCCGAAATCACAAGAACTGCAACAATGCTCCGCACTTCCTTCCTCCGTTCCACCCGCGCCATCAGGCCTGCACCCACCCAGTTCCGCACAATGGCTTCCAAAGGCCCTGTAGAAGAAGCTACACAGGCGGCTGGCGAGGCCAAGGGGACGAACCCTAAGGTAGTTTACTCCTTTCCCATGTCCTTCACTCTACTATACTTCAGGTCAGCGTTGGAATTACAATACTAACGATATGACAGGACCCCTCAGTCATCTCCTCTGGCGGCGCAGTAGGCAAGCAGTTCAACCCCGATGGAAACATTGGACAGGTCGGCGAGAAGGTCGGGGGACCGTTCTCTAAGGACGGCGCTATTGGAAGCCAGTTCGATGCGAGCAAGGATGGGATCGCAGGGCAGGTCGAGAAGGCGGTGGATGGGCCGTCGAGGCCGGCGACGGAGAAGAAGAATTAGGGTGATGGCGAAAGCAAGCATGATCAGAGGAAGGTCAATGTGACCTATGACGAGGGCATTGTACAAAATAACATTTTCTACTTTAACGGACTCATTATGAAAGAGCGTACCAAACTCAAATCTTTCAGCAGGCTGTCTGACTGTTACCCGTTCCGTTCGTGTACGCGCCTCCTGCATCACCCAGGCATTCAGCGACAGTAACCAGTTTGAGGTTGTTCGTCTTCGCCCAATTGATCAACCACGGCGTCAGCGTCTCGACCGTCCCTTGGTATGTCTCGTGCATTAGCGGAATATGGCCATTCCCGCTCGCCCCTGCAGCCTGGAACTTCGCCTCGCTCTGCGCAGGCGTCTTGCCGTTCCAGTCCTCTGCATCCACATCATCAGTAATGACGCGGTACCCGAGCGTCTTCATCGTCGAGAGCACGCTGCCGGAGGTCTCGAGGTAGGGCGGGCGCATGTAGGTAGGCTTCACGCCGATGATGTTTACGAGCGCGGTTTCGAGCTTGGTCATCTCGGTGGTGAGGGCGGAGGCGGAGAGGGAGCCGATGTGTGGGTGCGTCCAGGTGTGCGAGGCGATTTGGTGGCCGGCTTTGTAGGCGTTTTGGACGGCAGTCTTTTGGTTGTAGATGCAGCCTGGTGGTGGTTAGTTTTGCTTGTCACGTAGTAGCGGTAGAAAGATACTTACCATAAAGCGTGCCAGTGACGAAGAACGTACCCTTGGCGCCACCATTCGAGAGGATGTCGGCGAGCTTCTGCGTGTATTGGTATGGACCGTCGTCGTAGGCGAGAGCTATCATTCCCGGGGAGCTGCACTTGGTTATGACCTGGCCTGCTGCTGGGCCTGCTGCTTGGATTGCCTGAATAGGATTCAGAAGCGGTACCGCGCTGGAGGAAACAGCCAGTGAGGCGACAAGGAGCGTTGTGAAACCCATGTTGACGGCTGTTCAAGACGCTGAAAGCAAGGTGGGACTCTCAATTTCATGTTTGACCCGGCTTGAAGGTTTTATATCTAGTGATCGACTAGGGTGTGCGCACATGGTCGTCGATATTAGCTTGGGGCTCTCTTGGCTCATTCCTGGTAATGAACCCAGACTATCCGGAACATCGGTGCGGCTAAGGCTTCAATTCAGACGTAGACCTGGTAGCGTGCGGCGAACGGAAGATGAGGACGACGGTAGCATGCTAATTTTGGGGAAACCAGCAGTACGCGTCGACGAGGATTGCCGTTACTAGCCTAGAACGTCGGCTTTTGTGGCGTAAATGTCTACTTCGTAGAGGCGTTCGTGTTCATTTTGCCCTTCATCCGACAAATTTGAGGTGCAACTAACGTCGGCTTCATATCGGTGTCGTCATGCTTCCGCCGGGTAAATATGGTAACCACCAGGGGTTTCTCCACGTGAGATCAGCCTCGGGACGGCGAGACGCGCTTCCCCACAGTTGATCGTGAAGCTTTGGCTTGGCGCGCTACTTGATCCGTCGGGCTTGTTCCTCAAGGTGACCCAGGCTTCGTGAGGCCGAGGTGTGGATAAAGTCCAGAATCAATGACTACGAACGCTATTCGCAGCCTGGGCAATGTCCATCGCAAGCCGAAAAAGTTTACTTGGTACTGGGTTCCTTGTGTTTTAAATCAAGCGACAAAGACTTGAGATTGGCTTGAAGCTAAGTCTAATGTTTTAGGGAGTTTCACTCGGGAGCTGGGATGGTACAGGGTCCATCATCGTATTCTTTCCGCCGACATTGATGAGCTCAATTACCTTGTAGTTTGAACTTGCCATCGTTGTTTGCTCTTGTACCAAGGGGACTATTCTCTGGATTTTTCCAGTTGCATAGGACGATGCTGTTAGTTCGAGTAGCTCTTCAGGCTCATCCCACGCGCCCACGGCGAAGACGCCATTAGCTGAGGCCTTGACTACACGCGATAGCCTTCTTCCAGCAGGCGAGTTGAAGCCACCGAGTGTCTCCCAAGCGACTTTCGTAGCTACGAATCCGATGGTATTCGACTCGCCGCTACCTTCGCGCTTGTCATATGCTTTCAGTTCCAGGCATCTGACAATGCGCAGCGCGGCCGCCATCTTAAGAGATTGGAGTGAAAGGCTCTCTGATGAGGGGCTGTAAGCGCTCAGGATGCGTACAACGCAAATGAGCGCTGCGTTGTAGAGCATATATGTTGTTGCCGATGCATGATTCGCGATGGCAGGCTCTTTAGGGCCTGGAATTACTTCTTCGTTCAGCATGCTGACGTTGTATTGCGACCAGCGGAGGTAGAGGCCATCCAGCTGGTTCAAGAATTTACGAGCACGAGCCACCGTTCGACAACGGTCCTCCCCGGTAGCTTCTTTCCAGGACGATGTCTTGAGCCCTTCCCTCAGAACAGTACAGTCTGCCATGACAAGCAGGATCTCATGCCGAATGAGGGAGCCTTCATCGGTATGAAGTGGTGGCACGTACCTCCACTCGTCTCTTGCCCATATCGATGGTCGCCGTTGTACCAATGCACCGACTATGCAGAGAATCCGAACACCGCTAAGCATCGCTGGGTCCGCTCCGAGCGGAGACGTAGGGGGACCACGCGCAGCGAGTATCGCTTCAACACCTTGCACATGTTTGAAGAAATTGTTTGGTCCGGTGGGAACGAAGATCTCGAGTATCATGCATGTGACCGCCGCCATGATCGTTTCGTTAGCACTCTGCAACTCTGGCTGCGCCAAGTGCGCGTTGAGCTGTCCCAAAACCTTGCCATATGTTTTGTAGCCGCGATTGGTGATAACTCTTTGACGATGCTGGTTGCCATAGAACGCTGCAGATAGGCTAAGGATCGCATTGCGGAGCAGATCAAGGCCAGGGTCCAAGACATCGCCGTTCAATCCCACACGTTGAACGAGATCGCAAGCCACTTCAACGCAGCCACCTCTCATCAGATGCTTGCGTGTGTAAGAGACACATATGTCGTCTTCGAAAGCCACAAAAGATATTTCCCCTGGAATCGCTTGATGCAGAAGGCCAGCAGGAAGTGGATTACTGTGATGGCTTATCCAGGTAGAGTCTTTCGGGCCGTCGCATACCAAGTTCCGCTTTTTACAGCGGTCACAGATCGGACGGTTTTCATCTGGTCTTAGTCAGTGCGAGTCCGTTCTCAACATAACACATTCTTAGGTCGGTTGCAATTTCGTTGTGTGCAAGGACATCAAGGTATGGCAGTTCTGCTTCCCATTGCAGATACTGCAGCCAGAAAAGTTCTAGATCAGACACATACCACACTTAACACGTCGTTGCCGACAATTGGAACAACCTCTAGAGCGCCCTGCTCTGCTTACCATGACGGTATCGGGTGCACTCTACGGATGGAGCGGAAAGTCAGCATGTAGGAATTCGGTGATTGATAAACACTTAAGTGGTTGCGCATAGACATCAAGAAGCCCTGTTCAGCTCGGCCTCCACGTTGTAAGCTGACATGCAAGCATGTGAGCAGACGTGTCGCGGGGGCTGTGAAGGGTACGAGTAGAACGAAGATGTCGGTGGCCGCAAATGCCGACAAGGTGGTCCGTGCTCTATTATCTCCTTCAACTGTTGCTTTCACCACACGCTTCCCTTCGTCCTCATCTGTATCATGCAGATCACATCCTACCGAAAATGCTACTTTCAAATGGAAATGCTGGTGCTTCTTCTTGATGGAATAGTTTAAATTGCATCACTTCCTACCTGAGGAAGTGCGTCCTATTGTAAATCCAACTATCTACAGTACTCCGAATATCTAGCAATGTACGCCGCAATACGAACGCCTGATGGATATATACGTACGTACGTCCTGTACAACGTATCAAATTCGTGGTCGCCTTCCGCTGGACCCGATCGCTCCTACGTCGGGTCGCGGAGTGTGTGCAGTCCAGTTGTCGCTGCGACAAGCCATTGCTCCCAAACGCCAACAAATAACAGAAAGATCCGATGAAAAAAAATGGTGTCGCGACGAACAGTTTATGGAAAGGTCTCGGGTATATCTTTGAGGAGCGGCGGCTTCCCAGCCCGCTCACATCGATCCTGTCGCTCCCTCCTACGGCTGACCAACACTAAGCTGCTGACCCGCGACACCAGCAATAAACCTATCCTGGTGGCCGTAGTGCTGGTGAGGACGCTCGTTGAGCTCAAGGTGTGCAACATTCATTATCTGCGCCGACATCATGGCTTCTGTGCCCAGAGCCTTGACCGCGTAGGCTGTGGTGACGCCGCGACTGCCAATACGGAGCTTCGAGCGTCCGTACCGACAGACCCATCCAAGAGGCCAGCCTCCATCATCGCACTGGAGAGATGCGAGGCGCGAGATGTCCTGGTCGATGCCTTTAGGGCGGAGTCCAAGCGACTGACAGGCTAGGATGCGCAAGGTGATAGCGAGAGAATCCACCTCTGGAACGTATGCCTCGTACTTCTCACCTTTGGCCTGACTAGCTTCAGCAAGATCGAGTTCCGCTTGGGTAACTTCGAACTCGTAGAGACCCATGCGGCTGGCAAGAGCTTTGGCGAGTGGTACGCGTAAGGATTGGATCTCCGGGGCGTATGGGTGGGCGGCGACGAGCTGCGACACGAAGAAAAAGAATACTTCTGGTGTGCAGTAATGTCGTGTGCCGGACATATACGTTCCAGAAGTCAGACCTTCGCTAATGTATGCGAGCGATTCCTGGATCTCGGCAGATCGATCGTACTTGTAAAACACGCGGACGACGTTGGTGAGCACGCAGATGTCGACGCGCGGGCGTGTTGGGTCCCAGTAGGTCTGTACCAGGCCATCGCCATTGCGATTTGCAAGCATACTGTCTAGGAGATCATCAACGCCGACGTTCGGTGTGAAAGCAAGCAGCGCGTAAGAAGTGGAGTCGACGTCTGGTGGAAATGTCTTGGTCGTGCCGACGGGTTTGTCGAGGAAATAGTTCCACTTCTTCGCCACGTTCATGGTATTGCGAACATCGTCGTTCGTCTCGAGATCCTTGTGTGGATGAAGGCGCAGAAGCGATAGGTCGTTCGTGACTTCCATAATAAGGAACTGTGAGAAGGTGTCCTCGAAGGTCACGGAGCCCTCGATTTGGTTCACCAGACGACGCGCGTTTCCCTGCAGCCAGGCTTTCCCTTGCAGCACCTGCGAACCAAGGTCTATGGCCTGAGGAGAAACACCAAAGTTGGAGAACGCATTCTTGTAGAAGAGCGTCTCAAGCTTGCGCTCATGCTCGGACGGAAGGAAAAGCGAAGCCGTGATGCGCTGCACAGCTTCGTGCTCGCCGATCTCGCCATGCTCAAGAGCTTCCCATTCCTTGCATGTAATGATGTGGTGAAGCGTCTCTTCGGGAAGCGTGGCGAGTCCCGCCGTTATGTAGTAGATCCAGTTACTGCTCAAGGCCTGGATCATGTTGCAAGGCGGTATTGCTATGGGTTCTTCTTTGCCTACAAAATCAGTTGATATTCACGGATTGATAGTACAGGATGGGATGAGTGTATGCATAAGACGGTTTCAAGGGTTGCATAGGGTAAGGGATAAGGAGGTGGGAGTGTTCTCTTTATTCAGGTTGAGAAACCAGAAAGGAGTGCTTATGGACTAGTGCTTGAGTCGAGCGACACGAATTTACGTACCTTGATATGCTCTCACAAGAAGTTGAATTTGCTTCGAAGAGCGGTTGGATGGGGAAGGTAGGAGTTGTGTCGGACTGAGATGGGTGGTGACCATTAAAATACAAGCCTGCGGCCACAGCCTTCTCGTCCTGCTAGTCCTTCTGGTCCTGCTAGCCCTGCTAAGAGCAGCCGCAACGTCATCTTGGGCTAAGTTTATTCACGAAGGGGTGCTATGGTCCGTGCCAAGGATGGTGATGTGTGGCGCAGAAAGGCAGTGAATTGGACCCTCGAGGATCTTTCACCTGCTGATGGTTGAGATCATGTCATACCAGGCATCGACCACCAGGATGTATACCAGGATCGTATGGCTAGAGCCGAAGTCAACCTTCGTTCCCATCGACTGCATGTCTATGATAGGTGCAGAAGGCAAATGTTGTGATAAGGCAACAGCCACGACCAGCCTCAGTGAAGCTTCCAAGACCAACGAACTACACATCTAATATCACTTCAGAGGAACGAAGACTACTGCTCACCTTGGCATGACAGAACCATCCGGATCGTTCGCTCAGCCCTACAGCATGGGGGGCCAGGGACGCAGGCTCCAATGCAGCCCTACCGGTGATACTGAACAGGTATGGTTAATCCTACAGGCGGAGCCCTCCGAGTGGCTTTGCGAAGCCATATTTTCTTGTGACCTGAACACACTTTTTCTATTTTGACGAATAATCAGTCATATTGCGCTTGAGACGGAAGCCTTACGCCTTATCCTGGCTATGTAAGAGTTCGCCTGAGCTAACGACACGCGAGCTGAGGCAATACTTAGCGGCTTCTGCATCCTCAAAACTCAGTTCTTTGCCTTTGGACTGACTCGTATACATCATGTGGATGGGTTAACCATTTCTCGCAATTGGGCCGACGAATGTATCCATCAGAGGTTTGGTCGCAGAGTTGGGGCGCGGGGCCATCTGCCTTCGCCCAAGGCTGACCTAGGCAACAGTTCCACCAGTAGCGATATATTTATGGTTGCGCATTTGCGCTGAAGTGGGTGTGATGAACTCTGCTCTAAAAAGAGGTGGTTTTCCATATCGCGACTTGAGCAACCCCCACCCACGTACTGCACGCTATGCCGAGGGTAAGCTGATGCGAACGTCCGGGAATATCTCCATTCCATGACAGCTGACTCTTGATGATGCACAACACCACGTGTTCACCGTAGAGCCTTTGACTAATTTCCTAAGCAGCGAATAAAATGGGCAAATGACTACCTTCATCGAAAAAACACAAGTTGAGTCTGACAGCTCGCGAAAAAGTTGTTACATTCGTTCTGGCGTCTACATCTTTTCGGCTACAACTTCCATACGACAAAACAGGACTTTTCAAAGCTTGAACTCAAAACCACGATCATTCAGCTGTGCCTCGAACAGACTCGGCGGGTCCACGAACGACCCGTATTCACCGGTGCTGTTAGTCTCGTAGCCTGCTTTCTTGGATTTGGGCCCCACACAGCCGAAGCAGTAATTTTGGCCGAGTGGCGGATCCTGCATGGTGACAGCTGACGAGTTAGAATTCCAAGATACACCTGATCTTGTTAGCCGAAGGCGCTTCGTTAACTCAAGAACAGGGTGTTCACACCATTGTTTATCGTCCAACCGTGTCCACTCCCTGCGCTGCCGCGATTTCTGTAGAGCACGGCGGCCACTTTGCTACCCTCATTGAGGAACCCGTGAGCCCATCGCTGGTGTGGCTCGATGCTCTCGATGGCCTGCTCCGCTTCGTAACCGATGCATGCGTTCGGACCTGGCGTAAGGCTTTGCGTCGCAACGCTATAACTCCTTGAATCCTTCTTTCCGAGAGTTTTTACATTATGTACCAACACTTGCGTTCCGTCGATAGCAACATCAAGTGCATACCCTTTCCCATTGTCCGTTGTGCCGTCACGGTTCATGGTGACTGTAGTGATCGTGATGCGCGATGCCGATTGCAGTATAGTGATGTGGTTGTTAAAGCCGGTGAGGTCGAGGTTACGCACCCATGAATCAGTAGTCCAGGAAGGAATGTGAACTGCAGATGAGGAACATGTGGTATCACCAAGGATTCTGCCAGAGCAAGACGGCTTGACGCGCATGCTCAGGTTCTCGATACCCATTTCGGAGGGTTGCGTAGGAGGCGTATAGGGTGTGAGCTGGATAGGCGACATGATGCCATTCTCTGCGTCTAACGAGTCCGTAAGTGGGACTGTGAAAGAGACAGCCTTGCCATTCATAGACTTGATGCGGCGTGGTTGCTGCACGAGTTTACCGGGCTGGCTTTTGTCAGTACAATTGGACACAGTGCCCTCGGCGAAGGAATGACTCACCTCCAGCCACGTGAAGTCTCGAGGAAAGCCATCTTCCTTCTTGTGAGCAGTCATGCCCATCGCATCCACCCATGCTTGCGTGATGCCTCGCTCTACATACACGTTCATTCCGACAGAAAGACCACTTGCGTCGGCGACATGTACAGTACCAGTGCCAGCAGGGACATAATCGTCGGTAATCTTGATGCTCTTACTCCTTTTCTCTTGACCACTCGTTTTGCCCAGGGTCGCCACATCCTCGCTAAGATCTTTTACGGTCAGGAAAGTTTTGCCGATACCCGCGCCTCTGAGGGTGGTGCCATTTTGGATAAGCAGTCCAGAAGAAAGCGCGTATGTGCCAGCCTTGAGCGCGACCACGCCACCTCCAGCTTGGAAGACTTCGTCAAGAGCGGCTTGAATCGCAGTAGACATGTCTCCAGATCCAGGGCTCAGAGTCTTCTTGGCAGGCGTGCTCAAAGCCGGTAAGCCAATCTCGGACTGATGATAGCCTGCGAAAGAGAAGTTGGGTATCTTATCGCCTTTTGCTGTCCATGCTTTTTTGTAGTCAATAGTCTTTGCATAGACAGGAAGCGAAAGTGTAACGAGATAGAAGGCTGCGGCAAAAAGCATCATGAAGGTAACCTAGTCCAGGCTGAGAAAAACACTCGATTGTCCATCCTTCAGAGGGGTAAAGCATGGCTATATCCAGATTTTGATGGAGAATGGATCGGCCTTCAAATCGTCCTCCGGTCAAAGTGCGACACCATGTCTTTTACAGTTCCGCCCCTAGGTCTTCTCCCAAGGCCACCAATGCGCTTCAACGATCGGTCTCAGCCTTGCGCTCCGAAAGCGCCTTCCGCCCAATGCGGTTGTCCACATGCTGACTGATGCCTACGATGCCCTTTTTCGACCGAGCTCAATACGAATGCCTGCAGGGGAACGATGCGAAAATGACGACCAAAGCTTATGGGGTGGTGAGGCTCAAAATAAGCGGAGCTGAAGCTGAGAATAGATGTGGGGACGCGGACATACCGGCCCCGTTCCGAACGAGGGATCAAGGAGCGAGGTTGGCCATGAGTTCTGTTAGTAAGCAGTAACTTCATCTACTATTGACCGACTCTCCCTTGCTTGGCCTCACGACGTCGATGCATCAATTCTTGAACAATTTTCATATTTGCTATCTATACTGTGGGGCATTGCGCAGGCTCGTAGCTACTACATGCAGAGGCCAAAGCATGCCCATGACAACATAAACTCCACCGTTTCGTCGACCGTATCCGCTGATCGACATGATCGGAAATATACCTCGATAGGGCATCAGAAAACCAATCGCGTGGAACTGTCTGCTGAAGTTCTAAGCACATAATGTGGACGAGAGTTAGGGAGCTCGTACTTACAGAAAGCTGGTGGCATCCAGACACTCGGAGTCTAGCTCAATTCTTCCCGAATTTGATCCGATCTTGAATGACTGCTTGCTTTGCTGGATCGGCGCGCATGAGCCTATGAACATACATGATCAAACCAGCCGGTCGTGAGATCACAGCCAGACTGCCCCCGCATAAAAATTCGATTGGATTGTCCGTCGTATCATCAATGAAGTTATCCCAATCTGTGTTATCGCTATCGCGCACAGGGAAGTGCCAGCTAATCTTGATACGAAGGTACCTCAGGCTCCCAAAGCCGAGTCTACCCTCCGATAGCTTCCGTAGGAACGTGCAATGCGAACGGCAGATGTACATAGTCAGATGCAGTCGACGGATGAGGCAATTGAGCGGAGCCGGTGGGTACCGATTGGGCATGCCGGAGTTGAGCTGGATCAGGAACTCGTTGTTCCTATAGAAGGCTTCCGTAGCCATACGAGCAATATGAGGCGTCATCCGACAATGCGGAAATAGCTTTGTGATCAGATCCATTGGGTACCGGCAGCCCTGGCGAACAGGGTATGCGATCATGTTCTGAGTTATGATCATCACTCGGAGCTCTTCTGGCAGGTTCTCCCAGTGTCGAACGAATAGTGGGCCGAGGGTGTATTGCGGTTTGAGATGGACGGGTAGGCGTGAATATAATACGAGTGAGTTCACGGGAGCTTCGGTGGTGATGGACTTCCATTCTGGATTCGTCGGGTTATCGCCAGTAGAAGCGAAGAACTGGGTTGCCGATCTGATGCGTATGCGGATAAGGACCGGCGGCTGGAGCGTCATGGGAACCTGCAGGTCTATGCCTGCCTTCAATTGGGAATCATACACGTGGAGTGTTTGCTTGCCCATGTACGACAACGCGATCGGGTTGACCCGAGGAATCAAAGGATTGTCCGTCCTTTCTTGGGCATGGGCTGGCTTAGGAGAATGGCTGCAGATCTTAACGAATTATTAGTTCAAGGCTATGATTCAAAACTCTGTACGTGATACTTACATATTGGTGATGCATTATTGTAGGCGCCTTGATGGCAGTCGGCCAACGTGTGGCGTAGGTCTGAGTTGATGTCTCGTGGCGACCTATGAGGCGAAGTGCTTTGGTGCTAATCAGGGGAGAGCAAAGGGGTTGCATCGCTGACTTTCCGTGGTTTGGGTTCATATTCAGGTCAACGCCGTGAGCTATGGCATGTAGACGCGTCTGAGACGCGTCGTAGCTTGACGCGTGCAGTAAGTGAAATTGCGCCGAAGAACACGATATGGTTGAATATAAAAGCAAGGTCGCTCTTTGTGTTACCTATCTAATAATGTGACACAGTCTATTATTCAGTGTCTCTTGTTTAGATAATTGCAAGCGTACAAACAAAGGCAATGTAAACATGAAGTTGAGTGTAAGAATGTATGATTGCATCAGATGGGAGGCGCTGCCTTTATATAGTCCTAGCGTAGCACCTTTTCAACATCTCTTAGGAATTCAGTACCAGCCCATTGTCAGGCGCCTCGCCGGTGATCAAATACTGGGCAATCGCGGCCGCCGTCTCCCCGCCTATAGGGAAGCTTGTGTGGCCATCGCCATGTCTAGTAATGAATACCTTATTGCGAATCTCTTCCAACATGCCAATTGCCCAAGGATAAGCCGTGCTTGGATCGGCGTCGCTGTTGACCGACAAGATCGTTGTCTTGGTGTTTACATCAAGCTTCTTAGGCGGGTTCCGCGTCGCAAACGGCCAACCGATACAGCTGTGCAGGAGAGAGGTAGACTGGCCAGCGCCTTGGCTCAGAGGCTGAAATGTATCGAACATGTGCTGCTTCGCTTGAATGTAGTTGAAGTCATATACGGACGGATCGTGATTGAGGTCAAGGCAGTAGATGGCAGTTGATGCAGCCGTAGAGGCGTCGTCGAAGCGCGTAGAGAACGCAGAAGCGTCACCTTTGGTAGCGTTATAGATGGCGGAGGCGAGGTCACCCCAAGTACTGAGGCCTCCAGTAATTCGCGGGTCCTTAAAGACTAGAGCTGCTTGTGCGTTGAACAAAAGCTCTTCGGCGTTGACATCGGTGCGGCAGGTAGTGCCGTCGCAAGAAGGCGCGGGTATCGGGGTCGTGGAGGCATTAGTGAGCAGTCCAGCGCATATTTCTGCGACGTCTTCACCCTTCAGAGGAGAAGTCTCCTCTTCTGAGGCCCATTTGAAGAAGTGTTGGAGACCAATACTGTAGCCGAGAGATTCTATAAGAACGTTCGAAGCAACGGATTGGGAGTGCTGCAGCATGCCGTCGAGGACCAAAGTACGGATGTTGTCGGGGAACAACTGAGCGTACTGAGCGCCGAGCTGCGATCCGTAAGATATGCCAACCATGTTCAGAGGCTCGTTGCCGAGCGCGATGCGCACAGCTTCGTGGTCCTTCGCGACACTGATGGTGTCCAAGTATTCTAGTAGCGGTCCAGTTTGATTGCGACACGACTCCCCGTACCTCTTGTTCTTGTCAACAAGTGTGTCATACTCTGCCTGCGTTTTCGGGAACCATGACACGCGCTCGGCCCAAATCTCTTGATCACACTGAACAGGATTACTCAAACCAACACCGCGAGGATCCAACCCGATCAGATCGAATGAATCAGTCAGGCCATCCGGAAGGGGAAGCACGCCCAAGACCAACGAACCAATGAAGTCAGATGCTGCACCTCCAGGTCCGCCGGGGTTGATGAAGAGCGAACCAATCTTTTTAGTGCTGTTTGCATTTGCGGGTAACCTGACGAGGCCCAAGTCAAACTTTGTGCCCTCCGGTTCGTCCCAAATTATGGGTACCGAGTATGTCGCACATTCAAGTTGTGAAGGAGCTCCCTCAGGACAAGCACCGAAGGTTATTGATGGTGCTGTGCAGTTCGATGGTAATGTGGTGGAGTTAGATGAACTTGGGTGTCGAGAAGATAGAGGAAACGCGATGGTAGACGAGAGTAAGGATGCGACGACGGAGAGACGAGTAGTCGGCGCCATTATCATTATGAGTACAGCTGAGTTCCTGGGCAGAATACAGTAGTAAAGGCGATGATCACTCAAGGAATAAAAGAATCTGGAGAGATGTGGGATGGAGGATGATGTTTGCAGCTTCTCGCCATCTGCTATATAACCAGTCGGTCATGTCGTGTATTTCCCTTTCCGAATGTGGTCATCGTTGCTACCCGCCTCGCACCAACGTCAACAAGCCTCGCCGTAGGACCCGTAAATTGTCACTGCGCTGGTGTTTAGGGCTAGAAAGTCACGTTTCAAGCCTCGGGTGTTTTCCTGGAAAGGCATAGCGTGATCTTATCGGGAATCTGCCGAGTTGGGGGCCGTTCACGGACGTGAACAAGGCTCTCTGAGGCGCAAGCAATGGGGCTGGGGCTACGTTGATCACAGGAAACAGGCGAGCTAGACTCTACGCACCAGATCTATTTTCAGTCAGCGATGAGCCGGAAGAGAAGAGTTTGCGAGATTAAGACTTGCGACGCGTGAACGCGTGTGGGAGTGGCAGCGACGATGGCATTCAACCGAGTCATGTGCTGCTTGCACCGAAGACAGACTGCTATCGGGTTTGTGAAGGTTTTCGTTTCTACGGCTTTGGGCAGTGTTTGTTCTCCATGGCATTAGCAACGCATTACATTCTGCGTTTCGGTGCGGCGGATGAGGAGGACTCAGACAAACGCAGTCAGGCGCTGACTTCGACAGCTCATAACGAGGAGGACCATCGGGAGCTACAGGAAAGAACGTAAGAGGCGATCATTTCGCGAACAGCACAGCAAGATCAGCTGGTCAAATTTTAGGTTATACAGCTTGTTCTCCAGGAGAGCGGAGAGGTGGTGCTTGAGCTCATCTCCGAATCAAACAGCGATTGGACGATTAAGCGATATGCTCTGGCCTAAACTGAAGGCGACGCTGCTCCTGCCTGATCATGCGGCTCGGCCTTTTGTAACTTCATGGTAATGGTATCTACCTATCTCGGGGAGGTTTTTCCAAAAAGGTACAAGAAACGCAGGCACTCTTTGTTCGTGAATCCGTCATGGTAGTACCATGGCCAATCGCGAGGCGATACTTTCGCGTTCCCTGCACTAGCGCGTCCGCTTTTGGAATCTGAATACGAAAGCCGTCCAGCAGGCACGCGACTACCACGCATAACCAACTAGACCATACTATCGCCACCAATTGATGGTTGGTTTGATATCAGCGTGATGATAGCTGGCGACAAACCAACTAAGGGCCCCGCCTCGATTGGGGGTTCGGAACGAAGAAGTTGGGGGAGGGCTTCGTGTTCGTTACGTGTGCAAACGAGTGCTCAGATCGCGAGCATACATATAATAAGATTTCGGGGTCTGCTCACTAGAAACATCACATCATTTTCGAGTATACTGATAGCTTACAATCGACTATCATTTGTATACTCGAGTAACATTCCTCAGTCACAATGGTGCTTAACTACTTCAAGTTCGGCAGCAATGCCCCTGCGAACCCCGAGGACCCCAAGCAGCAGCCTGTCCGCGCCCTGCCTGCCTCATGGTATAACACAAAGGAGATGTACGAGTTCGAGCGTCGTGCCATCTTCTCTAAACGATGGCTGTTCATGACGCACAAGGTCCGCCTCGCAAATACTGGTGACTGGCTACGATACACCTTCGCTGGCTTCGATATCATTATCAACAAGGACCGACAAGGGAACATCAATGCATTCCACAACGTCTGCCGCCACCGAGCATACCCCGTCATTGAGAAGGAGGGCTCAGGCAATGCGAAGATCTTGGCATGCAGGTATCACGGCTGGTCGTATGGACTGAACGGAAAGCTGGCGAAGGCGCCAGCCTATGACGGATTGGAGCTCAACAAGGAGGAGAACAGCTTGTTCAGGTGCCACGTCAAGATCGATCGCAACGGTTTCATCTGGATTAATCTTGACGCCAACGAGGTCCCGGAAGTTCCGTGGGAGAAGCACTTCGACAACGTTGATGTGTAAGTCCATCCACACCCCTACTTCAGAGGAAATCATGCTAACGGTTCTGTAGCCAGGACCGATACGAAGGCATCAACTTCGACGACTACGTCCTCGACCACTCGTACGATATCGACGGCGCATACAACTGGAAGATCCTCTCGGACAACTTCAACGAATGCTACCACTGCCCTACCACCCACCCCGATATCCCCACCTTCCTGAACCTCGAATCTTTTGACAGCGACCTCAAAGATGGCCACATCCAGCACCACTGCGACCCGAAACCCGAGCAGGTCGCGGCGGGTCTGCATGCACACAGCACATACTACTTCCCCAACTCATCGATGACGGTTGCCAGAGCCTTCATCATGATCCAGAAGTTCATGCCCAATGGACCCAATCAGTCTAAAATGGCATACGAGATCTACCGCCACAAGAACGCCGATGAAGAATCTTTCAAGGCTATCAGCGAGCCATACGCTCGCGTGATGAACGAGGATAAGGTTTTGTGCATGGGCCAGCAAAGCAATCTGGATCGCAATGTGTTCACAAACGGCCTGTTGCACCCCAAGTGGGAGAAGGCACCCATCTTCTTCCAAGCCGCAGTCAGGGGAGGCTGTTACCGAGCACTACGAGAAGGAGAAGGCGGTAGGTAGGGAGATCTGGCCGGCGAGGCAGAAGGCCAAGGGTGCTGGTGCCGATATCAGCGCTAAGGATGAGGAGATCTGCGATGGTCTAGGCTGTGGAACACAGAAGGAGATTCTGGCATGGTAGTGATGCGCTCAACGAAAGAGTGCGGTACCATCGAATGGGTTGCAGGCTTGAAGCCCATTCGAGACATCATAATGATGTGACTATGAACTTGGAACGATGTGCATGAGATGGAGTTTGGAGCGTTCTCAATTTGATTATTCTGCATTAGATATATCCTTCGCAATGAAGTCTTTCACTTACTCACGTCTGTCTCCGTCGTAAAAGTTCACTTCGATCCATCCTTCTTGTTCAATGAGCTTAGTTCTTCACGTCGGACGTAAGCGATCCTTCAGTGAACAGCATGCGTGATGCTAAACCTGCCCACTTCGACATCTTGAACATTGGTGTCCTGCGCAAGGCGTGCTACAGCCTCAAGATCAGGCGTCTTTCTCGAGTATCCCGCATGATAAGTCTACTCACTTCTCGTGCGATCTCATTGGTGAGGTGTGTGGACAGCGGACGCAAGCGGACCGCAAGGAGAGGTTGTGGTTGATCTGTGTGCTAACCCTGAAAGGGAAGGAGCATCCTTCATCGCGCAGGAACAGCATCTACATGTGACTTCTTCACGTAGATATATCAGAGTCTCAATGCGCTCGTTTGCCGCGACAAAGAGAGGGAATACTTGTCATGCTGAAACGCTTTAAACCTCGGCCGATACCGGCGCTAGCGGCAACCACTCACATTCCGCCCACCGACACCCATCGTGGCCAGACACCAAAAAATGCCTCCCGTCTCTCGTTCATTGTGGTCACCGTGCCATAATCTCTTCAACAGAGTTTACACGTCTCATCTTCGACCCTTCAACTGCCGAGCACTCACATTGACTACCGGCCCGGCCCCTCAGCAGAAAATTTTCCGGAACCGGCAGTCCATCCAGTTTTACCGCACTTTCCACGTGAGTCAAACGGCCACGTCGAAACACAGATCACAGCCCTCAGACACAGAAGAACTGAGTCTCAAGAAGCAAAAAGAAAAGATGGCAGTTGACGACCACTACCTTACTCTTTCGTGCCCTGATAAGTCGGGTATCGTGTATGCGGTGACGGGGCTCCTGGCAAAGCAGAACCTCACTATCCTGGACCTGCAGCAATTCTCCGATCCGGACTCCAAGAAATTCTTTATGCGCGTGCACTTCGGGCATGCCACGGATCTCTCGGCCCTCCAGGAGCCGCTGCAGAAATTAGCGAGCGAGTTGAAGATGGATTACCAAGTGCGAGCCGTGCAGGAGAAGCCCAAGGTGCTGCTCATGGTATCCAAGATCGGACATTGCTTAAACGACTTGCTGTTCAGAGTCAAGAGCGGCCAATTGAAGATCGACATCCCGCTTATTGTGAGCAATCACCCGGAATTCAAAGAGCTTGCCGAGTCGTACGGCATTCCGTTCCACCACCTGCCTGTGACCAAGGACACGAAGGTGGAGCAGGAAACGCAGATTTTGGACCTCATTTCACAGCACAAGATCGATCTTGTTGTATTGGCGCGGTACATGCAGGTCCTTTCTCCAAGACTGTGCACTGAGATGTCCGGCAAGATTATCAACATTCATCACTCGTTCTTGCCATCGTTCAAGGGCGCGAAGCCGTACCACCAGGCATATGAGCGTGGTGTTAAGATTATCGGTGCCACGGCGCACTTCGTGACTGCCGACCTAGATGAGGGTCCTATCATCGAGCAAAGGGTCGCACGCGTCGACCATGCTATGTCACCGAAGGAACTTGTGGAAGAAGGAAGCAACGTTGAGAGTCAGGTACTCGCGGCTGCAGTTAAGTGGTGGAGCGAGCAAAGAGTGCTGTTGAACGGTGCGAAGACAGTCGTGTTCAATTAAGTCGACACATTAGAAACAGACATTAGATTCCCTGTATATATTGGACAGCGATGCTCGGCAATGATATCGAATCACACCATGCTGTGGTACTATGTTTGTGTGCGTCGCGACACGGCAGCGTGGCAATGCTCGCGAGCAAACTTCACACTACTTGAATTTGGAGCACCTTCCGCATTATGTCGAGCTACTGGAGCAGGTATAGTCACTCGCCACATCTCCCTTTCATGTCGATGAGGCCCTCCTTTTAACAACATGAATCCCACCATGACGGTAGCTGCGCAGGATTCTGCGGCGGGCACAACTGATGATGTGTTTGCTTGGTATCTTACGACTGTAATTGATGGTGGATACGAATGTAAGTACGCATACGTGTTTCATCAATATCAATACCGCGACCATCAAGAAGGCTAACGTAAGCACGTAGATAGGCCATTGATCAACGGCAATGACAGGCCATTCAGCAACACCGGTTCCCACTGGCTTGATTGGTGTACGGAAGATTCGAAATGGTGTGGCTACTGGACCGAGTGTGCCTCAGGTAGCATCACTGGCTTAACAGTGACATCGACTTGGTAATGAAAGACGACCCAAACAAGAGGCCGAAAACATACTGAGAGGCTCCATAGTCCGGAGACAGCTTGCCGCACGGAAACGGTCTTTCAACAATATCGCACGCAGAGCCCTCTGTTTAGCAATGTGTGGTGCGACGCACCAAATACCTGGATACAGCGAACATACTATAAGCAACATCCTCCGCGAACATGGGAGTTGCAAGACATAGCGGGTGAGCAAGAGATACATGAGACTCAAACCTTAATGCAGGTGCTCACGTTGATCAGTGTTTGATAACAGAATCTCAGTGCCAGCATCAACAACAGCAATTGCGATGGTCATTTCGAGTACGAGCGAGGAAGGCACAGCGACGATTGTAACGTCGGTATTGCAGACCTTGACAATTCCAATGATGACTCATAAGTCAACACTGTCACTATCAACAGAGTTCTCCTGGCCCTCCTCTTCAACACTGTCGCCATCAGATAGTAAGCATACTACGTTTCCAGGAACTTCCGAAAGTAAAGATATCGTCAAAACAGATGCCGCCTCGCTCTCTACAACCTCCTCGCCCTCTTCAACTTCCTCGTCATTCTTCACCCCACCAACCAGTTACAAGCCAGCAGCAAGGTTCATCGTCGGAGCCTCCGTTGGAGGAGTGGTCGTCATCAGCGCCATCATTCTGGTAATCCTGATCCTTATACGAAAGAGGAGAAACCGGCTTGCGCGAAAGAAAGAAGCGCAACAGGCAAACGCTTTCCCACACCTTGCTATAGAGACGAAACCCACTATATCCGAGCTCGAATCACCCGTTCCGTGCGAGCTGCATTCGCCGATGTTAAGACATGAGCTACCGTAGTTAAATAATACGAGGTTGGAACGTCGTTCTTGGCTTGTGGAAACATGGAAGCCCTGGTCTCTCTGGTTTGGTGAAACTGCTAAAGTATTATGTTTCTTGACACGCAAAGTGTCAACCTACTTCTATGCCTCTGTTCACGCTCTATTTTGACGAGTTAGATACGTGCAGGCGGGTGCATGCTCTTGTGTATCTGTACCAGATAGCACAGCAACATGATCTCGCCATAACTGGCTATGGCTGTTTCCACGTACCATTCGAGGGTTGTATAGCCCACCGGACTGCTTCACATAGCCATGACACCGGACACTCTTGCCATCCGTAATGGCCGAGAGAGTTGGCTATTACAATGAGACTGGTACCTGAAGGATGTATAATTGATACAACTGAGAATTATGCAAACAGCCGCTGAACCGAAACAATGCCAAACGCTATGCCACCCGCTGATAACGCTGATGAGACCTGCAAAACTCCAGGCAGAAAACATACTAATACAAAAACAATAGCTGGCACTAATAAGCACCCAGCGCAACAAGCCTCCCTTTAACGTCCACTGGCCTCATCCCCATATTGACGACCACGCTGCTTAGCGCACCCATTCTGACAACATTCACATACCCCGGCGTGACCTCATTCGCAAGCACCTCAATGCACTTCAGAGCCTCCTCCTTCGATATCGGTGTCCGTATGGAGCTTTGCAGCGATTGCAGCAATGCGTTCATCGACAGAGAGATACGCAGTCCAGGTCCCTTGCTTGCGCATAGAAGGGAAAGAACGCCGAGCACGTCTTCGGAGCGCTGGAGTGCTGCTTTGCGCTGGAGCTCGGCGGGCGAGAGGGCCTTTGGGCCGGATGCGGCGGCAGCTTCTTTGGCGAGAATGCGGTCGAGGAGGTTGGTTTTGCGGACGGTGGTGAAATCTGTCATTTTGGTTTGGGGTTGCTGCGCATTCGGGTGCACCGGCGCGTTCTCTTTGCCCGTACTCTCGCGCGTTTTCTTCACCGCACGGCCTTGCTGGACACTGTCCTTGAACTCGCGGAGCCTCTTGCGGCCCTTCTCTTGCAAGGGTGCGATAGCGGTCAGGGACTCGCATGTTGTGATCTCGGCGTGCGGGAGCTGGGCGATGAACTTTGTCATGGAGGGCTCATCGATGAAGGACTGGATGCTGGATTGTGTTGGGTCGCTCTTCCTAGGACGTCCACGTCCGCGCTTTTTTGGTGTAGCAATTGGTCGGCTAGACATCTTCTGTGCTGTCTGACCTGCGGCGCTCCACTGCCTCCACAAGTGGTCCAAGCTCTCCATGAACATGATCTTGAGGGCCTCCTCGTTCATCTGTGACAGTCCCGCCTGCATCTTGTACTCTTCGCTGACCTCCAGGCATATCTTGCCACGTCCGTAGTCGGAGAGATGGAAGGGATTATTCCTTGCAGCTGGTCCGCAGCCGAGGACACCAACGCAGAGCCGGATGTCATCGTATGTGACTTTTCGATGGCGCCAAACAGACGTAGTTGTCTCGGTAAGATCTCGCAGGTCGATAGGCGATCCGGTTCCGTTGTGTACGAAGTGCAGTGACAACGCGGTGAGGAAGGACGAGTGCAGCGCGAGGAGATTCACTAGCTCGGTTGGCAGGGCAGCCGTCAGGTCGATGGGTGCCATTGTGTTCGGAAGATTGAATGATTATAAGGCGAAATTGATACAGCGCAGTTATTCGACTATCAACCACGCGAGAAGAGAAATAGTGAAGTTGTGGATAACAGTGGGATGAAGATGAGGAGAGGGGAGAGGACGGCTGTAATGCGGTCGGTGGGCTGGCAAAACAGCACTAGCGCGTCCAGGGGGACGCGACTTTTCGCGCCGACCAATGAAAGACGCGCAACCGTGACAAAACGCGTTTTCTTAAGACATTGAGCACGACCAATGATTCCAATTCAACCAGCTTGCGATTATCCTAAGTTTCTGGATGTTTTGTGGGCTAGCGCATGTGCCGTTATACCAGAACGTCCTTGGCCTGGGGCGTAAGGTGATCTCGAAGCTACCGGCATGCTTCTGGGAACCTTTCACAGTCAGGGAAGAAGTTTAAGCAAAAGCTGACGTACCATGCGCTCTGCCAAGCAGGCTAGCATATATGCTGGTATCTCTCGGCCTTCCGAATCCTGCCTATGAATCGGTTGTTGCAAGCGTACACTTGCAGGATATCAAACAGAAGCCACGCGTAAAGAGCTTACAGTTCTCAAGTCTTCTGCGCCGTGCAGAACGGATGCGCAACAGCCCGCTTCCTCCAAGACACATGCAATACGTTAATATGAGTAGCACAGAACGAAAACGCAATGAAGTCAATGTAAATCAATTGAGGCGGGAAGCAATCCAAATCTAACTCCTAAACCCGAAGGCCACATGCAGAAGTGGTAATCCATTACATTCGTACACTCTCTTCAACCGAAACCGGCTACTTTCCGCCGAACAATCCACCGAACCAGCCCTTCGACTTGTTGATGCCCTCATTGACCTCCTTGTCGAATTTGTTCGCCGCAGCGTTGACCTCACGGCCAGTCTCTTGCCTTAGGTCTTCGAACTTCTTCTTGGCCTCGGCGCTGTACTTTTGGAGTTCGGCTTCCGCCTTTGCCGCTTCCGCCTTTGCGTCATTGGCCTGCCAGGAAACGTCAGAACATGTTCGCAACAACCCGTCGACGACACCACAGGACGTAGTTGGAGACCTATAGCCGACTTACCAAGCTCTGTCCCTTTGCGCGTGCCGCCTCGTAGCCCTCCTCGGCGGTCTTCTTCGCTTCCTTGTCCTGACCGGGAAAGTCGCCCTTCACCTTCCTCGCGGCCTCGGCAGCATCGTCTGGACAAAGCTGTTAGTCGCGTACGAATACAAGCCTCTCAATTGGCACCTACGCTCAAACTTCTTCTCGGCGAGCTTCGGGTCACCGCCAGCACTGTACAGGTAGTAGCCGATGCCACCAAGTCCAGCGACTGCGGCCAAAGTTCCGACTTGTCTTCCAGCCATTGCGTTTAGATGTGAAAGGTGATTGTCGTACAAAGAAGGGTGATTTTGGACGTGGATTGGATGCGGGACGAAGGAGGAGCTGCAGGAAGGTACTTATGGGCGGGGTGCTTTCAAGGCATTGCATGGCATGATGACGTAGGAACGTGCCAGCTTGAGCACGGGCCTGAACCCACTGCGAACCATCACTAACCGTCACCCGATCCTGGTCATCGATCCTCGATCATCTCCATATTTCTCTATTCACGTCTACTTGCCGTGTACCAAGTGCTGGTAGCGCAAGTGTATGTGCAATTTGTTTCCTCTTGGTCTTTTAGTGCATCGCAGCTGCTTCTATGAAGTCCGCTCCTCTTGCCCCTAATTCCTAGCGCCCTACGAACGTCTAGCCATCACCTACCAATCTGAACAACTTATGCCTCCACGATAGCACGCCATGAAGCTTGCCTGACCACTCCCACATCACAGCACAACGTTGTGTATATAAGTTGTTGGCACGGCACGGCACTCAAATTTGTCGCCGAGTACCGCAGTCTGCAATGGCAGACCAACACATTGCACTCGTCGACACGACCGAAAACGAACAAAGCCCTGAGCGCGCCCAACAATTGGACGAACAGGCACGGCAGCCCCTACAGACCCCAGATTCTCATATCGACGTACTATATGAGAATCAGCGCGGCTGGTTCGTGTTCGGCATCCCGCTCTTCTCCTCGAAAGCGCTATGGAACCTTAGAATCGACCAGTCACCCTGGGTTGATGCGAAGTTCAAGCCATCGCCGGTCAATATCACAAATGCACAAGTCCCAGACCCAAGTTGGGTGTGGGAATGGAAGAGCTGGTATGTGGACATGAGCCATGACGTGGACGAAGAAGGCTGGCAGTATAGCTTGTGGTTTAGAGGGGCTGCCTGGCACGGGAACCATCCATGGTTTCACAGCTTTGTACGGAGGCGGCGATGGCTGCGGAGGCGCGTGAAGCAAAAGCTCCCGCCCAAATCAAAAGAGAACAGAGAAAGGCTGTTCGGGGACACATTCAGCATTGGCACTACACTGGCGAGAGCAGTGACAAGCACAACAGGACCGGCTAGCCTGCAAGACAGCGGAGAGTCCTCACTCGATGAGGAGGTCAAGGACGTCCCAACGCTCCTGCGGAAACTGAAAAAGGCAGCCATCGATCGCGAGAAAATTGTGTTCATCAACAAATTTATTGACGAAGGGGGCGAAGAGCTACACTATCTGGCCGAACAGGTTCGCATCCACCACTTCACCTCCCCATACCCTGACTGACACCAATAGATACCATCCATAATGTCGCTCCTCATTTTCCAGAATTCTCGTCGCCAGCTCCTGTCCACCCTCATGGAGACCATCGACGATGCACGCGCACACCGAGACACACACAGAAAAAGCGGCAAGCCCGAGGACGAAGCGGAAGAACGAAGGATCAACAACCTGCTCAAGGCGGTGGAGGCTGCTGATGCAGAGTGTAAGAAGCTAGAATACTGGAGCGATATAAAAATGCTAGCTGAAGAAGGCACTGCAGGTAACGCTACCGATCCGAAGAACGGTTGGGACGAGAAGTGGCAGGGCGTTGATTCCAGTGGAGCGGAGCATCCGCGTGATCCGCCGAAGAAGGATTGAACGATCTATCTGAATGGTTGGTTGTATAGAGGCTGAGAGGATTACGACGGAGGTTGGCATTGATACCCGAGCATAGCTGTGCGCATATGTTGAGCTTCGCATACATATTTCTCATTAGAAGAGCACACTTACGGCGAAGCGCACCGCATAGTACATTCAATATCACTTCACATCATCTCTTGCCTCCTGTGATCTGGGTGGTACCTCACACGAATGGGGCCCACAATCTCAGCGATCGACTTTGCCTTCACAACCTCGCCCTTCTGCAACACTTCGACTACCCCGTACTCTCGCATTTCCCAGCATAGCGCGCGGATGTCTTCCATGCAATCCCTCCAATCATAGCAATCCAACTTTTTCAGTTCATCTTCGTCCAATGCGCGTGCCACCTCGGAGGGGCAGATTGTTTTCGGATACGCGCGCTTACCCAGCAAAGCTTTCAAATGGCTCCGCAGAATCTCTTGCTGGTCGTAATCGAGTATCATCCTCGTGGACGTGCTTCGCAAACGATGTTTTCTTTTCACGTATCAAACGCAAAAGAAACGCACAAGAGATGACAAGACGCGTTTCCAAGGTGTCTTGGCGGGGCTAGATCAGCACATGGTTTAGCGGGCACTTCGCGATCCATGCGGAAGAGCAGATCGTCGACGTCAGAGCCAATCAGGGCCAGACGATTTCGGCGCGATGCGCAGACCTCAACGTTCCGAGAGCAAAGCGGGTGGAGGCGCATTGGCTGTTCTCGCTTCCTCCACCGTTGGCCGAGCGTCGGAGCGAGGAATCAGACATGCGTGTGTTGGTGGGTAGGTTACCCCACGTTGGGAAGGATGTATATCTAGTGCGGGGAGCTTCATCGTTTCTTTCTTCTTCTTTTACGACGCGAGCGACATCCGTGCCGAAGGCTATTCAAGGTCTCTCACATCAATTTACGGCTGCTAGAAGTTTTGTGACCACAGGAGCACGACCTTGTCCAAGCGACATCAAGATGGCCTCCGAAGACCCCAAAGACGTACGCAAGTACCTGCAGCAAAGCCATGATAGGATTTTCGAGAACAACAAGAAGTGGGCGGACGAGCAGAAGGCGAAGCACCCGGAGTTTTTCGAGAAGCTGAGCGCGGGACAGGCCCCAGAGTATCTTTGGATCGGTGAGTCAATTGCCCTCATCACCAACCCCGAAGCCTCTCATCCCATACCGTCCGTCTGAACAACGAAGCTGACACCAACACAGGCTGCTCCGACTCCCGCATCCCCGCCGAAGCCATCACCGGCCTCGAGGCCGGCGAAATGTTCATCCACCGCAACATCGCCAACCTCGTCTGCTCCACCGACCTCAACGTCATGTCCGTCATCAACTACGCCGTGCGCCACCTCCACGTCAAGCACATCGTCGTCTGCGGACACTACGGCTGCGGTGGCGTCAAAGCCGCCATGACGCCCAAGGACCTCGGCCTCCTCAACCCCTGGCTCCGCAACATCCGCGACGTGTACCGCCTGCACGACCAGGAGCTGAGCGCCATCAAAGACGAGAACGCGCGGTACGATAGACTGGTGGAGCTGAACGTTGTGGAGCAGGCAAGGAACATTATCAAGACGGCGGCGGTCCAGCAGCTATACAAGGAGAAGGGCTATCCGATTGTGCATGGGTGGGTGTTTGGGTTTAATGATGGGAGACTGAAGGATTTGGAGATTGATTTCGAGGGGCAGCTGAAGGATATTCAGAAGATTTACAACCTGACTGGGGACGCTTTCGAGGAGTCGTAGAGGGGTCGGCGTGTGGTGTAGAGGCGTGAGTGGTGTTTGAGCATTGAGCGTGGGTAGATCATGTGATGGTGTTAAGTCGATAGGTGTATGTATAGTGGGATATAGATGAGCTGATGTAAGGCTAGATCGCAGACACACTTTCTTCTCGAGCGCTGCTTCCCTTGTGACGAGCGGCTCTCAAAGTCGTGCTTTCCCTCCGAGAGGTTGGGTGGATGGCAACGTTCTGGAGGAACCAGCGGGTAGGAGCTTCCTACGCCACAACCGAAACTGCGCTTCAGCGATTTCTTCACCGAATATAACAAGCTACCTAGGCCTTACTGAATGCCACAGATGGAACCCACCTCGCTCTTGCGTTGCAAACCAAAGGTAATTCAGACACTCTTCTCGATCATTCGAAGTACCGACGGTGGTGCAGGGTGAGTGAGAGAGGAAACGAGGGCAAAACCGTTGGTGGAGAGAGCCGTTAGCTTTATCAGAACTAATCTCAGATACGGGCGTAGCAAGAATTCTTGGAAGCACCATTTAGAAGATGTTGTGGGAGGCATTTACAACCTGCGTCTCTGTAAGGTTGTAGCGTAGATTGACTGTATCTAAACGGTACATCTTGGTACACAGGTTTTAAAACATCGTTCGCATTCTCAGCGTGGCAAATTACCGCCCAACAACGTCTGTTGCCCTCTTTCCTTTAGCAGCCTTATCGCCAGCGCGTGTCATCTGCAATCCTAGCACCAGTGAAGCCGTCCTCTGTAACATGTTTCGTAAATTCGTGCGCAGATAAACCATCATGTCTTAGTCTCGTCGTCCTTCCGCGGTTGGGGTAGCCGTCCCCATAAGATCACTAATACGGGTCTGCATCTGAGACGTTGGAATGGGCACAGTATAGCGAGCGGGAAATCTCGTGCTCCGTGTTTTGTTCGATGCAGCCATAATACCATTAGTATGATGAGCTCCAAGAGGCCGAAGAATTGAAAGGCACGAGTGTCATCTCATGAACGACCACCGTGAAATGACGACGACCGCTGACACCAATTCCAACGGAACGACCGTAAACGTTACTCGGTGGCGTAGATGACGTGCGGCGGTGTTCGTGGGGGCAGACCCGTCGGACTACTGTAAGTTTTTGGTGCGGGGCGGAGGCGCGTGAAACGATCCTCACGCACGAAAGGCATGGAAACCATGCCTTAATTTCCACAATATGCAGGTACCAGGACCCCTGCTCTCGTTCATCAATCGACTTTCTCTTTCGGTATTCTTTTCCCTTCTCGTTTCGCAAGCCCGGCATACGGTTGTCCTCTTCTTATTGGCGATACTTCCGAAGGAACGCCAAAAGTGCAGTGTCCAATCCCGGGAAGAGCTTCCACGCCTACATAGTCCTCGGTGTGGTCGTTCAGTACACCAAATTGTAGTCGCGTATGCATGAGCTCCAGCGGAAAGGGATCGTTACCTAGACACGCGCCGCGACTGATGTCGTCCAAAGTCGTATTCCGCGTTGTGACCATGATGCGTGAAAACCCAACGGAAAACGTAGTGCCATCTCTGATAATGGTCCAAGCCCCTATGATCAGTATAGCGAACGTTACGAAGATGACGGGTGCGTAGCACGCCCAGAGCTTCTCGGGGTTGTAGATGAAGGTCGACTGGAATCTCGTCCGGTTGACGACGACGCGCTCTTGGTCGACTACTAGCATCTGTGGCGCGGAGAAGAGAGAGAGGACCATGTTCGTGTAAAATTCTAATATGGAGGCGCAAGATTAGCTGCAATATGTCTAGAATGTAAATGGGGCAAGAGCGTACCTTGGAGTTGCTCGGGCAGATCCTTCATTGGTAAGCTAGAGCTGTTGCTGACGAGTCTTGTTTGTGCAATGTCACTAGCCACCCGAGGATAAGACGGTCCGGGGATGGGAGGATCCATTTCAATTGATCCCTTCAAAAACCTCCGCAAAGACTGACCCATTGTATGGTATGCAGCAACCTTTTTGTACTGTTCAGTGTTCCGAGGGCTAACATAGTGCTCTGGTGGCACTGGAATTGCCCAATTCGGCGATCCATCTGAATTTTGCGAAAATGTGGTATTAACAACAGGCGAGAGGAACTCCTGCGAAACGTCGGTCTTGAAAAATGGCTCCGTGTAGTTCCACTTCACGGTGTACTTGGTCTCGTAATGGATGCAGCGGAAGATGTGTTGGTCAAATCTGTGCGTCCAGTTGCTTCTAAACGAGGAATTGTCGGCCAAGGGCTCCGTGGAATTGACTGCATACCCAATCCAGATGATAGGTTCTGATTTGAAAACTCCGAGATTATCGAGGTCTACCTCGGGCGGTGGGACGCCTCCCTGGGCCGTGATTCTCGTGTCTTGTGGCTTTGCATAATCCCCTTCTTCCATGTCTGCGAAATACACATTTTTGCCGTCTGGGATCAGTTTACTGGTATTGAACGGTGCTCCAAGCCCTTCCAACTTCGCGTTGTCCGCAGCACTTGTGGCGACCTCCTCGCACTTGTAACCAGGTCCAAGGAAAATCGTCGTGTATGTGCAATTGAATGATCCTCCGCAGGATTCCTGACGCGCATCGGCTCGGTTCAGAGACGTGTCTGTCAAACTAAACGCGTTCATGAGGGTGACACGGGTAATGTCCGTTGAAGGCTGATCGTAGTAATCGAAAAACCCTGGCTGTTTACCAAGCGCGTCCGTAGTATTGTAAAACATCAATGACTTTCTCGTTGTTCCGTCTTTCATAGTGACAGGCACACGCCAGTCGCTGAAAGATTCCGCAGAGAAGTTGAGAGTTGGTACACTCAGTGAAGTGTTGTCAACTTCGAAGTACCAGCCGAACGTGAGGGCGCCGGGGCTGAAGATAATTGTCGCAACAGGTATCAACCAGATGACCAGCGCGATAAAAGTTGCCCGAGGGGCCAGACTGATCGCTTCCCAGTTCAGGAACAATGATGGGTCCTCAGTCCCAAGGAACAGTTGGTCAATTGATAGGACCGTGAGTGCCCTCGACCGAAAATAAGTCCATATCCGTTGCCTGTAGACCAGTGTACAGCACATTCCAAAAGCGACTTTCGAGAAGTAGGCAAGTGCACGACCGTACAGGACAAATTTGACCTTCTTGCCCTCATCATCTTCGACTTTGTGGTGCAGAGATGAGTAAAGCAGGTGTTGACCCATGGCTAGTGCGACGCCGACAAGGAAAGAGGTGATCATCATGAGAGGCGTTCTCCAATGTATAGTCCACCTTGCAGCCTGGGTAGCTCGGCGTTCAATGAGGCGTTGTGTCATTGGATCCGTCCTTGCGCGCGACATCGAAGTGCTGACAGTTCCAGATCTGGGCATAGGTGGCCGTGGGGAGAGGGGCGAATATAAACCACCTTTAAGCCGATAGACGCTATCCGGAGAGTTGAGTGTGCTCATCTCTTTCATCTGGATGCCTAGTCCATCGCTCATGGCCTCTTGAAACTTCGCTCGCTTTTCTGATTTGGAGGCAAAAGATCTGTTCGAAGACGCAGAGGTGGTCGTAGTCGATCGGGAGACGCCATACTGCCCATGATCTGGTGAAGCTAGAGGCGACACATCTGGTGGCGAGGGCAGGCTCGCCATTGCGAAGCCACGCAACACACGAAGGTGGTGTCAAATTGAGATAGTTGCCAAGCGCGACATCGCAATTGTAAATCAGCGAGCGAAGAGGCCTGACATATAGGTGGGGCGCGAACGCCAGTGCGAGATATGCCTGCGGAAATGACGAGGGAGTCGGTGAAGCAGGGTGAGTTTCGACGCACGTTGATGTACTCGGTTGTAGCTGAAATGCAGCTACACGGCGTCGCAGGACAGCTCTGGGCGGCTGAACGAGACTTTGTCAGACCGCAGATGGCCGGAACGCCCGAATTTTAAGGTAACATTCCATTCCGATCGAATGTCAAGTAAATAATTCATGACTTGCAATGACAGCTCATCGATGTGGGCGCAACTGGTGACCACACTAACTCTTGTTCCTGCATATTCTGTAACGGAGTTCTAGAGTATCGCACTTGCCGATATGGGGTTTAAACACATCCCAAAAGACGAACTCCGTATGCAGCATCATACCGGAGAATAAAGTGTGGCTGTAGCGAACCTACTGATCCCAGACAAGTTCCTGGTGCGAGTTAGCGCTTGTGTTCCAAGTTGTAGGAGCACCGAATCCTTCGAGGCGGTGCCCCTTCAGATTGAAAGACAAACCGGTCTGAACTTCGCGGCAGGTACCATCATCTCGAAAGATGGAAGTGACGATACTGCTCACGTCGAAAGCGGTACTCAGTGCTATTACCTGAAAGCGCTCACATAGAATGACGCGCCCAGCGGTACATTCTTTAGGCCGGCGGTATATCGGGGCCATCCGCTTCATAATCACCAAGCGGTGCAAGCCTGTGCGTTCACCAGGGGATCCCCGTCTGTCAGAAGTATTTCCCGCGATTTCGAATTCGCGGGAAACAACAGACAACGTGGCACAGTCACGGAGACGGGTCTCTTGCAATCCCTGTTCGATAGTTCGCATCGCAAGACCGTGAAGCCTTCTTCGTAAAGAGCCAAGCTCGATGTATTTTTACTCAATGAGAACTTCGACGGCGGTTGGTGACGTTGGGAGGCGAGCTACAACTTCCGGGTGCTCACATGATGCCTCTCGCAGTTCGTACTATCCCGAGGTCCTCTTAGCGCAGCCGCGCAGCCGGTGTGTACGTACGTATAAATGCCTACATATACTAGACGGCGATGATACCTCAGCGTTGCGAAATTTCTCGGACCGCCAGAACTCCTTGCTTCTAAGCATGCAAACCGTCTATACCATTTACCAAACAGCGGAAGCGGGGCGCGCGACCAAATTCTTGCATCAAACGCTGCTCGCCAGTCTTTCGCCCGATGAGCGCAGAGCTGTCAAGATCATCACCAATATCGTGAGCGTCAACGGAGGTATTCTGCTGGCCCCTAATGATGCACACCACTACCGTTACATCCGCATTGTGATCGACGTTCCGAAGAGCAAGCTTCAAAGTGTTGAGGACAAACAGGCGCTACTGCAGCGGACAGTCGACGCTTGCTTGGACTATGAGGGGAGGCATGCCGAAGATTGCGAGGTAGAGGTGAAGATTAATGAGGTTGACGAGAGTGATTACATCAGGGTTCGAGGAAGAAAGCCAGCTGCATAAGCAGTGCCAGTGTGGAATGGACCCTAGGGCTGTCGCGAACGCACGTGCCCTGTGCGACCTCGGCCCCAACCATGTTCTACATTTGCCACGAGTCGGAACGCCTGAATATATCCTTCGCGGATTGGAATACTTAAAGTGATTCATGAGTCCTTTCGAGACAGCACGTATAATGCCTAAACCAGGGTGATCGTCGGAAAGCCTTCCTTATCCTCCTTTTCTGGCTCTTTCCCCACCATTTCCTTGTCTGCCAACAGGAAACCAAGCCTCTGGTAATTCTCTGTCCCGTCCACTCGCTTCACGATCAGTGCATGATAAGTTCCCTCGTCCTCTGCCGCTTCCGCATCCCAAGATCGGCTCCTGAACATGAAAAGAGCAAAGATATCAACACCTTGCAAGCTCTTCACAATCTTCTTCGCCTCTTGAGGTGCGTCATCGTCCGTGAAAGCGAAATCAAAGCGTGAGGAGGTCCCTTTGGGATCACCGCTCTTGGTGCGCACATTTACGTTGTTGTCGTACTTGTAGCGGCCCTTCGCTTCGGGATCCCAATCTTCGAGAATCAGATACAACTGTTCGCATGGAGCTCGAAGCTTGATCCATCCGTCTGCAACCTCTCCGAATGGATTCGTACCCTTGAGAGTTACCTTCGCATCCAGTATTTCAGCAATTTCAGTGTAGTCAACTGTCTGTCCACTTGCTGGGACTCCATCGCCCGATGCCCACGACCACGAAGGAGCTCGGTATTCAGACATGCGCCGGAAGCTGAGGCTCTGCCACATCAAGCCCTCGATGAGTTGGTCCCTCCATAATCCAGCAAGATATTCCTCGCCGATCTTTTCTGCGTACAGACCCGCTACTCCTGAGATGGCTGGCAGCTTGTCGGATGCACGTGTCATTTTTTTTGGTCCATACAACCAAAGCAGACTATACCACCCTTCCATGGTCTCGTGCTTCGGTCGTTCGTTGAGTTTTAGACCTTTGAGCCAGCTGCTGGCGCTATCGCGTGGCTCGGCTTCTAGGCGCTTGTGTGCACACTTGTGCCGTTCTTTGAGGCTGAGACCATCCTCTCCACGAAATCCTTCATTGCACTCACTATTCCTGGTCAGCTGAGCCAAGAAGACTTTTAACACCGGCTATACGTACAAGAACATCTGATCAGATCCGTATATCAAGACCCGATGAGAAAGGACACGCTCCTGCAAGCCCCAGGCTCGCTCGGATAGAGGTTCGTTTGGTAGATTAATGTAGTCGTGCTTCACAAGCTCTTCTCGTAGGGGCAGGTTAAAGGCAAGAGCCTTTCCGTGTATATCACCGCGGGTATAGCCCAGTTCTACGAAGCTTCGTTCAGTGCGTACATTGAGGAATCCCTCAGCGCTATCCTTTGCTCTAGCCGCAGCGACCGTCAGGTATGCGTTGGAATATATAGAAAGCATCTTTGCGGATTCTCTCTCCCAGTCCGCGCGTTCATCTTGGCAAATGCACAACGAGTCAACCCAGAGATAACGCAGACCGAGCTCGCGCGTCAATTGGACGATGTCTTGATATGTCGCTGGCATATCGCTAACAGTGATGCCGGCTTTTCGCTGTTCCATGGTAGCTCGCGTCGTGATGAACTCTCGAGAATCCCCCCAGCAATAGCTGAGTGAAACATACTGCCCGACGGTTCCTTCGGGGATGGGCTCCCATAGATGCACTTCGGGACTGTCGAGTTCGCCGACGTCAATCACGCGAGAAGGTAACAGTGTCTGGGACGGTCGACAAGTAGGATGGCTCTCGCAATTTTGCAGCCATTGACGGCTTCTCCCGAATGCAGTCTCTGAACGGGCGTCACCTTCCACAGGCCTTCCTTCAATGACCTCTTCCAAAGGGTCACCTAGAGATATTAGCATATCAAAACTAGATCAGAGCTTGAGGCATATTGGATTTTACCATCTCGGACGCAAAGCCCTAGCGCCGCTATGATCCACGCCTCCTCGAGACCCTTCTCTTTCCTTCTCTTCGTCCGCTCACTGTCACCATCCACAAAGCTCATGACCCAGGCCCCATCGCCGCCTTCCCGCCTCTTGACCAAGAACAAGTCAAAGGTCGGCCACTCATACTGGTGCATTTCTTTCGCTTCCCATTGTGGCTTTAGTTCCTCCAGCTCTTTCTGCACGTTCTCGGCAGATGAGCAAATTATCTTACAAAGAGCGCATGACGAGGCTGATCTTCGCAGAGCATCTAGACTCTGATGGTGCTCGTATCCGCGCGTGCCCTGCGGCCACCGCACAAGTGGCTGGATATATTTCTGCCCAGTCAAGTTACCGGGAAGATCTGGTGGAACCTCAGGGAGAGTCTCCCATGGAATGGTCTTGCATAGATCGCACAGAGACATCTTCAAAACTACAGATCTTCCGAAGCCCTAATTTTAGAGGTTGAGCAAGTGGAACATGAGCCCAGGCTTCTGCTGAACATTGTGGAGACGAGGACAAATTTAAGCAGATTGACAATCGCATAGTGCGTTGTCGATCAGGCGGCAGTGAGGAGGCGAAGTGAGACGTGACGAGGCAAATGCGCCCCCACATTGTCATTTTGAAGCTATCCTTAATCGAGCGTCAAATGCGGGGCGAAGCACGGCGGGTGATCCATCAAACTTCCACACTGTATCCACACCTTGAGGCGATGCACTTTCTCCTGGCCGGTGTGAAGGTACGGCTTCCCGATGACGAGAGAAGCAGGTACATCTGAAATCCTGAAAGGCCTTCCGGCGAACGAGAGTTACGAGTGCTGATCTGTCCGATGCAGAAGCTCTGTTCGACTCGCGTTATTAAATTTCGATTACTACGACTTCCTGTTGAGTACCTAAGACGTGAATCGAGAAACGAGTGTTGGCTTATGTCACCCTTCAATGTGCGATCAATTGCTGAGACTTTCGAGTTGTCGATGTAAGCAACAAGTCTTGTTACAAGCCATAGTCCTTCGGATCCTTCTCCAGCCCTCTCGTCCATACCAGCACGCTCTTTGGCTGCTCGCCCGTTACGACCTGTGCTGGACTCTTCTGCGAGACCCAGATATTCCTCTCGCCCAGCAATTCAAATCCAGCTCTTCTCAACACCTTCTTCGAAGCCGTGTTATCATCATCGCAATATCCCAGCAGCTCCGTCACTCCCTTTTCGCGGTCATAGTAATCTGAAAGACCCTTCATAGCTTCGAGCGCATACCCCTTCCCTCTAGCGGACGGGAGAAGGTTAATGCCAATGTCAGGTAAAGGTGGCGTGCCTGGCCCGCGAAGGTTGAGACCGACTAAGCCAACGGGCGTCGCGTTTTGCACGCGGTTCGCGGTATCGTCATCGGGTCCGGATGGTGGAGCAAGAACTGAGACGCAGTATCTGCCGTAGCCGGTTGACTCGATCTCCGTCACGCGGGCTTCAATCAGTTCAATGGCTGCTGCACGGCCGGGCATGATGTGCTCAATGTTCCCATTCTCGTCAACTTTGGTGTAATCCTTGTACATTTCAAAAGTGAAATCGATATGCGACTCCTTCGTGGGATTGAAGTAGGTTATTGCCAGCCGGGGTGTGGTAACGTAGAAGCTGAAGTCCAGCATGGCTGCAGGTCGCTATACGGCGTGACGCGGGATCTGTTGTTGAGGGGCGTCTTGAAGCACTTTGCGTACGGGCTGAAGAGGTCTTTAGACTCATCGCTTATCACGAAAAACTAAGTCTCATAAAGTGTAGCTTATTTCGAACCTACAGGGGAGCGTATACTAAAATCGTGAGTTGACTCATACCAGGCAGCCGACCTTCCGTTTTGGGAAACACAAGTACATGTACTCCGGAGTCCGATAACCACAAGCCCTCCTTGGAGCCGCCTCTACAGCCGTGCAATATCACACGCCGTAAATCGAATCACTTGACACGCAGCAGCACGCTACGTCTGATGGAAGTGCATGCCTTGCTCAAATCACTGGAATCTTGACCACTTTCACCAGGAAGCCACCCAAAAAGGTATATGACACCACCTGAATTCGATCCTTTGCTAATTAAGATCACATGTCGCAGCACAAGACGCCTTGATCCACCGTCAGGACCTATCAGAAAACTGGATCAGACTTTGTGGTCCGCCGTGCTCCATTTCATCCAACCAATTCTGACACTAAAATTGCTCTTTGACCTTTTTTTAGTAAGATCATGATGCATTCTCAGGACCAGAATACCGAGAAGATCAATACCTGTTCTCTATTGCACCCGCTTGGTTCGATGGTAGGTTCGTCGCCGAAATTCCACCGGCAAGTATGTGTTCATGTACTCATATTCGTGGAAGATAGACGAAGAGCTAGGGCTGTTCACTCTTAGGCGTGATGACTCTCGCCTTTGCTACACATCTTCTTTTGGCGTGCCTTGGTCAAAGCGATACCCTTCTCCATGTCGCATTCGCCGCTCCGAAGCAGCTAGATATCTTAGTCTCCCTTCACAACATTGCGCCATTCATGCGAAAGGAAAAAACTTACCTCGACGGTACCCTCCTTCCCGAGCTCAGCAGCTAGAACGACTGGGGGGGTCTTTTTGGTCCGCTCTTTAAGGTACTGGGGCTCGACACCGCCGATCGTTGCGCCAGCGTTTAGGACAGCTGTTACGATGTCCCTGTCTCCGTACTCAATCGCCGTCACCAGGGGCGTCTGCCCATACTGATCTATATCGTCTGGATTTATATGTTTGAGTATATCGCATACGGTACCATCTTCCCAAGCGTACATGCCTCATAGAAATCTGGAAACCGAAGATTCCAAAGATGGTCGTCGCCGCTTCCTCTATATCGATAGGGAATAGTCAGGACACGACGAACGTGTTCAGGGTTTCCGGATGCGCGAGCACTCTTGTACAGTCGCTCAAAGGCAAAGCGATGACCCCATCCACAGACCTGGGTCGGCTCCCGTTCCAGGATAGAGTGCTTCTCACACATATCGAAGAGAAGGTTTATCATAGTGGTATCCTTGCAGTGCTCAATGGCTGCCACGACTGCGTCATCCCAGCAACCTTCGCAGCCCATGTTGAAACGGACCACCGTGTCTAAGGTAATGGATAAGACGTTGATAGTCGGAAGAATTATCCCCTTTGATCGCGTCCAAGTAGTCAGATACAATTTGGACAAACTCGAGGTTCTCCATGGTGGCGGCGATTCGCAATCCATCACCGAAGATTTGGTATCCACGTACCGCCCGGAAGTCCGACTTCGATATGAGAGGCTTCACCAACGACGTGTTTCCGACCTCAGCTGCCACTGCAAGTTTATCATAGTAGTTCAGGGGTGATTTGGCGACGTCAAACCACGGGTGGTTCGGGTAACGGTCGTCTCTATCCCCATACAGTAACATCGGAATATTAAGAAACGTGGTATTTCGAACAATCATATTGCACAACAGTTATACGCAATAGTCACGCTCTTCATTGGTGATCCTACCTTGCTCGTGGCTGATCCAATCGGCCATGGCGATGATCTTGTTAGGAAGATCAGGGTGGGCTCCAGCGAGGCGCTCGGTCTGGTTGAAGAGAATCGAGCTCATGTTGTCCTCGGCGAACTTCGCGTATTTGTGCAACCTGCTATAGGTCCATGAGTAGTTCGAGCAGAGTTCATGAAGTATGTTGCCAGCAAAGGTGCCTATAGCTGTTAGTATACAAAGAGCCTCAGGCGATAGTGGCTACTTACGGCAAGTCGAACGCATCTTCAAGGCTTCTCCAGGCCCTACATTGGCGACTATCTCGTGGATGATGTCTTTGAAGATCTCGGGCGGGAGCTCCAATAGTTTCATTGGCGGTTTCTCGGGTTCACTCATCTTCTTGGTGTTCTTGTTTGTCATCGTGGAATCCATGGAATTCTCGCGGCTGTGCAAGTCCTGTCGGGGCTCACGGTTGAGGTGGGTGACGTGCAATCGAGCAGTCGGGATCGGAGCCGGATCAAGCGAGGTGCTTTTATGAATGGAGAAGGAGCGAGGTGCGCGAAAACAACTTAATGCGGCCAATGGGCTTAGGCACTTTTCACCTTTCAGGCCCACAGCGGATATATCGTGAAATTCGAAATGTAACGGCCAACATAGGTCCCTTATGGAAACTTCCGTCACCCAATCTCAGCTACTCCCACACTTACGACCCTCTCTGTCTTCTTTTGGGCATCTCATCTACAACGCATGGCCTCACATGCCAACAATGCCTCCCACTCCCACCAATCATACCTTCCAGATACGGCATACCATCTTTATCAACCCACTGCCTTGCATGCCGCAAATCTACGGAGTACGTCATTTGCGTCTTGTGCTTCATGCAGGCTTCCCAAGCCATGGACTTCTCAGTGAAGAGACCAAGACAAAGTGAGTGATCCAGTGCTACATATACGCTTTTGATGGAGGACTTCGTTGTCGTGTTAAGTGCAACATTGGGTGGTATGGTTTCTTTTGCTGTAGTATCTGCATTTACTGGTGGATTTCCGGGCGTGGTGGTCTGATCTTGCTGACTCGATTCGTCATCTTGTGAGAGATCGAGAGGCTTTGTGTTGTGCTGGCTGAACTCGAGATCGTTCGGAGTTTCTACGGGCAGTTCATTTTCCGTTTCCCTCTTTTCGATGTTGTTCTCGAGCTCCTCTTTCCTTGCGTTCTGTACCGAGCTCCGATCATCACTCAGCTTTTGCGGCAAGATACGCACCCCTACTCCACCCATCAGGCCATCCTCTACCCAACTAGCAAGTCTGCCTTCAAAGGCCCCAGCTAGTCTCGCCGCATTCGTGGCCGTAGCTGTCGTCGAGTACACCCCTAGAAAGTCTCTCTGATCATCTACAACGTAGTACAACGACGGATCTATAACTGCTACCGTACGACTTTTCCATTGGACGTGACTGCCCTTGGTCCGAGGTCTCTGCTTCCGTGGTCTCTGGGCTAGCTTTTCGTTCATGGAGTGGAGGAAGGATTTGGGTGGAGAGGCAGGCTCGGGATGGTTGCGGATAGGGTCATTAAGGGAGACATTGTGTAGAAGATTCGTGATGTTGTCAGTCGAGGACATCGTGCGACAAAAGAGACGATATGTGATACAAATCTGGATCGTAAGAAGTGTTGGTATGTGTTGTGGTGTCGCAACAAAGCTGAGATTCTACCCCGCGCCGGTCAGCTCCAGTGTTGAGCAATTGCGTGTCCGATCGCTCGGTAAGGTGACGGCCAATGACAACGATGATAGCTGTGGAACATTGAATCTAAGGATATGGTTGTAAAATAAATACACCTTTGGTTCCAGAAAGAAATTGAAGATCACCTCTTCATTCGCCTTCCTTTTCCCCTTCTTCTGGTACATGCATCTCTGCATCTCCCCTCTCACTATCCTCGTCCCCCTGCCCATCTTCTCCTGACTCATCCTCGTTTTGTACAGGAGCCCCAAACTCCAGCCCATTCACATAACACTCCCTGCATCTCGTCGGTACAAACTTCACCCCATGGGTTTCACCCTCATCCTGCAACCCCTTCTGTATCCCCTTCAGACTATCCCATCCAGGATCCTCCACCGCAACCATGATCTTTTCAAGCCTCGGCCACCTCTCCTCCTTCTGTCTCAACACAGTTCTCACCGCCGCCGTCGCAGCCCTGACATGCTCTTCCGTCTCACACTGCACTATCTCCAGCGTCTCCAACGACTCTGGCAGCGCATCGACGATGTGATTTTGCGCGGCCGTCGCGTCAGGCGGGGATTCGTCTGAGTAACCGAACAGGAGGTCAAAAGCGATATTCAAGTGCCGAAGAGCGGCGTACTCCTTGAAATTCATAGGCGTAAATATGGAATATTCATCCTCTGTTTCCATGACGTAGAGCTGCAGCGTGATTGACTTCAGCGTCTTTTTGTGCTGGTCTAGCGCCTTGTTGAGCTCGGGCGTTGAGAGGGGTCCATGACTCGGCGTGTCCGATGTGGTAATCGAAAGATTCTAGGGCTTTGGCTGTACCCAAGAAGCGGACGAGGTGCTCGCCGAGGAACTTGCTGTTGGGCCGAAAGGTGAGGGATGTGTAATTAGTGGATCGGGGCTTGAGATCAAGAAACCACTTGTCAGGGTTTTCTTGTAGAAAGCTGTCACCGTCTCCAATTTGCTTTCCGTCTATGGCTTTGACAGATGGCCATTTCGCGATGATAGTTAAGGGAAGGGTGGAGTGAGGGTACTCTGGGATCGAGCCTAAGGGGGTGTTAGTAACTGATTGGCCATGAAACGGGCGTACTGTTGCAATCCGCACCTCCCATATTGACCTTCTCTAATTTTGGAAAAGGCGTCGTCACGCCCGTTTTCGGATCTTGACATGCCGCAGTCATAGCATCGATCACAAACTCGAACATCTTCCAGTATGGGTTGTACACATCGAGAATGGTGAGCTCTTGAAGATTAGGTAACCGCGGTAATATCAAGGCCAGAATCGCGCCCATCAGCGGCTCATCTAGAAAATCCTTCTTCCATGTCTTCTCCGCCTCCTCGCCATCTTCGTACTCAGATAAAACATCAATAATTTGTTGAAGCTCAGCGTGTTGCTCTGCCGTATAACCATGCTCTTTCAATTCAGCATCGCCCTTTGCATCAGCCAACGACGGACCCTCGCCATGCTCACCGCCTTGTTCGATACTGAATGAATGCACGAATTTGGCTTTGTCGGGATTGAAAAGAAGAGTGAGGACGAGCTTTCGGAACGCATCGTATTCTTCATCCACAAAGTCGCGGTCCCGGATATGTCGGTAAAGGAAAGGCAGTGCTAGACGGGAGATCTGACGATTCACAAACAGCAGATTATAGATTCTGGTGAACTTTTCGCCTTCGCATGCTGATTCCACGATGTAAAGAAGAACTTCCTCGGGTAGACCTAACAAACTTCGTGGGGGCATTCTGGAGATATGAATCGAGGGGGCAACTCTTTCAACGCAGGAGAAGCCACAAGAATTATATGTATCTAGATGTTTAGTACATGTTTGCTATGTCATGCTGTCCACGAACCTGGAAGCGCGACCTCACCGCCTGCCGCTTAGCTTTTGGCGCCCCGCACCTACGTAGTTTCCACCCCACCAGCGAAACCTTATTCGCACACCAACTTAGGCATCCAGCAGCCCGTTTCCTATAATCACGATAGTTCCATTGAGTGTAGGCAACATTCGGGCCATCCTTGCTCTTCTTTTCTCTTCAGCTCCTTGCGACCCTAATCAACATGGGTCCCAAAAATAAAGGCAAAGGCAAAGATTCCGGAGGCGATAGCAAAGGCGACAGCAAATCCAAGCTCAAGCCCGCGACTAGCATCAACGTACGCCACATTCTGTGCGAGAAACACAGCAAGAAAGAAGAAGCCTTGGAAAAGCTCAGGAATGGGGCAAAGTTCGACGAGGTGGCAAGGGAGATGAGTGAGGATAAGGCTAGGCAAGGTATGCAACATGCATGCGTTCTCATACCCTCTACCCCTTCTTCATACACCTATCATCATATATCTGCCCTCAAACACCCGTTCTCATAGCCCTTCTCCCATACACCCATCCTGATACTTACTCTTGACAACCCCTTTCTTTATTTGCCCGTCCGTCGATCGACCCTTCCTCATACAATCACCCATATATCTCGAACCCCAAGCCCATACCAACACCGCCTAACCAACTCCCAGGCGGTTCCCTAGGCTGGAAAGTCCGCGGCAGTCTCCTCGCCGACTTTGAAAAAGTAGCATACGATCTAGAACCAAGCAGTAAGTTTTCCCTCCTCATTCCCAATTGAGCATAGAAGAAGCTGATCAAGCTGGGGGGAAAGCTACGGGCAGTCCCAAGATAGGAGAGTGCAAGACATCGGAGGGGTATCACATCATTATGGTGGAGGGGAGGAAGTGAGGTTTAGCAAGCGCGGCTGTCACGCATCTCGGGAAGGATGGCGGGTCTTGTACGAGGTATATCAAAAAGCCTCATATGGGGCACAAAGTCCGTGTAGTATGCGCAAGCGTACATCAGATTTCAACACTTGTGCCATTACTATGGGCGATCCTTATAAACCTTTCATTCATGCCACGCGCAAATCTCATTCATACATGTGCCAGCGACCGTGTCCCAGCTAGAACAACGCAGTCCCATCATCGCTCAAAATACACAATCATGTCAGACATCCCCAGTCGCGGGAGCTCTCTCCGGGGTATATTCCTCCGCGCTTTGCTTGTTCGCTCTCGCCCAGGGCGGTAGTATCGATCGGTTCAGACACCAGAACTACATGGCTTGTCTTCATCCATCCCCATTGACCTGCAGCGCCACGCCATTTACCCTGTTCTGCGCAAGTACCATATCCATAAAGCTCTTTCTCGGCTTGTGTTTCTTCTCCGGAACAGCCATGGTCTGAGCTTCCGCGAGGTGAATTTGTCTCCTCCTTTTGACGTCCTTGGTCTCCGCCAGTAGCGGCTGGATGCTTTCCACCTTTTCAATTTCTGGAAAGAGGATCGAATCTTCGATCCAATACAAGCCTTCCATATCCAGAAACTGCTGGCGGGCTTCCTTGACAGACTCTTGTATCCGTGCGTAGTCAAAGTCCGGCGCGCCTTCCATAGGAAAGCGGAAGTCTTGTGCCAGAAGTGCAACGTCGTATTGGCGGAGGAGGAGATCGCGATGCTTGGGCGTGAAAGGTATGCGTGGCCAAGAGCAGTAAGGTTCGTGCAGCTTTGCAAGATCAAGCTCTGGGAGGCCTAGGATGCCGACCGCCTGAAAAGAGGGTATATACACCTTGTTGCTTGTTTCGGCTTGGAGATCGGCGGATGTTGCGTAAAATATTGGAAGGAATATAGCGGAAATGCCCAGCTCTTCGCCAGAGAAATGGAGCGGTCGGTTGTGTCCGAGTTGACACGCTCTACGCAGCGCGCGAGGAAGCTTTTCGACCCGCCGTTGCCGCGCAAGAATCTCTTCTTGTCGTTGCGCTTCTTCTGCTGCACGTCGCTGTTCTTCTTCCTCTTCTCGTTTGCGAGCGGCTTCTGCTTCTTCTGCGGCACGTCTCGCTTCCTCTTCCGCCTTTGCTTTCTTCCGCGCTTCTTCTTCGGCAGCTTTACGAGATTCTTCTTCCGCTTTCTTCTTCCGCGCAGCCTCCTCTTCGCGTTCTCGAGCGGCTTCCTCTTCCAGCTTGCGCGCAGCTTCCTCAGCAGCTTTCTTCTTAGCCTCTGCCTGCTTTTCTGCCCGCTTCTGCTCCTCCAGACGGCGTTCGCGAACCAAGTCTGGGGTTCCTGCCTTTTCAGGGGGTGCAGGCGTCGATTTTGCCGATGCACTAGGTGTTCTCTTTACTTTCGTATCATCAAGCGAGTCATTCGAGGCCCGCCGCTTCTTGATATTATGTACGTCCTTTTCCATGGGCCGTGGCTTCGTCTTCTGCTTAACTCGCTTCTCATCCGCAGAGTCCGTTCCCAGGCTGCTCTTGATATGATCGCTTTCCACCTTCGTGTGCATTTTCGACTTAGGTCGATCGTGATCGCTGTGGTCGTGAGAGGCGGCTCTCGGTAATTTCTTTGATGGATTGTGCTCATCGCCTCCTTTGACCCGCTTGAGAGACTTGTGATGTTCTTCGCCGTCGCTGTATGAACGTGGCTTGGTAGACTTCTTTGCAGGCGCCCGCACCTCCTCGTCGCTGTCCTCGTCGCTGGTCTCATCGTCAACAACTCGTCTATGCCTTTTGACGTTCTGGCTTGCCATCTCTTTACCAGACATCAGCCTCCTCAACTTTTGTGGTGCTTGCGGAGCAGTTGTAGATTTCTGAAGGGAGGCAGGTTTGTGAGTCGGTCGAGGGGATGACGAGCGATCCCGGCGTATTGATGGCGACGACTTCCGCTTCAATTGGGCAGGACGGTTCGGTGGCTCTTTCTTCACTCTCTTGGGGCTCTTGCGAGTCGTGGAATAAAGATCGTAGGCCTTCTTGAGAATGTCTCGTTCTTGCTCCCATTTTGGACCCCGCCGCTCTTCAGATATTTCCCAGTAGGTCTTCCCATCTCGGTTTCGCCTCGTGGGGTTGAAGTTGTCATTCCCACACAACAGGCTCACGATCTTTAAGTGACCTCTGCCGATAGCCACGAGCATGGGTGTCTCGCTATGTTTCGAGGGATCAGGGTCCGGTTTGAGTCCACTTGCCAAAAGAATACTGAGAATGTCATAATGTCCGCCACGCGAGGCAGCAACGCCACAGGCAATGTTGATCTTGACGTTGCTGTTGATGAGCTCCCCAACCGCCAAGATATCCCCATCTCCAGCTTTCTCAACCAAAGTTTCGGTATTGTATTCATTGTACAGCAGCCGCGAAGTCGACTTAGTCTGTGTCACTGTCGCGTTGCTCTCCTCCTCGGTGGCAGCGGGGGTGTTGACCTCGCGTCGCATAGCAGCCCTGAGCTCCTTCTCAATACCGTCCACGTCTTCGGGATGGTCGACGTCGTTCTTGCTGGGCAGTACGTCAATTGCGCGCTGTCCCTTCTTGTTCTGGTGGTGCGGGTTCACATGTCCTTCATTCAGCAAAATCTTCACCACGTCCAGATGTCCGTTCTCGACGGCGTCAATAAGCGGCGTATCTCGGTCGTTCGATTCACAGTCTGTGCGGCATCCTTTGCTAATCAGAAATCCAACGACTTCGTCCCAACCGTGTAGCGAAGCTTTCTGTAATGGAGTGATGCCGGCAAAGTCTGGCACATCTATCTCCTCGGGTGCTGCGTCGTAAGCAGCCTGTAGTGCGTCGAGATTCCCTTTCTCACTCTCCCTCGCAAGGCGGGTTGAGCCGAATTTGTCGACGCGTCGAGGTGCCATTGTGCGTCCGGGCGACGTCTGGGCACGACCAGGGCGTCCTCTAGAGCGCGGTTGCGTGGCCGGATTTGGTGTTTGCGTGGGCCGTGGTGAAGACGAGTTTTCGGAGCTGTCGGAGGACCAGTGCTTGCGCTCTGTTGACACTGCCAGTGAAGTCATGTCCTTGCGCTTGCGGCCGGTCGCCCCGGAAATGAATGATTGTGTCGATTGCGAACGTTTGTGAGGCCGGCCTAGTCCTGGTGTTGCTGGTGACGTTGGCTGGCGCATTTCCCGTATACCCTCTGTTTTGGCCTTTTGCCGCGGCGGTTCGAGGCCTTTGGGATGCGAATCGTCGCGCAGCTTGCGCTTACGAGATTCGACGGTAGACGCGCTGCGGCCGCGCCCTGTGGGTTGTGGAGGTGACGCCGCAGAGTGTACGGGCGATCTGGCCGAGTCGGTCGGGCTCGTCTCTTTGGTGTGCCGCGAGGTGGTGCGGCTGCTGGGCGAGGTGGGTACAGGGCTTTTGACGTCGGCATCGGAGCCAGGCTTCGCGCCGTTGGGCTTGTCGAGCGAGTGTCTTCGGCCATTGACTGCTTCTTTGACGGAGCACAGCCGTGCTGCATCGTCGTCGTCGCTGCGCTCCGTCTTGATCACCTTGGCCTCGGCCCGGTCAGCATCAGCCTTGTGGTCCAGCACAACCGTCTCGGCCTCGGACTCGTTTGCGGCGTCGTCATGGTCGTTGTTGGCGCCATTTTGCAGCGCGTCGAGCGACGGCTTGAGCTGCCGGGGCGGCGAGGCAGTGGACGAGGCGGCTCTTTCCTCCTTGAGTCGGGCGTCGCGGCTGCCGGGGTCGTCGGTGGGCGATTTTACGGTGGAATCACCATTACTGTTCATCACGCGGGAAGTGGACAGGACCCAGAATCCTGCCTCATGTCGACCTCTTGGAGCAAGGGACGGGCGAGGGCGGCGCAGGCACAAGGCAGCTCAATAGCGCGTGGCGCCCGGGTCGCTTTGTATGTCGGTTCGCCGGGCAAGGGCTGAGAGGCGGTATGGGGATGGAGGCGATGGGTGGTGAAGGTGAAGGTGCAGCGGAGGCAGAGAGGAGTGAGATACGGGACGGCGAAGAGAGGCGTTGCGGCGGGCCTGCATTCGACCACTCAGCAGCAGCCTGGCCCCAGCAGCCTGCTCGTCTCATCCTGGGCCCTGGCCGCCGCCGGCCGTGCGCAGCGCCCACATCATGATGATGGACGCGCACGGCGAGACGACAACACGGCCGTCTGCGCGCTTTATATAGAGGGTTGGGGGCGACGACTGTCATTTGGGCCTTCCGCTGGCACGCAGCGGTGGAGGACAGTTGCCGCGAGCCATGTTTCCTGCCCTCAACAACCGCCGCGTCGCCCACCGCGATTGCCTGACATACGACGCTAGGAAGGTGCGATCGACGGGTAATTAGCCTTAGCTGCGCGATCCAAGCGGCGGTGTGCGAAGCCAGCGTCTTCTCTCCACCAAGCTCCACCGTCGCAATCACAATCACAATCTCCAGAATGGACTTGCTCGGCCTGCTGCTCACCCCAGCTGCCGCGCGCGCCTTCTACCTCGCCGCCTCAGCTCTTGTATCGCGACACCGTCTCAGCTCTGTATCCACCGACTAACCCTGCTGCTTACTCTAGGTTCTCGTCATACAGGCAACGCCCGCCCTTCGCAACCGCTTCCTGGCCTACGGCTCCCGTGCAACGGACGCGAAGCCCTCCCAGGCCCGCCCGCCGAATGCCTTAGAGCGACTGCTCGACTATGCCGCGAGCTTCCAGGTCCCGCACAACTATTTCACCCACTTCTACATCGTCTCGGTTGCGAGTTCCGTGTTCTGGGGATGGAAGCTGCGGCTCTGGGATGCGGGCGGGCAACTGCCTCTTGTCTGGGCTCTGATGCTGCTCCAGGGCACGCGAAGGCTGGTAGAGTCGTATGTGTATACGTCATCAAGTAAGAGCAGGATGTGGTTTGCGCATTGGATACTCGGGCTGGTTTTCTACCTGGCGACCAACGTGGCCGTATGGGTTGAGTTGCGGACGCACGCCGTACGCCATCGCGAGTCAACCCAGGCTGTGCTAGGCTGGCGGACTGCTGTCCTAGTACCGGCAGTCCTCACAGCCCAGGTCCTTCAGCACAGCTACCATGCCTACCTCTATCGCCTCCGAACACAGAACAACGGCTACCAGCTGCCGTCGCATCCGCTCTTTCCGAATCTGCTCTGCCCGCACTACTCCTGCGACATTGCCGTCTACGTCCTGCTATCGTTTCTCGGTGCTCCCGCCGGTCATGCTATCAATTGGACATTGGCGACAGCTGCGCTCTTCACAGCCGTGAACCTCGGCGTCACAGCTGTCGGTACGAAGGAATGGTACGAGCAGAAGTTCGGCAAAGATAAGGTGAGCGCGCGGCGGCGCATGATCCCTTGGTTGTGGTAGCCCTAGTCTATCAATCTACCCAAACCTCTTAGTCACTTCCTCCGGCTTGTTGCCAAATATCGTCTCGATCTCCTGCAAAACATCAGGCGTCAATTTCTTGTACACCGCCACCGCATGCACCGTCTGCCAGATCTGCTCCGGCCGACTCGCCCCTGTGATCGCGCTCGCAACGTTCTCGTTAGCCAATACCCACGCCATCGACAGAGTCGCAACATTTGTCCCCAATCTCTCCGCAATCTCCATTAACTTTTTGATCTTACCCTGCTCCTCGTCCCACACAGGTGTCTCCCTCTTCTTCAGCAGCGTCTGCACCGCAGGCTCATCGCTGGTCTTCAGCCGACTATCCTCCGGTATGCCGTTGATGTATTTGCCCGTCAACAGCCCGCCCGCCAGTGGACTGAAAGGCGTCAGTCCCAATCCCCTCCGACTATACAACCCCGCATTCTTGAACTCGCCATCCACTTTCTCCCTTCTCAGTAGAGAATATCCTGGCTGCTCGACGATTGGCCCAATAAGACCAAGGCGGTCTGCTACCGCCCACGCTTCCTCTATTTCCGTGGCGAGCCACTCCGAAGTGCCCCAGTACAAAGCTTTGCCCGCGTTGATGAGGAAGTTCATTGCGCGAACAGTCTCTTCAATTGGCGTGTGGCGATCGGGGCGGTGCGCGTAGAGGAGGTCTACGTAGGAGAGTTGGAGGCGTTGGAGGGAGGCTTCTGTTCCTTCGATCAAATGCTTTCGCGAGAGGCCTAGGTTGTTTACTTTTGCGCGCGGACTGCCGACGTGGGCGGAGTGTGCCGCGCCCCAGTTAATCTAGAAGCTCGCTGTTAGCACTTTATCCCTCTCAGTTGGCATCGACAATTCTTCAGTCTGTAGAAATGAGACGGTAGACAGCAACTACGTACCTTCGTACTTATCACCAAATCGTTCCTCTTCCAGCCGAAGTGCTTGATTGCGCGCCCGATTACTTTCTCGCTCTCGCCGTCTTGGTAGCCTTCCTACTCTTATTAGCACACTCATCACACTTAGATTGCAATGGTCAGCTTACTGCGCAGTCGAAAAAGTTTATGCCCGCCTGGTACGCAGCTTTAAGGCAGTCGAAGGTCGCCTCGTCGTTAATGTTGCCGCCGTATGTGATCCACCCGCCGAGCGAGATGGCGGAGACTTGTAGGCCGGACCGCCCGACGAAGCGGTATTCCATTTCGGGTATCATGGTGAATGTCTTATTGGGACTATGTGCAGGAGGTGCTGGAGGGGTGGTGTTCTCGAACCCGTGGTTCAGCGCTCGAGGAGAGAGAAATGTACGCAATTATGTGTTGTCTGCCAGATGGGAGAGAATTATACGCAATTATGTGTTATTTTCCAGATGGGTGGGAATTGGAGAATGTAAGATGCGAGCTCCTGTGGATGTGGTTGGTGGGGGCGGGGTACGATCGATGCACTACTGCATGGCGGGTGAAAAGGTACCGATTGGGGGGAAGGAAGCATGCACGTATTCGGTAGCCGGAACGCGTTAGAAAGCCTACCATTAGTATGGAGTAGGATCGCGAAATGAATGGAGCTTCCCAATGCGTGTTATTGATGGATGTGAGCTTGGCCGTGAATTGCCATTAGACAATGCGAAGCGCGAATTCGTTCTTTCTGACTGAGGTGAGAGCAGGTGCCTCTTCCTCCACTCTGGTCCGTTATTCCCATCATAGCCCATTTGGACATAGACTTTCTTTCCGGCTTATTTGCACGTGCTGGAGGCAGCAGTACCCGTGGACACTGTGACACCTGGGCATAGAAGCCCTTAACCTGCTGCTTTGCATACCCACATGATTGGGTGGTGATGAAGTATAGCTAGGATGATAAGTTGTTTGCTCGGCCTGTATTTGTGGATCCCTATAGCGCGGTCCTGTTCAGCAAATCGAGGCACTTTCAGGCCGGTGTCAGTTGCTATCCGTTGTTTCAAACAGTTGTCTTGACCGTGGGCAGATAAAAGACGCAAAGGTGAGAAACTGAATTTCACCACGTGAGAACACTTCGAAGGACGGATATGTTAGTCTTCTACTATCACAGTGCCCGGCAACTTCGCGTGGAAGGATCGCGCAAATAGAAGAGATATCTTTCGCGTTCTGAGCAAATATCTAGACTTGGAAACGGAAGGAAACCACTGATTCTGGCTTCTTTTTTACGGTGAAAGGTCGCTATTAGATCACATTGAGATTGGCGTGATAGTTCCACGTGACAGAGAAACAATTAGGTAGAGACAGCTTCTCGCCCTTTAAGTTCCTTGTCGTATGGGTTCCTTTGGTGTAGCTCTTAACTACACTTTCAGCGCATTGGACTTGCCATTTCTCAAGATAGTCGGAGCAATGGGTGTCAAGAAGAAGACATCAAAGACTAAGAGTGCAGCCGCTTCAAGGAAGCGCATCGGGGCAAAGCCGAATCCCGAGGAGATTGTACAAAGATTTTCCTCGGTACCATTACCACAATCCCTTAAAGACGTCTCATATACTAGGGTCAATGTTCTCATTCTCGCCTTTGCCGAGAACGACCTATCCGATATGAAGGTGGAGATTCAAGAAGTCACATCAGCTTTCGAATCATTCAACTATAACGTTGAGTTGATCGAGATGAGCGGCGATAATGCATGGCTTGGCCTTCAAACTATTCTTACGACTTTCTTCAATGGCGCCAATAAAGACACTTTGCAGATTATCTATTACAGTGGCCATGGATATATGAGCATGAGACAGCAGGAGGGTCTGCCGCCTCGACTTAGCTTTTGCAGGTAAGTGGTATCTGGTCGTTTCCTCTTGCGTGTTCGGGGGTAGGTAATCTGACCTGCACTTCAGTCACAGATCACCCGAAATTCCGGGGTTTTCTAAGATGCGTTGGAACAATTTGTGTCGGCTCATAATGCGCTCTTCCAGTGATACACTCACTATTCTCAACTGTTGCAATGCTGGCGCGGCTTTCTTAGCGGTAGATGCGAATGACGATAATGTACCCCATGAGTACCGCAAAGTACTCATCACAGCAAGTGGCTGGGGCCAGAACGCATATTCAGATTTTGGTGTGGCCTTTAGCCAGGCCATAAGAAGTATTTCGGATAAAATGTGTGACAAGTCGACTGAGACCTTGACGGCCAAAACGAACCGTCGCTTGTCGCGGAGGTTCACCAATTTTCATAAGCCACCACAAGCCCATCACATCCTTCTCCGGCGGAGTTTGAGGCAGAAGATCATGCTTGAGCGTCTGGAGAAGAAGAGCGCCTGGCACCAACGGTTGCGGGGCAAGCGCATAGATTACGTTGCCTTGGCCGGACTGAATAGAAGGACGAACAGGAGGAGGACTGGGGCCATGTCACAGGATGCTTCAAACGATAACATGGATACACCATAGCATGCATTTGAGCCGACCCTAGTATTGTTAAAGATGCGTGGGCGGAAGAGTTTGCGGTCACTGGACATTGGAATGTATGGAACTGGAGACTACGGAATCGCCGAATGATAGAATGACTTGTTACGTGGATAATCATGCCGGTCGCCCATAAGATAGTAATAAATAAGAAGCCACTCACAAAGTAATGTCCCATGTATGAGAGAACGATGTGTTAGGTCACTGCCGTGACGCGCGTTTTTATGAATACTGGTACCTACTTTCTCTAGCCTCTAAGGGTAGTAGTCTTTGATAGATAATAAGATAGATATATAACTGGATATATAGTTAATACGAGGACTTCTCTATCGCAAGTGATAATTATTTCGCACAGATATATATTCAGAGCAACACACTGGAATCGCGAGATACTTGAATCTCTTCCGCTTTGTAAGTGTTCTCATCATGAAGAAGGTCCGCTGCTTTGTCAGTTTGACACCAGGAGCAGCAATAAATGTAAGAAGGGGCCAAAGCAAAGTGGCGACTACTACTAGAAAAACCGTAAAGCTGATGAATAGCGTCGTTTCCTAATTCTCGGCACCTCACACTTAGTGTAGAAGGAGTCGAAACCAACAATTATTCGTTGAAAAGAGCCACTTGAGGGGAAATATAGGCAATCGAAGTGGACTTGTACCATGGTTACACGACTAGATTTAATTGGATTTGCCATCTCTGCATGGCGTCATCTTCGTGGTGGAAGGAGAAGGCTAAACTGGCAACGACTTCAAGCTCGTGAGGTGCTACACTTTTCTCCCTTTGAAAAAGTGGCTAAGTGACCGTACTCAGGGTAGTGTGGCAGGAGCGTAGGCTTGGCATGTACGTAGCCTAGCGGAGCATGCCGGCCTAGCACCAGACCTCATACTATACAGAATACATACTCATCATCCTGCAGAGCTCCGGTCGTGTGACAGGTAGTGCTGTCAAGACCCGGCCACCAGCTGCAGTCATGCGCCTCCGCAGCACAAAGGCGTCGCAGTGAAAGTACTAGCCTAGCACCGCGGTCTTGCAAATAAAAACTCAGTGCAGGCAGGAAAGTCGTAGGCTCAGGACAGAGCGGTCTCGCACCTTCACACCACTCTCAACTGGTCTGACCAGTCCTGGTACCTCTATAAAACCACACCCTGTTGCAAAGCCGAACCTATCGTCCAACCACGGCTCATGGGTCTCTCCAACCTTGGGAAGCGGCCAGCCTCCCCGCCTACAGCCGACACTACACACCGAAAGCACCGCAGCAACCAGTGCAAGGTATTGAAGCAGAAGGTTTCGAGCACTACAAACAGTACAAGCATCGCCAAAATGACTAGGAGCCTGCAAACATCCCTTACACGAAACAAACGCTCGCCTTATACCAAGGTTGAGGTCCTCATTCTCAAGTTTGCATCAAGTGATCTGGACCATGATCTGCGTCCCGAGGTTGATCAGATTAAGGCCGCTTTCACATCGCTTAATTACGACGTTAGGGTGCTTGACATTGAAATGGAATATTCTTGGAATCACCTCAAGAAAGACCTGGAATGCTTCTTGCGGGTGCCATCGAAGAACGAAGAGACGTTGCAGATCGTATACTACTGCGGGCATGGAGGTCATCAGCCAACAAGTGAGCAAAATCAAGAGGCTACTCTCGTGCTATCCAGGTGAGTACCTTACAAGGTTCCCTACTAGATTCAATCCACCTAAATTGCAGCATAGTCATCGCCGCAGCAAACATGCCGCCTTCGTCTGGTGGGCCAATATAAGCGATCTTATCATGGAGTCGCAAAGCGATACACTTGTCTTCCTGAACTGCTGTGACGCAGGCCTTGCGGCTTCTTCTACCAAGAGGGATACCGATCCCTCCAGCAAGTATCGGAAGACGCTTATCGCAGCTGGTGGCTGGAACACGAAAGTTCACCACCACTTCTTTGATCCTCTATGCAACATCCTGTCCCGAATTGCAAGGACAGGCGAGTCCATTTCGACAGAAACACTCAAGGATAAGATCAATCGCGAACTCCTACCGCACATCCGGAATAAGGGAGGACCGCCACAAGCTATCCTCCATGGGTTTCTCAGGACAAGCCGGCGCACGATTCATTTTGCGCGCCTGAAGAACCAATCGGACCCCGAGCAAGGACCTAAACGCTTGCAAAAGAACGACCAACTCATCATGGAGAATATTTGGGTCCGTGAACACCAGCGTATCAAGCAGGTAATGGGGCGGGAACAAAAGCGACGCCCCCAGCGGGTATCTGGAGCGTTTGCTGAAGGGTTGCAGACGTCATGGGTACAACCGCCACTCAACCAAACTTCTTGGAGCTCGCATACATTGGTCTGGGAATGGCTACAAGGCTTACCCACTCGTACATAGAAGGATTGTTTTGTTAAGGCTTTGAGGCAGGCCTGGGCACAACCATATCACGTGGTTGACTAACCACCTGCACTTAGGCATGTTCAAATGAATTTCCCAACCTCTCAAGAACTCCACCACAAGGTCAATCTTCGGTTCTCCAGATCTGCGGTCGCGGGTGTCGAGAACTTCAACAAGTTCTGACCTAGCCCACAATCAATCAAAAGTGAGAAATAAATAAATGCGGGAAAATGTTGGTGACGAAGAGAAATGACCGTGGGTGTAAAAGCTATCTACATTGACCCACTGTCAGCAACGATAGCGCGCGTATCCGACCCACTCTGTCCTTTATCAAAAGCTTAAGAAAAGCTTGAGATCCTACACGCGACTCTGATACGATGATCGACACCGCGCTTATGGACCCTGACGAATGATGTCAGGGTTCCCATAATTAAACGTCACGGCCACTCAACACCTCGAGTGCTCACGATCCTCCAAAGCTCCGTCCCCCAACTGCTTTCTCTTTTCCGTTTTAAAAGTATCACGATCAAAGGGAGCCAAACCACCTTGAGGTCTATATCTTCCACGTTATCCGACATCGATTGTTAATAGTCCACGCAAAGAACTTCGCTATATATAAATCACCACACGCAAACCAACACCACCACAATGCCCACCAAACTCCTACAGGCAACTTTCCCCCGCATGCACACGCGCTCCTCCTCATCAACCGACGTCTCGAAACCCCCCAAATCTGGCTCAAAATCCGGCTCGAATTCACCCACCAAATCAGGAACCAACTCACCCGCACCACAAAGACCCCAATTCGTGCGTGCAGCATCCCACCCAGGGCCCGCACCGAAAGCAAAACAGCCTGGCCGCGCGTTCGGTACGAATTATCGTGTGAGGCGGACCCCACCGGGCTCACCACCAAACGAGCGCGTGCAATCACAGACGCAGCCGCTAGGACCCGCCCAAGCACATTCTAACGTGCGCGACTTTGCAAAACTTACTTCTTCCGCCGCGCACTCGCAGCCTGCGCGGCGGAAGCCTGTGTACTCGATGCATGAGGCGGATCCAGCGGTGAAGGGGCGGCCGGAGGTAGTGTATACGGATGAGGAGTTGTTGAAGAGGCTGAATACGATTGGGGAGGATGAGGAGACGGATATAGATCGGGTGAGGACAGTGGAGATGGAAAGGGAACGGGAGTGGGAGGAGGAAAGGAGGAAGAAGGAGGATAGGGAGATGGAGGAGTGGAACCGGAAAGAGGCGAAGAAGGCGCAGAATCGCATGGTGAGGGGATTTAGTTGGAAAGGGGTTAAGAAGACGGTGGGAGGGTTTAGGTAGTGCGCTGAAGTTGGGGAGCGAAACGATTCATCAGTCCGAAATGAGTGAACGTCTTGACGCAAGAGAAGAAGACGTACATTGCTCGTGCTATCGATCTGCAGAAGGTCTATGGGTCGTTCACGATATGGCAGACTCGGTCAATTAATCATACTTGCTGGATCAAGTATAGGAAAGTATCGATTAGAGCACATAGCTCTGAACATTATTCTGGGCATTGATGAGCGCCAACAATACTATGTGCTCTTCTATCTACGACCCCACGACGTTCTCATCAAACTCTTCTACTGATGGTTCCAAAACCTCATCGGTAGCCATGAATGTCCCTGTACCCGACCGCTCGTCGCTTTCGTCATACTCTTCAAATAAATCGCCATAATAGTCGCCACCTTTGTCGTACTCCATATCAGTATCAACGTCCGTTCCTTCGCTAAATGTTTCATCCTCGAAGCTCTCCCCAGAGCAAGCTGAATCATCGCACTCATCCAAGTTTTCGTGCTCGTCACTTGGCCATGGCTTATCATCCCAATAAGGACATTGATCTTCGATGCCCTCCCATAGCCGCTCAAAATCTATCCTCTGGTACACCTCGTTATACCGCGCTACCCTAGGTTTTCTTTTTCTGAATTCATAGAGATCATACCCGTGTCTCGCAAGACAAGCGTCAAAAACGTCTCCAACCATACCGCGGAAGCGTGTACCCATGTGCGAGTATGCGACATCGGCAACTGAACGGCCCTTGTCATCTGTGACTCTGAGGTCTGCGCCTTGTTCTAAGAGAAAATCGAGGCAATCGCGCATGTTCTCGGGAATAATGTAACTATAACCGTCCTTAGAACAAAGTCGATGTAAACAGGTCTCCCCGTCATAATTTCTGTCGTGTATGTTGCTTCCTTTTTCGACAAATAGTTCCAGTACACTCCGTACTGCATCAGCATGAGAGCATGCGGTTAGGAATGGAGTTTTACCCTGCGCGTCTCTTTGGTTGAACACGTCGAGGTGATGGCTGTCAATGAGGATACGTCCAAGGACTAGGTCATGCTGTGCACATCAATATAAGCAGTCACAGACATGTCTCAGGGCACTTAACACCTACCATGGATGTGCCACCAAGCGCACTCCGACATATGACGTTCTGTGTCCCTCTAAAATCAACAGTAGGGTCAGCACCGGCTTCAAGAAGCAGCGCAGCTGTTTCGCTATTGCTGTAATTCATTGCTTCATGCAATGGTGTTCTATGGCACTGCCGTGTCAGCGTCGCAATATGGAAGAATACTACACGTATAGTACGTACGTTTCGTACGATGTCCATCCGACTACTTCATCGACATCCAAACCATTCTGGATGAGGTACTTGCACATTGAGGGATTCCTGACCGCATGCTAAAACTCCGTCAATCAAAAAGTATGAAGGCATCGGGAAGGTTTGTACCAACGTGGAGAAGCGACCAGCCTCTTGGATCATGATCCCGAAGACTGGCACTGCCTTCTGCAAACAGTCGAGTTAGATCTTCAACGCGACCTGTTCTTGCTATATGGAAAATTGGAGCATCCATTGGCAACACGTTGTTGACAGACAGTCTCGGTATACTCGACAAGGCCGCATGAAGCATGGCTAAGCCTGTGTATCAGCAAAAGCAAATAGCTCAACACATGCTTCCTCGTATGTATGACTTACCGCTTTGGTCAATATAGACCGTTAGCATGCGGGAAGAAGCCTTTAGCGTAAACGACACCCTGATGAGCCAGTCCTTGCCACTGACTGTTGCCGTACCAGGAGTCGTCTGGCTCAGTGTGCGATCTCTCTGACTCCTGGTGATTCGGCAGCGCTTGTTCGTCGTGACCGTCAGGGTCCCATGTTCCATATCAATGAATTTTCGCTTGCGCTGTTGCTGTGTGAACATCTCTGGCGGGGAGTTGAATTTGTAGCGCTTGGCTTGCTCTTCGTAACGTTAGTTTCCAAGCCATGAAAGCTAATAATGATAACCCTACCTTTACTGTTGATGGATATGAAAGGGGCGGAGGAAACCAGGCTTGAGGCAAGCTTGAGTTCTTTAGCTAGATTTGACGCTGGTTCGACGTATGACCCAAGAGATGTCTCCGCTGCACTTCCGATCTCTGGTATCTGGGATTCAAGATTATAAGCAGTATCCAATAGCTTCTTGAGGTCTTCTATTAATTGTTCGGCATAATCAGAGTCTCTTGTTTGTCCTTCCGCATCTACCAGATCGCAGAGCCTAGATATGCTGTGCTCTAATTCACTTGTCCACGTGGGCTTAATCTGCAACGCAGTCGTGCCTTCCGCACCGTGAGATAGCAAGCTTTTCGGGTGGCTCTCGTGATGATTCAGACGACTGAAGTGGTCTCCCAATGTCTCCACAATGTCCTGTATCCGCGAGATCTGTGAAGCTGAAGCCGACGTCTGTGCACTCTGATATGTTATAATTCGCAAAGCGAGGCTCGACGTGTGACTTTGAAGAATACTCCGCATGCGATCCAACTCTTTCTCATCTAGTGCAGTCTTCAGTCGCTTCCAGAACCTTCCTAACTTCTTCGACTTTGGCGAGACGATGAGCTTTCCGATGCCCTCGTCAAAACGCCTCATGTCCTCCGCACACCTCTCGGCGAATCCAGAGAATGCAATTAGGTCGACGTCGCCGCGGTTTGACCCGGAGCGCAGGATGTTTTCTACTCGCTCGAGTATGTTCTTCAGCTCTTCGACGCTGTGTATGACATTTTGAAGGTTATGCGGACCATCCTTGACCGCGGAAAGCGTTCCGTGCACTGCTTTAGCCGACTGCAAGGCAACAACAACGAAAGTGATGATAGCTGAGGCTCCATCCATGGTGAGCTAATTCAGGGTAAGTCGTCCTCACATGTAAGGAACGGATTTCTGCATACCACATGGAGATCGGAACGGTGATTGTGTGAAGGAAGGCGTAGAGCATCAGGCTGAGAAAAAAGCGAAGATGGTTACACAAGGCTGGCGGAAATGGTAAGCGCAACTCGGCCTCGTCACTTATCGCTCTTACATGCAGCCATCTTGCATTTGCACTGCCACCAGCAGCCCAAGGTTGACAGCATACCACGGTGCATGTGACAAAACGCGCAAGTGCGCCTGTATGTCGACCGGATGCGTGAACATCATGCAGAACGCAATATTGACACGACGAGGGAACGGCTATTCCCAGGCACTGAAAATAACCGAAGTATGCATTCATCCAACACATAGGGTATCATCCGCACAGAACTACAATCCTCAAATGAATATCCAAAAGCCGAACAATAAAGTCGCTGTCAGACGCGGAGCAGTAGCGACAACAACAGCGCACTGCTCTTTCGACTCTAAAGACGCAGCTCATCGTCACTTCCCTCGGTACTGACAACACCACCATCCACCTTCCACCACTCCTTCACCCCTTTCACGGTCTGTCTCCCACTGCGCCGCCTTCTCAATGTCGGCATCTTGCTTGGCTGGCTGTTAATATCGGCAACCTCCTTTAAAACCCTTCTCTTCTTGTTCACCAACGAAGGCATCGAGCGCACGGTTCGTAGCTCGAGACGTTGACTCACGATCGATGAGCTCGACGATGAAGATGAAGTATTACGTTTGCTCTCCTCCTCGCTTTCGCTACTTTCAATCAGATCCAGGTCAACGTTCTCGATCTCCACGTATGTCCGACGCTTGAGGTTCCTTAAGGCCGTATCGAGAGAAGAGCGCGAACGCTGTGAGCGAAGTGTTGACATGGTGTTGTACTTCTGCTTTTTCGCTCGTTTAGATCTTCGAGGACCGTCGTCTAAGTCACTCAAGTCCTGCTCGGTGAAGAAAAGGACAGGCGTATCGGGTGGTGTCATCACCATGCGCTTAGCAGGAATGACAACCATGGGTGAAGACGCACGAGTGCGCTTCCCAAGGCAGGAGATGGAGCGACGAGTAGTTTGCTTGATTGGAGAGGATTGAGGGACGTGATCATCTGCATCCTCATCCTCGGCCAAGGCTTCCCACATCGAGATTTTGTTGGAAGGCGTCAGTGCTGGAGCCATTGAAATCGCCGTCAGGCTGTCCTTAGCATCTTCAATATCAGATGGCTCAGGGCTTGGCAGGAGCTGCAACGTGGGTACCGGTTTCCGCGAGATACGCTTCATGCTCTCTTTAGTAAACGGCGTGCACGCCACCCACTCTCCTATGCCTTCCTCCCATCTGAACCCACCAACAGCTGACGGTGAGTCAGTCTTCTGAGGCGTTGGAGCAATCACCACATGACCTTTCATCCGCATCGATTGTTCCACCTCGCGAACATATGCCATGTGTTGGGCTTCATTGGTGCTCTGCGCAAAGTCCATAACCGCCTCCAGCGCCAGCCGTTTCATCGTCCACAGCTTATGCGGAAGACGAAGGCCTGAGATGGACAACATGCCCTGCACCAGTCGTCGAATTTGATCGAAACCATCGTCCTTCCAGAACCTGCCCGTGCCGCGTGCCGCGGCTGACACAAATGCGGGCAAAGTGCCTAACAGCTGCGAGTTGTCGATATGCGTGGAAGAATATTGAGAGAGAATCCAAGGGATCGCGCCTCCTACTGTGGCAATATCGAGTGACAGCAAGTTTCCATGCTGTTGGCAGCCTTCTAGATGCACGAGGAAGGAGGCAAAGACTGCCCACACTGCACGTTGCGCGAACAGCTGCATGTGATCCTCTAGCGGGCCAAGGAGAGCTAGATCATCCTGGATGTCTTTGCGTTTGACTAAGTCGATGACTATGGAGTCAAGTGCCCAGACAACTCTTTTCACAGTGAGTGCGCCGGCAGACTCTTCCCGAGACTGATTGATGAGGGCTATGCTGCAGAACACGGTGAGCAAGCTGGAAAAGGTAGTATCGAGTGCATCCCGGAATTCCTGCCTTGATGAGGGCTTGTATTGGCGCGCGATGGTATCGATCTCGCCCGCTTCGAACAGGCTCTCATCTGGCAGACCTATGCCAGCAAACATGGTCGTTTCTAGGAAGCGGAAAGCACTAGCAGAACTTCGCTGATCGCCGTCGGATAGGCTGCGGACCAGGCGGTCCCAAACTGGTCGCATGCACTCGGTCGCCAACCACTCCAAAGGAAGAAGCTCTTGTGATATCATGTACTCCAAATGGTCGTAGAGGAAGCGATATCGGCCGGTGCGAGCTACAAAGTCCTTCACCATCCACATATAAAGTGAACGCTGTTCGTCGAAGACATTGGCATAGAGCGTGTTAGGCATGGGCAAAGGCTTCAGACATGGCAGAAAAGATGACAGGAATTTCTCTGCCTCGTCCCATGCTGACGCATTGAGACAATGCACGACAAGCAGGTGCAGAGTCTCTAGCCCAAGTATTTGAGCCCCCAATGCGTCACACAAAAGCTGGGTGCCATGTGCTCGAACCACTTGCTTGAAACCACGCCAGCCCTGTCCCGGTGTTATCTCATAGAGCTGCTCGAGATATGAATAGACTTCTTGGGAGACGTCAGTGTCTTCATCTTCACTTTCATCATCTTTGTCAAGCGCGGCGAAGTGTTCTTCCAGCTGAATGTACTGTGGCAGCCTCCTGAGACAAGCGCTGAACAGCGATCTTGTACCATTCCACCTCTTCTCATCACCTGCGGTCGTCGCTTGCAGTAGATTTGCGTACGACTCCGACAGACTCTTCACCAACGTTCCAATCTCGGCTGGCATCTGTGTCTTGAGGCCTTGTACGTTGACCTTAGCAAGTAAGGGCCCTCTGTAATTGTTGCGTTTTCTCAGAGGCGAGTCGTGAAGCTGTGGGCTGTCATGGAAGCGGTTGGCAGTGCGTGTAACCAGTGGTGTGAAGGCAATGGCACCGGGGCGCGCATCGCTTCCGCCATGTAAGCTTATTCGTGAAGAAGGCTTTTTTAACCCCCGACCTCCGTATGTCTTCTTGGTTGCACCTCCTGACCCAGCATCGGGCATCCAATCCGGGTCCTTTCGTTTTTCGAGCCCGCGAGGCTTGCGTGCAGGTTGGGTGACATTGATCTTCCGTGACGAGGCTTTCAGTGCGAATGCAGTCGCGGAGCTTCTTCGGTCATCGTTGGGGCTTCTCGGTCGCTCGAGCTCCTTGCGCAGCTTCGCGAGCTTGGTTTGCAGAGGGCGCAGGAGGCGGTTACAGCGCGTTGTGTTGAATGCGAGGTCGTCATTTGAAGCCATTAAAGCGTATATATATTTCGCAGCGATATAGGGTACGTATGCGTCGGTAATTATTGCATTGAAAATATATTAGGCGCTGCTCGAAGCTTGTCGTCGGGTCGAGGACTGGACCGCAGTGTTGATAAACATCGGCGTCGGCGCGACAGCCAGCTAGTTTTGGAATAGCGCAAAACGAGATCACATGACCACCCTGGCGGGCTGCGACCCTTCTTGCAGCATGGACATGATTTCAAGTACAAGATGGGGATGCTCTTAGGTCGATCCGATGACCATGCGTTCTATGTCTTCCGAAGTAGCTTGTGCAAGATACCGTTGTCCGAGTTGCGATGTTTCTATGAGCGACGCGCTTCGCCTTGCTTCCGTGCGTGGTACTGAGCACACGAAGTGGGGAAGTCTTCGCCGGGCAAGCGCACAAAGCGGGGTCGGTTTCTTTCCTGCAAAAACCCATCACCGTTAGCACTTCCACAGCTCGCACTAGGCTCGGAATGTTTGGCTATAGATATGGTCCATTGGGCCATCCTTCCATCAATCACAAAAAGTTGACGGCCGTGTGGCCCAATGGCAAGGCGCTTGACTACGACTCGCTAGATAATCAAGAGATTCCAGGTATGTCCAAACTGAAGAGATCTCATCCTTATCAATTACTAATCCTACATAGGTTCGACCCCTGGCACGGTCAACAATGACACTTCTTTTTGCAATTCTGATTCAATTTGGAGTCAGATTTCTAGCTTTTTGACCTGGTGCAGATCTTAAGCGAGTCCCCGCCTGTGACGTAACTGCTGCCTGCCCCAAACACCCTCTCACGCGCATCAACACGCCTCAGCCTCAGCCACGATGCCACCGGTCAGCCCCGTGAATGTCTCTGCCTACGAAATGGCGCCTACTTGACACATGCTGCTGTCTTTCTCTCCGCTCACCATCTCCATCACCTACTGATTCTCCTACAATGTCGCCTAGCAGCACGCAGAAGCGCGCCCCGCAGTCCACAGCTCCCACCTTCGCGAACCACGCGTCCGAAGACTTTGTGCAAGGCGCGGGCGTAGCAATCTTCCACATTGCGTCTGAGCGCGTAGTCGTGTGCAGCGCGGTAGATAGGCGCGTGGGGAAGTACTACTTTTTGCCCAAGGGACGGCGGGATGCGGGGGAAGATACGCGGGCTGGCGCAGAGAGGGAGGGCTTCGAAGAAGTATGTATATCTCTGCTACCTACCTGATCGCCTTGAAGATGTGAAGGACGTGCGCTGATCGAGTGATAGTCCGGCTACCGAAACCGCGTGCTTCCCCTTCCTACGAAGCATCACCAGCCGCAGGCGCATCCCCGCGTCTCAGCGCCCCCGATGACGGCTGAGCCTATATGGATTCAGTTGATGCCGCTTGCGCGCAACACGAAGCAGTATCTGCTCTACTGGTATATCGCGGAGACGCTTCCACCAGATGTCGAACCCCTCTTAGAGACGCAGCCCAATGAGCCGTATAAGCAGCCGCCGGCATATCCTGCCAACTTGACGCTGAAGGAGAGAGTAGCGATGGAGCCAGAGGGGCACGAGCCGATACATCACGAGGGGACGGGTGTGGATGAGGAAGAGCAGGAATATGAGAGTCAGCTAGTGAGCGTGGAGGAGGCGATGAGCTTGCTGGGGGGAACGGATAGTGTTATGGCGGATGTGGTGAGGAGAGGGTGGGAGATGATCAAGGAGAGGTCGAGAATGGAACAAGAGGGTCGGGGTGCTACGCTCTGCGAGGCCGACACACATAGTCCGGAGCAGTTGGCAGAAGCTAAGCGGGACACCACTTTGAGGAATCTCAATTGAGCATGAATGCCTTCGGAGCAGGCAGGTCGCTATGGCTAGGGTATGCTATCAATGGCGTTCGGCGGGGCGTTTGCTATGGGACGGTATGGATGAAGATCGTAGTCTAGATCGTTCTACGTCTTCCAATTCTAGACTTCTCATGTTGGACTCACTAGCTTACAGTTGCACAGCATGGATAGAGTATCGATTGAGTTTCCCAACGATTAATGTTTGCATTGTATAGTTCTGTGTGACTTGCTATACGAAGACGAAATCTCCAGTGGACGCTGTGTCACTAATCTACATTCCTACAGCTGGCATCGGTAACCATAATGAAGACCACTCGGAAGATTCCAGTGCTTGCCTTGCGCTGTGATTGGCTCCGACTAGGGGACCAGGTACCCAGATCATCTGTACGACGACTTCTATAGCTGCAGCTGCCAGAATGAACCATGCTAACTAATCGTGATTGTCTTACCTCTGCTGCGGAAGCACTTTCATTCATCTACAGCGGTCGAGCATCAGTGCCCAATCGCAGAGTGATGCGTCGCCACTGAGGATTTCGAACTTCCGGGCAATCTTCCTTCGGATAACCTCCTTCATGCAAGCTGTGCCTTGTTGCAAGAAACCCCAAAAAAGGTTTCTTTATCCCTTGGTTGAAAGCTGCACACAACGGATATTCTGAACTGAGACATCGTCTTAACCGCACGCGAGAAACAACCAGTAGGCGATTTCTCCCACCGGCTAGTTGGTCCGACCTACGATTTCTTGTGCTAGATACTAGATGCTAGATGCATAGCGAACTTTGCTATAGCTATCCGAGGCTCGAGGACTTCGAAGCTTGCGCCGGTGGATCTCCCCCCATCACCTCGAGGGTGGATTGAATACGGCTGTAATACTGTATCTGGACTATGCAGTGTCGAACCAGACTCATCTTCCGTACGAGATGCATGAGGTCTAAATTATGACTCGAGAGGACACGACCTGCTCCTGTGCCCATGCATGAGCAGCACTTCCAGAATCTTCATACAACCGAGGTACCAAGTCCTATGCGCGCAGTTATCGTAGTCCCATGTACCCATGTACTTTCTCGATAACGCGAAGAACAGGTTGGGCGCCTCGTAGGATCACTTGTCCATATCAGCCGACATGTGATCTCGATAGCGACATCGTCTGCTCAAAAGCGTGCTCGCGAGGGCTCGACACCCACACCGTCTCTTGCTTGTGCGATAAGACGACAAACCTCTTTCCCTATCTGTCGTACGCCGTACCTGTTTCTTCACCTCCTACGCCTCACTCATGCTCAATCTACTATCTCTTAACCCGCAACAACGCACTTTTCCAACCTCTTCCCTGCACTCGAACCTCCATTCCCTCCTCCACCGCCTTACCCAAGCATTTGTCAGTCCCATCCTCTCACACATCGCGGGCGCTGTCACGCTTTTATCCAGTTCAGCCGCGAAGTCTAGACCTTCCCTGCTTCCTAAGCGTGCGGTTGGCTGGACCATCCGACATGCATTGACATGGATATATCCGCGTACTTTAGCGATGCCGGTACTTGAGCGAAGGCGCCTGGTACGCGTGATGTCAATTATGCGCTGTGGAGTGGTAGCGAGACGGTGTGACAACGTGCGGTTGTGGGGTCAATTTGGGTAGATATTGAAATGGGCGGGCGACTGTGGGGATGTAGATGAAGGCATAGTTCAAGGTGGTGTATTTGGAGTTTGCGGTGGGTTGCACGTGGTAGCGAGAGGGTAGGGCAGGGGAGGGGTTAAAGATGGGAAAGAGCGTGGATGGCTGGACTGGATTAGGAAATTGACGATGATCAGTGGAAATCGTGCTTGGTCGCAATCTGGAGTTGAGCGCTGCCTTGGAATGACTTGTTAGTACGAGCATGTGAGGGTTCTGAGAATATTGGTGGCTCTCCAGCATATTGCGGTGAGGGTGGATCTGTGACACTATCGAGTAACGATGACCACTCCCACCATAGTGTCCCATGCTTTTCTGAGCGGATATTGCAAGAACTGGAAAAACCTGTTGTTGGGTGTTGTTCGAGATGGTACATCGCATGCTGGCCAGAAGCCCGCCCCACTTTGATGTGCTGTGTAGACTAGCGAAAAGCACGTTGCACCTTCCCTCTCCGACAGATACACACACACTACTCACGTCTTCGCGCAAACACCCCACGCTCAGCGCAACCTCTAGCTACCTCGGAGGTACCTATCCTTTGTACCTGCCACCCACGCACCCCCCTCCGAGATAACCTAGCCCTGCCCTTGACGTAGCGCGTATACTCCTGCAGCACGCCTAGAAACACAACAGACCCACACCTCTTCCCTACTTCATCGTCTACATCCGAAAACGCACATAGATAGAGGGCCAGGGGCCTTAGATCTAGATTTCGTGCTCCTTCCGACACTGGCGCTGATCGGACTTTCGCAGCACTGCGCCACAACCGCGCCTGATCTCCGTCTCGTGCTTCATCGCTCCTCCGCTTGGGGCTGAATGGCCGATCTTTGAGGCTCATTTTGAACTTGTTTCCGGCGTAAGCGTTTAGCGCAAGCGGAGCTGCGAGGATCAGTGGGTTTGGAGCAAGTGTGGAGCTCCGAAGTCCTGAAAGGGGAGAACAGTCAAGCTTGGATGATGTCAATGCGGAGTCACACGAATATGCAAAGGAAGAAGCGTGTGGATGTGCCTGCAAGGCCGTGTAGATTGCTCGGGATGTGCCGCGTTCGTCTATCTAGACATCTCTTCTTGCGCCCTATCCATTCCCAACCGAGCCCCCATTTACCGCCCTGCCGTCACCAGGGCTCCTTTCATAATCTCAACAAGACGGTCCAAAAAGGAGTAAGGGAAGGAAGGTAAGAAATTTATACAAGAAAAAGAAAACGATGATAGATAGACAGAACGTCATCATTAGATCCCTGCATATATAGCGCTAGATGATTGCCGTGACTTGAACGTATGTGACCAGCAAGTCAGGAGGGAGGAATGGAAGAGTAGAGCGATGCGATGGCCGCTAGTCGTGATGTCAAGTAACGATGAAGGCGAGGCGTTTACCAAGAGAACGACTCCTCGCGGAAGTCGACGTTCCATTGCGTCTCGCGCTGGCGCACTGCGCGGCGGAGTTCGTCAGCGAGCGCGCCCGTTCCGCAGGTTGTCACGCATGCTGAGCCGATACCCTCCATCATCTCTTGGTCGACGAGCGCTTGCACGTTAGGTCGGCCAGGGAACATTTGCACACTGGACGAAGGCGAGTGGATTTCCTTGGTGCTGCGAGGTCTCGTGACGAAGAGGAGAATCTTGAGAATCTCACGACGGCGCGGCATGGACAAGATGTGGGTCATCCATGTGCGGATCCATTCGAGGTGCTCCGGAGATTGGATGATCCAGACCAGGGTCAGCCTTCGGGTGGCGGTGGTACCGTTGGCATAAGCAGCGACGATTTCGCGAACCTGAGGAACTTGATGTGTGATACCGATACCAGCAGCCCAAAGCATGACAGTTCCGTAGGAGCTGAGATCCTCACCACCTGCGAAATGACGTTAGCATGCGTTGTGTCGAGGGTAGATTGCTTAATATAGCAGAAATTGGGGCTTGAGCAGGGTTCGGCACTCACCATATGGACCCTCAACATATGCCGAGCATGAAAACTTGCCGGCAGCAGAGAGATCCGCTTTCTTGTACAACTTCTCGGTAAAACCAGTACGTCGGCGAATGATGTAAGACATGCTCGTCTTGCGGGATTCCAGGATATCCTGGCGGTTCATCGGAAGACCCTTCTCGTCGGCGACCATGTTGGTGATATTGAGATCCTCCTCTTCTTCACTCCAAGCGACCGAGAAAGGGTGGTTGGTCCACAGTCCGACGGAAGGAATGTAAAGGTAAGCGTGCTGACCGGGGCGGAAGGTCCAGGGGCGGGCCATGCGGACTGTGACGCGGAGAGCATCGCCAGGAAGAACCTCGACATCGGCCTGAGTTCCACCGTTTCCGACGTTGCCCTTGATGAGGCGGAAGAAACGCCAGGCGCGCTCCATGACCCAAAGGGCGACCACACCGTACATCATCCTCTGGTGAGTCATGCCTTCCAAGTGAACCCACACACCGCCAATAGCGATAGCAGCGGCGACGATGTGACCGTGCAGGAAGACCTCGTAGAAGGAGTGACGCACTGGAGAGGGGGACTGGATCAGAAGGAATACAAATGCTACTGTGCCAATGAAACCAGTCATGATGAAAGTGCTACCAGTGATTGATGCTTGAACGGCAGCCCATCCCTCTATGATATTGTCAGTCGATGCTCAGGTGGACATGCAGGACAACTTACTAGTCATGACCTTGCTGGCCATCCAGGCAACGGTGTGCGCGACGGCCTCGAGGACGACAATGCGTCCGAACCAACGGTGGACCAGGTTCATAGTGTCGAAAGAGATACCAGTAAGCTTGATGAGGGGGTTGTTGCGTCCGGCGAGAAGGAACAGCGGGATCATGTTAATGACGGACATGACACCAGTACGATTGCGGAATTCACCAGCAGCGGCCGCGTAGCTTTGGCTCCAGTCAATCTTCCATACGCTGAGACCGACATTGGTGGCAAAGTAGCCAACAAGCATAAAGGTCTGCAGACGGCTGGGGAGAGTTCCAACGTTGATGGCGGTGGAAAGCTTGAACTCGCGGTGGTGGCGGGTGCGGAAAAGCGGTGCATCAAGGAAGTGTTTCCTGAAGGTGGCGAAGGCGGCATTGGGGGTTGCGAAATACCTCTGGGAGTCGTTGTTGAGGCAGGCCAGTGTGCGGAGGTACTTGGAGAAGTGGAAGATGACCTGGTAGAGGAAGAAGGTGCCGACGAAAGCGACCCAGATCCAGCCGAGATAGTGCATGACGTTCAAGTTCTCGAGGGGGGCGGTGGGGTCCTCCTCCTGTCCTCCACCACTTCTTCGTAGGTTCTGCATCATGGTGTGGGCAACGGGCGAAGCCATTGTGCGGGTGTTGAAAGAGATGTACAGGCCCTAGTGGGTGTAGATACCAGACCAGCGGTCGGTAGACTTCTTATGACAGCAGTGACTGCCGGCGGCCACAGGTCAGGATTGACCTAGTATGTATAGTGAGCGGTATCTGCCTTGACCAGCAATTGACAGATCGGGGAAGAGCCACAGATGGCGGCTTCCAAATAGGCGGGAGAGTTGAGACCAGGGCGCGCAGTCGGTTGAGTGTTGATGCGTCGTGACCAGCTCCTTCTTGGGCAGACCAGGCCGGGGTTCAGATGCGGGCCTCAAGAGGGTTAATGGGTGCGTGGGCGAGTATTGGCAGCGCAGAATAGGCGGGTTAATCTGGAAGACACGCAAGGGGCAGGTTGAGTTGCAGGTGACCTGGGGTAGTGCAAAAAGGCAGCAGGTAAAGGCGTCGATAGGCTATCCACCAGGGTTGAGATTGAAGAGCCGGCGGGGAAAGGAGCGTGGTACGCGACGGCGCAGAGAAGGGAACAGGCGGCAAAAGAGCGACTTGGGCGAGACGGTGGACTGTTGATGTAGGAGGGAGAGGGCACGAGAAAAGCGGGTGCGCGCTGGCTGCGAGTTTGATTGTCGCGGGCCCTGAGTGCATAACAGCCAGCGACTGGGCGAGGCCTGGGGCAGGGATGCCTTCGCTAGCGGGACTCGAGGCACCCACAGGCGCCTGCGATTCGGCCGTCGCGGACGCTGAAACGGGGGGCGGCCAGCGCCACAGCGGACGGTGCGCGCGACTCCAAACGCCCGCTCCGAAAGACGTCCCTACGAATCTCCTGCTCCACCTCAGCGACGCTGTTCCCGCGGCCACCCTCCGGAGCGCCTCAATTCGCTGGGATGCCCCGAGCCGGTGCTGGCGATGGCGCGCCTCCCCCGTGGAGCGCTGCACAGCGCACCTTCCTTGCGATGAACGTTATCGCGGCCGCACCTTCCCTGCGAAAGACTCACGATGGCATTCACCGCAGCGCATCCAGACCCTCAACGCATTCGACAGCACCCGCCAGGAACTTCCCAGACACACGTCCTATGCGCCTACATGCCGAGACGCGACCCGCTGTCAAGCTGGTGACGACGCCTGGGCGCGAAGCATGGACGTGAAACGAGGTGACGATTGCGTCTAATGCACCCGAATCTTCCACACGGGCAAGTCTTCTCGTTGGTGGAATACGTCCATCGTCCCGTGATCCTACGATAAGATTGTTTGATCAAATCTTCGGACGAGACCCGCCGATGTGTACCACCGCCTACTCGAAGTGCGTCCGCAATGCGTTGGGAAACGGTACCATCAGGCCCCGAGCTGCACTCAACATCCTGCATACATAGACCTTGAGATCAGGCCCCAGAAACTCGCAGTTCGCAGTGACATACTGGGCCTGACCACCGCTCTCTGGTGAACCGCAGCATCCAGCGTCCATGCCTGGCCGTGAAACAAGCTCCCGTCGTCACCAGCGGTTTGCCTGTCACATCAGCCGCTCTCTGGCATCCAACAGCGATGCTGTGGCGCCACTTCTACGATGTGGATGAGGGACCCTGAGGCGGTCAGGCGCCTCTTCTAAACAGTGTCTGTTTACCACTCCGCGACATCCAAACACCTGACAGGTGCACGAGTGTTCTGGAGCAGCGTACCCACACTGCCGGTTACGAAACTTGACTCACCCTCCGAACTCTCAAAAGACCAGAATGCGTGGCCGCTTCGGGCAGGTTGTGATCCTTGGCTCCACTGTACGACGTGGTTGCTGCATCGATTGCGATATGGAATGCGTTCCTATCTTGGGCAATCGGTCAGTCACGCGAGAAAGAATGCCGCCAATTCCAAGTTCTAACGACCTATGATGCAATTGCTTCCTTCTCAAGACCAGTTCGCGTCTGCAGTGCGAAATCGATAATGAAAACGTCTTAAGCCAGGGGGAATGCTGCAGAGCAACATCCGCGTCCAACCAGTCCCAGCCTGGCAGGGTTATTTCTCCGCAATTCGCTACCGACGTGGCACCGCAAGCCACAGCCAAGTTGTCAATTTCCACTCACGCAGTGCCGCCCCCGTGCGTCTAATTGTCAAATTAGCCTGGAGGCAAGATCGCATCTTCACGAGGCTACACGGCAGCCGTAATCAACTATACGAAGAATCTGGGGTAAATTGATGAGTCTGTTCTCGTCGCTTCCTCGGCGAAATAATTACCCTTCCCATGATGACTCCATGCCTGCGCCTCCGGAATCTCACAATGATGTCGTTCTCCGCACCAGCAGGAGCGCATAGTACCTTCGCATAACACTGCCTCCGACTGGAAGGAACCTGGAGAGCATGGCTTGACGTTCGTCTCCGACTCCGGCAGCTCCCAAGCAAAGTCAAGCTCGTTGCGCATGAATCAGCAGCGATCATACTGGTCGTGTGTTTCAACCATATTGACGGCGGCAACGCTGAGCCCCACGGCCTACCAGCTCGTTTCGAGGCGACGAGGCCTCCGACCGGACGGACACACGACAAGCTAGAAACACCAAGCAACATTCTTTTTGCGTCACAACACGCGTAATCCACAGTGCCATTTGTAGCGCTGCGGCAGTGTCTGTCGCGCTTTGTTTATTCCTCGATGGTGGCTAATGCGATGGATACGGAGCAGGCTCGCTGATCGCTAAAATCCATGGCGCACATCCACTTCGGGCGTCGTCCGACTCTCACAATCTCCTTTGCCTCAGCGGCTCATCTGAGCTGAATATGATGCAATTATCCCTATTTCTCGTAGATTGTTTTCTGCGTTCTCGTTCCTGCAGCCACAACAACATTCCATGCTCCACGAGGGTGCGTAATCAATAGAAGGTAGGCCAAGTACGCGCACGAGATCGACGCATTCCAACAACCCGATGGATCGCACCTTGGAAGTGGAGAAAGGTTAACCCCACGTCGTCGGACTCTCCTCCCAAGAGGCCTTACCGTCAGCGACGGAACACTCGGAGAGATCTGTCACTGCGGACAAATTATAGATCTTGGGTGAAGTGGAATTAGTCTCTACGCGCCAATGCGGCGCGGTGCGGCTCTATCTGCTAACCGAATAGGCAGGAGTAAGCATCCGGATTGCACTGTTGTTCTGCAATATTCTGCGACCGTAAGTCATGCTGTCGACGGTCGTTGATGGGCACGCAGTTCTGCAAATCTCTGCGTCTTGCCTAATGCGATCATTTCCTTTCTCATCGTCGTTCTCGGTTGCTTGCCTTGGCAGCACTATTGAAACAACGCGGCTCCAGACTAGGTGAATTGATCGACTCTTATGTACAGCGATCGCTAGGGAACGTAGAATCTGCCGTGTATTACCTGCCAGGAAGCAATCCTCACGACCCCTGAAGGATGTGTGAATGTGTTTTTGTCTGTATGATTAATCGAACCTCCAAAATCATAGACTACGCGCTGGTTTACGACCGGGCTTGACCTTCGCGACAGTCCGGCTTGACGCTTGGCGGCCCGCGCCGATCCGTCAGCGCAAGCGCACCACTACAACAACACGAACGCAAGATCACTAACAATCTAGAAAGAATATTGGTTTCTAGAGAGCACGTCAGTATCAACGAATAGATGCACACTAGGTCTCGCTATTTGGTCTGACCGTGCTAGCTTGCCATGCCTGCTCATCAGTGAATCAGCCTCCATCATTCACATTCTAGAATCGAGTAACACAATCAACGTTCCGCAGAGAAACGTCATGTCCACATCGTCGGTCAACGCATTTGACAAAACATACTCTAATAACGGGGTGTACTCTCAAATCACTTGCTCAAACTGTTATCTCTTCAGGGAGACCTGCGTGTAATGAACTGGTACTAATGTTATAGACATCGCCATGACTTCAATTTCGTAAGAGTCACCTCGTGTCCATATTAACCTTTATATCAGTCAGAAACATGCATCTCTCCAATGCAACACCACATCGATCCTCCTTGCCTTCATCCACCTTACGAATCCCGCCAAAGACCCCTCCGCGCTCCCTTCCTACTATAACGTATATTCTTCCTACCTTCGCCGCATCGAGCAACGCCTCTCTTGCTATAGGCTACACTGTACTACTACCCGTATTTGTTGTAAGTACTCCATATAAGTAAACGTACATTGTAATCTATAGGACTCAAGCTGCTGTAGACGAGACCTTAACATTGCAGGTTGCAGAAATCTTTTAGCTGGTGGAGATGTAGATGGAGCTACGTCGTAAGTTCTACAGGCATGGCATTTTCACGACGCGCTTCCGATTCTTTTCTTCTCTTGAGAGTTGTGGCAAACCGTCGCTTTCTCGACTCTTCATCTTCCCGCGTCCTACATGGAGATCGAAGCCCTTCTGGATGAAGGGTCGCTGGCATAAAACACATTTTCTTGCGCTGTCACCGAAAGCTTTCGAGACTTCGGGGGTGGAAGTTGACCCGAAGACGCACATCGAAAACTCCCGAACTTGGTGTATCATCTTGACATATGCCAGTCTCTACCGGACCTTCTCCGATCTAGGTCATGCTCCTGACACGGAGGGAGCTTGCCCTCTCAATATGAAAGAGGAAGGGCTGTGTCAGTCCGATACGGGACAAGCATATCTCGCTCTCTATGTCTTCATCGTCTTGGGTGTTGAAAGTTCTCTTGAAATTACTAAGTTTCGTGAGTATCCTGTGTAAGTGCGTGGTAGGCTGAGCTTGTGCGTGGTAGGCTTAGCGCACCAAGCTCAATGTGGTCAATCGGGTCTTGTGCGTCTACACCTATCAGGCTGTTGGAACACACGTGGATTTTACAACAAGATTCTGAACATAATGACCGGGATCTGGCTAGATGGACATCGTGGTTCGCCGTACTGGAACCCGATTCTCGAAATCAACGTGCTTTGCTATTTTAGCCATGTGTTGGTATTCGCAGTTAGGTGCGTGTTGATGCGGTCAGTACGGTTGTTCACGAGGCTACGTGTGGGCTCGATTTCGACGCGAGGGATGAGATACATGGAGGAGTCGAATGCAGATGCCGAGGCCGGCAGGGCCCTAAGTCTTGTAGCTCGTTTATGAGGTTCGATTAGCAAGAGCCCGCCACAGGAAAAACAAAAGAGCGAGTATCTGGAGCACATCACCTCATCTTGCTCTTCCCATTGGGAAGGCGCAAGTACGCTCGCCTTTTGCTTCCGAATATGCGAGATCTTGCGCATTAGTTCAGCTATCGGTGCACTCTGATACGCGCAGGACCGCTCCAGCCGTATGGGATGTCAAGGCTATTGGTTTGCTCTCGTATTGGAGCGACGCCTCAAGTTGGGGGCCAGCCTCGTGCAAATGAGCAAAACCATAGCTTCCCCTAATCTTCGAGAGAATTAACATGCCGACTTGCTCTCATCTATTCAGAGTGATTCGTTCGAGGTCGCAGTCCACGTCTGTGCGCGTTGCGATGGCATCTCGTACCTTCACGGCAACGCTACCAACCATCCTCCTATGCTTCGCAGCCTTCACTCACTTCGTGGGCGCGCAAAATGTCTACTGGATATATCCACCATTAGCGGGTCGAGTCGAAGACTTCGAAAACAATATCTTGATGCAGCTCAGTACCAAGCAGACTCTGCAGTGGCATACAGAGCGGCCAATATCAAAGCTTCAGCTGTTCCAACAGCGGGATGGCGGCTCAAGCTATATCGATATTGCCGGTGGTGAGAAGAGAATTTAAATTGCAACTTCGAACATTACTAACGGGGCAAGTAGATATCGAAGGAACAGAGTACAACTGGACTGTGTACCCACATTCATTCGATCTTGACGATTCACCTGTTTTCTATCTCGGGGTAACAGTGTCGGAAGACGATGGCTCTGACCAAACTTTCGAGTCTTGCCATTACTTCAACATCACCACTGAATCAGTGACCTCGTCGAACTCCGTTGCGCCTTCGAGGACCCGCAGCCAGTCCCCGTCTACATCGGGTACGACTGCATCGACGACAACTCCGACAACGTCTACGACGAATACGGTACCTGCGACCGAAACCCCCACGCCTCAACCCAGTCATAACATTTCTACTGGTGCCGCAGTAGGAATCGCTATAGGATGCACGGCTGCAGTGCTCATCGTGGCCGCGGCGCTTGGAAGGTGGTTCTGGCGTCGCAGAAAGCAGAACAACCCAGGAGGTCTGACGACCAACATACCTGAAGACAAGAAGGAAGGGCAATGGCAGCGAGCGGAACTTGGAGAGGGTGAAGCCACACGTCATGAAGTCGCCACAGAAGGTACAAGGGCTGAAATGGAAGGTGGACGGAGCCATGCACCTTCGGTTTTTCACGAGCTTGACGGAAATGGTGGACGCCTGACTTAGGGGCAATGGAGAACATGGTGCGCAGGAATAGAGTTGAAAGAACGAGAGTTGAGCTGGATTGATCCGCACACCCAGATCGGTCATTGTCCAAGGAGCATATGTGGATCAACACTCACTATACCTTAAGGTTCCGGAGATAGACTATACTTCGAAGTTACAATAGCACAAGCGCCGGGGCTAGGTTTTTCGACACCAAAGAATTGATGAGCCTGTCCCGAAAGTAGCCAAGGAAGCACAGAGATAAGTAGGAGTAGGATAGCGGCCTACTGCAGTATCGAGAAACAGCAATTCTTGACTACGCTTTTTGTGCGGCTTGGCTTGTTCGATTCCTAAGGCTTAGCTGAATGGATTGCTCTAGGCCATGTGTCGTCCCATATTCACGTACTGGCACGCCGTGTCGTATCGTTTCGCATTCGCACGGCCGAATACTGTGACATTCATGGGTTTCACGTCACTACCAATAAGCTCAAATCAAATCCTCCAATTACGGCGTCTCGAATGATATCAACTATCAAAGCACGTTCGTCTTGTCCATCAGCGCAACCGAAATAGCCGAAATCGACAGTAACTGGCGCCGGTATCAGGGAGAACTTCGCATTGAGCATTCGAGCGAGCGATGGATTGACACCTCTAATAAGAAAACCATATAGTTTAGGAGAGTGTATAAATAATGTAGTGTTGACTCAAAGTATAGGTATATAGTGGAGGGTTACTAGCATCGCTACGAATTAGAGTTTCATAAGTGTCATCCTGAGTTTAATTAACTCTAGGTCATACTGTCGTGGAAACTTCATATGGGAAGTGCCACGCACGCTCTCACCTTTACCCAAAATGCGATCTCACTGCACCATAGAAGTCTTGGTCTAGATATCGCAGTCTCAGGTCACGCTCTTGCAAAAATAGGTGGATTTAGACGGTCGGATGTGTTGATGAGATACGGCGACGAAGATCTAAAAAGCTCACATTCAAACCTGTGGAGAAGGTTAGTCGAGGAGGGGCAGTATCGTTGATGAAAGCGCACTTCAAGAAAGTGTCAATACCCACACATAGAGAAAGATTTTATCGTTTTGCTTGGGCACCATTTCGAGGTCTGCTACTTCCACACCATTTCTCACCTCTCCATTGTCTTAAGTCGGCGCACTCACATTCTGCTTTCCCTCCACCCTCTGCACAACCCCAAACCTCTTCTTCCCCTGATCAAAAACAGCGTACACTGCCTTCAACCACGTGTCCCCCAGGATGTCAAAGCTATTATTGCCCCTCGACTGAATTCCGCCATACTGCATGCCACCCCCAATCCTCGCGAATCCAAAGTCCTCTTTCTGAATCTCAAACTGCTTGTCACCCACCGCTACGGTGACCGTGGGTAGATCTCCTACCGGCGTATTAACAGGGAACACCTAGCCCTGCTGTTGGCTGTCAAACTTTGCGCCGGGTATAGCACCGTAGATCGCGTTGCACAGCGCGTCGTCCACAAGCGCGAGGGTCGTACCGGTGTCCGCTATGGCCGTGTTTCCAGGGCGATCGATAGTCTGTCCATTCACGGTTGCAGACTCAGAGTTGAATTGCCAGAAGCCCATACTCGGATCAATGGGAACGTAGTGCACCTCAGTTCCACACCGCTTGACAACATCCTGATCTATATACCCGAACGTGTAGAAGCTCTCGCCGTGGTCTGCCTCGTCGCTATCCCGCCAGCTGCCCAGATAACACGTGAATAGCTCCTCCCCTTCTTCGATATCATCTTGGTCGATCATGCTCTCGACCGGCGTTTTCACAGCTTTGGGCTTCACGGTGTTGATTATGCCGAACGCGAGACCAAGGAGTCCGTCACCGGCGCCTTTGGTAAATTGCGGGGAGAGCTTGGACGCAAGCTCTATGGCTTGGTTTTCGATGCACAGTCCGCCGAGGGTGACATTGTCGGTGCCGACGATGCCGGAGGCGCTGGAACCATCGCCATATCGGATCCTCCAGGAGGAACCGGAGATTTTCTTCCAGGTTGAGGAGGACTTGGGGTTGTAGATGTTGTGGCCGGAGGACTTTCCGGCGGCTTGGGTCGTAGAGTTGAGTTCGGTGGACCAGAGCTGCGGTGTCAGCTTAGTGCCCAGATCATCAAAGGGTGATGGGTGATGAGAGTGTACAGACGTACCCACAGATCCGAACTCCCAGTATCAAAGTCCAAGTTGCAAACCTGTGGCGGGGTTCCGATCTCGACAGGGCAGAGGTACAAGGAATCGTTCATCTGATCTTCGGCCTTGACCTCGCCCTTCTGGCCGTCATCGTGGACTTTCCAGAGCACGGGCTTGGTGGACTTCTTGCTCTTTGGCTTAAAGAGGTTCCTGAAGTTCTTGGGAACTTCGTCAACCTTCTGGTAGGGGCCTTCAGTGGTCGGGGCAAAGTCGTCTGAGTGATGACGAGGTTAGCACTGCATGGATGCCTGACTCTCCAAAACATCAAGTAGGACCACTCACATTTCTTCAACAAACTGGCATAGCTCTTCATCCCCGCCTTCTCATATCTCGGATTGGGCTTGACATTGATCTTCTTCTGTTCCCTTCCACCCATCTTGAGACGGTGAAATTCGACAACTTGGGGGGCAGGCCTTCTTCTCGACTTCCTTGTCGACCTCCTCGTCGACCTTGGCTTTGACAGAGACCTGTGCTTTCTATCTCTCGGTAGTGACTCGAAGACGCGGGGGCTGGAGCTGATGGTGGAGTTCTCGTAGACAGAAAGTGGAATCGAGGAAAAGACAGCAGGTGGGACGGAATACGGAGGCGCTCTGGGACGTGGTTGTCGGGTGTGGTGACCAGGATGTGGCGAAGGTTCGAGGGGGATGAGCGTGGGGTACGAGTAACGAAACGTGCTGGAGAGTTGTTAGCATATTGTGGTTTTGAGGGTGCGTGGGAACGCACACTGCTTGAGGTTCAACGCAATATATACAAGCAAGCGAAAAACAAAAGGATATGAATGATGTATATATAGATTAGGGCCAAGGACTCTGCGCGTAGGGATATCGGGTGAACAATGGTAACAAGGTAGGTCTATGATGAAGTGAGACTTCGGATTGGGGCGGGACCATGGGCGTGACATGAGTATGCGTAGCACTTGCCCAACGCAAGTTCGGTGGCAGTATGACGACATCGTCGATATGTGGCAGTCGCGTGTTAGTAGCATGAGGAAGGCAGGAATAGTGGGAGGGTAAAAGTTCGCAAAGGGTTGCAACGAACATTTACACTGTTTGAAATGAGATCGCTAGGCAAGCCGGAGATGCATTACACTACGTGGGTATCATGGGCCAACACTTTTGCGTCCATTGGTGCCTTGAACTAGTCAAAAGTGGTCTTCTTCCCCTCACTCTTCACAATGGCAGCAGATGCCCTGGGGGCATTCATATGAGCACTGCCGGGCGCGATGGTTCGCGGATCCACCTTGCGCTCCTGGAAGTTGTTCCTCGGAGTAAAAGGCTTCCCGCCTCTCTGCTGTCTTCCAAAGCCCCTCTGCTGGAAGCCGCCATCGCCTTCACCAGCACCATCCTCAGACTTTTCCTTGCCAAAGCGCTTCTGGTATCGTGTAGTGGAGTCCTCTGCAAATTCGCAGCGCAAGTCGCGTCCGAGGAGCTTGTTGAGTCTGAACTTGCGCTTCTTCGACTTCTCGTCTCCTTGTTCCTCTTCCTCCTCGTCGTTGGTCTGTGACTTCTTGGACGTAGGGTCTTTCTTGTACACATATCCCTTTACTGCCGCGGTAGCGCCATCCAGCTCCTCGAATGTGACCCAAGCAAAACCCTTACACTTCCCAGTGTCTTCGAAAGTGGCCATGTGAATATTCTCGACCGCCCCGCACGGCGCGAAATGCGCTGTGAGGTCTTCTTTTGTTGTCTCAAAGCCCAGATTCCCCACGAAAATTTTCTTGCTCGGGGCTTTCTCTCGCTTGCCATGTGCTTCTCTCCCTGCGGCGTCTCCATCGACTTGTTCCTGCTTAGGCTTATCCGGCCGCCCCTCGAAGTTCTTGGAGTTCTTGATGAGGAGCGGGCGACGGTCCATGCGCGTTTCTGTCAAGGCGATGGCGCTGTACATAGCCAATTGCGTGGAGAAATCGACGTACGCGAAGCCCTTGTTTTGGGGCTTTGCGTCTGTCCAGTTCGGTCGCGGCGGTGCTTTAGGGGCTGGCATGTGTATTCTTGTGATCTCCTCGTCCTTGATTTCTGCATTTTCGGTCAAAAAAGTGCGGAGAGACTCTTTTGTGGCAGACCAGGGAAGATTGCCGATCCAGACGCTGAAGTCGGAGCGCTTTTGTTCGTTGTTTTCTGTCTTCTCGTCCGAGCCGTCGGCGGCGTCGGTGGATGTGGTGGCAGGTGCGGTTTTCGCTTTTTTAGCTTTGCGGGCGGCTTTCTTGGAGGCGGGTTCGGGGAGGGAGACGTCGATTTCGATTTCATCGGGGAGAATTTCACGTTTGCGCTTTTTGGAGGCCTTCTTGTCTTCATCTTCTACCTCAACATCGCTGCTTTCTTCCTCCTTCACCACTTCAGCTTTGCGCTTCTTCTCCTTCTTGTCCTTCTTCTGGCGCTTTTCTTTCTTAGGCACGGCGATTGCCTCAGAGTCGGAGCTGGAGTGCATTTCTGCGGCGTTAGACATGGTTGCGGTGCTTGAGCGTGGAGCTACAGGCGTCTCGAAGATTTGCATGTAGAGTTCGGTGTGGAAAATAAACTGAGGCTAGGTTAGTGCAATCGATAACTGGAGGCTTGGCAGGCACGGGGTGGCTCCACGGGCGGGCCGCGGTAGCCTCTCACGCCTCTTACCTCTTACTCAGTGTGAGTTCTCATTGCAACGTGCATCACATTGATGAAACTTCTTGCATATGCTTAATGTTTGTATTATCGGTAACATGATCGTGTTCCTTTATCCTCGACCTTAGGTTACATGGAAAATGCTTTCTCCATAGCTGTCGAGCAGGTTAGTAATCGCATCCGCGTCCGGACACTCCTCACGCAAGCTCTGAGAGCTCCTATCAAGACAGCAGCATGCCTCACTGTCACCGTGTCTCTGCTTCTTGGCCCTGCGGTTTTCGACATAGATGGCAAAACCTGCAGGTCAACCTCGAAAGTCTGCATCGCCCCAAACGCACTCGGCACTACAATAGTACCCGCCCTGAGGTCAAAATCGATCTGACTCCGTGAAGATGAATCGATGTAACGAGCGGATTGATACAAAAGTCCCGAAAGATCTTCGTTCGTAAGCATCAAAATGCCCACCATGATGTTGACGTCAGGGACTTCGTGCAGCATCTGCTTGAGCACGAGCTCGAGCCCGAACAAGGCTATTGAACTAGTAGGCCCGGGTGTTTTCTTAAGTATTGGCTCGGCGGCTCGCGGGAATTTTGTGCGCTCGTCAGCGGAGAGGCCGAGTTTCTGGATGCCATCTGATAGACGACCGGAAATGTGCACTGCTCGCGCGGAAATGCCACAAAGCATATTCACTACCAGAGAGCTTTTCCCCATTCTCCGTGTTAGATACCCGTGTGGATGCCAGTCCACGTGGAACAGCGCATATACCACCTTCTATGCATCTCCACGACGCATGTAGTTGTCGCCCTCATCAGGACGACGAAACTCTTGTTTGCCGGATTGTACGTTGATCCAGATACGTCCTCCAGCTCAGAGTACATCTTGCTGTCAATACGGACCCGGTCCAGGACATAGAACTTATCTTTCTCGAGGTCAATATTGACGCTCTCTACGTCGCTATCGTCTTCAGGATTCAATATATTCACGTAGGGCCCGATACCGAGGGGCGGAAACCCTTCGCCTTTAAGTACCAAACTTGAGAGAGGCAGTGTATCGTCGGGGAGGACGAGAGATTGGTCTGTTAAATCGGTGAGATCTATAGAAAATGCCACACGATAAATGCCAGCATACTGGCCTAAAGAGGCCGCTCTGTTGAAGGTGATCGTGCCCAGAAGGCCATGAAGCTTGATAAGCATATCATCTCTTGCGATTGATCCCTCCAACCGCGGCGTGGTTGTATTGCGTCTCAAGAGCCTTTCAAGCCTTTGCAGATCCGCACGCTGCCCAACAGAACTCCTCTTCTTCATTGTACTCGCAGGTCTTTTGATCTTCTGGCTACTGAATCTCCCGTAATTGTGCCATCAGCTTCGTACTTGAAGTTGGCCTTACATTTCGTGGAACTGCAATGCGCGCCCCTTGGATCCCGCTCTCCACTTGCGCTCGATATTCTTCGGTTCAAGCATCAGTAAAGGAGCGAGTAGCAGAGTGACTCAAGGTCAGCCATTTGTCAGCCGATTTGTGGTACAGTCCGAGGGAAGCACGAAAGCTTGCAAAAGTGGTACAGCGTTTATTGGCTGAGCGTGTGTCCGTAGTTCGTCGTGCACAGTATCCGCATATGTAGAATGGGTCCAATATGCATCACTTGATGGGTTCGGGTGTCCCAAGGTGCCTAGCAGTGGGCGTGCTCCGGTATGTGCAGCCGACAGGAGGGAGCGGCGAAAGAATAGACAACACACAGCCAAACGAACCGCGTATATGCTAGCATCGTTCACTGTGCATCCTGGTGTTGTGGTCGCGTCACCAAAGCACTGGTCTCTATTGCGTACCTAGGTAGCGCGTTACACGCTTGTCCGGATCGCCTCACTTGCAGCTGCCTGTTCAGCCGCGCTATACACAGGAAGCCAGCAATATCTAGGTCAACAGCAGAGCAAGAGACTGTACTGCCTGTTCAGCATCACCAGCAATCTTTTTAGCTGCCTCCCCGCCGCTGACGACGCAATTCGTAGCCTGGGTGGCGTTCCGGCAACGAGGCGCGCGTGAGAGCATCGAGCACGTCCCCGCAATCCACTATCGCTCTAGCGCGCAGGCAGCTACTCCAGCGACCTCATCCACTCCCCCATCGCCCCCTCCCGCCTGCCTTCCTTCCACCGTCCACCTTCAGTGTTTGGGACAGCCCGTGCCAGCATCTCAACAGCGCCCTCTTCGTGTGTTCTCTGACACGACGAGCTGCACCACTTCCTCAACACCTCTCTCACCCGCTTGCTGAGCGTTACGTCGCTGCCAGCCTGACTCGCAGCTGCCCGCTATGGCGACCAACGTCCCGGTGACGCTGGACACGCTGATCGTCGTCAAGATACAGCTCCAGGGCGCCACCCGCCGCTTCAAGGTCCCTCTTCGTGACCTCGGTGCGAATGTCTTCCCCGACAAGGTGCGTTGTGATGCTGCTGCTGCTGCTGCTTACGCGGGCGATCGGCAGCCTGGCCGTGCCACCCGCCGAGCTTACAGACAGCTCCATAGAGCTTCAATACAACGAGATAGACACTAACATAGTCGTGAGAGTAGCTCCGCCATCTCCTGCAGGTCCATCCAGGCCAGGAGGTCATCTTCGAGCGCTATTCCGACAGCGCCGGCGCCTACGTCACCCTTGATGCCAACAAGCCCCAGGTCTACAAGACGCTCTTCCGCGCTGCTAAAGCGAAGCTCAAGCTGCGTCTCCGTGCAACCATCCCAGGCCAGGAGAGCGAGCCCGCTGCCGCTGCTCCGCCTGCCCCGGTGCAGCAGCCGCTTTCCACCCCGCCCAGCTCGCTCCACCGCATGAGCGCCGAAACTCTTTCACCTCCGCGTGCTGAGCCTACACTACCATCGCCGCTCATTGCCCACTCTCAGCCGCTTTTCTCTTCGCCGCCACAACCCGCTCCGAAGGCGGCCGCTCAGACTAGCCCTGTCTCTCCGCTGGTAGCTGACGCTGAGGTCAAGGGCGAGGCCCCTGTACCTCGTCCCTTCGTCGCAACCCAGCCGCAGCTCACTGCCCGCCAGAGTAAGGCTCAAGAACTCATTGAGCATCTTCAGAACCAAGGACTAAAAGAAAACTTAGGCTTCTTCAGCAGTCTTGCAGCTGGCTCGCGCATCCCTGATCTGGCCATTCGTCCCAAGATGGAGAACGTGCAAACCTCCTGGGTCGTCTACTGCAACAACTGCAACATGGCCATGGAAGATGAGCACTATCACTGCAGCATCTGCGATCACGGCGACTACGATCTGTGCCCATCGTGCGTCGAATCTGGCATTCACTGCCCGGGCTCTGGCCACTGGATGGTCAAGCGCTTCGTCAAGAACGGAAGCGTCGTCAACAGCAACACTGAGCGCTTGACTCCTAGGAAGTCTCAAGTAGAGAAGGAAATGCCAGGAGCCTTCACCGAGGAGAAGCAATCCGTGCCTGAAGTGGTTGAGAAGCGGGAGGCCGATGAGCCCACCCGCACCTGCAACTGTTGCGTCCAGAGTAAGTCATCAAATCAATTTGACTCATCCAGACATCTGACCCCCTCAGTCCTCCACGAGCGTGAGTTCGTTACGTGCACCGCATGCGACGACTATGATCTTTGCCTGCAGTGCCACATCGACAACAAGCATGGCCACCACCCCGGCCATACTCTCAAGGCTGCTACTGAGCAAACTTCCCTGCCCGCTCTTGCCGATTTCTTGTGCAATGCTGGCCGCAACGTCCGCCACTCCGCCGTCTGCGATGGCTGCGAGAAGTTCATCTACGGCGTGCGCCATAAGTGCTTGAATTGCCCCGACTGGGATTTCTGCTCCGAGTGCATTAAGAGCGCTAAGTTCATTCACCCTGCACACCGCTTCGTGCCCATCTACGAGCCTTTGGCTGAGCCGGTGAGCAGCGCTAACCGCCACTACGGCATCTACTGCGATGGTCCGCTCTGCAAGGATAGAGAGAGCATATCCTACATTGAGGGTGTTCGTTACAAGTGTGCTGTCTGCCATGACACCGACTTCTGCGCCAATTGCGAGGCCCACCCCTCCAATAGGCATAACCACACTCATCCTTTGATCAAGTTCAAGCGTCCTGTACGCAGCGTTAATGTCACCACCTTGAATGAGGACAAGGATGGCACATCGATCACTCGGGTTGGCGACCGGGAGCCTGCTAGGCGGTCAACTTCAACCGAGACTGTTTCAGCCTCCCCTTCCAATGCCGCTACCCAGGTCCAGACCATCGTTGATGTGAAGCCAACCGAGGAGCCTCAGCCTAAGACGACCAAGGACAAGATTGAGATCCGTGACCTTCTCTCCGAGCCCGTCCAGGAGAAGATCACTGTTACTACTCCTATTCCTGCGAATGAGACTCAAAAGGAGGTTGAGTCATTAGTGGAGCTTGACGCCCACTTTGTCCGTGATTCTATTGCTGACGGTACCAAAGTTTGCTCTGGTTTCCAATTCGTCCAAATCTGGACACTCCGCAACCCTGGTCCCAACTCGTGGCCCGCTGGTTGCAGCGTGCGCCACGTCGGCGGCGACAACATGCTCGATCTTGACAACACGCGTGCTTTGAGCCAGAGCGAGCTTGCAGAGGCTAGCGAGAGCAATGTTATCGGCCGTACCGTGGCTCCTGGTGAGGAGGTGGCTTTCCGCATTGTCCTGAAGGCGCCGATCCGCGAAGGAACTGCCATTTCGTACTGGCGTCTCAAGACCGCCGAGGGCATGCCATTCGGCCACCGCCTCTGGTGCGACATTCAGGTCACCAGCCCGCCCGCTCCTGCCTCTCCGCTTGCGCAGGCCCCAGTTGAGGCTGAGGCTTCCACATCACCCATCTCCCGTAGACCTGGGACCGCCCAACAGCAAGAAGCACTGGAGCGTCTGAACAGAATGCACCAGAAAATGAACGGGAAGGAGGCGCTAGCCAAGCTTGAGGCAGAGCGTATGCTCCGCATCCAAAAGGTCCGCAAGGCTGCTGTCGAGCGTGTAATGGAGGCTCGTCGTAGGGAGCAGGAGGCGGCTATCGCCCGCCTTTACGCTGTCAGCGCGCAAGACAAGACCCCCGAGGTGTCCATCAAGAACGAGACTGCTGAACTTCCCGCCGAGAAAGAGGTCACTGAAAACGCCGTCGAGAAGGAGGCTGAAAAGGTACCGGAGGTTGCACCCCACTCAGGCATGATCTTCCCTCAGCTTGACAAAGAGTCACCTGCCTCCAGCACACACGAGGCTGTGGCCGCTCCGGCCGAAGCTTCACGCCGCGCTAGCGTCACAACTGCTACTGTATCCGACGAGGAGTTCTTCGAGGATGCCGAGAGCATTGAGATCATCTCTGACGATGATGACGATGGTTTCATGACAGACGAGGAGTACGATATTCTGGAGTCGGCTGACGAGAGCTTCCCGTGAGCTAGCCAGCTTGGAAATGGCTCTTGACTAAAACGGTACGCTGGTAGTAGACCGAATAGTCTACTGAACTGCACATGTCACCAGTACCGATTTGTATCACCGGGCATTCAACGCCCCTTCATGGAGTTTCTCGGTTCAAATGGATATCATCGCGGGATCAAGGGGAGTTAAGGCTTGGTTAAGGTACCGCACCACACTCCTTCACGGCGACACTGCCTTACCTGGTCTGGAGTAGGGTGTTCCCTGCTGGCAGAACCATGGCATCAGGCATAATGGTGTGCGACTATGTATTTGAAATTCTTCCCTTTTTGGCTTCCGATAGGACTAGTATGAATGAGAATGCCATTTCTTTGAACACATGCTTGTCTCGAGTGGAATGGCTCCTCGAAAGGGCAGAATGGCCCACTTGTTGTGGCGCTATCGATGCGTCCAGCCCCCGGGACGACAGAAGGGTTCCCGAATGCAACAGCTGATAGATATTTCGTGTTACACATACTTGTTCCTTTCTACTCACGCATGCACGCATAACATCTGCCTACCTTTCTCGTCCGTCCGTACACACGTCTGCGCGCTTCATCAATGGACAAACCTAAAATCCAACCTCTTCATCCCCTCATCCTTTGTACTAACAACGTAATCCTCCTGCTCTGCCTTCGTCATCGCAATCCACTGCCGATCCCTAACCTTATTCCTCCAAACGTAGAAAGCCTTGACAAAGAAGAACAAGAAGATATTAAAGCTGCAAATGGCTAGCAGAATCTTATTCCCGCGGCGGTACAGCGGCTGGTCGTCGTCGCGGTAGATGTTACTCGCGATGATACTCCCCGACTGCACAAACATGTTGTAAAACGCCGCGCTGACGGCGCGCGTACGTACAGAATTGGAGTTTGTAGCGTTCCAGCCGACGAGGATGGCGTGGCAGTAGGGGTACGAGAGGAGGCCTGACAGGAGGGCGTAGCGCACCCAGGGATTTGCACTTGCAGGCAGCGTGACTAGGGCTACTAGCCAGGGGAAGATCCAAATATTAGAGAGGCTGGATACTATGGCGCGTTCTTTTAGCTTTTTGGAGATCCAGGTTAGGATGAGGAGTTGTACTGCGAAGAGGAACTGCGAGGGGATGAGGAGCATGTTTGCTTCGAAGGTGGTGAAGCCGAGTTGGCGCAGGATGTAGGAGAGGTAGGTGCTTGGTGGGGAAGGGGGGATGTAAGCCATAAGGCCGATGAGGTAGAGGGGCCATTGTTCCCAGTCGGTGATGGTCTTCCAGAGGAGGCGGGGGGAGACGCCGGTGCGGTTGTTCATGTCCCCTTTGGAGGGGTCGTCGCGGAGGATGCGGTTGACGAGGATGTATTCTTCGTGTTCGGAGAACCAGCCGTTCTTCCCGCGGAACCAGTTTGCGGTTTGGGTGGCGCCGGCGGGCATGAGGACATAGGAGAATACGCCGATGACGAAGGTTAGGATGCCCTCTATTAGGAATCTATCCGAGGTCGGTGAGCGCAGTATATGCAGAATTGCGGAGACACATACAGATATTGCCAGCCACCCCAGCCGTGAAGCCCTCGCATTTGTAGAATGCCGGCAGCCATCAACGAGCCGACGATGTTGCAAAAGCTCAAAGCTGTCCAGAACCATGCCAAACGAGTCGGAAGCTCGTTGGACTTGAAGAAGTATGTGAGCCACAGGACGATGTCGCTGTAGATATCGTCAGTTAGTTTCAGTGCGCGAGTATTATGAATAGCCACTCACGGAATGAAGCCGCCCATCAAAAGGCCCAGAAGCGCACGGATGGCGAAGTATTGAGATTTGCTGGTGATACCGCATTGAGCAGCACTGACAAACGACCATGCGCAGATGATAGTTGGAATCCACCTGAAATACTCGCATCAGCGCTACTGCTGCCGTCCCGGTTGTATCTTATGCGGTAGAGCTCACCTGTCGGCTCCAAGTTTCTTACTGATCAGACCGCTAGGCAATTCGGCGAACAGGAACATAGCAAGGAAGATCTAAGCCAAAGTTAGTCATTGTTGGAATTTGAATCTAGGAAAACGCACGGTCTGTCCGTAATTGAAGTCATTTGTGTTCATGCCTGACGCTTTATTAATCCTGTAAGCCACAAGGACAATCGCTCTTCTCACCAAGATCCCCCAGCATGTTATCAGAAATCGCCCGATTGATGTTCTTGCGGTTCAGATCTAGCGAGACGAACATCATCCATGCCCATAGTGTGATTCTGAAGTCAAGCTGTTGGTGCTGTTAGCCATTACTCCTCCCTTATGGTCCAGCAATTCACCTTGCGAACGAGCTTCTTCTCTTCTTCCGCCGACCAAGTATAGCTCGGATCGAAGCGGTGGCGTCCCTCATACTGCGCCGTTTCGTAGATTTCACGCCAGTACTGCGTGGTCACACGGTCGCTAAACGGGTGGTCATCGTAAGAGCCGTGCTCTGGACGTTTTTGCTTTTCGCTCTGGGAAGAACCCGACTCCGCGGTTTGGGCACTGGGTACCTGCGTCTGGTCGACATCAGAAGCAGCCATAACCGTCGCGGCAGCGAATCGAGGATGTCGTTAAGTAACACTTTGCGAACAGCAAGGCGAAGGGTCCACCTGACCAGGATACTGAAGTGTGTATCTGCGACTGCCTCGGGGACCTTTTAAACAACCGGAGGTACTCTCGAACATTTCTTGAGCCAAGCATGGTGCAACAATGCTCTTGACTGACAACATCCCGAGAGAAGAACAGGAGAGGGAAAGAGATACTGCCAAGGGCGAGCCTCAGAACCACGCTCTTCACCTGTTTTGCGGTCGACAAGAGACGTTCCTATGCTCATTGGAGGAAGGTCGGCGCCCTCCACTCATTCGGCAAGTGCGAGATGTCAGTTATCCCGGAAACGAGCGGGAGATTTTGTAGCGCTTGTGCAATGTGCTTGGCTGCGTGTCAATCGTGAAGTTCATTAAAGCATTGGCACGTAGGTCCACGGTTTCTCATGGCGAATTATGCCACGACCAAGGTCTTGAAGCCAAGCTGTGCTAAAACTCTGGGACCGGGTCGGTAATCGGACCGGCAGCAGAACGAGTGCACAGACTATGGGGTTGACATAGCGGGTACGGTACTGTACAAGACCTACGAAGATTCTGCTGAGGCGAATTAATAGATCGTTGACCTTGCGGAGGAGTGGCATAATCCTTTGGGAAATTGCTCCAAAGCTCGTTCGTCGATTTAATCACTAGATAAGGATGAAAAGTATACCGGATGGTATAATTGAGCTCGATCTACCTGCGATACCGAACATACCCTGCGGGCACGTCAGTCCTAGGAGGATTGCGTCAGGCATGGCAGCTTGGCTTTTCCCCATCAAACCCACACAGCCTGCAATAGCACATATTTAATATTCTGGAAGAGAGGCGCAGCTGAAGGCGTTGTTTCCGCAAGCTTAGCACGTGAGTTGACAGATGTTGTGGAGGATAGCACTGATGTCGTCAACGGCAGCCAATCAAAAGTTTAAAAAAGCGGATTACCGCGCGGGAATGATTCAGGCGCTGTGAGCGATGGAAACCATTGTAGATAGTGCAGTAAAAGCTAAACGAGAAGAGCAATTGTACTTCGGAGATTGAAGGTAAGCATGGACTGCTGAGGTAAGGAGTTCTGTGTATGTAGGGACAGCGTAGCTCCTTAAACAAAATGATCCATTTATTGATCTTGCAAATGGAAACCATGACCGTAATGGTCACACGACGGCAGAAATCCATACGTAGAACAAATGAGTACAAATAGGGTATCTCGCACTATCAACACCATTCAAGGACTAGAACACCAGGCTATGCAATACAGAACGACCCGTCACCCAATATGGCTTACATCACCAAAACCCACCCTTCCCTTCCCTCTACTACCTCCCTGCACAAACCCACTCTCCCTAAGCATACCCCCAAAGCTCCTCACTCCACCCAGTCCGGCCACAGGAACGTCTCTCAACCCCGCAGCAGGCGGCGCGCTCATGGCGCCCAGTCTTTTCTGAGGACTCGTCTGGATCTCAGACCGCTTGTTCTGTATGACGGAGCGCTTGCTGGGCGTCTTCAAGTACCCGGCTCGCAGGTGCGGCGGCATGGGCGTGGACGTTGCGTCTGGGCCCCCGAAATCAGACTCTAGATCCTCGTGTATAGCCGGTGGGGCTGGACGGCGGAGAGCAGAGCGTAGAATAGAGTTTGGTATGGGGTATGTGCGAGGGCGTGTAGGTGTTGGTCTGGCAGAGGATGGGGGAACTCGCGGTGGTGGTTTGGTGGGCTGAGGTGGTCGATTTTGCGGGGAGATTGAGAAGGACAGATCGAGTGCGGATTGGTCGAATTCGGTCCAGCCTTCCAGACGGCGGGTCTCGTCGCCTGCGTCGTCGTCGAGATGATGGTCCGTATCTTCGAATGCGGCGTTGGCTTCGTGGTTACCATGGTGCTCGTGCTGGTTGTCGTTGTGACGACCTTGATGAGAGCGAGAGGTTGGCGTCGGACTGACCGGGCGAGCAGCAAGACGAGAGAGTGTCTGCTGGTGCCAGAATCTGATCATGGCAGTGACATGCTGCCTGAAGTGCCGCTCGTGCAAGGCAGCTGCACTGCTGTTCCGCAACCTAATTTCCCAGCCTTCCCATTCCAGCTTCTTGAGGAGAGTGGCCGCAGCGACCTCGACGCCAATCTGGCGGAAGGCGACCGCTTGAGATTCCATATTGTGCAAAGCTTCCATACGCCTTCTCAGAGTCGCGAAACAGCGAGCTTGTGTCTTGATATCGTAGTGCATCTCTGCTTGCACAGTCTGTACTTGTTCGGCGGCAGTTCGGTCTCGCCAGTGCGCAAACAGGGCCTGTGAATCCTGCACAGTACGAGCATATACTATCGCATCTGCCTGTTGGTGCTGCTCCGCGATGACATTCGCCTTCTCTCTCCACACACCAAACGTTCTTCTCACAAGATTCAACTTGACAGTCCGCCGCATGTGCGCATACGCCTCGCGTCTCCGATTCCTCCTCGCATGCTGGGTAGCATCTCTCCACTTCTTCAGTGTATGCGTAGTCAAAACATAGAACTGCGCAGCTTCAGCTCGTTTGTCCAATTGCTGGAAGTGGTCGTGCTTGTCTAAGAGCTGTTCAAACACGCGCTGTTTCAAAATCATGTTGTATTTCGCGGTCATCGCGGCTTCTTCGGCGCGTTTCTCCGCTGTCGTTGCCTCTATCTTGTGAAGACAGGTCCGTAAAAGTTGGATGCGCTTGAACTGGGCGAGTCGTGCTTCCGCAGCAGCAAGTCTGTTTTCTCGATCGTTTCTGATCTGAACTAGTTCGTTCCTTTTCGTGAACCATGTGGAGAAGCAGTTCTCCTTCAGCGAGCGGTCATGAACGCGTTGAAACAACGACACTCTGGAAGCTAGTGTCCATTTGTACATGTTTTCGATCAGCACGCGGTCATTGATGCGCTCTTCCAGCGCTTTGATACGCAGGCGATCGTTCCAGGCAGTCCAGGCATTACGTAGTATACGCATCCGGTCCATGTTCCTCGCTCGCCGAGAGAGTTCCGCGGTGTGCTGCCATGTCCGTAAGGTCGATCCAAGAAGATCTGCATCGCGCGTTTTTTGGATTGCGATGAGCAAAGGAGTGAAACGGACATGTCTTTGGACAGCTGCCAAAGCCTTCTTAAGGATGCTCTGCCTTCGGTACTCTTCGGCCTGCGGTTCCAGCGCTCGGACTGTAGCGGTCTTCTGCCGCCAGACTTCCATCGACTTGCGCTGTACCTGCTGATCTCGACGGTTAGTAGCCCAAGCATCTCGCTCAGTCCACATAGCTGCAGCTTCATGCCATTGTTGAAATGTAGCTCTCTTCAAGCGTGGATCTAAGCGTGCGTTATGCCACGCCGGGGCCGCGATCTCGCAGAACTTGAAGAACCAATCTTTGTAGTACTTGCGCTGCAAATTGTCATCGTACACCTGTACCGCTTGCTGTTGTCTTTGACGGACTTCCGCCGTCCGCCGGCGCCACTTATGCAAGAACGTACCCAGGACAAAATGCTGTATCTTCAGCTCATTGACTGCGGTTATTTCGCGCCACCCGTTGAAGAAGCGCGTACGCAGGATGTGGCGGCGCGCGACTGAAGTGCGTTGCACCTCATCCTCGGCGCTCCTAGCCCAATGGGTAAAAGCTTTGGTGAGCAGGAAGAGATTTCGAGCTTTAGCTGCGCGGTCTTCGAGGCGAATGAAGAAGTGATCGGTGTCGCGGAGTGAGCGTCTGTTCTGGGCTTCGCGGAGAAGTTCACCCTTCACGTTCCGGAACTGAATGCAACTATCATGTCGCACTGCAGCGGCCATCATTTGCTCGTTGCGCTCAATCTGATCTTGCGTCCGCTCCCGCCATTTTCGTATGCAAGATCTCACAAGTGAGTGTAGACGCTGCTGCTCAAGGTCTTCGGCATCGTCCATTAAGCGTGTGTCGGAAGGTTGGAAAGGTTCGGGTTCCCAGTGATGGTTCGGTCTCTGATGTCCATCCGGTATGGGCGCATTGATTCCCGGTATGTATATGTTCGAGTGGTCAAAATCAGCGCTTTCGCCCGACTGGTCGCCATCTAGATCGGACTCTTCAAGATAGGCAGTGCCTGTAATCCCGTCTCTTTGCCTACCGTCCCTTTCGCGGTACGAGAGCGGTGCGCCGGGCCTATATCCAGATTTCGACTGCTGTGAGACCAGTGGTTCGCTCTTAGGCGCAAGTGACTTATTTCCGTTCTGCTGAGACAGTCGGACTCGAGGTCGCACTTGCGATTCCAGATCTGTCGCCGAACGAGACCTTCTCCTCTGCCACCACGACCCAATGTCGGAATGACCGGTCGCCTCGCTCGATGGTCTCGGGCGCAACGGCAACCGGCGAGCAACATCCAATGTACCCGCAACTTTGTCCGCGCTACCATCCAACAAAGAATCCAGGCTTCCGCGCCGTACAGGAGCGGGTGTTGGTGCTTGCGTTGCCGTTGATAGTCCCTCCAATTGACTTGTAAACTCGAATCCTTCTCCTTCCTCATCGTACTCCAGATCAAAGCCAATATCGCCCATGACGCGCTTGAATCGTTGCACCAGTCCTTCATCTTCTCTGGCTTCTCTCGCCAAACGCGCTATGATCTGGAGCGGTACATTGTCATCCTCGATCTCGATGCCGTGTTCGCGGAGCACCTCTTCGTAGACATCAAATAACGTGTAAGAGGAGGCATTTAAGTCGGGCGCCGATCGTGCGCGTTCGATTACTTCGTAGAGTAGAATAATAGCTGCGTCGCAGATTAGAATTTTCTCAAGAACACGGCAGGATTTGGAAAAGTACCTCCTTCCGAGACATCATCCTTGTTCAATTGCAAAGCCTCGTTCCCGCCTCCGTTCATGGAGGGCGGCATTCGTGTTCCTTTCTCTGTCGTCGACCGCGGCGCGTAAACGAGTACATGCCCAAATCAAAGTGAAAAGTCAAGTAGCAAAAAGTCGAGAGGTGAAGCAAGAGGACGGTGAGGAGGAATGGCGTGCGCCAATACTAAACATTACAGGCGGTAAGAAGAGGAGCGATGAAAGCGGGTGCGCGTTGGCAGTGAATGAACGCGCGCCGGTCTTTGTTTGGCGGGCATTATGCGGTGGTTGGTCGCGCTTGCGCGGAACGGCGCGCCAAGAATGTCCGTGCACGCAGCTGTCTTGACCTCATCGCGAAACACTCGCCGGCAGCGTGCGCTCGTGAAACATAATAATCATGCCAGGACGGACACGGCCAATCGACAAGCTCGCTACGGCCGTTGGAAAGTGCTCGAAAGAGGTATGTGTACAAATGAAATTACCATGTCAAAGAGGCTCATAATGGGTGTAGAGTGCGGTGTATGGCAAGTGCATATTGGCCGATTACAACAATGTGCACAAGGATAAATGCGCTGCGGAGTTTATGAAGCTGAAAGACTGCTATCTAGTAAGATTCTATACTATCGCTCCTTTCGTGTACTGACGACAACCAGGCCGCCTACAAAAAGCGATGACACAGTGGCAAGGATCCATCTAAACTTCGAAGTCATGGATACCCAATTATCCATAAATATATCATAGTTTTATAGACTGTGTACATAATGAGAATCTGTACGTCAATCATGCAAAAGCATCAAGCAGACCAGAACAGGAGACTGACATGTGGAAGAAATTAACTATAAATTTCGCTTGTTCATTGGTCTATCTATCATGTCTCACGTCCACACGTCACAAATGATCCGCGAATTTTCCAAGACGCCCAAAAAGGTTGGTTCATCTCGCTCTTATAGCTTGATCAACCTTAGCAGGAAAGTTGCTTTCTGCAGCTCCTGTTCCTCTTGCACAATGACTGTCTCGTCGTCCTTCTCCGGGATCTTGCCCTCCAGCTCAGTGATGACATGCTTGTCCACATTCCTCCTCAAACTCTTTTCGAAGAGCGCACCTTGGCTCTCAAAGCAAGCTTCAATGCCAACGTTCTCAGGGTCTGAAAGCACGCGGTACTCCATGCCGACATCATCCGTGGGCACCAAGTTAGCCTTCTTGCGGAGATCCTGCACACGGCGGATGATCTCACGAGCTAGGCCCTCTTGCTCAAGTTCGGGATAGCTGGCAACATCGAGGATGATGAGCACGTCGTCATCGGTGTTGAACTCCTGGTTCTTGCTGCTCTCATCCTTGGCGAGACCGCGCTTGACCATGAGATCCTCCTTCTCGACCTTGATGCCGTCCACCAGCATCTCGCCATTCTTGATGAAGTCCTTGATCTGCTGACTCGTCAAGTTCGGCAATGCCTTCTTCACCTTGACAGCATCCTTCTTGAGCTTCTTTCCAAGAACCGAGAAGTCTGCCGATGCAGAGTACTGCACGTGGTACTTCTCCTCGTCGCTAGAGAAGATAATATCACGTACATTCAGCTCGTCACTGATGTAGTTGTTCTTCTCCAATGCCCTCAAGTCGTCAAGGTACTCTGGATCTGGGTGAATGATGACAAGCGTCTTTAGCGGGGTCTTTAATCCCTTATTCGCACGGTCTCGGCAGATGCGGCCCAGGTCGATTACGGCTTGCATGCGCTTGACTTGTCGCTCTACCACCTCATCGAACAGCTCCTCACGGACTTCGGGGTAAGGAAGGAAATGGATACTGCGGTCATCCTCTGCCCGGAGCTCTTTAGGGATGTGTGGCAGGAGGCGCAGATAGATGTTCTCGGTAAGGAAGGGAGTAAAAGGCGCAAGTCCACGGCAGAGGGTATAAAGGACTTCGAAAAGGGAGTTGAGGGCGTGCTTGGTGTCTTCGACGCCAGACTCGCCTTTTAGCCGACGGCGGTTGATGCGGATGTACCAATTTGTGGTATCGTCGATAAGCTATGCATGTCAGTGGGGAAACTTCGAAGCTGTCTAATTACTTACTTTGAGTAACCGCGGAACGACGGTGTACAATCGGTACGCCGCCATCTCTTCGTTAACGAATTTCAATAGAGACTGACATGAGGCCAGGATCCACCGATCCATGACGTTCGTGTTGGTCTTCCCTGCTGAGGGGTCAAACACGAAATCTAGATCCGCTACCTTCTTCAGTAGCGCTGCCTGCTGCTCGAAGAACTGGTAGCTGTTCCAGAGCGGAAGCAGCACCTTCGATACAATTTCCTTGACCCCTGCCTCCTTAAATCGGAGCGTCTCAGCGCGTACTACAGGCGAATTAATGAGGTATAACCGGAGCGCATCGGATCCGTAGTTGTTCATGATGAGCATAGGGTCAGGGTAGTTCTTTAGGCGCTTTGACATCTTCTTCCCGTCTTCTGCAAGTACGATACCGTTCACGACACAATTTTTGAAAGGCAGTTTGCCGAACAGAAGCGTACCAAGGACAGTCAGAGTATAGAACCATCCACGCGTCTGGTCCAGTCCTTCGGCAATGAAATCACCGGGGAAGGACTTCTCGAACTGCTCAACGTTCTCAAAGGGGTAGTGAGCACTTGAGTAAGGCATAGAACCTGACTCGAACCAGCAGTCAAAGACTTCAGGGCTTCTCCGTAGCACACCCTTGCCTTGTTGGCTGGGAATGGTGATATCGTCGATCTTGTCACGATGGATGTCGGTGATTTCACCCTCGTATCCGCTCAACTTCTTCAGTTCTTCAACGCTTCCAACGCACACAATCTCCTTCAGATCGTCGCTGACCCACAGAGGAAGCGGGGTACCCCAGAAGCGGTTACGTGACACAGCCCAATCGGGCGAGCTCTGGATCCAGTTGGCGAAACGCTTCTCCTTCACGAAGGAAGGCACCCAGTGCGAACCTTCAATGTTCTTCAACATCTGGGGGATGCTGTCCTGAATACGGACGAACCACGACGGAACCGCTCGGTAAATCAGAGGGGTATCAGAGCGCCAGCAGAATGGGTAACTATGCATGAGTTGTGAGTCTACGACTAACCGGCCGGTTCCTTTCAGGTGCTTGATAATGTTCTTGTCGGCAGCCTTCACATGTTGGCCTTCGAAATGCGAAACAGCGGAGGTGAAGCAGCCGGCATCGTCCACAGGGTTTACGGGTGGGCGGTTCTGGTCGATGATGCCGTTCTCAACGGCCACTTTGTAATCCTCCTCACCGTAGGCGGGTGCTTGGTGTACAATACCCGTACCACTGTCCGCCGTCACGTACGTGGCATTCACAACCTTGAATCCGTAATTCTTGAACTCTTCGTAGAAGTAGTCGAACAGTGGCTCGTACTTCCAGCCCAGCATGTCTTTGCCCTTCAATTTCTCCACAATCTTGAATTTCGCCTTCTTCGGATCCTTGTACAGCGTCCGAAGCAGAGCCTCTAATAGGATGTAGTGCTTCCCAGATGCCTCGTCATGGATCTTGATGTACTCGAAATCGGGATGTGTTGCAAGTCCGGTATTGGAAGGCAGCGTCCACGGGGTCGTAGTCCACGCGAGTAGGTGCGTATTCGGGTCGTCCAGCAATGGGAAAGAAACTACAACGGCTGGGTCTTGGACGTCCTTGTAGTTCTGCGATGCCTCGAAGTTGCTGAGCGGCGTGCACAACGCTGTGCTGTACGGCATGACCTTGAACCCCCGGTACACCACACCCTTGTCGAACAGCTGCTTGAAAACCCACCACTCGCTCTCCATGAAGCTCGTGTCCATGGTCTTGTAGTCGTTGTCGAAGTCGATCCAGCGGCCCAAGCGATCGATGGTGTGCCTCCACTCGGTCGCGTAGCGCATGACAATTGCGCGGCACTTTTCGTTGTACTTCGCAATACCGATCTCACGGACGGCATCGCGGCCAGACATGCCCATTTCCTTGTCGATCTCGTACTCAATGGGCACACCATGCGTGTCCCAACCGAACCGTCGCTCGACATATCGGCCTTTCATAGACCAGTAACGTGGAATAATGTCCTTGATAGTGGAGGCGAGAAGATGACCGTAATGTGGCATGCCGGTCGCGAAAGGCGGTCCATCTGCCAGAGTCAGACTTGAGAATGCTGTCGCGTGTAGGGGCGCTTACCGTAGAATGTGTAGGGCTGCTTTCCTTTTGACTATAGTCTGTTAGCACTACCAGAAGAAGATAGAGTGTGCGAGAGAAACTTCAACAGAGTACATGAACCTTCAATGAGACTTTGCCGACTGCTGCATGCTGCACGTCGACACAGTAACTCATATGCATGACTCAGGATGGAAGGAGCGACCACTTACCAGCTCGACTTGACGGAGGAAGGCGTCAATCTCCTTCCAGCGCGCGAGGATGCGCTCTTCCTCCTGGGGGAAGTTCATGGCTACTGTGTTGTCGTGTGCCTCTGTCGGCGTGGCGGGGTTGATGTTTTTCTGGAGTTGACTGTGCTAGTGGGCTGGTGGGGCAATTTTCCCTATCGATAGAGGACCTCTTGACTCATCCCTGTATCACTTTACACACACGCCCTACGATATACTCTGGGGTAAAATAATCCAGGACTTGACTTCCGTCCGCGATATCTCTTGTTGTCGTCTACCAGGATGCGGTAGATGCTGCTGCTTTTCGGCTTGGAGAGAGCCGTTGTCGAAAAGAGGCTTCCCCCTGAAGAAACTTCCTTTGGAATGCTGTCTACATGACCACTACATCTGAAGTTACAGCGGGAACGTCCTTTGAAGCAACATTGATGCAGAGGTGCACAATGGCGGCACCACATGTGTTAGCATGTTCCGGGTCTATGTAGCAATATCATACCAAGAGAAGCACTACCTTATCATTCGAATGCATGACCATTCGCTCAGGAGAGATGCAGACAATAGCTGACTGGGTGTAGGTTACCTTCCACACGAACAGAAATTCTGTGATATAGCCGTAGAGGCCGTAGGCGACTATGTTCCATTCACGAGCACGCCGTACAACAATCCTACCTATTGTCGGTTCGTTAGGTGCCCACTACGTTCTCACAGCACTGAGACCGACGGCAGCTGTTATGGCGCTAGTCTGGAATCTGCGATCTTCGACTTGTCTGGCGCGAACGGAACCTGAGGCAGTTTCTAAGAAAGGCGATCTCGGACGTACGCTTTGGGGCTACGGTGACATTCCGTGTAGTGATTACGCATGCGTGAAAGGTCGTATCGACGCGTCGACTGGAGCTACGAACATCGCAATATAATGGTTTTTGCAAACTATTGTCCTGGTGTTAGCGTCGACATCGAAAATTTGATCGTTGGAGGCCAGCCGACCGCAACGCCTTCAAAGCCTCCGCAATGTACGGACAGGGTCTCGGCGACGCCATTCGACGCCAAGTCAACGACAGATGTCAGTAATGATGCTGATAATCTACAAGAATGCGGAGTGTAACCGCTGCTGCAGGAACTAGTGCAGCGACTTTGACACGCGAATGCGGGATTTTGCTCTCCATGGGTTTAGTGCTGGTGCCCGCTCATCGCGAGTTGGTGAGGTCCTACGCGCTCTATGGGGCTTTTCGTTCCAAGCTGTTTCAGGGCCAAGACGCTGCAACACTCAACACTCGCATACACCGACTAGCCTCTTTGGAACAAGATGTATTCCGTATGGCTCAAATTCTCATGGTGTGAGTACTATATACCATGCAAAAGTACTCTTGGTCGCGAGAGAGATTGCATGGTTGTGTGCGTACCTTGAAATAGCCAATGTTTCTATGCGGATGGATAAGGCCGCAATTCGCCTACGAAGCTTTTCGGGGTTGCTTTTCATTGTGCGACACCTCGCGTGAGGTTGCCACGCAAGACATTTCCGGCTCCATTGCCGCCCGTTCGAGATGCGTTGATGGCGGAAAGTGAAACAGACTACAGGCCAAGACCGAAGCGAAAGCTTAGGCAGCGCCACCATGTCTTTCGCTGATGAAACGTGACAGGCCGCGACTCACACCACAACGCACAAGCCGACTGGTTTCCACGATGCTGGCCTCTGGTGGATGTTCGTCCGTGATACACAAGCCTCGTCATCCTTGCGAGTCGTAGCGACACGAACCCCTTCGTCTCCAACGAATTAGTCCTCTGGTTGCCGCCTACTTGCGACAGACGTCTGGGCACCGCGCCTAACAGTGCCTTGTTGCAGTGCCTGAGAAACGCAATGAGTAGGTTTCTGTCAAGTTTCAAGCACGCGTGGGCCGCGTAGGTGTTGACGAGGGCATCCAAACTTGGGGTCGGTATATATGGGGTCTGTACATCAACACCAGAGCATCATCAGCTCATCTTAGCTCATCAACAGCGACTACCTTCTCACCCTTCACTTCTTTTCACTTCCTCGGCCGGACCGACTTCACTTCTCATCTTTGCAGTGCAATCCTTTCTCCACTTCCCCAAACAGCCTTCAATATGCGTTTCCTCATCACCCTCCTCTTTGCGTTCGTCGCAACCGCCGCTGCATTCCCGGAATTCCACTTCCTCGAGGCGCGCAAGAACGGCAATGGCACTAAGAGCGAAGGTGGAAAGAAGAACGGCACTAGCAAGGGCAACTCTGTCAACAAGCAGTGCAAGCAGATGATGAAGATGGTTAAGATCACCGAGCTCGCCGCCAACCAGACCAAGCTCGATGCCCTCGTCTCTAAGGGCAAGTTGAACGAAACTGAGATCCAGGTCATCAAGGACAAGGCCGCAAACGCCACTACGACCCTCAAGACTCTCCAGGCCAACAGCACCCTCGTCGACGAGTGCAATGTCATCGCCGCGAACAAGATGGTCAAGTCAGAGTGCAAGGCCATGAAGAAGCTTGCTAAGACCGCCGCGCTTGCCACCAACCAGACTGCCATGGATGCCTTCGTCGCCAAGAAGAAGCTCAACGACACCCAGGTCACCAAGTTCAAGGACCAGATCACGAAGGCTCAGACTAAGCTCCAGGAGCTCATGTCTAACACTACTCTTACCGACCTGTGCGCCTCGCAGAAGTCGCAAAAGGGCTCTGACGACAGCGGTAGCTCCACCACCGGTGCGGCGGCTGAGTCTTCGTCTACGCCTGAACAAGCTACCGGCGCCGCCAGCTCCTTGACGCTGCAGACGGTCCCCTACGTCTTCGTCCCGGCTCTTGCTGGTCTCTTTGCTATTCTCTTGTAGATGAGCTATTGATAGTGCATCGTCTGCTCTGGATGGTTACACGCGCGATGCACGCACAGGTGTAATAGAGAAGGATCCACAATGGTCTCTGCAGTAGACCTGGGGAAGGGGGAGGAAACCGAGATGAGCTCGGTAAGATAGCAGGGCGATTTGGAGTGCTTGAAGGAAGAGAAGGTTTGGGCTGAGCACTCGTTCATGTATATTGAGTCTTAGATTTACCTTGCATATATACCCATCAGTCGTTACCGTGCTTCCCGCTCATCTACTGTGCTCTTTCATATCCACTGCGCTTTCTTGGCAACAATCTCTAGTTTGCAGTCGAATGGTCCAGGCAGAAGCGTCTGTCAGCCTCGGCTTGCGGAGCGGGGCAGTGGCGCTTCCTAGCATACGAGGCAATCTCGCCTAGGCTCCAGCAGGTTTATACAAACCATCGTTACTCTAGTACATCGTATGCTAAACAGGTCTTATGCTATACATCTGAATGCATGCCACATGAATTTTACTCGAACTTTAATCGACCGCTTACACGACATTCTCACCGACACCTACCTCCAGATCCTCCCCCAGTTTCTTCTCTCCAAATCCCTACAGGCTAAAAAGCGCTCCCTCGCAATCGATCGTGTGCTCGCGAAAGATGCGAAACTCCGCCTCCAGCAGTACAACGTCCTACCACTCGGCGATACTCTCGCCTTAAATGATGTCATCGAGGGTCTAAAAAGCAACCATGCTCGCATCACACTCACAGAAAAAGAACGTCTCGATTACAGACACGACGTATACCAAGCTGTTGAAACGTGCATCAAAATATTTGTAAAGGTCATCGATGAAAATGATGAGATAAGAGACGAAGCAGAGCGCGACAACGAACATTGGAAGTATCTGCTGCAGCGGTATACCTGTGAAGAAGGCATTTTAGACGAGCGAGCCGCGTGCGCGATCGAAGCGCTATGGGGCGATGAATCGATAAAGAACGCGTTCAAATCCGACGGTGATGCAGAATGGAAGGATTCAGGGTCGTACTTTTTCGATAATATCCTCAGAATATCGGGTCAGGAGTATATTCCTACCGAGGAAGATATAATCCACTCGCGGAAGGGCTTCCAAGGAGGCATCAGAGAACTGCATCTCAAGTGGCGCGATTTTACGCTGAACGTGCTGAATGTTCCGCGCAGAGGAGAGAGATGGAAATTTCAACATCAGTTTGACGCTATTCCGGTCGTTCTGTTTGTGGTTGATCTATGTAGGTACGATCAGGTTGATTCTGGACTTAATACGCTTGAGGGTATGATTTCGTTGTTTGAGCAGGTGGTGAACAGAGCACAGTGGCGTGACAGAACGTTTGTACTTTTCTTTAGTAATGTGAGTGGGTTTCAAAAGAAGCTGAGGAAGGTGGGATTTGGAGAGTATTTCGAGGACTTTGAGGGAGGAGGTGGAGGAGGAATGATTTTTGGGAGGGTGCTTGAGTATCTGGTGGGGAGGTTCAGGAAGGTCAATCGGAGCGGTGCGTGGGTGGGAGTGGAGTCTGGGAATCCGGGGGATGAAGAGGTTCTGAGAGTAATGGGAGATGCTGTGAGGGATAAGATAAGGGACCGTGGAAACGGAAAAGGATGAGTTGGAATTTGGAGATGCTTCGAGACTTGATTGGCTGTTGCTGTCACATACTAGTTGGATGCCCTGCTAGGTAATCAGTCATGCGACAGTAATAAATGATCGCTACATCGCCTAACCTTCTAATTTTCCGGAGCGGCCCGTTCATATGAGCAGGGGTAGCAGGGAAAATGGGGGCCTCATTATCGGGGCTTGCTAAACGATAGCACACAAATCTCGAGAAGAGGGAATTTTGCAGAACGCACACTTGAACATAGGCGTGCTGCTTTTACACAATAATGTGGCCAGCCTTCGTGCAGAACTATTAAAAGGCTTCTGACCTGTTCTGATTTCCGGGATCTCGATCTACTGGGAACAAGGATCTTGGATAATCCGTATGGTTGCAAAATTATTTCATGATCACTGCCCACACTTGGAAAGAAAAGCTTTAGGAGGATACGTAGGACATAGGTCCTGAAGCTGTAGTGCTCTTATCGAGCTTGTTAGGATAAGCAAGATGGACAGCAGCCTGCCACTGGGCCGTGACGGGCATGTCCACCAAGGCCAGGAGATGATAGCGCCTGATGCAGCCGTATGGACTTTTATGGTGAATCCTGCGTTGATGGTACAGTGTCATATTCAACTGAGTCATGTGTCGGCTGAGGACAAGCCTATGCTGACGCGTTTCTCAGGGACCTCCCCTCCGATAATCATATTGATTCTCCATGGTTTAGTGAGGCCATGAATGAGGCGATCAAGGATATATGTTAGACTACTGCTCATTAATCCTGATGGCGCCTTCGACGAAACAACACTGGGTATACCTGCACATTTCGAGATGTTGAGTTGGCCGTGCCTAAAACCGGCATTCAGATTCTGCGATAGGGAAGTCTATCGATGAACACTGAACACATAATCCCAATAACACAAGAAATGCATCAAGGTGATCCAGGCGCCAGTATAAGGATCGTCGGACGCGAGCCTTGAGGTTCCCTGTTTTGTGTCTTTGCGTGGTGGCCATGAGTCTTGGAGGAGAGACCCAGAGTAGGCTGTGACAGGCTGCATTGATTGGATGAGACGCATATTTATATGTCACTAGGCAAGCTCCGTCGCGATCGCGTCTCGTATACCACATTAGTTTGGAGCAAGTCGGCACACTAGCAAAGCTTATGTCAAATTGCCGAGCTTCAATCTGCACGAAGCTCCGCGGGCACCGTCTAACGTTCTCTCATTGGCAACCCAGCCGATGAGCTTCAGGTGTTCTCCCCTGGCCCCCGAAAATCAGCTGCTTTCTTATTGCGCTTCTTCGCACCACAGCAGCAACTGCATCGTTGATCTAGGTCTTGCTAGCCAATTTGAATTCAAGGGACCGGAATTTGTCTAATCTCGATATTCCGCTAAAAGATCTACTTGTACCCTGCGTTATATCGAATACCATCGCGCTTGTTTGCATTCACCAGATACAAAGATCAACATGCCGGAAACAGTCATTTCGAAATACCCTTTTATTCTCGCGACTGTTGCAACGCGAATCGAGGGCATGACCCGAGAGCAATTCCGACATCACAACGAAACCGGCTATGCCCCGCTATTGAAGAAGCTTGCCGGAAAAGTGCACCCTTTGACATGGACGCGACGATATCATGTGGATGAGGGTGAAGGCCCAATGGGTGTCTCCAGGCTTTTGATCGGCACCGATGACGGCATGGACTGGGATTGTTTTGGCGAGATGGTACGCCTATCCGATGTATTGATGATTAAAACAACATGTTAATGAGGATATGATAGACGTTCGCGGATGAGCTGCATTTCCAGCAGTTCATAACCTTCATACATAGCGAGATTGCTGAGCCCATACTTGAAGAGGAGGGCAAATTTTGCGATCCTGAGAAGACTAAGTTGATGGTTATGAGGAGAGATGTCACAATTGGGGAAAGAGCAACAGTGCAAAAGATTTCCTGAACAATGGACAGGAGGAGTTGCTATCGTTATATGGAGGGTTCGGTGCACATCATTAGCCAAATGTATTGAAGAGGATATCGTACCCACAAAGACAAAGCTGGAAAAGGCGTTAGCGAAGATCGTTGCTTGAAGGATACCTTTAACATACCCTGAGCTTCAATGCTCGTGAATGAGAACGACCCTTTGACCTGAAGTAAAAACAGATATTCAGAATAACGTAGACGGCTCTGATGGCACTCCTGGTCGGAAGATTCAAATAAGTGAGCAATTCAACCTATTGAACTTCAGCACAGTATATCGTTGTTGGATCACAAGGAATATTTCCAGTGGTGTGGTATGCTATTCATGGCGGATATGGAATCAGCGCGGCTGTCTGTTCGAAACCGGTCAACAACCCACCATGACTTGAACCCTGAGATGCGACGACAAGATTTTTAATGAGTGTGGAGAAGCATTGGAAGTGATGATGCAGACTGAAGAAAGAGGCAGGCGTACGTTGCAGCCAGCCCATTTCTGCCAGTCGCTGCCCTCAAGCCTCGCCATGCGATCGCCGATCCTTCTTTGACACATTCTTCTCTTCAAACACTGTCTACAGCACTTTTGATAGGCAATGGACGTTGTCCGAAGGCAAAGGCATCGAAGACTACGGGGTGACGTCATTCTCCAAGCATCGCATCACCATGAAGCGGAGGGGCTTTCAGCTGTAGTGACGCAGCAATTCCGAATTGGTCGATGTATCCAAGAAGCGTCTACACTTTGCGTCGTACCTAAAATAAATTGTAGTTTTCGCACCGCATTGAGTTCAGCGCAAGGCTGAAGAACAATCGGTCGCCTAGCTCTACGGGTTGACGATCTTCCGCCTACTTCACAGCTGCGGGCTTGGCCATGCTGGTTTCCCGATTGGGCATGTCGCAAATTTGAGTAAAACGAACATCCGCACCATGCTTGGCCAACAGAAGCTCCTGCATCGGTAGTATACAGCCAGATCCAGCTTTACGGGCAGTGTTTGCATGCTACCAATGTCAACATCTGGCCCCAGGATCTCGTCTGAAATGCTCATTCACGCGGCCCAATCCCCTTAGCTCAACGTACCCCTATTAGTGAAGTGCAGCATTGGTTGCCGCATCGGAGAATGAGTAGGTATGAGTAGACACGAGCCTGGAATGCCTATAGGCCCCTATGTCATCATACGGAAAGCTGCGGCCGAGCCTCAATTCACCACAGTATAAAGCCCAACAGATTGCGTTTTTCATCCTCTTAACCTATACAACAACTGCGGCAATACGAGGGCCTCAACAGTTTGGCCCCTACAGTCACACAACCAGCTTCTCGACATGCTACACCGAGCAGGTTTGGTCCTGCCACTCCTGGCCCTCGCAAAAGCGCATTCACAATCATCTTTCCTTCCCACGAACGATTGCCCAATCCTGGGACCGAGCTTCCCTTCAGACTTCGATATTCCTCAGTCTAAGTACATCAAAGAAGCCATTGAGGCCTTCCCATCTCTTGTCGACAGACTGTTCGAAGAGGAGGTGCTTCCCAAAAACGCGACATCTTTCCATATCGACGTGTTTTCAACCCGAACGAATGCTTCTATCTATGAATACTCGCATACGGCGGATATCCATAAGTCAGCTCTGACCAGTGGTGTTCTTGATGATGGCACTATCTTCCGCATCGGAAGCGTGTCGAAGTTGTTCACCGTGTACACCCTTTTGAATGTTGCTGGCATTGAGATATTCCAGCATCCTGTCACACAGTATCTTCCGGAGCTCAAGGGGAACACCAACAGATCGAAGATCATATGGGAAGAAATAACAGTGGGCGCTCTTGCATCGCAGCAGGGAGGCGTTGGAGGTTTCCGTAAGTCCAGCGACTATCCGTCCGAGAACGTTGACTAAGTAGTTGACCTAGCTATCGAGCTTGTGTCGTGTGGAGAGACGAACTCTTGCAGTATCCAAGGTATAAAGCCCTCTCAAATCTCAACACGCAATGGTGGCCTGACGTTTCACTAGAATTCTTGTCAAAGATGCGCAACCAGGAGCGACCGGTCACACCAGCCTTTCAGACAAGCTTGTATGCCGACTCTGGCTTTGGAATCCTAGGTCGCGTATTAGAAAGGCTCACAAATCAAACATATGCGGAGGCGATACAAACTCACCTTGCTAAGCCACTTGATTTGCCTGGTTCAGGAAGCATCGAGCCTCCAGCGGAGGGTTTGAACGCCCTGGCTCTGCCGGGAGATATTTACAGTTCTAACTGGGGAAAGGATAACCCCATCATCTCACCGCAAGTATTGGGACTCGATGTAGATCTACGATAAAGCTAACATGACGAAGGTCAGGGGGCGTATATTCGAACGCAAAGGACTTGCGTACCATTGCTCTCTCTATACTGCACAACGAGCTACTCTGCGACAATGTGGTTCGTGAATGGTTAAAGCCACGAGGCCATACAGCCAGCTTGACCACCTCCCTCGGCGCACCTTGGGAGATATACCGATTGACTATTCCCGTCTCCGCTGATACGAACCGAACACGCGTCTCCGACCTATACACTAAAGCGGGAGGAAATGCGGGCTATGCTGCTATCTTCGCTATTTCGCCAGACCATGGCATTGGCTACACTATCCTTCTGGCGGGCGCAAGTGCGGTCCCTGATCGAGTCCCTCTCCGCAACCTCATTGGCGAGGTCTTCATTCCTGCTGCTGAAGCCGCTGCCTTTGAGAATGCGGCTACCAATTACGCTGGTAAATTTGCAGACCCGGACAACGAACTCTCCAATCTCACGCTCACCGTCGACAAAGACGAGCCAGGCCTCGGCCTTCCTTCTCTATTTGTTGACGGTGTGAACTGGCTGTCGAATATTACGCAGCCATTGTTAGATCCTGCCGCGTCGGTAAATATAAGCAACCGTTTGTATCCTTCTGGAGGCGAGTATATCTCGCCTTCGAATGGCAGGCTCGTCAAGCAATTTGATGCGGTTTCTGGAAAAGCTGGTGGGATTCCAAGATCGCAGGTCGAAGGCGGAACTGGATTGTTTGACGATGGTTGTACGGCTTGGGAGACGACCGGTTTTTTCACCACAACTGAATTCGAGCTTGAGGTCGTGGAAGGAAGGGTAATGGCAGTGAGGATGCTAGATTCAAACGTCACGATGACGAGGTTGGATTAGGCAAAGGGATCAAATTTCAAACTTTCTCCAGTGGCACGTTAATTAAGTTATTACTCAAGATAAACCTCGTCCACCTTTTATAAGCCTTACTAGCCCACGCTATTGTGTCTGGATCTGGTGTCGTTCCCGGTTGTCACATTCAGATTGGATGTTCGCATTTGGAGCATGAACTACATTTGGCAGTCTCTGAACATGCCTATGGAAACGGTTTGCAGTAAAGTATGGATTGCGCAAAATCTGCCTTCAAGTATCAGACTACATACAATTTGCATGTGAAGTAATATCGCATATCCTAGTCTTCGTTGTTTCGATGAGCGCCATAAGCGTCGTCTCAAATTACGCTGGAGCCAATGAAGTGTGAGTCAGTCGCAATGCGCTTGACCCTATAGGTTCGGTAGGCCCCTCCGCTATGTCCTCGCTGATGACTGCTTCACGTCCTCTCACGAAAACAACAGACAATGAATCCAATTACTATGGCCAGTATCAGAGCTCGTCGTGGTGCCAGAGGCGCGCGAAAAGTGAAGACAGGATGTTTGACGTGCAAGTACGACTGGAAAGCGCCCAGTCATGACTGTATCGCTCACCGAGTCACAGGACAAGGCACAAGAAGTGTGATGAGCTGAAGCCAGTGTGCACTCCGTGCAGAACGTACGGCTGGAGATGTGATTTCGTGGTCATGCCATGTCCATCTTCTGCGCCTTCCCCTCTTCAACTTGCCGATACCGACGTGATACACTTCGACTACTTCCGGCTCATTTGTGCACCCGAATTCGGCCTTTTCTTTGAGATAGAATCATGGGCCAACATTGTGCTGCAAGCAGCTTGCACAGATCAGTCCTTTCGCCGAATCGCTCTTGCTGTCGGTGCTCTCAGCAGAAGTCGTTATACACTATCTAGCCAGCAACAGCCCGCAGTCAGATATGGTCTGTGCCAGTACAACATGGCAGTCAGAGAGCTCAGCCTCCTAGAGAATTCACCGCAAAACATATTTCGCATCGTTTTAGCCAGCATAACACTGATTGTTCTCGAGTTCCTGCTCGAAAATTACAACAGGGTTCGGATCCATCTGCGCAGCGCCGTGTCTATGCTTAGCGCGATCGAACGGCGCTTTGAAGAGACAATATTTTATTTCGAAGCTCTTACTTACATCCAAGACATCATATCTTGTCACTATTGGACGACCCCCACTACACCAGGCGTTGCCGATGTTCCCTTTTAGCCTTCAAGATATCCTCTGATTGGCTGGTGCGTAAACCTTAATGAAGAATGCACAAGTGCTACACGGGTTGACATACTACAGCCAGCTCATAATGACTGAGCCTCAGTACTATAAAAATGCTCGCAATCCTCGCGCCACCGCAGGTCCATCTCTCAAAGTAAGGTGTCCTTCCGCTTCCAGCAGAGGTTACTCCCAGATTCTTAGCAACCATGTCCAACATCACGCCCTTCAGTATCAATATCCCTGATGAGAAAGTACAGCGATTGAAGCAGAAATTATGTGCGATCGACTTTCCCGATGAAATCATGGGAGCAGAAGATCCATGGGCCCGCGGCGTGCCATTGAGCGAAATCAAACGCCTCACAACGTACTGGGCCGGAACCTTCGATTGGAGAGAAGCTGAGTCAAAGCTGAACCAACTCCCACAATTCGTTGCCGAGATCGACGTGGATAACTTTGGGAAGTACAATATCCACCATGTCCATCAGAGAAACGACGTCGAGCAGGCCATTCCGCTTTTGTTTCTCCACAGCTGGCCAGGCGGCTTCTTTGAGGTCTCAAAGGTATTGCCCTACCTGGACGGCGGCGGAGATAAGTCTGCTTTTCATGTCGTCGCGCCAAGCCTGGTTGACTTCGGATTTTCCTCAGGAAGCAGGAAGGTATGTAGTGTTCCCTTCAATGAGCAGCTTTTTAAATAACATTGTACAGGACGGGTTCGCCATCGACCAACATGCCGAAGTATGCCACAAGCTTATGTTGTCTCTTGGATATACTGAATACGGTGAGCTGGTGACTCCTGTACCTGAGTGTTATTTGAAGCTCACATCATTACAGTGGTACAAGGCGGAGATCTCGGCGGCCTCACAGCACGATTCATTGCTCTCAAATACGGCCGAAAGCACTGTAAAGCGACTCATACGAACAACGCCCTGCCAGCGGAGCCTACAGAAGCCAAACATCCCCAGCTCCATGCACGATTACAGTCCACGCCCCTCACTCCTCTTGAGCTCAATGGCCTCGCGCGGACCGCAAATTACTTCTCAAAGGCGTCAGGTTATTACCAGATTGCTTCAACGCGACCGCAAACTCTTGGATACGCCCTTGCAGACAGTCCTGTCGCCCTACTAGCGTGGATATACGAAAAGCTACACGATTGGGTAGACCCAAAGTATAAATGGTCCGATGATGAGATCTGCACCTGGGTGAGCATCTACTGGTGAGTGACCCCACGAGATAGAATTTGCTATGATCGGCGCTCATCAGAAGCTTGCACAGGTTCTCTACACCTGGTCCAGCTGCTTCCAGTCGCGCATTCTACGAGTTCGAGCACCGGAAACCAGAGGGCGCTTTCCCAGCTTCCCAAGCCTACATTGATGTCCCGCTCGGCGTGGCGCGTTTCGCGAACGATACGGTTCTGCTGCCGCCTCTATGGAATCAGACGCTCGGTCCTGTGGTTTACGAGAGTGAGTATGATGTAGGAGGTCATTTCGCGGCTTGGGAACGCCCAGATGCCATTGCGGAAGACCTGAAGGCTATGTTTGTCAGAGGTGGGCCCGCTTTTGCGTGCGTGGAGGGGAAGAGCGGATACAAAGAGTGATTGAGGTCCAAGACACGAAGAAAGTGGGGGACGCGACCTCACCAGGTGGCGACTTGGCTGTCATTGGTACCTCAGATTATAGAGGCGAAGACATATTTTAAAAGCAATTGTATGATTGTGCATAAGCGCTGACGCTTGCGTGTGGCCCCCAACCCAACCCCACCTTGTGCAACAGGATGAGAGCCTTATGTATGAGCGATATGCCTCCACAGCCGAGTGGTAGCAGTTCTTTCTATCCGGAATCCTCAAGATGGTACGCGTCGATACCGTACCCTTTGGTACGGATGAGATAGTGTCATCCGCTATCGTTATTTTCCTCGGTTGTGTCGTCCTCGGCCTGCGAATCTGGGGGCGAAGTATCAAAAAGATGCACGTTACTCTGAGTGATTACATTACCATTGGTGCACTTGTAAGTTCGGCCAGGAGCAAGGTCGTACCTCTTAGAGATATTGTCCTGAGTTACGAGGACAGATGACCGTGCTTACGCGATTTGCGGTCAAAATACCAAGTACGGCAGCTTCCTTCCCGTTGCTATGATGATAGGAAATACTGAGACCATGGACGGTAGTCTACCACTGGGCGCTCCATTCACGAAATAGCCACCTCGCCATCGCCCCACGGTACGCCTTGCGAAGCGCGCAGCTCGCCTTCGCCAGCGAAGTCGTATTCGCGGCATCCATCGCCCTCGTTAAGATATCCATCCTTTTAGGATATCGTGAACTTTTCTATGTGCTGGTCTGGGTCAAAAGGTGCATATGGGTGATGATTGCGGCGTGTATCGTAATGTTTGCAACAACCACTGCCGGATTGATGACCATGTGCACGCCTTTCGAAGCGAATTACGACCCTAATATAAAAGGTGTGTGTCGTGTTTCGCGATCATTGGGTGCTTCGCTGGCTACAGTGATAAACGTTGTTGTGGACGTTATATTGGTCGTCATTCCGATATGCGTGGTATGGACGCTCAAGATCAATACGGCCAAAAAGATTGGAGTCAGTCTAATGTTTGGGCTAGGTCTCTTGTATGTAAGAATTAGGGGTCTTCCGTTGCACCCGCACATCAACTATAACGGTGACTTGTTAATCGTGCCGCAGGATCATTGTCGTCGCGGGCCTCAGAGTCCGCTTGTACCAAACGGAATCAATGTCGAACAATCACCGGCTGGCACTACTCTCTTCATTGGAACTGCATCTCGGCCTGATTGCAGCATGTTTGCCTTTTATCGGGCCCGCGCTCGTTAGAATTGGAGGATCGTTGTTTGGCATGTGTTCTGGGAGCGTCAATTCTCAGCCTGGTAAGGTTGGAAGTCCCGGACGTGGAAGCTGTCAAGCGGTCAACGTATAAACATGATGACAGTGTGCTGCAAAATAACGCGGAAAGTCTAATTACTGTAGCCTCTGCACACAGGGTTCAAACTTGGCTACGTCAGTTGTTGTAGTAATGAGAGACAACCCTTATGGGATTTGTGACCTGATACCTGCAATAATTATGTCTGCGTAGGATGGATTTAAGATCGTCAGAGTGATCCTCACTCAAAAATTGAAAACAGGTGCGCATGAGTTCGCTCGAGAGGTATGACAGAATACGGAATGAGCAAGCGGTATAACTAGGAGGTAGGCTCACACGTGATATATGCATGCACCCCGCTCACTGCGCATTTGGTGTAACGATCAAATTTACGTGCACAAGACTGTATTCCAGTATGTTCGGTGCAGTTTTATCTCTACCAAACACCATGATATCTTGCAAATTCTTCGCCCGTGGTTTATGCCGAAATGGCGACGCCTGCCCTTTCCTTCACGAGAGAACAGCAGGAGCTGGGAGCCACTTTCGCCCCAACGCGGCGGCTATTCCCGCAATTGATACACTAAGCATTACTCCCAACCCTCAGGCCCCGGCTTTTGCTCCAAACCGGCCAGCTCACACACAACACGTGCCGTTCGACTCACGCTCCTCGATACTCTGTCAATATGTGTCACGTCCGGGAGGTTGCCGGAATGCCGCCTGCGCGTACTCTCATGACATCGGTGGAGCACAAGTGGATGTCCCGGGGGACCTAGGACAAGGCTTGAAAGAAGAGGACGCAAGTTATCGCGACTATTTAACCCGCTTCATATGCTAACGACGAGGCCAGGCAGACGATGCGGCCGAAGATTTCATCCGCGATATAGCAGGAGCAACGATTTCTTTCGACGAGTTTGGTGATGTTGACAGCATATCTCTTCCAACTGACTTTTCTGTTGCACGTATCACTGGTCTTCCTGCACAAAGCACACAACAGATGGTTGCCGATATTATCCGCGAAATGCAGCTTGACATCGCAGCCGACTGTATCCGCATCCCCAAACAAGACTCAACATTGGGGACTATGGCCGTTGTGAGAGTAAAAGACCCACTGTTTGCACGCAAGTTAAGTGACAAGGTTCGGCAACGCGCTTCGGGACTACAAGTCACACCACTTCCGATCGATTCGAAGCCTTCAAATGCTAGGAAGGTCTACATATCATGGCACAAACCCACGCGCACTGTCTGGTTGAACATTGGCCCTGGCAACAACTCAAATGTAATAGCGGAACGATTCAGAAAGGGCGAATATAAGATCTTGGGCCAGGCGGTCAAAGCGACTGCTCAAAAGGCAACAGAACATGGCCTTTACATCTGCTACAACCCTGTAACTCGGACTGTTGTTCTGAGCGATGTTCCCGGTGCAGCAAAATCCAAGGATGTGGAATTAGCCATACGGCGACAAAGCGACAAGCCAGCACACATCGAAATGGGCAAACGTAGCTACGTGGCTTCAGATGCAGAGGTCAGTGTGGACGTCCGGTCCCGCCTGGAACAGCATGGTCCACTTGAGAGCTTCTATATGCCGCCCACTCATTACGGCAAACGCGTAAAAGTTATCGCTCTGTTCCGCGACGAGGCAGATGCTCGATCGGCATGTTCCTTGAACAACACTCAGATGCATACGTTAGGTAAAGGCAAACTGACTGTGACACTAATCCAGGGAGTAAAATGTAAGATTTCTACGGCAATCTACACTGCCTCGAAAAGCAGAGTTGATCAAGAGAGCCAAAAATGGAGAGAACAGCACCTCACGTTTCATGTTTATCACGATATACATAAGCACTTCACGACTTTGAAGGTCGAAGGCGATGACGCGAAGATTGTGGCCAACGCACGCAAGGTTTTGGATGATATATTCCGCGGGAACCTGCTGGTGGACGGAGAATTGGGTCTGTGGAGCACGGTGCTCAACAACAATGGGAGCGCATACAAGAAACTGAAAGCGATTGAGAAAGAACTCGACATAGTAATCAGCAGGGATAAGTCCAAGAGGCAGTTACATTACCATGGCCCGCCAGACAAGCTCGACCAGACAATTCACCGAGTGAAGGATCTACTCAAGAACGAGCCAGCGACGGTTCATGACATCAATCTCAATACGGTACAGTTTGCTTGGGCAATACAAGGCGGCTTCAAGAGTGTCCAACAGACTTTGGGCGATGACGTTGCGGTCTTCGACATAGTCTCTAAGAAGATAGCCATTCATGGCACAACTCAACAGCATGAAGTGGCTTTGGACGTCTTAGCTGGTAAACGTACCATTACAGCTCTCCGTCCAACGGTGCCAACATCCACTACACACAAGGACTGTCCCATTTGCTTTTGCGAAGCCGAGAACCCCATCTCAACATCCTGCAACCACACCTATTGCCTGGAGTGCTTCGAAGAGTGTTGCAAGGCCGCGGCATCCAGTGGCACAGTGGCCTTCCAAGTCAAGTGCCAGGGTGACGAAGGGAAATGCAGCCACGTCTTCACACTGCGGGAGTTGAGAGACAGTGTTTCTTCCGCAGTCTTCGAGACAGTCCTTCAGTCTTCGTTTGAAGACCACATCAAACAGCGTCCCGATCTTTTCCACTACTGTCCAACACCTGATTGCGGCTACATCTACCGATGCACGGTCACTTCAGGCGCAGACCGCCCAATGTACACTTGCTCCAACTGCCTTGAAATGGTTTGTACCTCATGTCATGCACTCCACGGGCGCTACACGTGTGCAGAGTACAAAGACATCCAGTCGGGCGGCTACGAGGCACTGGAGAAGCTCAAGAAAGAGCTCAACATCAAGGATTGTCCGAAATGCTCAACCCCAATGGAGAAGACGGAGGGCTGCAACCATATGACTTGCGGTGGCTGCAAGGCACATATATGCTGGGTGTGTATGGGGGTGTTCTCCACGAGCTCGCAGTGCTACGATCACATGAGCGAGAAGCATGGCGGTATTGGACTCGGACTTGAGCGCTTCATGTATTGACGCGCAAGCATCTGCAGTCCTGAATCTACTAACGTGTTACCTATCTCGTTACGAAAGGTGATGGATACCATGGTAGACAATTATGTGGAGACCGCATCCTCCACCTAGAACCAAGTCCTATCACCACTCTGCACCACCGCCCGCCGTTCATGCCCGTATCTTCGATCTCCCAGATCGGCTCCCACCTACACTGCTTCAAGCGCCTCGTAGTGAGACTTCGCTTACCGTCTCGTTTCAAGCGGGAGATACTACCAACCACACCGCCCCAAGAGGACCCATCTCAATTTACGTCCCGCGGACACACTTCTCCATAGGGTAGGTCGTCATACCGCGTCCCTCGCGTGCCCAATCCCACGATGATCAATGGCGCTGCATCACGATCCCGATCTTGCGCTCAACCTCCCCAAGCTCAGCTTCCAGAACTTCACCACGCCGCCATTGCCAGCGAGCACCCATCTACCTCCTTATGACCGGGTTAAACCCGCGTCGCCTCTATGCATTAACGTCTCGAACAATTCCAACACCACGGATCACGGTCGTCCTTCCACGGCGCTGGTTCGAAGTCCTACCCACCGACGACGATCCCAGTGCGTCATACCGCAGATCCCTCATCTCCCCAACCTCGCGCCTGCCTCGCACGGCTTCAGCCGCGCGCTGCGCATTCCACAAATGACGTTCGTGTGTGCCCATGTGTGTGGGATCCTTCGAGCTGCAAGGTGGTGGATGGATATGTATAAAGGTACATCGCTGCTGCTGCTGCTGGGTCTGCGTTCGTCTCGCATCCTCACTCACCACAAGCAAGCGTTCCCTTAGCTCAATCGGCGATTTGGCGCTCACCACGACGCTGGAATAGATACTTTCGTTGAGCGACGAACGCAGCGATAGAGTTCAGCACCAGGCGCTGGCAGCGGGATGGCGTGCACCGTCTGGGAGCTGGGTACCTTGGTAGGTCGAGCGGAACCGCAGGAGCGCAGGCGTAGGCGTGAAATCATCGCTAGCGTCCCATCATCCGCCAGACCTTCCACGCAGCGCAGCGCAACGCTCGCATCGACGGGAATTACTCGCCGCGTGGCTACTTATACCTTTGTTTCTGCCTGCTCGCGCCCTCTGGACCGAGTTTCCTGTTTTCTGTTTTCCTATTGTGTCACGTCAGCTTCTGCGTTTCGTCCAGTCAGTCGATTTCACGTCGATTCACGAAGTAGACCAGCAGAAGAAGAGGTACCGCACGTTCCGAGGCTTCGATTTCCTACATGTCATATATCACATGCGTCCCATGCATCCCTCCCCTCATTCTTCCCGCACCCAGCCGGATACATACAAAGGCCGGGCACACAGAGCACAAAGTCCACAAGCCTGTGGCCTCGTTCGCTCCTTCCACCCTTCCGAAAAATACACCAATCCATTTCATCCCCTCCCCTTAGAAAGATATCGATGTCGTTATTCGGATTAGAGATGGCTTTGTGTCGGTTATAGGTTATATGGTGATCGAAAAACTCAAGATCAAGAGCTAGAAAGGCAAAGAAAACTCCGGTACATGGGATGGGTGATATATGGTGAGGCTCTCGACGCGCGACAACAACATACATGTACAAGCCATTCGTGGATTGTACAACGTAAACGCCAGTTCCGATATTCGATCCGAAGCTTTAACCTCGAGGATGCGACGTTGAAAGACGACCCTCTCATCGGTGCTCGCGGAAAGCGGTGCTGGTAGTGCCTGCGGAGATAGATCGCTACATTGCTAATTGTTTGTGTTACAGGCCGGAAACGCGCGGGAAAGTAAGGGAAGGTCGAAGAAATACGATATGTGTAGCAAGGGTAATGGCAAGGTCGTGTTTATCGTGGCGGACATGGAAATGAAGTGCAGCGTCATTCTTCCATCCTGCCGAAAAACGCATCGTCGTCATCCTCTGCGCGGCCGCGACTGCGGGAATTGGAGTGGCGGAAGTCGTCCTCGCTCTCCTCGTCCATGTCAACATCCTTGCCGTGGTGGAAGTGGTTACCGCGCAGACTCGATTGCTGTGCCGTTACCGTGTTGCTGCCCGAAATCATCAGGCCGTTGCCATAGTCTAGAAACTTGGCTGGAAGCGGCGGCACGGGAGGCACATCAGGAGGAAGAGCCATGGGACCAGACTTGGGCGTGCCGTACGAGCAGCTCAGTAGACCAACAGCGGCAGCGAGATCTGCCTGGTCGTTCTCGTCGTCACGATACGAGCCAGCAACCGATGTGCCCGAAGTTGTAGGGCGATCGGACACGTTACTCCAGTGGCGATAGTGGCCGTTATGCCCATTATCAGAGAACACGGTTGACTGGTAAGAATGGCTGTAGGCGGAGCTGTTGGCAGAGTAGCGCTTGGTAGCGCGACCAGCGTAGTGGTTGCGGGGAAAAGAGCCCACGGCATGATCGTCAAGTTGTGGGGGCGGGGTAGTGTCGGTGGAGCTCAAATCATCGTGCAAGTCAGATGTGCCCGAAGCTGGGGGCGAAGGCGAGGAGTGATCGCTATCGCCACCCTCGGTGTTCATGGCGACGAGTACCGATGCTGCCTCGAGCAGTTGCACCTGCTGGTGCTTAGAGATGAGCAACTTGGACGTGTACTGCCATTCAGGGGTGTGCTCCCAACTAAATCAAAAAGTCAACGCAGCTCAAACAGATACCTGTGCCGTGCGGGGTGAGGATAGGGCATTCGTCTCGAGCCGTGAAAGTGTGTGGAAGGATGGACTACTTAGGGCGACTGACAGGTGCTTGGTGAGACAACTGCTGTGCTTGTATCCTTTGCCACATTTTTCACATCTCAATTCGCTACCACTGGCACGCTTGCCCTCTACCTTGGCCAAGCGAGTACCCTCGCTCGCACGACGTATCCTGGACTTGGAGTTCGCCTTCTCGTGTTCGGGCATCGCGGCAAGCGGAGGACCGTCAGCGATGGCTTCAGACTTGGCAGCTGCGCCATAGCTGCCGGGACCGAATGCTGAGCCATTGCTCGGCACGCTTGAGGCCATGGATGGCACCGTGCTCAGATTAGGTCCTCGGAACTGCGCCGCGGGCTTTGAGGGTCTTCGTTGTTGCTGAGCCTCGAGCGGCGCACCAGTCATGCCCTTGGCCGCCGCTGCGATTGCTGCGATGCTGCCAGCGTTTGAAGTGACGCTCTTGCGGCGAGTGACGCGGTGTGCCGGGTTCATCGAGGCTGCAGACATGGAATGCGAATGCGGGCGCGACTTGGGGAGTGAGCCCGCCATGGAACTTGAATGACGGTGCTGGCTGGTGGGGCGGACGGCGATGGGTTCCTACAGTGGAGAGCAGCGTTAGTGGGGAGTTTGTCTGGGGGAAGCAATTATAAGCAATTACGTGCCTTGAGGACAGTCATGGTGTGGTGGACCAGTTCTAGACTGGCCGGCTTTGTTCGTCAGGCAAGCGAGCTGTCTCTACCAAAAAATAATACAGCCCCGGGGATCGGAGACTTTTGTGGCAGGGCGGAGGGTGAGACTGTCCTGCGCCGATGCGATCCGAGGGCTCAGCGTGACGAGGGCGAGAGATTGTGGAGGAGTAACAGCTGGCGGGCAGGTACTATAAACAGGTATGGGTGGTGTAGTTGTGCAGCGTGGGTGTCTGTTCACAAAATTATGTGGAATGTGGACCCCTCTTCTGAAATGGCGTTACACGCTGGCCGGATCGTTTCGCATGCAGGCGCCTCCAGGAACTCCGACGGCGGCGAGGCTCAGCGGAATGGTGCAGCTGGGGACAACGAGGCGACGGGGTGGCAGAGGGACAGTATGTACAGAGCAGGTAGGGGTGTGCGGCAGCAGCAGGCGCGGAAATATTTATTGCGGAAGTGCACGAGGGAGCGTCCTCAGTCTGGTGCTCGTCTGGGTCAGCTGTCGCCTCTCTGTCGCGCAGCAAGCGGCTAGCCCAGCGTGACCTTGATAGGGCCGAGCAGCTTGCAAGGTACCGGGCACTGTGGCTGATGGAGCGCCAGGATGCGCGTGGTGCTATAATGGGCCGCAAGTGGTCGTCCGTAAATGAGCCGCCCGCTGCTGCTTATGACATGTTTCAGCGCGTCTGCTTGCTCGCGACGTCGATGGGATGTGCTGTCGCCGTCGCCAGGAACAGCCGTGCCCTGCGCAGGTTCCTGAGCAACGCAGGTGTGCCGCTAGAAAGCGTCCCTCGATAGCCAGCGCGACGGTGATTCGAGCGCCGCCCATGCCCGCCCGCTTTGGGACGCATGCCGATCGCTCAGGCGGCGGGGTCAAAGCGCACCACAGCCGCGGGCGCTGCGCATCACACGGGACCCCGAGCGGAGACGCAGATGGAGCGGATCGCTGCTGTCCGAGGCAGTCGAGGAGCGTGGCGTGGGGATCGTCTCGCGGGAACACCTGCTCTGTGCTAAGACAGCAGAAGAAACCTCCCAGCGTCCTCTGCGCGCAACAGCGCTCCTGTGCCCGTCTGTCTCTGCGCGCTGCTGGCTGGACCCCGCCCTGTCGCATCGCGATCGGCCCCAGTGTCGTCTGTGCATGATACGGGGCGCTAGGGCCAAAGCCACTTGGTCGTTCGTGGGACGGGTGCCATTGTGGCATCGCCATGTGGAAGAGTCAAATTGCCGTGCGCGCCTCTCCTGCTCGCCCTCATGCAAGTCATTCATGCCTCGAGCGGCTGCCACCGATCCGCGCTGCCATTTGCGCGTCCCCGTGAGGTCGTCGGCGTCGAGACGCTCCCAACAGTCGGCAGCGGTGCCTTCGGTGTTGCAACGTCACGAACATGCCGGCTCCGATTGCGAATTGGCTGCCGCGGTGCAGACTCCAATATCCGACCTGCTCAAGAGGGCGAGGCTAGAACCGAACTCGTCTATCCGCCATGCAGTTGCTGAGGGGTGGCCCACTCAGTCTGCCTGTTTGGCCACCAGGAACTCGTGCACGCCCACGGCCCCGGATAAGCTCGACCGCAATGCTTCGCAACTGCTGCCGTCGTCTTCTGGTGCCTGAACGACAGCAGTTGCGCTGGCGAGTGTGCCGCGCGTCAACCGCAGGAATCGTCGGTCGCGTCTGGCCATGGTCGAGATAACGCCCGCCAACCTTGTCTCTGGAAAGGCCGCCTCGTGGATTTGTTCGTGCCCTGCTTCTTCTGCCACTGTCTAGTTGGCTTCCCTGCGTTTGGCAGGAACTGGGCGCCGACTTCCAACGCTGGCTCGGCGCCGGTTTCACCTCCACAACAGATGACGTCAGAAGTGGGAATGCGCTTTCTCCGAATATGAATTAATGGCAAGCGCGACCCACCGGCTCCAACGACAGCGAAACACCGCCTCGAAACTCGCGGCATTTTTCGAAATTCCCATCGTGATTTCATCGTGACGAATCATCGCATGACAGCTGCCGAATTATGTAAGCGACGTGGCTGGCCATCACTGGTTGAAACAAACGCACAACCGCATCCAGACGGTCCTTATTCCACCCCGCTAGAGTCTCACTGTAATTGCAACGACATGTGTATCGCTTGGGTCTGCTGATGTTGACACATCTCAGCGTGATTAGAATCGGTCTCGACCGTGTGACAGTCATCGTGCAAGCTTTCTGTTACCTCGACCCTGTCTTATCAGCACACATTCTTGCTTGTGAAATTGCAGGCTTCGAATGATTATTTTGGCACAACATGTATTCTTTATCATCAACAGACACGGGCCACTGATGTCTAGTAATGAAGGCCATAATTTCCATTGGGATAATCGGTACAGCTGACACCGGCCATTAAATCATGTCTCGCAGTCTGCTTGCATTCTGGGTATCTCAGGCAACACCGTATGCAGGGTCCGTCGTCGTTATCCGCCGTGGAGCAAAATATTCGAGTGAAATCGCAACAAGGGATATATCATTTCCTGCGCTAAAGGAGTATGAATTGATTAAACCAAAGCAGAGCAATAGCATGTACTGCTTGCACAAAATCTTCCTGAAGCAGGGCAGGCCGCTCAGCATCCAACGGGCCATTATCCACTCATTAACACGCGCATCCCTCCTTGGCGCCCTCGGGCCGTGCGCTGCCCAAGTTCACCCGCGCATCTTCTTGCCTTCCACCAAGATTTGTCTGCCCACCAACACCTCGTGGGCCCTTCAAGCTCGTTTCGGGGATGGCATTCGCAATCGCCGTAAACACTTCTGCAACGTTCTGTCCGGTCTTGGCGCTCGTCTCGAAGAAAAGTAGTCCTTCCTCGTCCGCATAGGCCTTTGCAGTCTTGGTAGGAACCCTCCTCGCGTCTGTACCATCTTCCTCGTTCGCTTCTTCACCCTCTGCTGCCGGCGCGGCATCCGCGTCTTCTGGGCTCTCTTCGCCGGCTGCTGCCGCCAAATCAGCCTTGTTCCCTACGAGCGCAATGACAATGCCCGGCGACGCTTGGCGATGCAGTTCAGCAACCCAGTGTTGGGCTTTTGTGAGCGATGATGGCTTCGTGATATCGTAGACGACGAGTGCTGCTTGAGCATTGCGATAGTACATGGGCGCAAGGGAGGCGAAACGTTCTTGACCGGCGGTGTCCCAGATCTCAAATTTTATGGTTCGCGTCGGCAGGTTGCATTTCTGCGTAAGGAAAGCAGCTCCTATCGTGGGCTCCTTGTTCTCTTGGAAGTCGTTGTTGACGAAGCGCATAACCAACGATGACTACAAAGGAGTTAGTTATGCGCGAGCTCCAGGCAAACACAGCGCTGCGTCTAACTCAGAAGCCCTGCGCGGCTCAAGGATGCAGTAGCCATTTTGAAGGTCGACACAACTCAATATTGCAGCCTGCTGAATGCTTGCGTACCTTTCCGACAGCTGCCTCTCCCAGCAGTACCAGCTTCACGCTGCTGCTGGGTTTCGGTTGTGATGCGTCCGCCATGGCGGGCTCAAGTAGCGGTATGCGCGCGAGTGACGGGGTCAAAGGAAGCCGATTACGGTCGTCTATCGAGCGAGAGGTGCCGGGCGATGTTGAATAATGGTGAGCGTGCAGGTGTAGGCAGACAGTTTGATGCCATGACGACTGCCGTTGATGGGCGTCTGCTTCCGTCGCACGCGCCACAATACGCTAACCTATCTGGGACCATGAGAACGGAGCTTGAAGCTTTTATGCACAAATGTGGATTCAAGCGATCGTAACTACATCTCAATCTTCGCGCCATTCGTAGGGGAACGAATTACTTTCGAGCAGAACACGCTTCTTTCCGAATAGATCCTGCTACTCCAAATTCCATAACATTTCCTATCAACATTCAGCTCCTTAAATCGCAGGTCCAGCACCAATCCACAGCCTGTACGATCTGAAAGGCCCCCTCCTCGCATCAACATTCTGATACTGCCTCAAAGGACTCAACTCCAGCTGGTTCGTACAAAAGTACATCCAACCACCCCATATCGCCGCACTATCTGCATGCTGTATCAACGCGTTCCTTACCAACGTCTTAACCACATAATCCTTCGCCGGCACCGGCTCCAGCAGGCTCGAGCTCCCAGGCGGATCCCCGTTGACTGTTTCATTGACAGCAGTTTGCAGCGTATCAACATAGAAAATAGCGTTGTGCTCGCTCGCAGTAATGTAGACGCGCCCTTTATCGTCGGCTGTCAAACCTGCTTGCTCGGTGCCGCATTGTCCCGGGTCTTGCACATGCTCTAGTAAATCCTCCTCCGAGATCGAATTGTTGACGATCGCGGCTTGAGGGACGTAGTAGAAGCGGCGCGACGCAAGCACACCCCAGTATACATTTCCCGATGCCAGCGCGATACCATCGGAGCCTGTGGTGATGAAAGACTTTGTTGTCCCGTTCCAATTATATATAGGCTCCCCGTTATACACGCCCACATAGCCTTTGTCGGCACGCGTATACGTTGTGTTGAAAAGTCTACGATTCGCATCGCCAGTAGCCAAGTTGATTGAGAGGATGGATCCGGCATCCGACTCATCAGTGATGAACGCGTAGCCGCCCTCACCAAGTGTGTTATTGATGCGCACATCGTTTGCGTTCATGTTATCATAAAATAATTCCGATGGGATTACGTATGTTCGTAATAATTCGCCTTGCAGTGAGAAGCTCATGATCTTGGCTCCGTATTCAGTTGCAGACTTTTCTCCAGGCTTGATACCGGAATCGACGATCCAGAGTTGATTTATACTGTCCAACACGACGTTTTGTACGTTGATGAAGCATGTGCTGGCGTTTTGACTTGCGGTGCAGTTTTGGTAAGCGGCAGATGGCCAGGGTTCTTCTGTCTCGAACGAGGTACATTTGACAACGTTGTCAGGTGTGGGTCCGAAGTTGCGAGGATATGTTAGGTATAGAACCAGATTAGGATCGATAGCCAGGCCAGTGGGTGCTCTTGTTGATTCATGAACAGGCTCGAGTTGCGGCCCAATGATGGTGAAGTCTGTTGGACAGACCCCTATGGTGCTGTTGCCATTCTTTGGAATGGGTGCAGGACATGTGGTGGGGAATTGAGCAAGCGTTTGGGGAATGATGGCGAAAATCGTTGATAGGAGAACGGTACGCTTCGACTTCATGGTTGCAGTAGGTTGAGGAGAGGTGGAATACGGGTACTTTTGGCTCAATGTGCAAGTCTATATAAAATCAGCATTACTAATTAAAACGGCGCGGTATGCTTACTAGATCTGAGCTTGGGTGTACACGAGTTTGTATTCACACCAAGACTCTTGGAAGTTGGGGTGTTGGACAACTTCCCTACTTGTATTGGTTGACCCCGCAGAAGTAGTACTGCACGACGTCATTACTAATCTAGATGAAGAAGCATCGACTCGACACGAATTGATCGCGGCTAGGGTTAGAAAGCTAGCAATTGGTGGGGAAAGTGCAATCATTGTGGGAGGCACGTTTGAGAAGAATGTGATTTCGCGATTGCCTAGGTAAACATATTATGCCCGTAAGAGCACAATGCGGCTTCTACGCAGAACAACCATAACCTGGACTATCGCACATCAAATTTATGTCATGGTCCACGATGATAATCCATCGCGAATCCTCAGAAATAAGAGCTTGAAGATGGAGAACTTGCCCGATCATGTCTGATTCGCTGCATGATACATTGGAATATCTTACTTATTCTGTGCACCAGTATCCTACTCTATTAGTATAGCTTCATATGTTCATGGTCCTCTCGCGACTCACCAAATAGACCTGATAAAACTCCATCTTGACCTTCCCCTCGTCCTTGACTAACCGCGCATACGCCGCCCAGTCCACACTCGACTCCCCGCCAGCTTTCAGGCCGTAATTGACCGTTCCGTGCAGCATGACCTCGTTAGAGTTCGGACCATACGGGAATATCTTAATTGGGTTGTGCACACGGCTAGCGACCTTTTCCCAGAGACCTTTGCGGAGGGCAAGAATTTCTAGTGAGTGCAATGTGTAAGCGAGCGGTTCGGGGGTTTGGCTAAGGCTGCATGTGGAGGAAGGTACCTTGTGAGCCGTGCGCCTTTTTCGAGGCCATGATGAGCGTTGCATCTTTGGTAAAGTTCTCTACGTATGCATCATGCGCATCGGGCTTGTCGGAGGCTGCATAGAAGTCTTCGAAGAACTTCTTGAATGCGGGGTCGAACGGAATGGAGGGGTATTCGGATGTGTACGATGTCATTGTGTTTTCTCTTGCTTCTTGATGTCTTCAATGAGGAATGGGATGTCGTGGTATTCTATTATATACGATGATCTTTGGAGTAGTGCTTGACGTAAACACGTCCGAGGTCTCGCGTCGGGTAGCGCACCCAAGCGGCAATGTCCCAGTAGAGCATCATTGTGGATGCTCAAGGTAGGTGAAAACAAATGCTCTTGAGTACGCCTTGTTTGCCTCGACACCTCGTGCAAATCATACAAAATCAAATTGACACGCATTCGGAACTGCCATGAAGTGTTCTGGTTGATATCGGCAACGGCTTTTTTACCCCACTAGTTCGCCATTCGGCCAGTGTTGGCCTGCTAGCTCCACCTGCACTCGGCACTACATCGCACTTGAAGTATTTTCTATTGCAAGGACCTACTGCCGCACGCGCACTGTTTGTCTGGTGCATAGTATTTGATATATATATAAAGATGCGTTGAGAAAAATCATCAAATCACCGGAAGCCCGGCTAGCTCAATCGGTAGAGCGTGAGACTCTTAAGTATTCACGGTCTAATCATCTCGATTACGCGGTATCTCAAGGTTGTGGGTTCGACCCCCACGTCGGGCTACCTTTTTGCGTTTTGTTGCTCCTGCATTAACAGTTCATATTTTGCAAAGATGTGCGCAAAGCTATGCTTCGTAAGTAGAACTCCAGGAAAAGGACGCTTTGGTGGAATTAGGGCATTACTTTTCTTTTTGTATTGCATATTCATAGTTCGTATGCATGCGGCGAGCACGGAAATAGTTTATAGATCACCAATACGTTCTCTAATAACTCAGCTATCCTTCAGAATGCGCTCTACTAAAACCTACCTGCTTCTCGCTTTCCGGTAACCATTCATCCCGTAATTTGATCGTATCGTGCTAATTTTGATTTGCATCATACACCCTCGGTCTGACAACCGTAGTAACACCCGAGACTGTTTCAAAGAGATCAATGCTCCGATTTCACTTCATACTATCGCGGGTCGTTAGTCTTTGAGCAATAATTAGTGCTTGCAACAATTCACCCCGATTTTGCCACCATCGTTGCACTCGTTCGCACACACGGACACAAGCGCAGCAGTACGTACCAGATTGCCATCCAGCTGTTACCTACGCCAGGTGATACACTATCACACCAGACTCTAATCTTTCTTATAATTCGAGCCTTCGTCGTGATCGAGAAGCATGGTCGCCTCTAGCGCAATGCACCTTTTGCTGCCAGCCAAAATGAAGGTTACAAGCACCTCTCTCGACTATTACCAGACCATCGAACATGCAGCAGCACCCCACTCACACGTCAAGAGGAACTCTGTAGAGGCTTGCTGGTGTGTACGTACTCAGACAATGCAACTTAAAAGCTCACACGTAATTGCAGCCCATCCTCTTGTAATTTCTACCCCTAAGTTCTACCTTATCAAACATGAAAACCACACTCACTCTCCTGCTCACTGCCATCCTCGCCGTGAACGCTGCACCGCATGGAGGGTCTAACCTTGAACAACGACTGCCACCGGCAGTACCTCGTTCAGAACATGGAGATACCACGCCCCTTCCATGGTGTGGAGAAGCGACAACATCCTGCAGGAAAGAGGACTTTGGCCAAGTGAGATGCGCTTGTAACGAGGGACAAATTGTACGATTCCTTTTCGCCACTCTCGCTGGCTGATCTAAGGTGGGAGCAGGTCAGATGTAACGCTATTGCCCTCCCAGGGGCTGGCCAAGATGATTTTTCACGTAGGTAAAGCAGAGCGTAAGAATGCAGTGCTGAGGAGTTTGCAGTTTACCGGTGGGACAAGATGTACGATTGTCCGAGGCATGGCCACCAGCAGCAGTGTATCAAGGGACAGTGTGTCCAGTAGGTATATTGCAACGGCTGACACAAACGGTACATAATCAAATAAACCCTTGAATATCCACATGAAGTGGTAAAAGGTCTCTTTTCATATACAAGACTCTATGGCAGCTATTAAACATTAATCTTCGTCTTCCTCCAAAGTGAACTCCACCGGCCCTTTCGCCCCGTCCCTTTTCATGTTGACCTGAAATCGAACGCCAGCCATTCCCAAGAGCCCGGAGCTCATGACTAGTGAGGCTACATGGCTCTTGGGAAACTCCTCGGGCACCACCTTGCTATCTGATAATAGGCTCGCTGGTATCGCACTACGCAAGTAGTAGATGCGCGTGGACAAATACGGCACTAAAGGACTGAGGCGGAAGAAACGCGGTCCTTGTGGCACAGGTCTTGAACCCGAACTGTCGGCACGCTGGCGCTGTGTCTTTGTGTGCTTGCGACCTGTCGGTGCAACCGGCTGTTGTGCCTTCCGGCTCGTTGAAGTAGACGGCTGTTCCCGGACTGTTTTCGACGAGCTGGAGGCTGAAGCTATCGTCTGCTCGATGATGGCTGAATCAACGAACAACGCGCTGGAGTCTCCGACGTGGCACCCTTGCATAATCTCATCAAGTTGAATAGGCTCAAATGAAGCACCTTTGTTTCTGGAGAAATTTTGTTCGAGAATGGAATTGCCCTGAAGCAACTGCGGTTCAGACGCGCCGTGAAATTCGTGCATGTGTTGTAGAAATTCGTCTTCAGATGTGTACAGAGTCTGTTCGCACTCCCGGTAGCGGTGGTAGTGCTGAGCGTGCTCCACGTGGAAGGATCTGTAGCCAGCACCACACAAGTGGCAGTGGTGAGCCTTCGGCGACGGGAATTGTGGGCATAGAGGAGGTCCAGCATTCTCAGCAGCAACATCGTCGAACGACCTATTACGTCAGTACGACTCATCAAGAAGAAACAATCTAAGTCAACTCACCGAAGGAACCGACAACTCCAAACACGACAATGAGAGTGCTCGTTCATAGCATCAACATTGGCAAATACCTTCCGACAGTAGCGACAACGGAATGGTCCAGCTGCACCTGGCGAGCATAGGTTCTCCAAGTGGTTTTCTAAACGCTCCGGCCACCATGTCGACCGATCCCAATCGCCTGCTGCCATATGCTCAGCAACATGTTCACAACGCTCACTCCAGTCTTTTGCTCGTTTTCCGCAAAAGCCGCAACAAAGCATAGGATCATCAGCTTTGATAGGTGCGCCGAATCTTCTCCATTTTAAGGCAAGATCCTTGCAGCCAAAATTGCCCCCTTCGCTGTCGAGTAGGCGTGTCTGGCAGCCGAGGCGGGCTGACGGATGCTTGACGTTGGCAAAGTGCACATGGTGTAAGTGTTGAATGAAGTGATCTCGGCGGTAGAAGGTTCGTTGTGACTCTGGCTTGTTTCGGCATTGGTGGTATTTGTGGCTAGCCATGTGGGACTCGTCGGGTCGCATCTGCCCGCAGAAAGGGCATGACAGAAGTGGAACATTCTTGCTGTCGCAGCAAATCCATGTGGTCCGCAGTGCGTGGACAGAATCCTCATGACGGATCCACTCGTATTTGGTTTTAAAGGCACGTGGGCAGAATGTGCAGCAGAAAGGAAGATTCTCTTGAGGTACACCCGCACTGTTGAGACCGTTCAGCTTCGTCCTTGTGTACGGAGATTGCTTCCATTCCATGCGTCGGCGGCCACGTCTTCGAGCTCGCCCAAATGATGACATGTTACTGCCGCTGCTATATGTCGTGGGTGCTGTGCCGTCAGAGGAGGCCACTGATGTGATGACTGAGCCAGCCCTGCCCACCCTGTAACTTGAAGATCCGTCGAACTGGAAAGCACTTTTATCGCTGATTGAACCGTCATCCATAGCAGCTTGGATGGCAGAATAAGGTACGGCTTCCTCCTGATACGACTGTGCCAAATATACAGCAAGAGGTGGCTGAGGTAATTGGATTGCTTCATCTGCCAGTTTATCCAGGGCTTCAAGGCTGTCACGGGAAAGTTTCGATGATAGGGAGGTAACGCTTCCGTTGGGATGCGACGTGACAACGTCAGATGATTCTTGGATATATTAGTAGAGCTCCAGTAAGCGCAACAAGCAACGCACCTGGGGACTCTGGCTTCTTTCGGGCACGAGTGTTGTTGAACCAATTTCGCACCCGTTTCACATCCAAATTAGCCTGATGAGCAATTATGTCTATCTCCCATGAGCATGGGTACGGGTTTGCTGCGAACTCTTCCTCCAGCATCTGCCTAGCTTCCACCGGTAGGCGAGTGGATGGACCTTTTCGTTTGGCCGATGCGGGCTTCAAAGTAACGGTGTTGCTCCGTTGGGGACGCACGAGTTGGTTTGTTTCTTGCCTCAGCGTAATCACCTCCCCTTCCCGTGGCATAGGGTGATGTTGCCATGAGTACGAGGCAGTCCTGCTGTGGTGATCTGTGAGAGTCTGAGGCACCATGGATATATCGTGGACTAATGGTGACATTGGATCAGCTTGAAAGAAGTTTGGCGTAGGTTCCTCGGGTATGCTGAAAGAGAAATCGGACGGTATGTTCATGGCCCCCACATCCGCTCCAATGCTAGGCTGCCAGTCCATAGCACTATCTGGCCCAAGAAAGGGCATAGCCTGTGCCGAAGAATCATACTGTAATGAAGGGTCGAACCCATCGTTATCCTTCTCTAACTGGGCAAAGTCAAAGAACTCATCCAGACTGTCGAGTGGTTCGCCGGCCATGGTCGCTCAGGTTAGGCCAGACGGGAGTGGCTTAAGATGGCTTGCTAAGGTCCCGCGTCTTCGGCAGCAAGGAGAACTAAGACGTACGATGTTAAGTGTATCATGTCAGGAAAGTGCAGGCAACACCTGGTTTTGAGATGGGCTGTCTGACGGTGAGTGATGAAGAAGGCGTGCGGGGATCATCATCAGGCTGCCAGGCTGGAATTGGCACTATACTGCATCGAGAGATCTTCAGAAGGAACACCCTCCTCGATCGCTGCTACAATTGGAAGTCGCATTTGGAGTTCGCGCATCTGCGCAGATTGAAATTGCTCCGACGCGGCGCGGGATGGAATCCAGTGTGCCAGTGAACGCATCCGCGCAAGGTGCAGGCGGGACGGACGGTGGGGAAGTGCGCTAACCCAGCAACGGAAAGCGCGACTTCCACCCAAAAAAAGTTCGGGCGCAAAGTGCAAGTGCGACCGCAACGACGACACTGTCAGTTCCCTCGCAACGTACTGCCCACAATGGCCGCCGAAGTCCAGCCTCTGCAGCCCATAAAGCTGCCCAAAGGTCCCTCGACTATTACCGCAGAGCAAAAATATTGGTCGTCCTTCGGCACCGAGCTTCGTCTTGACCCATCGCAGCATTCCTCGCCCATAACGCATATCTCCATACCGCCACGGCCCGCCTCAAACCTCCTCGGCCCCGCACAAGACCTCTTCGCAGTCACCACAGGCTCACGCGTTCAAATCTTCTCGTCGAAAACCCGTAAGCTTGTGAAGAACATCTCAAGATTCGGCGTAGATGACATTGCGCACTCGGGCAACATACGGCGAGATGGGAGAATTGTGATCGCAGGAGGGGACAGCGGGACGATACAGGCATTCGATGCGAACAGTCGGGCTATTTTGAAAACTTGGAAAGAACACAAGCAGCCGGTATGGGTGACAGAGTGGAACCCAAGCGAGCTCACGAGCTTGATGAGCTGCTCTGACGATCGCACCGTACGACTATGGGATCTACCGGCAGACAAGAGCATCACCACATTCGATGGGCATCAAGATTACGTGCGCTGCGGAACGTTCATGCCCGCGCAGAGTGGGCTGCTGGTATCCGGTAGTTACGATCAGACGGTGCGTTTGTGGGATTCAAGAACCGGAGGAAAGGCAGTCATGGTGTTCAAACATGCTGCTCCCGTGGAAGCCGTTCTCCCTATGCCATCAGGAACCGCGGTCCTCGCCTCAAGTGAAAATACGATCAGCGTTCTTGATGTGGTGGCTGCAAAACCAATGCATCTCCTGCGCAACCACCAAAAGACCGTCACCGCGCTCTCTCTCGCAAACAATGGCGAACGCCTTCTCTCGGGTGCACTTGATGGGCACGTCAAGGTTTTCGAGACCACGGGCTGGAACGTGGTGGCAGGCATGAAATACCCCTCGCCTATTCTTTCGCTGAGCGTCATACCGTCCCAAGGCGAGGACAAGCATGTTGCAGTTGGCATGCAGTCCGGGTTGCTGTCGATCAAGACCAGGCTATCCGGCGAACAGAAAGCTCTTGCGCGAGAGCGCGAGAAGGAAATGCAAGCCCTCATGGCGGGCAAGATTGAGGAATACGACCGAACGAAGAAGCGCAAGCGTGGGAAGGGATGGGAGAAGAAAATGCGAGGACGCGACTTCACCGGCGAAGGCGCTGATATCGTCATTGACCCGAACTCAAGAGGAAAGATTCATGCCAGTTTCCCCTGGGCGAATTGTCTACGAACAGGACAGTATGCAAAGGCACTGGATATTGTGCTAGCGCAGAAGGTACAAAACAACTTTCGAAATGCTAGTTGTATAAAACACTGACATCACAAAATAGGGCAACAACGCTAAAGAACACTCAATAACAGTTTTCACTGCTCTGCGCCATCGCAGCGCCCTTAACGCTGCTCTCGTCAACCGCGATGAGATCACACTCCAGCCTGTCCTGCGCTGGCTCATCAAGTACATTCCCGACTACCGCATCACGCGACTCACTACCGACATAGCGCTAGTCGTCCTCGACTTGTACGCTGATCAATTGGGGCGCAGCGAGGAAATCGACACGCTGTTCGATCAACTGAACCAAAAAGTGAAAGATCTCGTCGAGGCAAGCCAGGCTGCATGGGGCGTTAAAGGAATGCTTGATATGCTGACTGCGACGGCTGGAGCGCAGAGGATGGATGCCATCGAGAGCTAGAAATGGAAGGAATCAGATGACAGACATTTTCGAATTGCATAGCGACGGCGTTGATTTTGTAATGTATGGGAAAAAGTCGAGAGATACCCGGATGAAGCATGTTGCTTTGGATGATGGGATGGGATGTGTTGGAATGTCTGCTTGAATGGTATATGATACATGCCTATGAAAGGCAAATGCTAGTCTATTGCACATCCCTTGGTATACATATGTTACAAAACTGGATGACGGCGACTACCACAGGCAATACTGCCTCTGTGTGGTAACGGGCCGGTCGGGAAGGGGTACCCAGAGTGGCTTGTTCGCGCGCTTCTTCTTGATTTCATCTGAGATACGCATGCGTGTCTTCTCCTCCTTGAGCAAGACATTGAATTCTGTGAGACAGTCAGCATTGGCATTCATGTAGAGGAAGTGACACAGTGGAAGATGTTGAGCACCCCATGCCACCCAAAGGGTGTGCAGTGTGTTACATCAGCCGTTGTGCTTGGGAAGAACTCACTCGCTGACCGATGGTGGAGAAGGTTCGTTCTTCCTCGCGCCCTGAACTCTACGCTCCTTGTCTCCGGTCCCTTCGACGCCCACGCCTGATCAACATACATCTCCGTCGAATCTGTCACCGTTTTCTTACTTCCATCTCTAAGCTCAATGACCGTGGCCTTCTCCTTCGTCCCTCTCCTCCTCGTACCGTCAGCAAGATATCCCCTGCTCCTCTCGCTCTTCTTCATTTTCCCGGCCTCGATCAACGCATCCTCCTTCGCCACCGTCTCTGCATCAACAGCAGCACCAAGACCCATTCCGCGCGCCGCAATAGCCTCATCGCGTGCAAGTTGCAGACCCTTGACGATATCGCGAGCAACGCGCTTCTTAGAGAAGCGCAGTTGGATAAGCGCTTCCTCGACGGTCTTGCCAGCGATTTGGTGCATGAGCCGCGTCATCTTTTTCAACGATGTGGGAAGGTCCTGCGATTTGTACACCATCTCCCGCTCTGTCCTCTTCAGGCGGAGTGTCTTGCCCTCGCGTTTCTTCCGCAGGCCCCTAATCACCAGTTTCCGCTCGTACGAACGGCGGGCTGAAGGTAGAGGGTCAAGCCTGAGGGCGTGCAGCCGCCTGCTTGTCTCAATCGCCCGTTCTTCATCTCTGCTCTTATTCTCCTCTTTCAGAGCTTCGAGTTCGGCGGGAGTCATGCCCATGCGATAGCCGGGGATTTCGAATTCTTCTTTGAAGAGTCCGGTTTTCGAGAGGCCGCCGGTTTGGGGGACGGGGCGTGTAGGCTTCTCTTTGGGGTTGCGCTTGGAGAGGTAGTCGTCGAGGATGGGGTTGGTGAGGTCGACCTCTTTGTTGTCGTCGTTCTTAGCAGACCGGGCGGAGGAGTTGGTGAAGGATCGGTTTGAGGTAACCCAGTACGTTGAGCGCGGTCGGAAGGCGGCAAGACATGGCTGTCCAAGTCTCCGGACTGGTATTCGTGCGGCCATTGGGATGTGCGGCTGCCCAATGGTCGGTGTTGATGGACGATGCTGTCGTTGGAAGATTTCTGAGGAACGGCGCTAGGCGACCAGTCGCGTGCAGGGGTCGCGGCACCGCATATCACGTGACCTTGCAGATCATCATCTGATGCCTTTCAACGGCGCGATCGGCTTCCCTAACATGCAACAAGCGCAAAACTTCTGCTTGTGCTAGACAGCTAGACAGGACCCCTTCTCCATTCCTGCTCTTGCGCGCATCCAAACCCACCAAAAACCGCCTCGCATCGGCACAAGTTGCCATCAGATTAGATTCGCGAGGCGGCTGCAAGCTGTGCCGTCATTAGCTGCGTCGCTGGACCCGCACTGCCGAAGCCCTAGCTTGACGTGTTTGATTCTTCCTCCAGACCTGCCGAGACTGTTCAAGGTCTTTGGCGCAGTTGTCTCTAGCTCTTCGCTCGCCCTTGACTCCTCCGAGTCCCAAGCTGAGCTTCTTCGCCGCGAACCCAGCCCGAGTCCATGTTGCTCGCCGTGAGCCCCGTCCGCTTCACTTTTGACCCATAACGGTCCCTGCAGCAGTGCAACGGCACTGAAGACCAGGCGCATTCGTCTGCGCGAACAAAGCAACAGCAGTATCAGCTGCTAGGCGCGCATAGGAGTTGTGTGCATATAGGGACACCGCTGGGAAAGAAGAGAAGGCACCATGGATATCAACTCGCTGTTGTCCCCGCAGGACTCGCCGGCGCAAGAGACGCCTCCACCGCATCCAGCGCTCGGTTCGCCGTCGATACAGTCTGCAGGGAAGCGCGCGATCCGGCAGATACCCTCGCGCACATCGTCCGGACTCAGCCAGCAGCTCACGTCTTCACCGCAACCCCACCTGTCCTACCACCAGCACAAGCAGCCCTCACCAGGTCTTACCTATACCAATGGCACCCGGGCGATCCACAGCGCGACGAGCACGCCGCCAGAACGACCCATCCATTCTCCGCGCGATGCACGAATGACCCCTCCAAACCCGTTGCTTCGGCAAGCTTCGACTCCTGGTATGGACACTTTGGCAGATTTGGCGGCAATGCAGCACCAGCATGCAAGACAAAATGCCGCTGCGCAAAGACCAACTTTCAGGTAGGTTCCTAATCTTTCATGATTTGGAGAGCCGTGAAGTGCGCGCTGTAACTGAAAGCGATGACGTGTGAGCCGCCTTATAAGATTCCATTTGCGCTCATACGCGATGTTGCTTTTTCAGCGAAGGTGTATCTTTCAGAAGCTCCCGCACGCATGTCACGCGTCGGTCGCGGTTGCCTGCGTTGGCGGTCTTGGCGCTATTTTCACTTCACTCACTAATTAACGCACTTACAGTCTCCAAAACATCCCGCGCACGATCTCCGGAAGCTCTACAACCGACATGAGCATGAGCGAAGCTTCGCCGCAGATCAGAAACTTCGCGGCGCGTGCGCTTGCTCCGGAGCACGTCGATTACCTCACACAGCTAGACAAGTCATTGAGCGAGAACTCGTTGGATTATTACAGCCATGTCAACTTTGTTACTACGCTCCACCAAGGCTTTCAGTACCACATGTCCGCGATTGACCCTGGAAATCCGCAGTCTTATGAGTTATTATCCATACTTCAAGAGGCGGGCGCGAGCATGGCCAAGATGTATCCGCTCGGGGAGACTCTGTGGCAATACCGACTTGAGGATGAGAAAGCATTAGCTACTAACGTGGAGGACCACATGGCTGTGCTCGAGCTCTACAAGTTGGCGACACAAGATGAGCCGGCCAGCGCTATGATATGGGTAGCCTACGGCGAGTATCTCAGCCACCTATTAGCCTGTTCCTGGGAGCAACACCCACCAGAACAGTGGCCTGAAGAGGAAAGGGCCATAGGACGCGAACTGTTCACTCCCGTGCTACTCCAAGATGTTTGGCGACAAGGCGCAGAGAACGTCAAGTTTAACCTCCAGGACAGCAGCCTTGTCTGGGATCGCTACATCCAATTCTTGCAAGAAGATCTCGACCGAAGCGCTTCAAACCAAGAGAAGCAGGAGAAAGCCATGCGTATCACCGCAATCTACCGTGAGCGGCTTGGTCAGCCTCATGCGACGTGGGGCGAGACATTGTCAAAATACGCCTCATTTGTCTCGCGTATTGGCGGGAACGCTGAGGAAGCCATGGAGCAAGCCGTCCAGCAAAATACGCATATCAAGCAGCAATACACCAACCGCGAAGAGTTCGAGTTCAAGTTACTACAAGCTACTCAAGCAGGCGACAAAGACGCCGAGTACTACGCGCTTACCCGATATTTGAAATGGGAGAAGAAGACAATGGGCGTCTACAGCTTTCCTTTGGTCAACGCCTTATTCGAGCGTGCCACACTTCGCTTCCCCGTAGACTCTACCTTGTGGGAAGATCATGTTGAGTTTCTGATCTGGCAGCAAGACCGTTCAGTTGACCTTCTGAGTGTCCTCGAGCGTGCGACCCGTCATTGCCCATGGTCTGGATCTCTCTGGTCACATCGCATACTGACGCTAGAAGCTGAGCACAGGGAGTTCAACGAGATCGAAGGGATTAAACATACCGCGACACGAACTGGGCTGCTAGAGCACTCCGATATAGAAGAGCTTATCAAAGTTCAGATCGCTTGGTGCGGTTATCTCCGGCGCAGAGCTTTTGATGTCAAGGCTTCAGAAGATGACGCGGATATTGCTGAAGTCGGTATACGCTCGGCATTGGAGTTGGTTCGTGAGGTCGGAATGAAGAAGTATGGCAGGGACTGGCCCGGTGACTCAAGATATCGTCTTGAGCGCATTCACATAAAGTTCTGGCTCCAGCGAGGCAACCCAGAAGAGTCGCGACATATTTTCGATTCTCTCGTCAAGCACCATAAGGATTCGTACGACTTCTGGTACCGCTACTACATCTGGGAGATGGTTTTGTGGGCCAACAATGCAACGCGGGACAAGAGCAATGAAGGCCAACAGCTATTGTTACCCACGCGAGCGACAGCTGTCCTTGAGCTCGGTATGCAGCAACTCCATACCATCGACCATCCGGAGCCGTTGATTGAGATGTACGTCAACCACTGCGAGCAACACGAAGGTGTGCTCAAAGTGCGGAGCGCACAGATCGAGCGACGTCGCGCAGATCGTATTGTTGCCATTAGGAAACAGAAGGAAGAGGCAGCGGCAGCAGCGAGACAAACTGAGCAGCAACAACACAACCACGCTGCAGACGGGTCCGGCAAGCGAAAGAGGGAAGATGGCGCCGATCCCGATCCCGCCGTCAAGAAAACAAAACCCCTTGAGGCCGGGGAACCGCAACTTGTGGCGAACGATGTCAGACATGCAAGCGAGGCACCATCTGATGCAGGATCTATCAATCAAAAGAGAGACCGCGAGAACACATCCATTATTGTACAACGACTCCCCCAAAGCGCAACACAGACCAAGATCCGCCAGTTCTTTAGCGACGCTGGTAACGTGCGCAATGTAACCATGAAGCCTGAAAAGGACAGCATGGTCGCGATTGTTGAGTTTGAAACTCCAGAAGAGGCAGACTATGCTCTGATAAAGGAGGCGAAGGGATTCGAGGGACACGATATCACCATCAAGCGCGGTCAAAATACCACGCTGTATGTCGCGAACTACCCTGCTCACGCTGATGAACCATACATACGAAAGCTCTTCGAAACGTTTGGAGAGATCCTGAATGTCCGATTCCCATCGCTCAAATACAATACTCATCGCCGGTTCTGCTACATCCAATTTGCGAATGGCGACGATGCGATCGCAGCCACGAAGCTCGACGGCACAGACGTGGAGGGCTTAAAGATCATTGCAAAGATCTCGAACCCGAATGCGAAGAAGAAACGCGACGGTGCGACTGCTGAGGGACGTGAAGTATACGTCTGGAAGCTCAACTTTAGGATCAAGAAGCGCGAGATACAAGAGGCCTTTGCGCAGTTCGGCAAGATCGATCGAGTCAACATTCCTACCTTGGTAAACGGAAACAATAAAGGGTTCGGCTATATCGTTTACGAAAGGAAAGAGGTATGAGCATTTGATTCTACTGCGCTCATATGCTGGACTCTACTGACGTAATATACAGGATGCTGATACAGCTGTCGCTGAAATGAACGGCAAAGACTTCTGGGGAATGGAACTGAAGGTAGAGATCGCGCACGATCGCGGCGACACGAAGCCGAAGGTCAAGTCAACGATCGAAAACGCAGCATCTCCAGCAGAGCGAGAAGCAACACCCGGCAAGCAGGATGCGACAACGGGTACGAAAGGAGACCGGACCATCGCGCTTCTCAACGTACCGGATACTGTGAATGACGTTCGCATCAAAGCTCTCGCCGAACCTTACGGATACAAGAAGATCACACTCATGCCGCAGCATGGTGGCGCTACTATAGAGTTCGAGACCGTGGAGCAGGCTGGTAAAGCTGAGATCGCCCTCCAAGGCATTAAATTCGAGGGTAGGAACCTACGCATTGGACGATACAAGGATCTGGTTGCGCAAAAGGGAGAGTGGAAGGCGGGAAACAGCTTCGTGCAGCCTACGCGCGTGAACAGGCCTACTGCTACTCGCGGCAGTGCTCGCGGTGGCCTTCGCGGCCGCGGGAAGCCTGGGCTAGGATCAAGGCCAGTGGTGCCTCGAGCAACTGGTGAGGCTAATGGGAGAGAAGCGAAGAGCAACGACGACTTCCGTGCCATGCTACTGGGCAAGGAGAAGGCGTCAGATGAAAAGACGGAGTAGCATGGGCATTTCGGCATTTACGGGATTTTCTGCATTTGGAGGAGTGTAAAAGGAATGGATACGGATGCATCATGAGCGGAGTTGCCCAAGGAAACGCAATGCAACGGAAGCGTTGTGGGCTTGGGGACCGGTCCGTTGTATGTATTGTAGTATAGTAATGTTAATATCGAGCATCGCATTGTCTAGCATGCAACCACATCATAACTCTAAGACATGCGTGTGCACATGTTATATCATATTCGCGAGAATTTGATCGTTCATCATGGCAGCATCCTGTGCAATCGATCGCTACGACCAATACATTTACCGTCGATCTAGCTGACCTCGGTGGTACGTAGGTTATTAAGCCGCCAAGCCATGACATCAACCATTTTGCAGTACACTTTCGTTCCTCCATCCCACACTGCATCACCAATTGTTGGGCGTCTTTAGCATTTCACTGAACACAATGGCGAACGCGCGTCTTGCAATTCGCTCCTCGAGAGCTTTCTTCTCTCTCGGCCAGCCAGCGCGGCCTTTCTCCGTCTACGCGGCGCGATGCAACGAATTCGAAGCTCTGAACAAGCGCGCCAACGACACCGCTCCCGAGTATCGCAGGATTCAGACCTCTAGGACGGTCAACCCTCATTTGACCAACACTACCTCGACCATTGCCAACGAAATGCCAAACGTAGGCAAGGACGCGCCGCCTCCAGAGCTGCTCACTTCTGTTGATTCGAGCTTCACACCCAAAGATGCAGTACCGGAGAACACAGAGCGCATGACTGGTGGCACACAAGGTAGCAAGAGCGAGGACGTTAGTGGGTCGAACCAGGATCTCAAAGGCACGAAGGAACTCGGTGTAGGAGAATTGGAGGGTGCATCTTTCAAGGTGGAGCCGTTGAGGCGAACGGGCGAGGACGAGAACACCATGCGGGCGAGGTTATTATGTCCGTTTCCTATCCCATCCACAACATGCTTGTCGCCTCTCTTTCTTTGCCCAACGTAACCGAAGGGGATTGAGATGGTAGTTGTGGATGTGCATCTCTCGTCGAAACGACTAACTGGTAACAGATCAGTGCCGCAAGAGGGGAACCCTCGAAAGTGAGCTTCTCATGTCCACCTTCGCCGACGAAAACCTTGCCACCATGAACGCCAAGCAACTTGAGCAATTCGACCTCTTTCTCGACGAGAACGACTGGGACATTTACTACTGGGCGACGCAAGAACCCACTCCAACATCCATGGAAACGGCGGAGGGACAGTCGGGCGAACTTGCGACTGAGAACGCGCGGGGTCAGGAGAAGGACGAGTGGAAGAGGCAGCCTGCGAAAGGCGAGTGGGCGCAAACGGTCGGCACGTTCAAGCCAGCGTACCGACCTGTGCCGGCGAGGTGGAAGGACAGCGAAATTCTTACTATGCTAAGAGACCATGTCACAAGTAGGAGTGCTGGTGGCGTGCAAGAAGGAGGCGCGAAGGTGGGCGGGAAAGGTTTGGCACAGGGAGTCAAGGGTACGGGCGGTGGTGGACTAGGGATGATGCCTGAGATTCGACAATTTGACAAGTAGAGTACAGGTCAGTGCATTTGCTTGATCTTCCTGTATCATCCACTGTAGTACTATAGGCTTGTATCGCCACCCAGCCAATTCACCGTCTTAGCATCATTAATCCAACACCAAACTCAATCTTCGTCAACTACGCTAGAAAGGCAGCGCATCCGGCCCGCATCTTCAGTGCCCTTCTAATCCTGTATTCTTCAGCCCTGTTGCGGATGGCTTTCCCAAAGCACATGTACAATTGCCGGATCCACTCGTACAAGACCCGGGTCAGAAGGTTCGAAACCCAAGATATTCCGGAGCGTGGCGGGCGCCATCACGCGAGGATATTAACGCGCCCAATCCAGGATCAAATGTCAGGCATGGTTGATACCCCGGACCCCACTAATTCACACGTTTTCACCTGTCGGCAATCTACCTGACATACCCGGTGACACTGGTAAGTTATGAAACAGGACCTTATTGGCGCAAGATTCCCCACTTCCCGCGCAGACGATCCGTTTTCCACCTAAAACAATATGAACGGAGGCAGTCCCCAACACAGAATAGTAGGGAGTGTTAAACATGTTTATAAGAGACCAAAAGAATCATTATGAGATGGGGCGTCGAGATCGCCATTCACACCTCCACGCTACCGCTGACATCGATCCACCATGCGCCTCACCTCCTTCCTCCCAGCGCTCTTCGCCGCCCCCGGTCTAGCGGCTCTCGCCTTCAAAGGTGTAGACTGGTCCTCTCTCCTCGTCGAAGAAAAGGCCGGCCGCACGTACAAAAACACTGCCGGTCAAGTGCAACCCCTTGAGACTATTCTAAAGAACTCTGGCGTCAACACTGTGAGGCAAAGGATCTGGGTCAATCCATCTGACGGCAACTACAACTTGGACTACAACATCAAGCTCGCCAAACGCGCACAAGCCGCCGGCCTGCAGATCTATCTCGACATCCATTACAGCGACACCTGGGCGGATCCCGCGCACCAGACGAAGCCCGCTGCTTGGGCTAGTCTGAGCACGGATGCGCTGGTCACGCAGGTCTGGAAGTATACGAGCGATGTGATGAACACCTTCCAATCGAATGGAATCAAGCTCGCCCTCGTCAGCATCGGTAATGAAATCACGCCCGGCCTGTTATGGAACACAGGCAAATTGAGCAACTCGGGTGGTCCGAAGCTTGTCTCGCAGCTGTTGAAGAGCGCAAGCAACGGTATCAAGGAGAGCAACATATCCCCCCAGCCCAAGATCTTAGTCCACCTCGACAACGGATGGAAGTCGGATACGCAGACGTGGTGGTATGTACCTCATCAACAAGACGTTGATATTTCAGACTAACATGCCAAAGGTACGACACCGTCCTCAACGCTGGCGGCGGTTTCTGGACCGACTCCTTCGACGTAATCGCCGTGTCCTACTACCCCTTCTACAACTCCGCGGCTACCCTCGCTTCCCTCTCGTCCTCCCTCAACACCATCTCCTCAAAGTGGAACAAAGAGGTCATGGTCGTGGAGACAAACTGGCCCACCAGCTGTCCCAAGCCTGCCTACGCGTTCCCCAGCGATGCGAAGAGCATCCCCTTCAGCAGCGCAGGACAGACATCCTGGATCAAGGAAGTCGCAAAGCGCGTGTCGGGCGTACCGGGCGCAAAAGGAACAGGGCTTTTCTACTGGGAGCCAGCTTGGATCGACAATGCTGGACTGGGCAGCTCTTGCAACTCGAACCTCATGGTGGATTCAAGCGGTAAGGCGCTGGATAGTTTGGCGGTCTTTGGCCAGATCTAGGTTATCAACAATACTTATCCAACGGATCAATAAGAGAACATTATTCCCCTTCGACTATCAAATTCTCAGACTTCAAAGAGTGCTGCGTGATGTTGGACGTGCCATTAAGGTTTCTGCATGCAGATCTCATTTCGCTATCAACCTACCTGTTCAAGCGATCCGCAACGAGAGAAGCGACGCGCGTCAAAACCACTTTCGTACCACCACCACCAACTTCGTCACTGTTCCCGTTGCCGACATGCCGTCTTCAGACAGACAGTACGGAATGGGCAAGAAAACCGATGAAAAATGTAGCCTGGTGTGGGTGACGTAGTTGCGGATTTTTTCCTAGGTTCTCTGCCACAACGACCGTAAGACAACTAAATGCAACACACGCAACAGCATACATATACCTTCAACCCCAGCGAGCGAGCTTCACAACAAATAAGAACCTTCTTCTACTTTCCTTGCAGACGACTCGAACTCACGCGCCTTCTATCTTTCATCCGATCTCAATACTCAAAAATCGCAAAAACTAAAGGCCAATTCGAAGTCCCGGCTCAAAGAACCCAATCATGAGTTTTTGTTTGATTTGTCGGAAGAAGCTGTAATTGTATGGTATATATAGGCACTAGAGTTGTATGGAGTGAGGGGTGAAGGCTTTGTGTTTCCAGGAGATATTGGCTGGTGAAGGGAAAAAGTGAAAGGTGAAAGGCGGCCAGTCTACTGAGCGACATAACGACGTACTAGGAAGGGACGCATGACCAAGTTTATCTCAGCAGTAAGTATTTCTCGAAGGCCACGTTTGCACATGTTCAGGTCGATCGTTATTGTATCAATTCATTATCTACCCTTCCATCTCTATCCATCACGACTCGTCCCCACCAAAAACCTTAAACGGATGCGCCTCCGTATTAAACACCCAAGCATTCTTCCCGTCCTTGCCCACCTGCCACTCCGCCTCGGGCGCATGAATCAGATAACTATACTTCAGCACCTCGGCGAACCAGAAGCTCTCTTGGAAATCCGTAAACCCTCCTCCACCCGCAACATTCACGTTGCTGATGCTGGAATAGCCCGATCCCACCCGCGTAGTCGCGTTGATGGCTGTGAACGCATCCCACGCCCACTCCTGGTACTTCTCGTCGCCCGTCGCGCGGTACGCGTAGTAGTACGACTCGATGACCTCGGGGCGTAGCTGGTAGCCGCCGTCGCGGATGTAGAAGCCCGTCTTGTTGAAGAAGGCGGATTGGTTGGTGGGCACGCTGGCGTCGTCCCAGCCGAAGGTCTCCGGGCCGATGCGCGTGGCGGTCTGGATGTACGTCTCGTGGCAGCCGTTGACGAGCTCGAGGCCGAAGTCGATGTACTCCTGCTTGCCCATGACCTGTCCTCCGAGGATGAAGTTGCCGCCGTCGAAGCAGGCGAGGTGCTGCGAGATCTTGGTAATGTTTTGCCCGTTGTAGATGGCGAGCCAGGTGATGTCGGGGCGGGGCGTGGGGTGCGAGGCGAGGTGCGCGATTGAGGAGTCGACGGCGAGGACCCAGCGGTCGAGGTAGGTGCTGTACCGTGTAGGGTCGTAGACGTACATCTTGATGAGGTACTCATAGAAGGAGTCTGTGCCGCCGGTCCAACCACCGCTGGCATCTGTGAACTCGCCTGTCTTCGGGTCGATGCTTGAGCCTACTAGTCCCGGCCAGGGCTCGCTTGAGGCGGGCTTAGGATTGAGAAGGTATGATTCGCCTTTCTCGGCAAGCTCGCCGTAGGTCGTGTTGCCAGTGAGATCGGCGAGACGGACCCATTCCAAGACTAGAGTGCCGACGGTGGCAAGCCCGTTGTTGGATCCGTCGTTGCTGCGTGTACTGAAGTCGAGATTGTTGTACGGAACGCCCGAGGGGGTGTCGAAGGCGTAAGATAGTGCGTTGGCTAAGTTCTTGGACTGCTCGAGCAGGGCATCCACATTTGTCTTGTTATCGGCGAGATCGGCCAGAGGTCCACTCAAGAAGTCGTAGCCTGAGATCATTCCAGCCAGGTATCGAATTGTCGTCTCAAACAAGGAAACCTCTGACGGGGTTTCATAATAGTCGATAGTCGGGATATAGTCAATGATCTGATTGACGATGTCCTTCTGCTGCATGACCAAAGCTGTACTCAACGCATCCACAGCGGATGCTCCCCATTGGTTTCTGCGAAAGTAAATCAACAAAGTAAGCTACAGTGCACATGGGAATGATCGTACCGTGAGTTACTGAACCCGTTCGTAACTGGCTTGAGCTCGTCATTTGGGAATGCATATTGGTAGTACCTTCTCATAGATTAGCTTTTACTGCATGGCAGATGCTCTATGTTGCACATACCCTTCCCAAGCGGTTCTGAAGGTGTCGACAACACCTTGTGCTCGTTCATCCGCAGGCGGCAGGTCCTGTCTCTTCACGTATGGCTTTGTCTGCCTGGGGAGGGCAGAGGCACCAGACAACAGCACTGCTACCGCGACTGCACGCTTGATTACTGCCATCGTGATTGCTCCTGTGCAGTTTTTGAGGCAATTCCAATGAAGGACCGCGGTGGGTGTCGCGACAGTTTGCGAAAGCGCCCATATATACGTCCTGTACAGCCTCTATGTGCAGGCATCATTGTTCAGGTTGTCGGCAGACAAGCAGGGATGTACTCCCATCTGACACTAAAGATGCATGCATCCGAAATGCGGGCTTAAGACCCACCCAGGTTCTGCCTGTCCCCGTACTTTTACTGTTCTCGTGGCTAAACAAGCTTCGCGCCACCTCCGGGAGGGGCGTCAGATTGGTGCGGGCGGTTTGCTTGGGCAGGACCAAGATAGCTGTGGGATGATAGCGCGTCGCGAGAGCACCTAACGGCGTCACATCTTTGGAAGGTGTGAACCTGAGGTTACCGGGCGCCTAAGAATCAGGACGGGGCTCTGCGCGCTATCGAAAGTGTCGATCTTAGAGCTGCCCCCTTGGTCGTCAGCAGACAGGGTGGAGCGCTGGCGCAAAGCCTTGGAGCATGCTGTCTGGCGTCATTAGGCAAGCTAAGGCCGGGGTATCTCTGGGGAGCAATGTCCGGTGACGGAGGACGGAAGCGTTGTCGAAAGAAGAAGCTGATTTGGGGTCCGATTTCACATGTAAGGGATTGAATTAGTGCTGTAGAGATCAAATGCGCCTTTTGGGGGAGGCTTATCTTGTCCTGTTCGAGGAGGGGTGGTTCCTGGATGCTGCGTTAGCCGCCAATGGAATGCGGGGGATCCGATCCGCCCCCAGGACCCATGCTGGGCCACAGCCATCCGCGGAGGCACTATTTATACGTCAAAGCAAGCAGTCGACAAATGAAATAAGTAGGATTCATGGAGCTGCATGTTAAGATGGGAGGATACCTAATGCCAAGCTGTAGATCGCCTGGAGTTTGGATCCCGCAGATAATTATCCAGTTCGTGGGCTCAAGTCTCACGAATCGCTGCTATGTCCTGCCCTGTCAAGCAAAGTCTCCCACGCCAGCACCCGGTGACAAAATGTATGCCAAAAGCACATGTCGTAAAACGCGAGATTTCGCACACAAGTGAACACACATTGAAGCACAAGGTCACTCTAGATGCACCCGTGTCTCACAAGACTAGTGGCTGGCCCGTTGACTGAGACATTTCGCCAAGCCACGCGATGAGTGCACGAGCGCCATGCACCTTCGTCATCGACGACCATAATCCTTCTCAGGGTTGAGCATACCGACTTAACTGCAGCCTCCCTGAGTTCCACATAGGATGATATGTCCCCCAAGTAATACTCTGGGTTTTCCTTTTCACTGTGCGACTTCGCGTACAAGCCGTGTAGAATCGAAGTCCGGTCAAGATGGTCATGTCTGTCGAGTGGAAAACCGAGGTGTCGAGGTTTGTAGACAGGATCAAGCCGTTCAAAAATCACTTGGTGTGGAACAGCGTAAGATTTGCTGGGGTATCAAGCAAAAAAGAATTCTTCATCACTCCCTTCTTCGTCTTCATCCTTCGTCGCGACATCGGTGCTCTTGGATTTCGCGACCTTCTCCTTCTTGTCCTTTTTCCCGTCCTTGCTCGTCTCCTTGGCCTTGCTGCTCTCCGGCGCTCCTGGTATAGTAACTCCCTCCCTGCTCTCCCGAAGCTCTTCAAGGGTCTGCTCTTCCATGGCTTTCTCCACAGTCTTCCACATATCCACATCGCCTTTTGGACCATCTGTTGGTGGTGTAGTATCACCGGACTTGCCATCCTCTTTCTGCCCCTTCGGATACAGCGAAACGTACGTCTTCAAAAGCGGATAATAGAGGGTGTAGTTGAGATCAACCTCCGCATTATGTATGCTGCGCATCTTTTCGGCCTTTTCTGATTCGTTTGCGAGAGTAGCTAGCTGTTTGTGAAGGCGCTTCACGGTTCTCGTAGCCTTTTGCCGTTCTGAACATGGTTAGCGATGGTAAGATTGTTTTGAGAGTAGTTTTACTCACCGAAGAATCTGACCATGTGATATTTCCCGATTATGTCATTTCTGAACTTTGCCTCTCGCTTCGCTGTTTCCTTCTCTTCTAGCTCATGCTTGCATGATTCGAGTTCTCGCTCGCGCTCGATGCGGATGCCCTGAGGCATGCGATTCGTCGGGTCGTTGTCGGTGTGCGCTAGCAATCGCCTGATATTGCGTATTCTGCTCTTGAGTGCATTTATCGACTTCTGGGCTTCTTCCTCCTCCGCTGATTTTGAGGGGCCTGAGCGCGCGTGCGGAGGTTTCGAGCCTGGATTTCTGTTCGGTCTCGGTCGGGTTGAGAATTGTTTATGCAGCTTGTGCCTTCGTCCGTGATCACCGGAATCGGCGTCGTCGGCACGCTTCCGCTTCATGTATCCGGTAGACATGGTGACTGTGGTGTTTCCAAAATTGGAGAGCTCGAATTGTCGCTCGTACTTACCAAAAGTTTCGGTGGGGCGGCAGAATCCTTGACCGCTGTTGTTTAGCGCCTTGGCACGAGACCTCGGTCACGAGCGTTCACCCTCGCATGGGCACTTACAACATTAAGCTTGCATATTCAAGTCTCTGCGGATCAATCACCAGCATGAAGAGCGGATTCCCTGTCTACTTGATCAACGTCTAATGTCTTATCCATAGACTTTAGGCTCGCTCTACCTCGTTTCATTGTCCGGCCCTGGAACCAGTAGCATGGAAGCTGCTATTAGATGGTCTCCACATGCGACTCAGCATTCGCCGCGCTTCCTGATCATCGATGTCGCGACAAACCGTCTGCGACTGTGCCAGGTTGAGAAGTATGAAAAGAACAAAGTGAAGTACAAGCAGCTCTGTCTTCGCGACAAGCTACCCAACTACACGGCCTTCGATTGGTCCAAGCGGGATGAGGCTTTTGTAGGCATTGGTTCCGCGTCGGGAGAAGCAACAATCGTACAGATCGATCCAGACCGCCCGCAGGGAGATTTCATACATTCGTTTCCTATACGGCATCAACGAAAGTGCAACTCGATCGCTTTCAGCGCCAAGAACTACGTGGCTACCGGACTTGACAGAGTGCGGAACGACGTGTGCCTTAACATCTATGATCTCAATAACCCTAATGCCACATCCACTTCGGAGCCCTACAAGAAGTTAGCGAGCTCGGAGGCCATTTCCAGTATCAAGTTTTTTTCAAATCAGCCGGATACCCTTGTAACCGGTGTCTCTAGGCAATGTATTCGCATCTACGATCTTCGAGGTGAGCTTTCGTTGTGGTAACTCTTCATAATTTTAACGTGGCCCAGATTCTTCATCCTCGGGTGTTGCTCAGTACCCCACTCGACAGGTGCACAACATTGCTATCGACCCCTTAGACGAGAATTACTTCGTCTCCGCTGGTACCACCGGTGACCCCACTGTCACTGTCTGGGATCAGCGCTATGTTAAGCAAAGAAGCAACGATGACGGAGCGGTGCTCGACTTTCGACCCATAGTCGACAACAGTCACTCTGCTACCATATGGAGCTTGCGATATTCCGGTACAAAGAAAGGAACATTTGGTGTCTTGGCGAACTCGGGCGAATTCAAGATCATCGAGCTCGCGCAGCATTTGCATCGCCCGGAACCTGACCAATCGCTGAAAGCTGGACCACATACCCAAGCTTGGGACTCGCAGCATTACACAAAGGTATCGCATAATCTGCGATATCCATCCTATGACGACCGGAGCGGCAAGCAAGACCAGAGTCGGGTCGTAGCATACGACTTCATAAGTCCTGGAAATCCATTTAGTGGACCCGCGGCACTAGCATTCCACCCGAACAGGGACATTTCAGTCTTGAGAGTACCTCCTCCAGCTCCTCGAATCAGCATGACTGCGCTGGAAGAAATATACAGAAATCGCACGCCTATTGCCAAGCCCAGTCGAAGAGAGGGCACCGTTGCAGATGATCTGATCGAGCTGCAGAACCAAGCACTGAGCAATAAACTCGAAATCAGTCCAGATCCGAGAGACACCCTTACCGGAAGGCTAGATAGACTCAATGTCGAAACCTCACATCGGAGCATACCGCTTGAATCGGCATCTCATTCGAGCCATCAGATTCACCAAGACCTACTCACTCTTGCATACCCCGCAGTAAAGCTACCCCTTGATGATCTTCTCAAAAGTATGCAGACTCAAAAGCGTCGTTGTCAGGAAGGGTACAACCTCGAATGCCGCAAGAACAAAGATGTCGTATCAAACGACCCCTGGCTCGTAGATGCATGGAATCTAGTCGAGCGAATGGAAATACACGCTTCTAATGATGGTATGGCTGCCAAAGAGGGTCTCGATTTGGCATATTTGGGTGTCACCGATATCTGGGCCAATGAGCTCACGATGTACGATCAACGGCAGGTCGATCCTGATGCCAAAACCTCCGAGAAAGTCTTCACAGACACTGTAACAGAGATATGCGAGAAGAAAGAGTTCCCGCCTTTCATTGGTGTTGCCACTGATCGTCCAGATAATCGTCAACTCTGTCTTTCTCTCTGCGGATGGAATCTCTCGAAGAAGGGTCTACGCGAGCGCTGTGGCTTACTGGTAGATGAAGGACAATACTATAAAGCTATCGTGCTCGCCGTATTCCAGGGCTACAAAGATGTTGCACTCGACATCCTCAAGGAGACCATACGAGCGAAGCAGATCGAGAACGTTGGCCTCGGTGCAGTCATTGCATGCAACTCGGTCAACGAAGACCAGCGGCATCTTTGCTCCTGGATGGCTGACATGACCGACGAACCCTACCTCAAAGGTCTTCTCGCATATTTCATAAGCGGTGACTGGACCACTGTTGTCGAAATGCAACAGCTCTCACTACCAGACCGTGTCGGTGTAGCTCTCAAATACCTCCCCGACGATAAACTCACCCACTTTCTCAAGCTCTGTACCCAAGAAACAGTCGCATACGGCAACATTGAAGGCCTACTCCTCACAGGTCTCACGAATCGCGCAATGGATCTCTTCGAGCACTACATTGCCAAGTTCGGCGATCTTCAATCCGCTGTCCTGCTCCTCTCCCGAGCATGTCCGCTATATATACAAGACCCGCGCTTCTCTCTTTGGAAAGAGATCTATCTCAATCAGATGCAGGTCTGGCGCAGCTTCCTCGAAAGAACACGCTATATCAAAGAACATAATTTGAAGAGTGTCTCGCGAGACGGTCTCGCAACTACGAAGCCTTCATCTCCCTCCGTCTCCCTACGCTGCCATAATTGCCAGCAAAACCTCGCCCTCCGTCGCGACCCGAAGAGCTCCCGCTCCTACCTTATGCCAACGACACCCTCCCATCACCACCAACCCTCCACATCGCGCCCGCTCCGCCCGCCAAAACCCAAAGGCAGCACGACCTCGCCCTCGCTCGCCTGTCCGAACTGCAACGCGCAGATGCCGCGCTGCGGGCTGTGCATGATGTGGCTGGGCAGTCCCGATCCGAGCAAATTGGGCGCAGCGCAGACGCTGAAAGAGGAGGATCTAGAAGCCAGACTGATGGTGTTTTGTATGAGTTGCACGCATGGGTTCCATGGGCATCATGCGAGAGATTGGTTTGCGAGGCATGCGATGTGTCCGGTTCCGGATTGTCAGTGCATGTGTGGGTTGCTGAAATAGCAGCAGAACGTTCAGCAGGGTGGTTTCAGCGATTGTGGGAACTCTTTAATTATAATTCATAACAGTTGTCTTGACAATCGCAAGTTTAATGATCGAGTTTGCAGTTCATCTTCGTTCTTTCCTTTCACCCGGTACCTTCAATCTCGACCTTCGTTATTCAAGCACACACTCTCCACACACACACTTCTTTCCCTTTCCCTCCACTCCTCCACCGCCACTCATACCTACATGGCCTCCCCGATCACATTACCTCCGCCGAATCATACGAACTGCGACGGTGCCCCCAAACGTCCGCGTGTATTCCGTATCCCACTCAGACGTCGAAGCAGGCGGCCCCTCAATACATTGACCACCCCAAGGGTCAGTAGGCTCAGCCGGCGGAATGGTAGTAGGAGTGCACCGCGAGGAGGGAAGGCAGGGGTGTCATCTCCCATCACTATTTCAACCACGTCATTCTCGAACCAAGAAAGATGGAAAGGTAGTCACTGCATACCACAAGGCGTAACTGGCAGTGGCGTGGGATTGTCCTTGCACAGGCCGCCCCAGGGGTCGGTGGTTGCTGTGGGTGGGATCGTTGTAGGGGTACAGAACCAGCCGGAGGGGCAGGGGGAGTCGTCGCTTACGGTGCAGGGGATTGTGTAGCGGGGAGGCGGGATGGAAGGTGTTGTGGGGTGGGGAGCGGGTTATGGAGGGGCGGTGGTGGTATTTGGCGAGGGCGAGGGGATAGAATATATGAGGACGGGGAGGAGACGCATTGTGGATGGGTGGTGACTACTAGAGAGATGCTGGACGATCAGTAGGTGGAGTGGCAGTTAGGGGGGAAGAGAGGATGAATATATACATCTGACACCGAGTACAGAATCTCATTCGTGAGTTGAACTCCGTTCCATGATACCCACCAATCTGTACAGTTTGCGACACTCTGCAAGCCATGATTGACAATAATCCATGCTCCCATTTCATTCGCTTAGGACACGAGCTCTCGACGGAGTGTCTTTGCATCAGCGAATCGCAAACCAAGTATGGAAGGAACAACTCCTTTCGTCAGCTATTATTCCATGTGAGTCGAATTGGATTGTACTAAATGCTTCCATAGCTCGAGTGTCCTGTTTGTTTGAGGTTTCAGTGTCGCTCAAGCTGATTTATATACGAAGCTATAAATAACACCGATACGAAGAAGTATCCCTATCAACCTCATCGCGCGCAAATGTGCACAACCAACAGAACCGGATATGTCGTCCGTCAACGGTTGATTAGTGTGCCCATGTCTGACTTTCCACCTTTCTGTAGTGGTCATGAAGGACAGCTGAGAGGTCAGATTGCAGTTCTGTATGAAACACTATAGGTGCAGCGAGACAATTATTTGTTACTCCAAAGAGCGTGGGAACTGTAAGAAATCTTCAATGCCTTGACTTATCGTGGTTCGTGAACGTCACGATCATGAGTACTCCACGCGAATGGTATTGAGACTGAGGAGGCGAACGATGACTTGTACACTTGACACTGACTTTTAATTCATACTTCCCGTACGTTAGAAATGTATCACCTATAAGAAATTGTACGATTGTGCCGCAATGGTGCTCAGCGACGGTGGTGCTACAGGTATGGGAGGTGATGACCAGTACGGATTACTGAGGTACATAGGAGACCACACGTCGGATACATCTCTGTAGAAACTAAAAAACATGTAGATGTGTCAGAGATCGCAAACCTGCTGTCCCTACGATTGCCGTTTCCGTGTCGTGATGGAGGCTGTCCGTGCGTTATGGTGTTTCAAAGGAGGCACGGCGGCCTGACTCGTACAACAGCGGCTGACTAAGTGACGCGAGTCGACGTCAGGCTGCGCTGCCTCTCCACCACACCGCTTGAGGACTTTCAATGCGGCCCACAACCGCCTGACCAATCTGTTCGCAGGCACTAGCAGCTTCTTAGCCACGCTTACGTCGTTAGAGGGGCCTTGTTCATTCTATGCTGGCCTGCTACGCCTCTACACATTCACCGTGGCGTCGTTTTCAGATCGGTTTGAAGACTTGAAGAAGTCTTTCAATTTTCTTCTGCACCACCCAAACCTTGGCACGACCGCCGCGCCCTCTCCGCAACAGCCGCAGCTCACGGACACTTTGTCCCGCATATCATACCTTATCCGTGAAGGCAGCCTCGACGACGTGATCGACTTTGTCACGAGCCCCCGCTTTGACGACCCCGCATACCTTACCCTCCTCACAATCGTCCTCGCTACTGTTTTTCTGACGATGTCGTGGTTCTCTCGTGGTACTGGCGGCAGCGGCTGGGGCGGTCGCTTTTCACCTTTCGGGCGCAGTCATACCAACACTGGAGAGGTATCCGATTCCGACTACTCATATATCACCTCCGCCGATCTGAAGAAAGAAGAGGGCCGCAATCGTAGCTCGTCGCGGCCCGAGGTCGTCGACTGGGACGACCAGGATCCGCAGCGCCAGACCGACGTTCTCGTCTTCAAGAAAGACGGCACAAAGTACCCTACACACTTCCCCGCGCAGAGCATACGGGATGGCGATCTGAGGGTCAGCACTATACGGCAGGCAGCTGCAAAGAAGCTGAATATCGACGATCCGCGTCGGATACGCCTATTCCACAAGGGCAAGAACCTGAAGCACGATGAGCGCACAGCGCGTGAGGAAGGTTTACGTGGTGATGGTAGTGGCAGCGAGATTCTTTGCTCGGTAGGCGAGACGGCCACGGGCAGCTTAGCACCTGGCGCAGAAGGTGGGGCACCACGAGCCTGGAGCGACGGCGAAGATGAGGGAGATGACACGGAGAGCGGTGTAGACTCTGGCGTCAACACGCCTGGTAAAAAGAAGAACAGGAAACGTGGTGGGAAGAAGAGCAAGAAGAAGAATGCTCCTACATCGGGCACCAGCACACCTGGGATGGGCTACACGAACGCCGGACCGTCTGGCGCAGAGTACCTCCCCATCCCTTCTCACGTCCCGGGTCCCCGCCCGACATCGAAATCGGCACCTGTCTCTGGTGCCGCAACACCTCAGTCTCCGCTGGGCAAGCTCGATGCGCTAGCGTCCAAGTTCCACACCGAGTACGTCCCGCTGTGTGTCAAATACATGCAGAACCCACCCGAAGAGAAGGCTAAAAGGGAATTTGAGTACAAGAAGCTGTCTGAGACGATCATGACTCAAATCCTGCTGAAGCTAGATGGCGTTGAGGTCGAGGGCGACCAAGATGCTAGGATGAGGCGGAAAGAGCTCGTGAAAGAGGTGCAAGGCATGCTCAATACGTTAGATGGAACGAAGGAGGGAAAGTGACTTCCTCGTTTATGAGGAATTGTTCACCATGAGCTAATATTAGCGGGCGTTGGATCTAGATCACGAACTGCGTTACGGTGTTGAGTAGCGATCCGTCCATGTACGTTAGTTTGTAGCTTCATCCTTGATGACAAGCGGACGATGATGAACGATAGACCGCCCTCATTTTTGCTGGGACGACTATATGTCTGATACCAATTCTGTGGCAATACTTCATCCTAAGCTTCGCCGATACTTCATGTGCTGCGTTCACTAGGCAAAGACACTGTCTGCACCGTCCATCTTCTCTTGCTAACGATGAAGACATCAACATCCATTTATCACAAGCGGAAAAAATGGCGTGGCAAGACCTCGCGACGATAAATGGCCGGTAGTTCCCAAATTGGCAGGCGTCATTGCACAGCGTACCATGCATGCGAGTAACAGGGATTTGATAGTTCCATAATATCCCCGCCTTCAGTACCCATGCCACACAGCATTGAAAGCGACACAACCTCATGATGCGATCAATCGCCTACCTACTGATTATAGCACTGCCAATCGTGCTCGGCCAATCCGTCATCCCACCCAGCACCTGGAACTACACCTACCCATGGCCTGTCAAGTACCACACCCTGACCTCTCAGCGCCTCAACCTCTCAATGGCATACATGGACGTCCACCCAAATGTGACTGAGGCGAGAGACACCATTGTCCTCCTCCACGGCAAAAACTTCTGCGGCGCAACATGGGAAGACACAGCGCGCCGGCTCCTCGCGCACAACTACCGCGTCATCATCCCCGACCAAATCGGCTTCTGCAAGTCCTCCAAACCCCCGAGCTACCAGTTCTCGCTGCAACAGCTAGCGTTCAACACCAACGTCTTGCTCCAAAGTCTAAATGTGAGTGAGGCCAAGATCCTGGGACACAGCATGGGCGGCATGTTAGCCACACGATTCGCGCTCATGTATCCCTCCCTCACCACCCACCTCATCCTGACAAACCCTATCGGGCTGGAAGACTGGAAAGCGCTGGGCGTGCCGTGGCGCGCGATCGATTTGTTGTATGCGGACGAGTTGAAGTCGAATTATACGACTGTGAGGAGTTACCAGCAGGCAACCTACTACGTCAATACGTGGAAGCCGGAGTACGATGTTTGGGTTAACATGCTCGTCGAACTGTATCGTCTTCCGGGTGAAGGCGAGGCATTCGCGTACGATATGGCACTTACTACGGACGCAGTCCTTACTCAGCCTGTGGTCTATGAGTTTGGGCTGGTTAAGGCACCGACGTTGTTGTTGATTGGTACTAAGGATAATACCGCTATAGGTGAGTTGCGAGCCTGCAAACTTTGAGAAGCTGTTAGACCAAGGGCAATGACTGATGCGAAGCAGGCAAAGCGTGGAGTCCGCCGGAGGTGCAGGCTAAGCTGGGGAACTACTCGGTTTTAGGGAAGGAAACCGCGGAGAAGATTCCAGGGGCGGAGTTGGTCGAGTTTGAAGGGCTGGGACATGCGCCGCAGATTCAAGATAGTGAGAGGTATCATGCAGCGCTTTTTGAGTGGTTGGGCAGGGTGGGCTGAGCAGGGACAAGAGTCTGAGCCAAAGTAGGCAAGAACATGGTAAACCCGAACTGCGTTAGTTCGTCAACAACTGCTAAATGTCTATGTGTCTATGCGTGCAGCCTCTTCTTCAAGGCCGAGTTCTATAAGCCTTTCGTCTCCTCCCACGTCCCTATCACCCAGTTCGCAACCTTCTCTGTGTCTTCCGATTGCACAGGGTAATGATGCCCCATGACAAACTCAAAGACTCCATTCTTCCCCTTCTCCACCTCATCCTTCGGCTCAGACTCAACCTCATACGCGCTCTCAATCAGCAGCTTCCCCGCCCATCGCCACTCATCCTGCTTCCCGAGCATATGTATCGCCGGAAGCGTAATCTTCGCCTCTAACATCTCCTTCTGTCTCGCCTCGTCCAACCCACACTTCTTCACAGCCTCAACAACCTCAACCGGCACCAACGGCGGCGGAAAACTCGAACAGACACTCACTCCAAATTTGAAATCGCACCACTCTAGACCCTCCGCCTTCCCTTCTTTCAGTAACTCCCTTCGGATCTGCGCTGCTTTTAAAAGACCCGCGACCACGCGCGTGCCCTGTGAGAAGCCGATAACGCCGACGACTTCGCTGCCTCTGGCCTTAGCGTTGGCAACGGCGGATTTGACGAGGGAGGAGACTTCTGGGAGCAGTTCAGTCGTGAGGGTGCTTAAATCGCGCATTTTGGCGGCGGAGAGGGCTTCGCTGGGGGGCACCCAGCGGTAGAAGGGGCCGCAGCCGTCGAAGAAGGGGAGGACGCCGGGGCCGGCGGCTGATTCTATGGGGCCTGTTTGCATGCTGTTAGTTGAGGTCTTTTTCTTTGACATGGGTGTGTGGCCAAGGAATACGAGGTAGATGGAGAAAACACGCCTAAGCTATGAATCCGTACACATGAACTGCATGGTATGGACCTGTGGCGGAGAAGAAAAAGAAGCATGATCACAAGGGACTTACCACACAGGGACTCTATCTCAAAATGAGATTTCAGGAACCGTGATATGCGAGCCAGCTGTACGGAATGGATTGTGTCGTTGCTGCCTGAGCCGTGAAAGGTGAGGATCGTAGGTTTCGCCATTTTCGCAAAATGGTGGTTCAGCTCCTATTGTCTTCTGGTGGGTGATCTTTCGATCGAGGTATCGTTGGTGGGTGTTTGGAGATACGTCGTTACGATATGGTCGTAGACGGAAGCTTACGCCGACGAGTTCGGTTTTAAGCAGGCCTTTTACTCTACCACACTCCTTTTTCCTCCCACGCACGAGGAACACACTCGTACAAGCAGCTGCACTGCTCTTTCTGTACTGCAATTCTTTTTGGCGAAATTCTTATGCTTGCTTGGATGTCGTGCTCAGCTTTCGACTGCGGGGTACTCGACAAATTAGTCCAACTTTTTCGTGAATGTTCCTGGTGTCTCCACGTAGCGTCAGGTTACCAAGATCGTACGTACCTGCACGACAATGAGCTCTTCTCTCGTTTGTGAAGTGCAGGTGATGTTAGTATAGGTGTAGCTCGGAGCCATAGGATGATATCACACATCGGAGGCCGACACGATTGCCGAACCAGGATTAGGCGATAGGCCGGTAAGGCTCGTGTGGGGGCACGTTGTAGAGGTCCATTCTGCGCACATATTATCTGTGCGGCTCTGTATTGTGGACAGGAAAGACAGGTGAATCGTAAACATTCTGGGAGTGATGGAGAGCTGTCCTAATCGGGTAATATCGAGTTAGGTGTCGATTGCTGTGTGGTCACCTTCACTTTTGACCACGGGTGCACGGCCCCTACGCTGTGGCCCAAGCTCATAAAGCCACAACATTCACGACGTCATGTAAACAGAAGTTCAAGCTTTCCATGCATTGTTCTCATGAACAGAAAGCAGCCCGTGTATCATAATAATATACATCATGATAGTGCCTTTTCATCCGAACTCCAAAAGGCTTTCTACAACGCTGAGTGAACCCAACAGTCCATATATACACAATCGCGCGAAATGGCCTTCCACCTACTCCGGACTCTCCATATTCGCTAATCCGCTCCCCTCTCTGCGATGCCCCGTCTTCTTGGCCGAGTTGCTACGTCCGCTATCGTTGCTACTTCGGCTACCCGCCCTATTCCTCCCACCCTTTCCCTCCAACTCCTCCCTCACCCGCTTCAGCACCTCCATCCCCTTCTCACTCTTCCCTATGTTTGCCACTAACGCGGTGTTCTCCCTCTGCAACTCCCCAATCTGCTCCTTCAGCAAATTCAGCTCCTGTTCCGCCAACCCCGCCCGTTGCTTATACTTGTCGCGCTCTTGCTGCGCCTTGCGAAGAGCCTTCTTATCAGCTTCTTTCTGCTGGCGCGCGAGCAGCTTCTCGGTTTCGCGCTCGCGGCGTGCTTCGAGCTTTTGGACTTCCTTTCTGAATTTCTCTTCTTGTTTCTTCTTCTCTCGGTCGTGCTTTGAGTTGGCTTTTTCGAGCTCTTTCGCGGACTTGTTGGTTGACTGCTGGATGTCTTGATACTGCTTTTTGTGCGCGGCATCAAGCGCCTCTTTTAGTTTCGCACGCTTCTCTTCGATCTTCTGGAGTTCGCGGTTGTGTCGGTCCTGCGGCCTTGAGGATTTTGATGATTCGCCCGAGGTGAGGGGGATGGAGGTATCGGACATGGTGGACAGAGGCGAGGGGACGTGAATGCCTTCGGGGGCGGTATTGTACTGTTCTGCGGAAGCGAATGAGTCGAGACTTGAGGAGCTGCTCTCTGTGGAGCTTTGCGAGTCTGTTCTGTGGAGCGAGTTCACTGCTTGGGATATTGCTGGATCGGTCTGGTCGGATACAGTCAGGGGCTTTTCATGATGGCCGTCCAATTCGCGGTGCGAGGGGCGGCGTACGGACCCGGGGCGGTCTGCAATGCTTATCCCTACGCCGGCTAGTATGCCGTTGTTCTCTGCTATTGATAGCCGTGGCTGGAGATCGAAACTTGGCCTTGGATGTTCTTCAGAATCCTCTGCAACTGCCGTGGGTTGTTCGTCTTCTTCGCGAGAGGGGAAATCGTCGTGTGAGCATGCCCAGTCTAAGAACTTCGCGGCATCCTGGACAATACTCGCTGGCGTGCTTCGCTCGACCATGAACCGCGGTATTCCACCACCAGGATCACTTCGTGTAATCATTATCCACTCGACGGGATTCGTTTCTGGGTCGTCGTCGTCCGCATGATCTTTCCTGTCGATCTTCTCGCCTTTTGCGTCGGGTCCTCGTGATTCTGCAAAACTTATGGTGTGTTCTCTCTCTCTCGTTTTCTTGTGGTCTTGTTTGTGGAGGTCGGACGTTGAGGCGGATGCATGTCGCGAATGCGCGAGTGGGATTTCGCGGATTAGTTCAACGGACTCGTATTGTCCCCGTACCATGCCGTCCCGCGGAGGAGCATCTCTATGTGACACTGGTATCGAGACGACCATGTAATGCCGTGGCATGGCATCGCCAACTTTGGATGCGCTACTCAGGCAGTTGGGAGACGTGAGTAGAAGGGTCAAGAATTCGCGTGGAGCGGTAGGTCCAGGAAACTGTGCGGACAATTGGTACACCTCTAGCTTCCCAATGCCTTCAACATTGATGTCTTCCAAACGTTGATCTCCGCCAATGCCCCGCACATTGCCCTCTCCGGGTCCGCCTTGTACTTCCAGACTCGCGGGAAATTCGCGCATCATGGCCTTCCTCCACTTCGCAAAGCCGAGCCCCTCATGCACGCTGGTCCTCGCAAACCACGCGCCATGTCTATCGTGTCCTGCCATCTTGAACACACTAATGCCTGTTGCCGTCTCCTTCGCGCCTAGCTTTAGTGGTTTGCCCCATGCCTTATGCAGCGCTTCATGCTCTTTATGCGGTGGTCTCCGTGCCTTCGATACTGTAAGCTCTGCCGCGGACCTCGCGCAATTCGCGTCGTTACGGGAACGGTGCGACGACTCGTAGGGCGTGCCATTGGGGGGCGGCGGTACGGAATTTGCTATAAGTTCCGCTTTGGTGAAAATCTCTGGGAGGAAGGTTTTGAGGTCATTGACCGGTATGTCTGCGAAGTCTTTCGGACGCAGACACTCCAGCGCCTCGTGCAGCTCTTTCATGCTTGTTGTACGTAGACAAAGGTAAAGCCACAGGGTATGGAAAATCGCACAAGTGTGGCTGCGAGACGTTTCGAGGCTGTAGATCCACTTGTGAAGCTGGTGGTCTACGTGTTTTACGTAGATGGTGCGTTAAGTGTCGCTGCTAGATCTCCGACCTATCCGTGGGATGTCGGCGCCGGGGAGAATCGATGACATTGATCAAGCTCGCTCTGCGGGCCTTGAATCAAAGGGTGAGCGCGGAAAATGAGTAATCATTGAAGGGTATAAAGCGAAAGCAAGCACTACAGTTAAACGAACAAACGAGGCTCACGCGCGCACGCTCTACATGGCTGTTTCCTGTGTACTGCAAGCCCGAGACAGGACAGGGAACATGGGACGTCTGCGCTATGATGCCAAGCTTCTGGGGCAGAAAGGGCCAGAGCAGGGTCTCCCGCAACACCGATCCACGCCACTCGTCGGCCGATGCGAGTGAGCCGACCCGAGGCGGCCTGAGAGATGCTCCGTTGGGAATACTTTGCGGACGATAGGCGGCCGTAATCATCACACTCTCGGATCACGCACGTACATGCTCACGGACATAAGGCATTTTGACATTCGAACAATGCATACACAGAGCAAACTGTGAACAATCTATCTTGAGCTAAACCAACGAGAGGGGTATCAAGCCAAACGGCAGAGCAAATAGTAGTTACAGGGTCCTCGCAGCACTTCGTAGATGACAAAGGGTATTTCTGCTGACCAAAAGCTGGTTCACTGACGAAGGCCTTCTCCAGCCTATTACACGAGGACGTAAAGAGCACACATCTGTCAGAGTCAGCTTCGATCTGCATTATTTGCGGTCCGTCACTCACCATCGCAAGCCCGAGAATCATCGAGCACCAGAAAAGCACATTGTTAAGGAGGGTGCGGCCCTTCACCCACTTGGATCGCTGCACCAGTACAATTGGCATTTGCAGCATCATCGCGATGAACCCATAGCCACGGAATTTCCGGGTGATGCAGCCCATAACTAGTTCATGAGCGAGCGCGCTGATGAAGAAGGTTATCGTCGTCGCTAGCGGTCGCGACATATGACCACGCGACGCCGAATAGACGTGTCGCCGGAAGAAGTGATGCACTGGTTTATTCCACTCGCGTGAGAACTCTAACCAGTCGCAACTGTTCCACCAGTCTGCGAAGAACTGACGATCGGCGAATCCTGCGAGGCTCAGTATAATGATCCAGGATTTGATCTTGTCACTTACGCGTGATCTCTGCGAAGGCGCCCAGTATGTACTCAAAGATGACGAGGAATACGAGAAGGAATGCGACCATGAATGGGAATAGCAGGCGCCCTATCGTTTCCGAGAGAATCAAAGCAAACTCCAAAGCGCTATTTGATGCTTGCAGCTCGATTGCAGATTCGTCCAGGACTGGTAAAATGAACTCTTCGGTGGTGACGGTAAGGAGGAAGATGCATCCGAACACGGCCAAAGTCTTGTAAAAGACCTCCGACCAGCGAATAGACTGTACTCGAGGATACTCCAATTCATAACACAAAGTAGGACAGAAAATGAAATCAGTGAAGTTCGCGACGGTGAGGTTTTGAGGATATGATACGTGCCCAAGAGGAGACGTCAGTTCAAGCGCAAGATCCTCACGCAAATGCGCCAACCGTTCCTTTTCCGAGTCCTCTTTGTGTTCGTCCGACGGTGATTGAGGTATCTCGTGAAGATGTGTGCGCGATCCAGGGTATCTGTATGCTGCAGCTTTGGAAACGTTGTCTGGGTTATCGAGATCGTAAAGGCGACGTCTAGTTTCGCTAAGATGGCCATTATAGAAGCTAGGTATGTTAGTTGAGATTGTGGCTTACTAAACGTGGGCAGCTTACGCATATGAGTGCATTTTCATGAAGATTGCAAGCAGATGCAGGGTGAAGAAGACCTGTGCAGTCCAGCTCCAATCTCGGATGAAAGGATAGGTACACCAGAATGCCAGCCAGAAGACCTGATATATGCTCTGTATGGCCATGCCTAACTTGCTCCAGCGGAAGATGCCATTGCTGCCCATGAAAAACTTATGCAGAGGCAGGGAGAGAGCGGTCGACCCCACCATGAGTCCGTCGCAGATGGCTAGCTCGAACACCTTCTCTCTGAACAGGTCCAATTGCCTGATGTTCAGGGGATAGCCAGTCTCCTTGTAGTTGCGCAGCATAGCTGTTATGACCATGATGGCTAGACCAATCCAAAACAGCACAAAGAAGCCGCGAAAGTCTCGGTAGTCGCTCGATGGATCGAAATGTGATACACGGTCGACATACTCGATGCTGGGAAAGATCCGCCGTCTTTGTTCCGCTCGAACCTGGCGACGCGCCGACGATGTAGCCTTGACTGACGGAGGAGCATTTTCGGGAATGGGTGTGGTTCGTCCACTGTTTCTGTCAGTACACAGATCCATTGCTTCTTCATAAAATTCTTTAGAGGTTTGTGTAGCTTGTCGACCCACCTTGATATCCCTGAGGCGTTGCCATTGATCTGGCCGTTGGTAGCTATCGCCTCATCGCTCAAACGTGGCCGTAGGAAGTCGATCCGTGTTGGTTTGCGCGCCCGTGGCTCATGTACATGCGCATGGCCATTTTGGGGCGTCGCGTCTATGGACGTAGATTCGGCCATCATGAAAGGAAAGAGGATGCGATCATATCATGCTGGAGGAGCGAGTGGGCCTCGGAAGTTGATATCTTATATATGGTGTCAGCCAGCCGTCAGTGTAGATCACTGCTCGGCTTCACGCCTGCGAATCCCGAGCGGGCGTGGTGCGTGTTTTGGTTGGGGACAAATTGCAGGGTTGTTCTTACAGAGGGTGGCTTCGCAGTCCGAAGAGGTAACGTGTACAAGACAGTCGGATCTAAATCAGTTCATCGACTGACTGTACTTTGCTGCGGGCGAATTGATGCGTAAACACAAAAGCAAGGTAAGCTAACACTCGGCGATGACGGAACGCTCGGAAAGAGGGCGGAAGCCATGTGCTACATTTACATCACCTGGCCCCGAGCAGCTAGCCTAGCCGTTTTCAGCTTAAGGGAAGTTGCAACGGCCCGACGATAGTCCGGGCTGCATTGCGGCTTCTGGTTTGGGAGCAGTGCTGGTGCTCCGAATATCAGCCACCATTGCAAAGCAGCCCGTAACCACGGATCTATCCCGTTCGTAAACCCACCCTGACGCTGGAGCAACCCCAGACCCGAGCTCCACCGCGCCGCAACTGTTGATTCTCGACATTTCGCCCAGGGTGGGGTCCGTGAGACCACCGCAATGACTTCCTGTATGCCTGCCTACCATGCACCGGTCTGGACTCGAAGCTGAGATATAGCCAGTGAAGCAATTCATCCGCAATGTGCGCGCAGCAAAAACCATCGCCGACGAGCGGGCCGTGGTTCAGAAGGAGAGCGCAGCCATTAGGGCGAGCTTTAGGGAGGAAAGCCACGATTCAGGCGTGAGGTGTGTACCGCCCACGTCTCAGTCAAGGCGACACCTACTCACCACAACTCAGGCGAAACAATGTCGCGAAGCTCCTATACCTCTTCACGCTTGGCGAGCGGACACATTTCGGACAGATCGAATGTTTGAAGCTGCTGGCATCTCCCCGCTTCGCCGACAAGCGCTTGGGTTACCTAGGCACTATGCTGTTACTCGATGAGAATCAGGAAGTCTTGACGCTGGTGACAAACTCGCTCCAGAAGTACGTTGTGTGCTCTTAAGAATTTATACTGAATGCTAATGGTTGCCTAGTGACCTGAACCATCCAAACCAATATATTGTCGGTCTCGCTCTGTGCACCCTCGGAAATATTGCCTCGGTCGAGATGTCGCGAGACCTGTTTCCCCAAGTCGAAACGATCCTCTCAAGCGCGAACCCGTATATACGGCGGAAAGCCGCCATCTGCGCCATGAGGATATGCCGCAAGGTACCGGAGCTGCAAGAACACTTCTTAGAAAAAGCAAAGCTGTTGCTGCAAGACAGGAACCATGGCGTTTTGATATGCGGCTTGAACTTTGTCATCAGCCTTTGTGAGGCCGACGAGGTCGAGGACGATGAAAACGGCATCAGAGATATATTCCGCCCGGTGGTGCCAAGCATGGTCAAGATTCTGAAAGGCTTGTCGGCATCTGGATATGCCCCAGAACACGACGTGCAGGGTATCACGGACCCGTTCTTACAGTGCAAGATTTTGGAACTACTTCGGGTCCTGGGCCGAGGCGATCTAGGGGTTAGCGAACAGATCAACGATATCCTAGCACAGGTCGCTACTAACACCGAGTCCTCCAAGAACGTCGGAAATTCGATTCTGTACGAAGCTGTTCTTACGATTCTAGACATCGAAGCCGACTCAGGTCTGCGCGTGCTGGGCGTCAATATTCTTGGTAAATTTTTGTCGAACCGGGACAACAACATTCGATATGTTGCTCTCAATACGCTCATCAAAGTCGTTGCGGTGGAACCAAATGCCGTTCAGCGTCACCGAAACACGATACTGGACTGTCTGCGAGATCCCGACATCTCCATCCGAAGGAGAGCTCTGGACCTCAGTTTCACGCTCATCAACGAGAGCAACGTGCGCGTTTTGATACGCGAGCTCCTCGCATTCTTGGAAGTTGCCGACAACGAGTTCAAGCCTGTAATGACCAGCCAGATTGGTATCGCGGCAGACAGATTCGCCCCCAACAAGCGGTGGCACGTCGACACAATGCTGCGTGTTTTGAAGCTCGCTGGCAACTATGTAAAGGAGCAAATTTTGTCATCTTTCGTCCGCCTCATTGCTACAACACCGGATCTCCAAACCTACTCTGTCCAGAAACTCTACGCTGCATTGAAGGACGACATTACGCAAGAGGGTCTGACCCTTGCAGGCTCATGGGTCATCGGCGAGTATGGTGATGCATTATTGAGAGGTGGTCAATATGAAGAGGAAGAGCTTGTCAAAGAGGTCAAGGAGAGTGACATCGTCGATCTGCTTGATACGATACTGAGCAGCAGCTATGCCGGACTCATCGTTACCCAGTATATCGTCACAGCCGCGGTAAAGCTCACAACCCGACTGAACGAGCCTGCACAAGTAGAACGTCTGAGGCGACTACTGCAGAGATTTGGCACGAATTTGGATGTTGAGATCCAGCAGCGTGCTGTTGAGTATCTCAATCTTTTCGGTGTCGACCAGATTCGGAAAGGTGTGCTGGAGAAGATGCCTCCTCCCGAGATTCGCGAGGAGCAGCGAGTGCTTGGCGAGGCAACCAAGAAGCGGCAATCAAAGATCTTAAAGAAGAAACCAGCACAAGCTGCAACCGAGGACCTCCTGCTCGACCTCATGGGCGACTCCGGTGTGCCTGGGGATGCCAACGGAAATATCAATGGCTCACAAGCTCAGAGCACCGACCTTCTAGCAGATATCATGGGCGGAGGTCCATCCACTTCGTCACCGGCTCCTCAGACCACTTCACCTCCTCCTTCCAATGTTGCTAATATCATGGACCTTTTCAACTCAGGCCCTTCGAGTTCTCCGGCGCCCGCGCAATCGCAACCACCACCTGCGTCATCCTCATTAGATATTCTTGGTGGTATGTCGTCTCCACCACCACAAGCTCCAATGTCCGCCGCATCAGGGCCCCCAGCGCATACTGCGTACAACAAGAACGACCTGCACGTCACTTTCCAGCTCAAGCGCGACGCGAATGCTGTTCAGCTACTTGCTCGTTTCCGTAACGTTGGCAACTTCAGCCACTTGTCGGGAGTTAGCTTGCAGGCGGCCGTACCCAAGAGCCAGAAGCTGCAATTGCAACCTATCAGTTCGGGTGAACTGGATGCCGGTCAGGAAGCTACACAGCAGATGAGGGTGACCGCCGTCAATGGGGTAAGTCTCACATCTTCGAAGCCTTTGACACGATTACTAACGCCCTTGTAGACACCACCTGCACGGTTACGATTAAGGCTGAAGATCGCATTTTCAGCTGGTGGTGCGCCAGTAACGGAGCAAGTGGACTGGTCGGAGCCAACATGAGGTACGAGCACTCGATGGTCAGAAGGTGTTTTTCACGTAGGATACTAAAGCATAGAGTAAATGATGGCTTGTTCAAAAGACTCAATATACCATGTAACAACAGCTATCTCTTACACTCACAAGCGTTCCCTTTCATTTGGCTTGGCTCAATCAGCTGCTGTCCTTTGTCCAATCCGTACATCTTTTGACCACGACGAATGAGGAAGAGGGAGAATGACTCATGTTGCGCCATACACTCAAGGAGGGTAGTCCGGCTTAGCCCCACCTTGCTATCTCCTTACAAATACAAGCCCTGATCTTTCTTCCCACTACACCATCACACTCAATTAACTCTACCCAGGATGTCTTACGACAGCGAAGCAGACTCACAGCTCCCTCCCATTCCAAACGGCGAATTCTGCGTCTACGGAATTGTTTATGCATACCCCGACCGAGCAGACGACCTCGAGAGAATCTACGCGGAGACGACACGACTAGCGCAGTACGAAAAAGGCATTATATACTACTGTCTTGGGCGGGACAGCCAAGACGCCACGATCTTCCATTTCTTTGAACGCTACAGGGGAAAGGAGGCGTTTGACGAACATAATCGACAGCCTATCGTGCAGAAGCTGTTGACGGATAAGATCTTTAAGAGGGTGACGGCGAGTTTTGTTAAGCCGATTTTGGCGGGTGCGGAGGGAGGGAATGCATGATTATTTTTACTCTTTTGCTGCAATGAAATCTTTACGCTGCTTCATCAGCACAAACGGACACTCTCCTGCAAACCGACACTTCAAAAATGCGATCGTCGCCTTCATATCCTGGAGTCCCCTTGCCCTCCTGCCGTGACTGTCTTATTCTTTTGAAATCCAATCACCGAGGTCATGTATGCCAAGTCAAGCTTTACCCTACAAGACGCAGGTTGGATTAGTGAAGAAGCTCACTGCGATTGCACATGACGGGACTACTCTTGGACAGGCCCTTTGTATGGGTTAAGCTTGCGTGATGGAAGCAGGAAGTTTAAGTATATGTAGGTATTCGTATTGAACGGGCGGACTAGAAAAAAACCTAGCTGCGAAGCAACAGTCTCTCACTTATGAGGTCTGTGTTTGTGAAATTTGGCTTCGAAAGGTTGAATTCCGACTAAAGAGCTCTTAACATTGATTCTGGGCATGTGACAGTTAAGAGGTCGGTGCATGATGCTGCAAGAGCAAGAATAAAATGCTTACAATGTTATAGGTAATCTGAACGGACAGTGTTCTGTAGCTTCAATGCGTCACTACCTGGCAAATAGAGCAGTTGTGCTCCAAGGCTCACAAAAAGCGAGAATAAAGGCCGCATCTGTACAACGAGACAACTTCATCTGTGATAGTTACAGGAAAGATGCATTACAAATCAAACTAAGAGACCCACCATCGGCCGGTACTTATACCTGAGGTATGATAGGAGGATGTCTGGTGCTAGTTATTACTCGTGCAGTTTCCTGGCATGCTAAACTCAATTCCATCGATTTGACCTGGATTACTCAACATAATTCAGTCATATTTCGAAGTTGAGACAGGCCTGTGGATGTGAGTGAGGGTCATGATCAGGTACCATAGATATTTCTATTGACCACTAAACGCATTGTAACCCTCCGAGAGCTCCAGAGCTCAATATAAGCTACGAGAAGGTATCCGTCATCGCAATGGAGATTGATGTTGGTAGCGCAGTTCACGACTTCGGTAGAGTTAACAACAGCCTTGTGACGAAAAATACACGCATCATGCTGCAATGTCCCGCAAAGGATTGCTTATATTACAAATCCACGCATTATACATCAGAATAGCATGGCGTGCTCAGAACGCCCAATCGCATAAATAGAATCCGAGAGCTTCACATATCATTCATAACGACATCTTGAACATGGCGACCGCACCCAAACCCCTCCGCACAGCCCTCATAGGCCTCTCCTCCAGCGCAATCACCTCCTGGGCAGCCAACGCCCACCTCCCCGGCTTACTAACACCAGCCGGGCGCTCCAAGCTCCCCATCACAGCGCTTCTCAACAGCAGCGTCAAAGCTGCGCAGTCGGCCATCGAGTCGTACAAGCTTAACCCGGGGACAAAGGCCTACGGCTCACCGGAAGACCTCGCCAATGACCCTGACATTGATCTTGTAATATGCAATACGCGTGTCGACAAGCACCTTGAGACAATCTTGCCGAGCGTAAAGAAGGGTAAAGACATCTTTGTCGAGTGGCCCGTTGCGGCGAATCTGAAGGATGTGGAGACGTTGGTGGAGGAGGCGAGGAAGAGTGGGAGTAGGATCGCTGTGGGGCTGCAGAGGAGGTGGGCACCGCCGGCGGTGAAGTTGAGGGAGATTATAAAGGATGGAGTGGAGGGGAAGAAGCTTGGGAAGATCCTGAGCGTGGATATAAGAGCGTATGGTGGGACTATTGATAGGGAGATTACGCCGGAGGGGTTGAAGTATTTCGCGGACCGAAAGGTTGGTGGGAACGTGATTGTGATCGGAAATGGGCATCGTGAGTCGCCCTTGAATGTGGGTATGAAAACCTAGTTGGCGTGCGCTAAACATGAACAGTGTTTGACACGGTTCTCTCCGTGGTGGGTAACCTGGACCCCAAGACAGTCCACTCGAAACTTCAACTGCAGCGCCCAGATGTCCGCATACGAGACCCTTCGACCAACAAAATCATCGATACCGTTCGATCTGATGTCCCTGACCTACTTTCCCTCCATGGCACCTTGCAACCCTCGAACGCAACTCTATCATACCTTTTCCGCCGCGGTCAACAGTTTCCAGGCACTCCTGCCCTAACTTGGACCATCAATCTCGAGCACGGCGAAATCCGACTTGTGTCTCAATCCGGCCTCAATCTAGAGTTGGGAGAGCCCGCTTCTATACACGTACACTGGTTTGACAACGATAAGGTGGAAGAGGTAAAATGGGAGTGGAACGCAGAACAAGCTGCGTTGCCGCCCTCGGCGAGGAACGTGATCAATACTCTGATTGCTTTCGCTGATCGTAAGGCACCTGGAGATGGGTGGGTGAGCATTGAGGATGCGGCGGACCGTGCTAGGCTGATGGAAAGTTTCTTGGCCGAGTGGGAAGAGAGTCAGAAATGATGCTTGACGAGAGTGAAATTTACTGATAATCTTGTAGTGGTACTGTTCGCCGCTTTGCTGTGTTCTATCCTTGCTTCTTAAGAAGATACGAAGAGCTGAGATACCTTGCCCCTCGTTTGCTCTCTCCAATTTCTCACTTCCTATATTTTCACACCCATGACGACGATAGTGTACACGCATACTTATATCCTCTTGCCGTCTCACTCTCCATCAAACACCACAGGGCGCGTGGTCCAGTGGTAAGACACTCTGGGAAAGAAAATCCGTCTACCGTCGGAAGGCTGTGTCAGCCCCGTCTTGCGCCGGTTAGGCGCTTCTTTCGGGCCTGTGTATACCCGCTCGTTCCAGCAGAGAGACCCAGGTTCGATTCCTGGCGTGCCCAGCTTTTTGCTTTTGTTTTGCTTTGGACCGGGTAGTGAGGTTACGCTGCCTGGGTGACTGAATGACGGTACCTTATGTGCTTTTGTAAGGTGACTGACACTTGAACTTGTAGATCGACTGAAATGTATTCATGTATATGAGCTATACCAATCATGCACACGTCAATGGCAATACACTTCTAGGCTTAACACCACCGCGGTCGCGTTCTATAGCTCATCTATCTCACCCTCTTCCCCAGCACCCACCCCCTCCCCTCCTTACAAGCCCTCTCCAGCGCCAAAAACGCAAAATGCCCCCCTACAACGGGTCTCGCAAAAAAGTACGGATCCGGAAAGTCCCCATCCCCCTCCGTATCATACAGATCGCTAAACGGCCTATCCGTAATAGTCTCATTGACCCAAAGCGCCACCTTCTCCAGAATGGATTTGCGGACCGAAGGCGAGGCGACGGCTGCGGCGTAGAACTCCCAATCGGACTTGGCGTATAGGTGCCGGCTGTCAAGGGGAAGGCCGTATTGTTGCAGGGAGTAGGAGTACCAGAGGGATTGGTTTGTGTAGATTCCGTGGGGGATGAAATCCTCGTGCTTTTTCGACTGGGGGTTGGGCGACACTGGCTTTTGCGCATCGTGCGATGGGGTTGTGAAGGGAGATGGGTCCTCAGAGGAAGAGACACTGTTGGTGATGGATGGATGGAAGCAGAGAAGGGCGTCGGAGTAGAGCGAGTAAAGCGTTGTCCAGCTGCCGTTCCAGTCGTATGCTAGCTTCGCATGGGAGCCATCGACTGAGATGCCGCGCGTGAGCCAGTGGGCGATGTACTCTTCTGAGATCTGCTGGTGGTGGTCTGCATCGTCGGTGCGGCCGAGGAGAGATGCGAGCTCGCTGAAGGCTTTGATGCCGATGATGCCTTTTAGGGCGAGGTTGGTTTGAAGAGGCAGCCAGCCGGCGAAGTCATCGGTGCAAACTGCAGATGATGGTCAGTCATGGATGGTGGGACGAAGGACAAGCTTGGTCTTACGCTGATTCGCAGGCTCCTTTGCGAACTCGACGAGGTAGCTGGTCCATTGTTTCCAGAGTGGGTAGCTCCTTTCTAACCACTTCGTCGCTTGCTTGACACCCTTTTCTCCGCCACCCCAAGAGCTGTCAATGTATGCGATGCCATCATAGGCGCTGACATCTTTCAACGTAAAGCGATGGTCGGTTTGAACAACAATCTCATCTTTTTTACCAATTGTTGACCACAAGGACTGTGCGCCCTGGTCCGACTTATACTTCATCGCATTCACCAACGCTAACCCCATGATAAGCATGTCGCCACACTCCTCGACAGGCATATACTCGTCCCTCCCATCGGCATGCCCGGTCAAATTAGGGAAATGAGATCCTAGGTCGTGCATCGAGTATTCGTTCGGATATAGACCCTTCAACTGGTGCTCCAGCAGCGGCTCCAGCAGGTAAGCCGCCCATCTAGGGTTTGTATATAGGAAGAATGGGAACGCTGGGAAGATGACGTCGACAGTCTGGCTATTCCCATTCGACGAGATTTCCTTAAGAAAGAGGAGTGGATCTTCTGGCGTGCCGGAGAAGCTCGTCGCACCCATTGTTTGGCGAGCTGATAGGGCGACGACGTCGACGTACGTATCCGAGCCGGAGGCATATGCGTCGACGCGAAGCTGTTCAGAGTAGTTGGCAGCCAAGGCTTTTGCGTTAGCGAAATCGAGATAGTGGAACCTGAGGAGGTCCTTTTCGGTGTGAAACCAGGACTTCCACAGTGGCAACATGCGAGTGAGGCCACGCTCAGAAGCGAATTGAGTTACCTCGTCTTGAACATGGGAGATGGTGAACAAGACGCTGTCACTGCCTGGGCTGGTGGAATTTCCCAGCTCGAACGACTTCGAGAACGCAAAGACCGGCTCATCTTTGTTGATCGCTCGCGGAGAGTCTCCATCGACCTCGTTCTGCAGTGTACCAGTCCTAGCAAACCGCTGACGAAGCTTCTCCGAGGCACCGCTTTCATGCCGCACATCATCGGGAGCAGTGAAGTGCAATTGACCCCATTCAGCTTGGTCTTTCTCCTCCGCGAAGACGATTTGGTCCCGTCGCTTCAAGGTCCATGTCTTTAGACCTTCGATGTCACCGGAAGCTTTCTGCTGCGACAAAGCCCAGTCGATTTGACTGTCTGAAAACCCGCTGACCCATTGTCCATTGACGTCCATGTATATGTTCACATCGAAGCTGCCTTCAACATATACTGTCACGTATGCTGCCGGTAGCGACTGACGCAGAGTCGATGTAGGCGTAATGGGAGAGAGGAAGGAGAGCGTGATGTTGAGGCTGCTGGCATCGTGCAAGGTATCCGGAGCGGGTAGCGAATACGTGAGATTGGTGGTCGAAGCATCGTACTGCGCGCCTCTATATTTGGGATAGGATATGCTGTATCTGCGAGATATTGTAAGCATCGGTGGTCATAATAGGACAGATATCTTGTACCCTTTCTCGCGCGCAACATGGTCTTTCTCATAAGAGCTAAGAGCATCCTGGGGACGACCCAGCAGTGGGAAAACTTCGTTTGTGTCGGGAACATGTGCGAGAACGCTGAAGCCGACCTATTTCGGGTCGCATTAGCATTGGTAGACTGTTCGAGCGGATTGAGGAGCTGTTACCCATCCTAGATGCGTTCAGCTCGGTGCCATACCTCTGTGCCGTGCCAGAACATAGGCCACTTCTTCCACGGTTCCTCTCGCGCATTGCCCAGCCATGTGCTCAGATACGGATTCCGCACAAACAATGGCAGAACAGGTGGCGTAAGTAAGGATGCGGTCGCGACGCTTGCCAGCAGCGCGGCGGGAACGATACCGGTGTGCATTGTGTGTACAGCAAGCACAGCTAGCAAAGGACGCAGAAAGAGAGAACGATGAAGTAAGATATACACGCAATGTCTATTGCGCCTTCCAATGGCATGTTCGTGTGAGCTACGGAGAGCTGTTGTTGTGCTTCGACATGACGCGCGTAGCTAGAGCTGTGAGACGACGTGGGGAGCTGTGGAGCCCTGAACCCGCTGGTGCGGGGTGAGACGGTTCGACCACTCAGCGCGACGTGCCTTGCAGCTAAATCATAACCTCCAACATCTGATCTCTCCAACGCTTCCAATCTCGTCCAATTCCACACAAGAATATAGCGCACCAGAAGATAGAACCATAGTAGCCTTTGTTCGCCCGAATCGTGTTTATGGCCTCCCCTCGTGGTCACCTTCCCAAAGCTCAGTCCTAACGAACGCCCCGTGAATCGTTTCGAGAAGCAGTCCTACTGCCGCCATCACTCGACAGATTCGACGGTGTACCACGACGCCGCCATGCGCCAGCCATAGCGCTCAACCACCCCGTGGGCGTCAGCCCCCCTCTTAGGCCGCTCCATAGTGGGTGTGGATATGGTCTCCCTCAATGACTGCACCGGACTGGGTGTCTTCCTCTCCCAGTCGTCGATCGGGTAGACGGGATGAGGCTTGTAGCTTGTGTCCGCAGCTGGATCGTGTTTTTGCGGTATCGTGGGTAAAGCTCGCCGTAATGGTTGCGGTGGATCGAATCTGCAGGAAGGTGGGACTGAAAGCCGATAGTTTGAGGGAGTGCGACTGAGATCGTGATGTGAAGGTGCTCGTGCGTACTCATCTGAGTGAATACCGGACCCACCACCGCGGATTCTTGGGCTCGCTGTGTTTATGTAGGTCTTGCGTGGGCTTTTGGGAGGGTCACCCGCACCGTCGTTGCTGGGTCGAAAGACGGTTCCACTGTCCTGCGGCGCAAAATCCCGCACTTCTACTCTGTCATTCCGGCTGTCGTCAGTATCTTCCGGCTCGATAACGGACAGGTCATTGTCCTCGCCATTCTCGACGATCTCATCTTCTGACAGTCCCATCTCGAGGATCTGCGCCCAAGTGCGATAGTAGTAGCGGAATGTCGCAAATGGCTTGTCCACCGGGTCGACCAAAGCAAGCTTGTAGAACTTCTTCGGCTGCTCCGAGCCCGCCAGTCCAGCGTTCACAAGACTGTCCTCGTCAGTAAGACCTCGCACGTCAGCCTCGCGAGTAGACTCACCTAACGCCCCTCTCACACTTCCCAAACTCCGTCCCCGCATACTCCTCAATCTTCCTCTCCGCCCTCTTCCTTCCTAGCGCCCGATGTACCCTCACTTCCAAACAAGTCTCCTCGTCAAACCACCCACCCCCTCCCACACCATTTTCCGTTCCCTCCGTAGGATCAGGCTTCGCAAAACACAACACCCTCTTCTCAACCCTGTTCCGTCCCCCCTCATCCTCCGTTTCAAAAAGCGCAAACATAGTCTTCCCCTTCCATTTCTCCTCTTTCCCGGTGCTCCAGCTCACGATGTGCGCGCCATTGATGTAGAGTTTGAACAGAAAATGTTGATCCTCAGGCACGGGCGGGGACACCGCGTAGCTCAACCAGAATTGGGAGGCCGGATAGCTGGGGATGTAGACGCTGCACGTGGAAGTTGCCTCGTCCTCGAAGCGAGGGGTGTCGGCGGGCACGGGGAGGCCGCGCGAGATGTAGTAGTCTTGCGAGCGCGGGACGTATTCGGGGAAGGTTTCGATGTCGAATTGGGAGTGGAGTTTGACGCTAATGCTGCGATAGATAGGCATCGTGGTGTTGGCGGCGACGACGACGGCGACGCTGGGCAGCTGTAGACTCAGGATGTAAGCCCGAAACACGGTTGAAGTTGAAAGTTACGAGTAGTCGACGTCAAGCGGGAGCAAAGCAAGTGAAGGTGAGTATGGTGCTCATTGCGCCTGCCGCTTTCGTTGAGCTCAGGTATTCACCCTCACTTGTCTAAACCCTTGGCGGCCTGCTGGATGCATGACATCCGAAAGCTCTAAATAAGTCTGATGGCGATCCCCTTAACATCTAAATATACGAGGCCAAATCTCACATGTGCACAAAGAAGCGTTGCCTGTATGTGTTGTCGATCATTGCGTGATCTATCTTAACACAGTTGAGTGTCTTAGCCGACCGCACTCCGCCTCATCCTAAAACTCTCCAGCCATGCGTGATGCAGCGCTGAAATGAAACATGGGGTATCTAAACTAACGCGAGAACACAAGCATCTTTCAGGCTCCTTTGATCCTGCCGACTCCCACCACCGTCCAGAACGCCTCTTCTCTCCTCTCCTTCTCACCCTTACTGCCTCTGGAATCACCTAACCCTCGGTCATCCGCTCCAGCATCTGTCTCATACTCAATCCTCACGAAAATCGGAATCTCTAATACATCTTCATCCTCCTCGAGCTCTTGTTCTTCCGAGCCGGAGCCTTGAGAATTCGTAAAACCGGGCACGATCTCGACGGCCACGCTCGTCCAATTGCGGCCGCGATCCCAGATTTTACCTGCTTCGATCTGCGCCGGTCCTTCCGAAACAGAGCCGCGCTTTATGGGCGAAAGGGACGAGGACAGAGCATCGTCCCAAATGTCGGTGTTAGCGCCAACATCGAATTGCGGGCAGAGTATGGTGACACGTGAATGAACCTTGCCCGGCGTGGTACTAGGCGTCGCTAAGGTTACTTTGATTGAGTCGAAGAGCGGGTTGCTGAGGTGCAGTAAGAAGTGCGCCGGGATGCCAGGCTTAAGTGCGTTGTAATCGAATGTCTCAGCAGTGCGACTAGCAACAGGAGTGGGTGGGCTGGCATTAAGGGCGCGGATACTGAGGCGGGGTATGTGGTTCAGTGCAAGAAGCTTAATCTTATAGCGGGTCGATGTTATCTTCGACTCGGGCTTAGTGAGGATCTGACGACACGATCGACAACGTTTAGAGCGTTTCGTGCACAGAAGAGTTGCGAGAGGGCGGATCTCGTCCGTGAAACGAACGTTTGGGTTGATTTGGGCGTGTTTCTGGGCAGGCGAGAGCGTGACACCCCAGCCTTCCCTCTTGATGCGCTCGATTGCGGCAGCGTCACTGATAGGGTCGTGGATCGTGAGGCCTTCGAGTGAGGAAGCAGCTTCGCGCATCGCGCTGGGCTTACTACGCTTGTTCTTCTTAGAGCCAGTCGTGGAGTACAAGTTCATGATTCGAGAGTACGCCGACGGAGATGAGAAGTTGATGTCGTGGGAGGAGAAAGGGTTCGACGGCGTCTGAGTGTCGACCTGAGATTTGTAGAAGGCGGTGAGATTGGAAAACAAGTCGTCATGGCTAGGCGGTCTATCATCCCGTTCTGTATCGGTGTTTGTGGATTCGGTCGACGGCGACAGCAAGTCCCTACTCTTCCTCATCTCGACTTCTCTCCTACGCTCTCGCTCCTTGTCCCGCTCCTTGTTTGTGGGTATATGTTTCCCTCCATTTCCTAGTCTCGCCAACTGGGCTGCGATTCCCTGACCCTTTTCAAATTCAATGCCGATTTCAAGGGAGCTCCAGCGGCAGTACTGACACTCCAATATGAATGGCGGAGCACTTTCACCCGTCTGATCGAGCGAGTATGTCTGCAAATTGGAAGTACATAGCGGACAGCTAAAGCAACTTCTAGTGCATCTGTTCCCATCGCTCTTGACAACGGAGCTGGGCACCTCGAAGAGGCAGCTCGGGCAGTACCAATTCAGCGTCTCCTCGATGATGCAGCGGGGGCAGCGGACCTGCTGGCAGTCTTCGCAGTATAACAGGTGCTCGAGAGGGTACAGCGAGTAGTTTGCGCGCGGGCTGCGGGGATCAAAGGTGCGCTCCTCCTCTTCGGCTTCTTGCAGGAGCTGCGAGGCGCGCTTGGTGGAACTCGTATTGTTGCCGTCGTAGCAGTCGCAGGCATAGTATGTGTACGGAAATGGCTGAGCCATATTGGTTGTCTAGGGATGAAAAGGATGTGTGGCCCGGCGGCCGTTTCGCGTGTTGCTGTAGTCGTGTTGACTCGAGCTTCAATGTTTCTGGAGCCGCGGCCCAAGTCGGCGTTTCTTCTCACCAAACGCCGACATCAGAAATCTTGACATCACGAACTCTCGCCCTCTATTGCGCTTTCGCCTTTGCATCTCAGCCTGTGTGCACATGTTAGCGCCTGGTTGCATGTCACCATGAACACCTTTTCCATCCGCGCCTTCATCCCGCCTTTGACGCGTCGCGCAGTTCCTCTTCGCACAACGCGTTGCTACGCTGTTCAAGCTCCCGGAGCTCCCACCGTGGAGATCTTCAGCCAGCAGCACAAATGGATGCAAAAAGAGCGTGCAGCAAGAAACGTCGAAGCTAGTCGTGGCGTCGACTACCTCCGCGATGAGGTGGCTTCCCGGTTATGCGAAAGATTACTGGTATGCGCAGACACCCACATCGACAAGCTAAATCTAATTGATTCAGGATATCAATCGCCATTTCCCACGCGTTCTGGACCTTGGCGCAAATGCCTGCAACATCGCTCGCCAGCTCACCTTCCCGTCTGAAGACTCTCCCGACGCTGGGCCACGCGGAAACCGCGTCGGCAAACTCACGGCCGCAGACTCCTCCGAAACCCTCCTCTTCCGTGACGTAGACCTTCCATTCAACAAGGAAATCGACATTGAACGTCAAGTCCTGCCTGCGTCCGAATTGCTTCCTTACGAGGCGAATACATTTGATGCTGTATTGAGCAGCCTGAGCATGCACTGGATCAATGACCTGCCCTCCGTACTGGCACAGGTCAACAACATCTTGAAGCCAGACAGCCCTTTTATAGGCGTCATGATGGGTGGAGACAGCCTGTTTGAGCTGCGGACGTCATTACAACTTGCCGAACAGGACAGAAGAGGCGGAGTCGCAACTCACACATCGCCCTTAGCCGATGTGCGCGACGTCGGCGGATTGCTGCAGAAGACGGGCTTCAATCTCCTCACTGTAGATGTTGACGACATCGTTGTTGACTTTCCTGATGTCTTCGCGCTTATGAAAGACTTACAAGCCATGGGCGAGTCCAATGCCGTCATATCGCGTGAGAAGGGCGCTATACAACGAGACGTGCTGTTAGCTGCCGAGGGCATATACAGAGCGCTTCATGGAAACGAAGATGGAAGTTTACCGGCCACGTTCCGTCTGATTTATATGATCGGCTGGAAACATAGCCCGAAGCAAGCGAAGCCTCTGGATCGCGGCACAGGCATGTTCAGCATCAAGGACTATCTTGAGAAAAATGGTGGGGAGAAATAGTACGCATTATTCGACTTCATATGTATAAGACGTGGGACAGGAGACGATCAGAATACGTTGAAGGGATGGTAACTCCATCTCCCAAACCGCGCAGACGAGCTAACATTGCGCTCGGGGCTCCATGCAATCGAATCCTCCACTGCGTTTGAATATACCCATGTTTGTTCTGTCACTAGATCTAAATGCTGGTATGACTGCAGTATCTGAAAGATAGGTTATGTAGCCTCCTGGTGAAAGAGGTGTCAAATACCGAGCTTGCGAAAGTAACAGTCAAACTCTCAAACCTTCAACAGCCTCATGGTCAACAGCCTCATGGCCAACTAGCTATGTTCCGAACATCGCTTTAGAGTGACCATCCTCCGCTCTACACAGGTCCTCGGTATTGTGCTCAACGAATGCGATGCTACGTCGTCCTGTGAGCATTTAACCCTGGCTACCACGAGAATCCCAAGAGCATAGTGAGTTCATGGGAATTTTGGAATTCGTCGAGGTCGGTACCGGAACTCTGGCCTAACCGCTCATCTAGGTGCCGCTAGGAGTTGACTGTCGGAAGACTTGTGTGCTCATATGTCGAGAATAACATACATACTCCTTGGAAGTAAATTTGCGTGTTAAATGAATTGCCTCACCTAATACCAACCGTCAACAACGATCTATGTCTCCACCAATGGAAAGCGTCTTAGCATGGTCTTCTATGTGTCTATCGTTTCACACTTCTTCATGGTATCCAATAAAAATCTATTCAGCGTTTCTGGAGCCAATCTTCGAAGTGAACCTTTAATTTGAGCTCTGATTGGGACGGATTTAGAAGCAGTATGCGTGAGACGGAGTGAGAAAGTAAGTACCGGTGTCTTACCGGGGAAATTTTAATAGGTGAGGTGGAGCCAATCTAAGAAGTACGATAAGCTGCGTTGATAGAATGGTTCAAGGTGTCTTCCATATCGCTCTGTAGTCTGGTCGGTTCGTGAAGGCCGGGTTGGTCTTTCTGAACGTTGGTGCGATGGTTCGAAAATGAAGATGATGGTGTCCGAGCTTCTTCAGCTGGGATACCAGCCTTCGCTCTACGCGTATGACGAGATCACCTAGAATGCCGGCCTGAGTTGCTGATGTATTGTACTAAGTTTCGTTAAGGACTGCTTTCCAAAATACCCGCCGGAAGACATGGAATGGAGTGGGAGTATTGGCATGGTCCAGTGAAGCGGTTACCGGCCCGAAACTAACATTTGAGTTTGGATGTCGTGCATGTCTTTCGTGGAGCTTCCGACACTTTGGGAAACTAAGAGAACGGACGAAACAGGTCGGACCTTGTAAATTACGTGCAGCATACCCTGAGATCGACAGTGAACGATCGTGGCTTGCATAAGGGTGATTCTGAAGGATCCCCATGCACGCTGTCCCCGAGCGCTTCCTAGCGCTTATGTAGGAATGAATTTCGGGTCGACTTCAAGGATCAGATTGGCGAGAAACGCTAGGCCTTTCACTGACTTACATATGCAGTGGCTGTCACTGCCTGTCAGTCGCACTGATTCTGATTGATCCCACCGAGTGAGCCCAGAAGACATGCATCATGACTCAATAGATTGTTTGCACTCCTGTACATCATGCATGCGTGATATGCCCTTCAATCAACCATGAGTAGAGAATTAATGCTTAGTTTCCAATAAAAAAACTCCAGAAGCCGATATTTAATTAGACGTTATTAAAAGAAAACTATCGCATATTACTATACGAAAAGTGACCATATTTCAGCGACGAAAACTCGTTGAACTATGTCCTGGTGCAGTTGCTTTGGTACTCTCTGCAGCTTTTGCAGTCATCAAAGCCCCTCTTTCCACCGCGAACGTAGAGCATGAAGCTTTGACCTGACCTCATCTGCCAACATAGTCGGCTCCATTAGTAAATGCTCACCAATCATATCAATGCAATAATTGAGAACGTCGACTGGCCCATCGACACCCACGGAATTTCCGTCCGATCGAGTAATTGACAGCCTGCCGTGGGTACGGTCCATCAGGGCTTGCAACAGCATGTGTTCAGTAGCGCTATCATCATGAAAGCTTCCGTCCAGAGGCATGGCAGATATTTGCGCCGCCATATTGGAAGTCCGATTGATGCTCTTCGTCGTCTGAAAGCCCGGCGGAATCTGGGCGATACGTGCCATGATCACCATACTCAAGATTAAGGCGATCCGATACAGGGCCGTAGTCCACCAAAGCGGTCTTGCGTTTACTGGGATTGTGCGGAGGTAACGGAGACATTGGCCGCAATGGAAGCCCAGAAGCGCTAAGGATTTTGGTTCCACTATCCTCATCCAAAGTTTTGCATGGGTTGACCAATTTTGTGTAAGGTCGTTCTGTGAGTGATCTTGGAGCAATCGCGCGACCGCCGGGAATGATGCATGGCTATTGATTCTGATGAGATGGTAGAGAACCATACTGACTCTGATCGAAGACGTGGCGTCTGTTGTCCACAGGATTGATGAAGCCAGTTGCTGCCAACGTCCAAGCAAAATCTCTAGTTCACCGATCAGAGCTTTAGAAGCTAATCCAAATGTAGGACTCAAATTTCTGCCAAATTCCCTAGTACCGTTGAACGTGTGGAAGCATTGATGAAGGCGCGCTGAAACACATTGCAACGGGTGCAATAGTAGATGCAGGTTTGGCGCAGTGACGTCAGCGTCATTTGGTGGATGACCATCGGTAAAGGCCTCAAACAAGTCCAGAAACGATGTCTGAGAGGTGGCAGTAGATACAACAGTAAAATTGCGGAGATTCGGGCTATCCTGGATTGATAGCTTTGGTGGGGTGTCGAGTAATAGACTTAGTTCCAGATCAACCATCACCCACGAACACAGTAGCCTGCATGTCTTAGTAAGAGGCGTCTATTGAGTCGCTAAAATGTGGCTGTACTGACCGGTTTTCCTCGTAGTCAGTGCTTTCAATGCCGCCCTCGCAGCGTGGTATGATCTGGATGTCCAGAGAGTCCTTACGGAACCTTTTACGGGAAAGTAGGTTCTGCTGGATATGCTGTACACACGTTAATGAGAAATTGCCTAGAACAATTGCGAGTCAATCACCTGTGTTTGATGCTCCCACATTTCACTGACGGCCTAGGAATTTCGCAGTGTAAGTAATTTTATATCTTCATGGCAGGCTTATAACTGTGACATACATTTGTATGGGTTGATTCGCCGCTCCATTGCATGAGTTGTATCAAGGATAATGACACTTCCATGTGTTCTGTGACCGTTGACCAGTTTTCGTTGTAGTTGAAGATACGGCAAAGACCGATTAAGCCGTTAGAAAGCCATTGAACCTCTCGGTTCTCTGAGATTCGAGTTACCTTCGCTATAATTAACAAACATAGCAAGCCATGTAAGATGCTGTTTTTCTTAGGCGTGCAGCTTAACAGCCCCTCAACAGAAGCAGGAAAAATTGAGAATCGTCGCTGTTCGTCGTGGAAGTATTTTCTGAATAGCCGTCCTAGGATATCTGTGGTTGGGAGCAGTATGATTTTGTCCATCCAAGAACACATCTCAGGGTCAAGCTCATTTGCCGCTCGGTGCATTGCTTCTTGTTTTACTGTGCGCCATATGTATTGCGTTACGGACAACAGCCAGTCCCTTGTAGTTGTGCTGAAAGTTTCGTCGATTTTTGTTTGCGTATTATCCATTTCGACGGGTAGCGTATGCAGTGATAAGACCCCGGATGACCATACATCCGGGTTATCCAGTACTTTCAGATGCGCTAGAATGGTATAGAGACCAGATTCTTCGTCTTCGAGATTGCTCTTTGGGGAGGTGACATTGTTCTGCAAGTTCGGCCAAGGCTTGTAGCTGTCGACTGTATTTTTCCAAGATCCCGGGAGATCTGGCGCGATGCAATACTCATCTTGAAACAGACTATCCGGCATGAAAATTCGGTCTTCATCCAATACGAGCGGAAGGTTCAGCAGATCTAAGTCGAGGGCAACCCGAGAGCAGTGGCTGGCTGCGAATTGTTTTCCAATCGTATCAGACAAGTTCTGTTCAGTGCCCACGCGAAAGATGTCCGTATAGGCAGCGAGAGATGATTCAGGGCTTTGGTCATTACTGATAGCTGTCAGGACATCAAATTTGTCTTCCAAAGCCGCTGTAGTTCTGAAGTCCCTGCGTTCATCTTGCTCAATGGTGCCTTCACCAGACACAGACGTAAACGTTCCCACATTTTTATCGTTGGCGTGTGGTGCGGGGTTGAATTCCGTTGGATCTTCTCGAGCTTGGCTCACATTCAGGGGGTGGTCATGAGCTTTATCCGTATGCTTGGTCTTGACGCTCCTTCGTCGTATCCTACGTCGTTCGCATGCAATACCTTTTTGACTGCAACGGGAGCAGGGGTCCTGCTTGTCGCATCTTGTCTTGTTTTCAGCACAGCTAATGCATGCAATGGGAATGCGGCCCATGGCTGGGCGCTTTTCCGGCATGTTGGAGGAAATTGATGCGCCCTCATGGTCGGCATTTGCGTGTATGGAACGATAATGTCTACTAAGTAGATCCCTTGGTCATGTGAGCTACGTGACTATAATCAGTGCAACCAGATGCTGATATGGACTTACTTTCTCTTAAACGTAAGCTTGCATTCATGGCATTGAAACGGACGCACATTGGTATGGGTCAGAATGTGCCTCTCAAGATGTTCGTCTCGTTTGAAACCTTGCCCACAGTAATGGCAAAACACTGGCACACAATGTTAGCAAGAGGTCAGGATATTGCGTGCCACTTTGGCAACAAAGTGAAATTCTTTCGTACCCTTCGTGACTGTAGAGGCCATCATGAGCATCGGATGTGAGTTTCACACCTGTATATGCATACGGATGTGGCCGAACAGGGCCCGTCACATATTCCCCTCATCTTGTGGCCACTGACGTCTCCGATGGGCGTCCACCCTCTCACGGACATGACAGGCTGTGCCGCTAAGGAGGGGCCGACGGATATTGGTCCTAATCGGGCAGGCAAGGATTGACCGGCAAAGGTGTGAAATAACGAATGTAAGACGGAACTCCTGCGCCTTGCCATGCTCTGTCTCAACCGCTTTGATGGAAACCCCACGCCTCTCCTAGCCGCAGAAATTATGGACCTAGCAAGTATGTCGATCCTCGGAGCTTACTCTCGGTTCAATGAGCATTAGGAAGGTAATTAAGGGCCACGACCCGGCAACAGTACACATTGAATATTCCGTAGCCATTCATTGAACCGCTGCTCAGCTTTCGGTAATCACGTACTCATTTCACAAGACGGTGTGCTTTGCCTCTCGTCGGTTCTGCTTAGATTCGGACCGACTACTTGACTAAATGCTGATCTATTCTTCATTCACTCGTCGTTGCATCCGGTTTCTTCCATTGGAACGCTTGCAGGGATGGCATACATCACCGATAACACAGGACCTTACAGATCACTGCTGGGGATGAGGATCCTTCCAGATCCTGGTAAACGGTTAAGATCCTTCTCAATCCTTCTGGTCATTCTCCCGATGCAAGACACGCTGGCAGTAGGTAATTTACGCAAGGAAGCATATGCACTGGGCACAATTCATGGGCCTAGCTAGTTTCCGCTCCTACCCTTCCAAGGAGCACTACCAGCCTGTCCTTGATACTCTTGGCAAGCTCTGAAATCGACTGATACTCCTCCAACATAGCGATGCAATGCTTCAAGATATCCCCAGGCTCATGAACAATAGCCGTGGCGGTATCGGCCCGAGATACTGAGGGAATTCCATCTCGATGTCTCATGAGTCGAACGATTGTGGGGTGATGAAAAGGTAGCGTATCCACTGCCACGTACTCCGTTCCTGTTCTCATGATCGTGTCATGCTGAGCTTGCTGCATGGCGGCCCCAGCAGCCCACATAGAGAGCGCCGCACGGTAGATTGATGCGTACCACCAATAAGGCCTCGAGGCCAGAGGCAACTTCTGGACAAGTCGCAATATCTGGCCACCATGGCACCAGATAGAAGAAGCGTCTTCTATATATCTTTTGCCCATCCATACCGACTCGCGAAAATCTACAATCGAGAGTTCGCCTCGAGCAAATCGTTCAATGTCCGGAACACTTGTAAGCGTATTCAAGCTAATTAAGTGATATAGAACCATATTACAGCACCCCTGGCTGGTAAATGTGTCATCGTGTCTGAAGCTCTGCTGAGTAATATCGTACCATTGCTTGAGCAGATATTGGACTTCTTCCACTTGGGTCAAAAAGCGTTGGAGATGTCGTTGGCTGTTGCTGCTGAAGCAGTGAGAGAAGCTCTTGTACAAATGATAGATGAGAGCTTGGATAGGATGAAGTAGAAGTCGTAGCTCAAGCTGTGAGATGTCCTCAGCGCGAGAGAGTTCACCATTAATGAATCTCTTGAATAGCATTGCAAGTGACGTGCCGTGTTCCTGGCTTCCGGTCTGTGCTTCGTTTGTCTTAAGAAGTTCCAAATAGGTGGCCAACCACGTCTCCGCAGAGGTAGCTGTCCAGAGTTTCTCGCTGGTTGGGAGGTAAGAGTTGAGCTCATTGACATCTAGGTCAAGCGGATTATCGTAGAAGAGGTTGATTTCTTGATCTAGGACGACCCATGCGTACGTGAGTCTTCGGTTTTGCCTCGTCGGTAAACGTTCATTGATAGGGTTGGTCACTGCTTCCTTACGTACCTATTCAATCTTTCCTCTTGACACCAAATAGTCCAGGCCGCCTCTGCATCGGTGATAACATAGATGCTCTCCAGCGTAGAGCGTCTAGCGTCTAATATGCGAGCATATTTGAGCATCTTGACAATCTGTTAGCATCTCTGGTATACTCTGAGTTAGTAGTTACAGCAATGATAACTTACGGAAGTATACGAACGTAACTGAGCCGCACATAACTAAGAAGAAGCATTAGCGACGTTCCCGCAGCTTTTGGAAGTCCTATATCCTACATCCATATGCCACCTGTTCCCACTCCATGCAGAAGCCTGCAAGTAGAGCAGTGCGCAACGAAGCATGACACTATGCTAATGAGCCATGATACTTCAGCGAGCTAGGGGAGGTCTTACGGATGAGCTGCGAGCTGTACATTCTTCTCCAATACATCCCAAATGCATATACGACAAATCTCTATCAAGCCACTTGCAAACTCGCGTGCTTCTTGGAGTGAGCTACCCATTGCGCCATGTGCAATCATGCACAGTAAGAGCAGCACAGAAATCTTTTCGTCGTTTGCTCGAAGAAGTTCTGTTGGGCTGATCAATTTCCCAGAAAAGAAGGGCATGTACGGCTCGACGCGAGAGGAGTACATGCGCATGAAGCCTTCAAGCGCGGAGGTAGAGGGCAGAATAAAGAAGCCGGTGACGTTATTCTGGGAAATAGAAGATTTACGCCAGAGTGTAGCTTCCCACAGCCCTGCCTGGCGCACTTCGCGTGCTCGGCTGAAGAAGCCTTGGGCTATGACCATCAGCCTATCTCTCAGGCTTTCTTCCAGCTTTTCTACCTTGACTTCTGGATCGGTCGCGTCTGGGTGGAAATTCGTTCTCCACCCGGGTAGTTCATCCAATGTCTTCTCGAGTCGCATCAAGTGTTCTCCTCCAGTACGTGGGTCTATCCACCGTTGCGTGCGGGGATTGCAACCGAAACAAGGCCAATCCTCATCAGATCTGTTAGCGGCCTTTTCTCTGTGTGGTTCGGCAACGGGAGGCAAAGGCTGAGCCGCTCCCGCTGGAAGTAAGCTGGCAAGCTCCGCAGACAAGGTCGAAGACGAAGGATGATCATGACTATCTTGTGCCATAAGATCGTAAGAGTGGCTCATTGGGTTATAATCAAGTGATGGATCCCTATGTCCAGGAAATATTGACGATGGACTGAGCATTAAATCGTACTGCGCTGCGAAGGCACCAACGGATTCATCGGAGAATGCAGCTGTGCCGGAGTCATTTGGGCTTGTTGATCCTTCTGGCCAACTCATAGCTTCGATGGGAGTTTGTGGCGTAAACGCGGTTTGGTCAACAGTCGAAGTGGGGACATTCGACGCGGGGATAATCGATGCCGGGGGCGTTGGCGCGCTTGAGAAAAACTGAGTCGCGATTGGTGAGTTTACTTCAGAGCCGAGCAGTAGGAAAGCTTCTGGATATCGACGTGGCTGTCGTGGTTGGCACTTTTGGCGTTTGAAAAGGCATCGGGAGCACGTAGGTAGCTGCGTTAAGTTATTGGCCTAAGACAAACATGACTGACACTTGAGAGACGTGGAACATGACCCACCCTTTTGTCGCATCTTGCCTTTGCTTTTGCACATGGAGAGCAAGCTATGAGGGTCTCAGCGTCGACAGCAGGCTTCATCGGGATAAGAACGTTTCTTAGAGAGGTTCGACAAAGAAGCGTCAGCGATCAACAAATCAGGATGGTCCGTTCAAAGCTTCTTAGAAGAGAGCATTATGAAAGCAGAATGTGTACTCATAGCATGTTCTGCCTAATGCTGACCATCAGCGACTATCGCGTACCACATGAGGTTCGCAGAATACCTCCATCTCGGGTGTTCCAAGCCCCGCCAATTGAACTCCGCCACATTGACAGGGGGCGGGCAGAGCCGATCCATAGCACCCGCCGGACCCCCGGGTCCGTTCCCGCCCCATAATGTATGCGCCGTAGGGCAGACTTGGTAGGGTTTCTTGCACTTGAGCAGCATCCCAGATAGGTCATATATCTTCGGCCTCCGATCGTGACACAACAGCTTTCGGGTATATACACGCATATCCTATGTATCGCACGAGATGCAACAGTGAATTTGACTGCGCTCTCAGTGCTACCAAGCAGCTACATCGCGTACCATGGTTCCATCCTAGGCATCACCGCTCAACAGAACACTACCCAACAAGTTACGTCAAAGCTATTCCCACGGACGTTGCCTAACAGCACGTGATCAAAGTGCCGAAAGAGAGCGGAGCTCATATGCCATCAAACCTTCTCGCGCGGGAGAAGGTTCACTCCAAGCACCCAGTTACTCAATAAATGTCTTATCAAACCACACCAATCTCCACGCAAACTACCTAGCATGTACTAGCCTCTGCTTCGAGCCATGCCTTGGTACATCTCCATGGATGCAGATCCTGCTAGCCTTGGACAAAGGCACCTGCATGGATGACCTTTGTCGCAGACTATTAATCCGACCCTTGGCTTGTTGTAGGGTCACCAATCAGCTGTCTTCGGCTGTGTTGCATCGGGGATCAAGTCATATAACGCGAGCGCTCGCCCCGCTAGTGAAGAGGCTGTCGCTTACGACTCCCTTCCGCCCAACTCGATATCAGCAAACGACATCATTCTTTTGAATATGTCTTCCAAGATGGATCTTCTCTACGAGAAAGGTGACGAGAATGTGAGGATCAAACGTCGTGCTTTCTGGGTAAGCATTTTGGAGCTTTTGGTCACCCGTTACTCACTCCGGATCAGATTTCGTCGGGCATTCTGTTCACGATCGCTGTTTTGACAGCTCTCGGGCGTGTCTTTCTCAAACTCAGACACAAGATGACGTTCACTATCGACGATTACATCGTCTTCTTCGCAACATTATGCTTCATCTCAGGCACAGGTGTACTCTACGCGGAAGTGGACAATCTCTACATTGCGCCGGCTCTGAATAGATACCCAGAGTTGGCATCAGCATTGACGGCATCTCAAATGGACAACCTTGCCAAGTATAGCTTTCTACACCAGCGAGTGTACTTCATCCTGTTTTGGTCCTGCATCTTCGGTGTCAAAGCATCGTTCCTCGCTTTCTTTAAGAAGATGATCGGCCGGATGAAGAAGATAACCATATTCTGGTGGGTTACGGTCGCAATAACGGCGCCATCTTGGGTTGTTTTTGTTTCTATACCTTTCATCTACTGTCCACATGTTGGCGCATCGTCAAGTGAGTCCCTTATGCTGCAATGTACGGTCAAACCTCTCTAACCAAGTTAGTCATCTGTATTCAGCATCCTAACAACAAGGTTTCTGTTGCGACAATGTATATTGGTGGTGTTTTGGATATTGTCACAGATCTGCTAAGTACGCTTTCATGCCACAAAGGCTTGTGCGATCACTGATTGAAGCAGTCGTGAGCATTCCGGTCTTGGTCCTCTACCGCGTAAAGCTTCCTACCCGACAGAAGTTCATCGTAGGGACGTTTCTCTGCCTCTCGCTGTCCATGGTTACCATGGCGCTTGTAAGATGTACTACACTCTTTGGGAAGGGAGGTCATATCATGGACATCACATGGTCGTTCTACTGGCTACACGTCGAAGCATGTGTTGCGATCATCATGGTGTCTCTCACATCTTTCCGGACGACCTTCAACGTGAATCGCAGCGCAACGGAGGACAAGGCAAGATTGAAACAGGCACCGACGTATATAAGGGAAAGATTAGGAAGGTCCGGTGGTACCAACGATGATGCGATCGAGCTGCATGGACCCTCCAGTAGAAGGAAAGACAAGGGAGGTATCTTTAGCATTAAAGGCAAATACTTTGGAGAGAGCGCCGTGGAGTTATCCCGACACTCCTCCAGCGGCACTGTGGTAGCAGAAAGGGAGGACATTGACTCGGATGGACGAACCAGCCACATACATACGAGGCAACCGGATAAGATCACGCCTACATCGTCGATCTAGCATTCGCACTATAGCACGAAAGTTTTCAGGAAGAGCATCATTAGATGTTGTGTAATATTGTCCCTGAATGTAACACTAACGGAAGTGGGCGATTCCCTCGGCGATTTCACCAACGTCCATCCAGATTGCACAACACAGCACTTTGAAGGCAACTCACAGGCTACCAGTACAGTTCCACGAAGTAAAGTTCCGCTTATGCCAATGGTCAGACGGAGGTCCGTTGGTCAGTGCGCCGTGCGAGTTGACTCCAGATTTGGTTCGCTAAACCCTGACTGCTCCGGTGTAGAATAGTTCCTATTCGCCTATACACGAACGCAGAATTTTTAATTTTGGGCCCTCATAATGTTGTCTCGGTCCATACTAAACAGCCTCGAGCTCGACGTAAATTAGACCCAATGGAGCATCTCCGAGACGGCTCATCATTTTGCTTTCCTTCCTGGGTACCCGCCTTATGCACGCTTTCTTCGAAGTGGCACAGTCACTTAAGTCTGTCGAGATGGGGTTGCATCGTCGGATATGATACAATAATCAGCTGAGTGCAGAATTGAGTATGTCTTATTAGCCCATTAAACACTGAGCGGCGGCGGCACAGCCAGACTAGGTCCACCGCAAGGCTTTTGACGGCTTGTCCTATACGTGCGAGAACCTGTCCAATGGAAGCCATTGCGCGGCGCCCTGCCTCAACGATTTAGTTCGCACAATTCGGGGTTCTACTTCAACAAATTGATTTCCAAAGCTAGTTAGTCTCGCATGCGCCTAGTACTCAGCCTTGGGAGCTTCTTGCTCACTTCAGTCACAAGCATCGGTACATGAAACTCGTCACACGTCCACTCATTTAAAGCCGCAGTTTCGATTCCAAGGAGAGCGGCTAGTTGACTGGATTCAGGCACCGCTGGTATTATCTGTGCATTATCTGAGAGTTCCGAGCCGTAGCCAGGATTGCAAAATGCTTGCGAAGTGGACCTCATCTTGTCTTCGGCAAGATTTCGCCGTCCTATAGCGGAAATACAGTTACCAGCGTCCAACCCTTGCCTCTTTTCGTTGCATGTTCACCCTAGTCTCAACGCAGGATTTCACTCGATCCTTACCTTTATTGAGGGCAGCCTTTTTGAATTGAAAGGGACAATGTGAAAGGTTGCAACTTTAGTATGAATACGAGTCTGCTTTTCTTCAGAGAGTGGTAACGATTACCCTGGACACTGGCCTAGACACAGCGTTCATGGGCCAGTCATTTCATATGCAGATTTCTGCACATTAAGTTTTGAATGTTGTTCTGCAGGGCGTTGATCGGAAAGTGACAAGGGAAATCAATGAATTTGCTCAGAAGTTCATTGTTATGGCCCACAATAATAGAAGTGACCAGTGTGATGTGAGATTTCGCAAGTTCCCTGCAACACAACATACGGACATCCGCCCGTCCGCGTCACGAAGAGGCTAAAAAGATCTACCCGAGTCTAACGGCTATCCCGAAGTCTGCCTCGGGGATTAGAGGGTGGCGCGGATGATCTACAGTAGTGTTCTGCAGGGTGATGGGGGCCGCGCGCCTCGTTCTGGTAGGCACGACGGCAGCGTGTCCTGGTCGATAGAGATTGTGCGGCCACTGTCCCCTGTCGTCATATATTATACTGCAATTCTCGAAAGAGGATTAAAGGAGAGTCTTTGGAACATCCACTTCTCGCAGCTATGAGTCTGTTGGTGATCGGCACTTTCCTACTGCATGCGGCCGTTGTTGTCTCTGAGTTAAGCGATGGCCGCGCTCGCTCGACATCCTCCCAGATATCATTGAAACAAACACTCGACTATGTAAGACCATTCATCTTACTCTTCTTTATGACACGTTACTACAGACTCTAAAACGGCTAGGTCATTGTGGGCGGCGGGCTTGCTGGGCTGACAGTCGCTGCGCGTCTTGCGGAGGACCCTAACATTACCGTTGGTGTGTTTGAAGCGGGAGACTTCTATGAGAATACCAGTGGAAACCTCTCCCGGGTCCCTGGATATGGTGCACAGGTATCTACTAGCGGTGCAGACTGGGGCTTGACCACCAGCCCACAGGCTCAGCTCGATGGCCGCAGTGCCGACTATCACATCGGCAAGACCGTTGGTGGCAGTACTGCCGTCAACCTAATGGCGTACCACCGGAGTACTAAGGGTGCCTATAACCGTTGGGCAGCGCTTGTTGGAGACGACAGTTACCGGTTTTCGAACTTCCTGCCTTGGATGAGAAAAGCTGTCAATTTCACGCCTGCAAACACTCGTGTTCGAGCCAAAAATGCGACCGTACCAAAAGCGAGTCCTGAGTCTTATGATAGTCCCGGCGGTCCCATCGATATTACCTTCGCAAATTGGGCGAACCCAGTGTCATCATATGCAAAGGCTGGCTGGAAAGATCTAGGGCTGTCCCAATTGCAAGATGTCACAAGTGGAGCCTTGATTGGAAATCAATACGTTCCGATGACGGAAAGAGCAACCGATCAGTCACGATGCTCTGCTAGAGCCTTCTTCGATCAAGCAGAGAATAGCGGTAGGCAAAATCTGTACCTCTTCACCAAGAGTACTGCTCAACGCGTCAACTTCGATTCCAGAAACCGTGCAGTTTCAGTCACTGTTGAAACAAATCAGGAGACCTTCGAAATCAAAGCACGAAAAGAAGTCATCCTTGCAGCGGGAGCTCTGCATACGCCCCAGCTTCTTCTCCTTTCGGGCATAGGCCCTCAAGATACCCTGAATCGGTTCAACATCTCGGTTGTTAAGAACCTTCCCGGAGTTGGCCAGAACTTGATTGATCATCCGAACTTTTTAGTTGCGTACGAAGCCTTTGCGACCACTGCATCGTCGATGTTGGATCCAGGATTCGCCAGCTCGGCTATCACAGAGTACGACAAATATCACACTGGTGTCCTCACTCATAGCATGGCCGACCACTTTGCATGGGGAAAGCTCTCCAAGGACGAAGTCAGTGAACAGACAGTCAATGAGCTCTCAGAACTACCTCAGGATTGGCCGCATTACATGGCTGTGCTTAGCGACTTGACATGGGGTCCAGGTCAATATGCTCAAGGCATCGTGATGCTTCAGGCCGTGACGTCCCGTGGGTCAATTTCTATAGCGAGTTCGTGCATCGAAGACCCTCCTGTGCTGAACGTGAGCACCCTATCGACGGAGACCGACCGTGACGTCGCAGTCGCCTCCTTCAAAATCATACGACAATTCTTCAACACCACATCGTTGCGAAAGATAACGGGAGCGAACGTGCTGCCCGGGATCGATGCACAAGCAACATGGTCTGACGCAGAGATCGAAACGTTCTTGCGGCAAAGTATGTCTCCCGGCAATCATGGATGCTGCACGGCAGCTATGGGCAAAGGATCAGATCCCAATACCGTCGTAGATACCCATGGTCGGGTGACAGGAACTAAGGGGCTTAGAGTAGTCGACGCGTCGGTAATGCCCTTTCTGCCCCCTGGCAACCCAATGGGAACTCTTTGTAAGTTATCGCGTCGCTGTTAAATACCCCATACTGACCACTATGTACAGACGGACTGGCAGAAAAGCTCGCCGCAGATATCAAAGCTGGCTCGTGAGGCTCTGGGGGACTTTTCATGCTTGAATGTTGTACATACATAGATAATGTTGAGCCGATGCGGACTACTGCATCGCCTATTCCTACACTGCGTTCACCACTTTTGTCCTAACTCCATTTGACTCCGGTCTGAACCCACCAGAGAACCCATCCCACGTAATCTCCACATCTTTATCTGTGGTCTCGTATAACTCAAACTTGAATCTTCGAAACAGACATGCAACAGTCAGAAGCAATTCTGCACTCGCAAGATGAATACCAACACATGCCCGGGAGCCTTTAGAAAATGGCATAACATATTTCTCCTTGCTTTTATCGGGCCCGAGCCATCTCTCTGGATCGAACTCATGCGGATTTGGGAAGATATCTGGATCGAGATGTATGAAGTGCGTGCTCATACTCACTTCCGTACCAGCGGGAATGGTCCAGTCACGGAACTGTAGGTCTTCGTTCGGTGCGATGCGAATAAGCCGCACAGTTATCACTGCCTCTACCCGATGCGCCTCGAGAATGACCGCACGGAGATATGGTAGCTGTTCCAATTTGGCCCAAGGCGGCGGGTTGTGCGGATCTGGAATCGCCTCTTGGAGCTCTTGAGTGAGCTTCGCAAGGGTATCGGGGTTCTGTAACAGATGAAACCACAAGACCGCAAGAGTATGTGCTGTCGTATCTGCTCCAGCACCGAGTAGTATGAGCCCGTCGTCCATCAAACGTTGCACGGTCTTTTCTGACGCCGGTAGGTCGCTATCGCGAAGTTCCTGGAAGATCGTCCTGTATTGTCCCCGGCTCTCGCCAGGTTTACCGGCCAGTGTAGCTTCAACTTGAGTTTTGATCTTTCCTTGTACGCCCAGAAAGAATGAAACCGGTTCACTGATTTTTGCTGCCAGATGAGGAGGAATTTTGCTTAAGGTATCAGCCACCCAGGGAAGATGTCGATTCGTTATCGATGATTCTGTCATGGACTCAATAGCATGTTTCCATTCCGGCGAGAAGCCTGGCTTGTCCAATAAACCATAGCTTTCTCCAAATGCATAAGTGGATATTATATCCAAAGTCAAAGACATGAATGCAGTGTGCATCTCGACAACGGCTTTTGATAGGGCATACTCCCTCAACGCTTCACAGAGTCTGTCAACTCTTTCTTGAATGAGAGGCTCTATAGATATGACAGAAGCTCTAGAGAAGAAGGGATTGAGTGCTGCTCTTCGGAGTCGATGGTGGTCGTGGTCGATGGTGCCAAACACTGATTGACCGCCAGTTCGACCTACAAACCACTCTGACTTGTTGCGGCGGCGTCCACCGGCGGCATAGAGTGTGCTGTACCAGTCCGGGTCGCGTACATGGAGCTCGTAGGGGTTGATTCGTACGATAGGGCCATATATCGAGTGCAAGCGCTCGATTTCCTTGTAGAATTGCCCACGTTTGACAACATCGAAATAGAATTCGTACCAGTAGGTGAGAGCTGCCAGGGGTGGGCCGGGAAACCGTGCAATCGGACTCAACACCAGGCGCTGCAAGGTCAAGTATAGGCAATATCCAAAAAGTCCAATGAGGGCAGAAATGGCGTAGAGTACCTGCATCTTGTGGGTCGCGTCGCACGTGGTGTCTGGGAACTTGACAGTAGCACAATGCCGACATAAGGTCAAGTAATGAGGGTAACGATCATCATAGTCCGGTCTCGAACTGTGCTTCCGACGTGGCCGAGCATGGAAACCCTATGCTGACGGAGATCCGATTGCAGTGAGGTTGCTCGGCGGAGCTCCGGCACGTGACCTAGAAGGGCGTGATTTGTCCGGCACGTGACCGGAAGTCCGACACGTGCGTTTCCATTTTGGGAGGCCGATGCGACCCGCCCTTGTTTGTGTAACCCACCATACAACTCGCGCGAGTGACCTTTCACCAAGTGGGGTGGATACACATTGCAACGCCGCATCGCTAGATTACGGACCAATGGCGTACCAATGCACGCTTCTTTATTCTACAACTTCGCATATCATCCAAGCATGGGAAAGTATCATCTCAATATTTGCTTGCACCTCCAGCCATGGGCTTCTTCCTCACACTTCTTCGCTCGCAGCTCTTTACCAAACTCCCATACCCAACATGGAGCTTTGAGGGGCAGACAGTTGTCATTACAGGGTCCAACACAGGACTTGGCCTAGAAGCTGCACGCCACATTGTGCGGCTAGGTGCTGCGAAGGTCATCCTTGCCGTTCGAACTATCTCCAAAGGCGAAAAGGCAGCCGAAAACATCATCGAGAGCACTCACGTCACGAAGAGTGTACTTGAAGTCTGGCCTCTTGATCTCTCTGACTACGAGTCTATCAAAGCATTCGGAGCACGCCTTCAAACCCTAGATCGCCTCGACGCCTTGATCCAGAATGCAGGCGTGCTCACAAATCATTTTAAGAAGGAAAAGGAATCCGGGGTGGAATCGCACATCGCCATCAATTCCGTGTCTGCCGTCTTAATTGGCCTGCTTGCTTTGCCAAAGCTCAAGGAAACTGCACGCAAGACTGGCACTCGAACGCGACTTACTTTTGTCGGATCAGACCTTCACTTCATCGCAGCATGTAAGGAGGCGGAGCATGATGGATCGTTGTTCGATGTGCTTAGCGATGAGAAGATTGCCGATATGAGTGACAGGCAAGTGCAGGATTCTACCCTCTTCTCGCATCATCTTCTGACTCCTGTGCAGGTATCGAGTGTCAAAATTATTGCTACACTACTCCGTCCAAGAGCTTGCTGCTCGCAGTCCGTTAGGCTCGGGCTCCGACGTCATTATTGATGACGTTACGCCAGGAGCTTGCGAGAGCGATTTGTTCCGGGATGAGATAGGGTGGCTACGTTCAATTATCCAGCCTATCATAGTTAAAATATTTGCACGAACTACTGAAGCCGGCAGCCGGGCTCTGGTTCATGGCGCCAGACCTCAGTTGGAGCCAGAAGCCCATGGTCGTTTCTTGATGGATTGTAAAGTCGTTTCGTAGGTCACACTTTCACACTTTTAAACCCAGAATTCATAGGCTAACACGAATATTAGTGACTGGGACACAGTGACCAGCAAATGGGGCCAGGATTTGCGGAAACGGTGGATCAGTGAATTGTTTCCGAGACTGGAGAGCGTCTCGCCGGGAGTGACGAATGTTCTACAACAATAGAACATGAAACGGCCTCGTCACAGAGCCAAAAAAGATTGCGGAAAATCCAACTCGATGTCTTGGAATGCTTTGGCAGGAGAATACTCCAGAACAACTCTTACAATTGACAGGAAACAAGATGAATCGAGCCTAGCTTATACCCATAGCTTTGGGTATTGATCAGGCTTAGCGAGTCGGAATGTACTTCAGTATTATGTATCCATATTGAAAACTTGCGAACATGTCCCGGACACGCTGAAATGCTTCTGTTGCAGTCGACCAATTATCACACATATTGCATGAGACTCAAGACCTTCCATTTCAATCGGCAGATTTACATTGCCACGACGACCAAATGGCCATGGGTTATAGATGCAGAAAGTTTGAATGACCCTCAAGGGCCCATCACAGCTTCCCCTCCGGCTTTCGTCTCTTTGAAATTAGCTATCTTCTCCTGCATCCTTATTGCATGTCACAATCACACACCCCACGCTGGATCCACAACCAGGCGTCCCATTTGGATTGCCTTTTCAAGACCGCTTCGTTTTTCGGCCCCAACGGGTCTGGGGTTGCTTGTCATCCTGGAGACGGACCCGAGCTCCTCCTCGGTTACCAAAACTAGGATATGCGGGAGATCCGCGTTTCGGGCGAGAGCCAGCGGCAGGGGGATCGGGTCAATGCAATTCCTCTCCTAGAATAGCACCGGGTCAAACTGGAAGTACATACTGTACCGTTCAGTCTCGTTATGTCCCACGGACCTGATTCTACTCTACTGTCAGGCAATTCCGGGAGCATAGATCATTTTGCTGTATGTAATCATGGCTTTTGAGTCCCTCCATTTTGGAAATGCGTCAACCAAGGACAAGCTATTTCCGGTGAAGGTATCGGAGGCTAAAGGTGACTTTCACGGTGCTCTCAAGTGCCTTATTATCATCGTCGCATTTGGTCTACTATGGCACCTCTTTCGTCGCCGCAGCCTTCCACCAGGCGCAAAATGGCCTCCAGGCCCAACAGGTACACAAATTTACAGCCTCCGTCTCTCTCTCTCTCTTTTCTCTAAACACTATCCAGGCCTCCCTCTAGTAGGTCGCGTATGGGACATCCCCCGAGAACATAGCTACAAGCGCTTCAAAGCGTGGTCAGACAAACACGGTCCTATCTACAGCATCAACATCTTCGGCGTCAACCACATCTGGCTTTCTTCCGACAGAATCGCCAACGATCTGCTTTCCAAACGGGCTGCAAAGCACTCAGACAGACCAAGTATCAACCAACTAATCAACAGCAAGACGGATCCAGAGTACCTGCCCTTGCTTGGATACAATGGTAAGTCTAACTACAATTCAGTCTGAGATCTACCGTGCACGACTCTTCCCCCTCCGCAACTACTCGTCTCACGGCCCAAATATACCTACCAGACTAACACCCCCAGCCCACCACCATCGCCAACGCAAAATTGTAACCCAATTCCTCTCCGCCTCAGCGCGAACAAACCACCAAGACATCCCCTACTCATACTGCACCCAGTTCCTAGACGAACTCCGCGCCAACCCAGACGACTACGAAAACATAATGGAGAACTACACCGGGCGCGTGATATCGCGGCTGGCCTTCGGCGTGCCGGACCATTACCTAGAAATCAGACAGCACAGTCATGGTCTGCTGCAAGCGATTTCGCCAGCGGCGTACATCACGAATATCATTCCGCAGCTGAAACTGCTACCGAGTTGGGTGAGTCCCTGGAAGTGGATCGAGAAAGCTCGCCATGCGCGAGAGAGAGTCTGGTTTCTGCAAAGGCACGAAGAAGTTAAGAGGAAGGTTGCGAAGGGCACGGCGGAAGACTCGTTCATGAGGTACGTGCTTGACAGGCAGGGAAAGACGGATGTGAGCGATCTAGAAGCCGCGTACATGGTGGGTATGATCGGGTTAGCTGGTGTGTTGACGACGTCGTCTTGCCTGATGACGTACCTCCTCGCCATGACGCTGTATCCAGAGTGGCAGACGCGGGTGCAAGTTGAGATTGACGAGGTGTGTGGGGAGAGGAGGCCTGAGATGCGGGACGCGCCGAGGATGCCGGTGCTGAGGGCTGTGATTATGGAATTACTAAGGTGGAGACCGATTACACCTAGTAGTATGTTTTTATCTAGGGAAAGTAGTGCTGTGAATTTGCTGATGATGCGATAGGTATCCCACACGAGACGACAGAGGACGATGTCTACGACGGTTACTTCATCCCCAAAGGGACTTACATCCATCCAAATCAATGGGCTATTACTAGGGACGCCGAGGTCTATCCCGATCCTGAAGTGTTCGAGCCAGCGCGGTGGTTGGACCCAGCGTACCCTTCGTACCGCGAGCCTCTGACCGAATATCCTTGCATTCGCAATTTCACCACATTTGGGTATGGGCGCCGTTTATGCATGGGCATGGATCTCGTCGAGAACGAGTTCTTTGTTTCGATTGGCGCGATGGCTTGGGCCTTTGATGTGGCAAGGAAGGTCGGAGATGATGGACGCGAGGTTGAGATTCCACGACATGATTATACGACGTATTTGATCAGTAGGCCGAGAAAGTTTGCCTTCGATCTGAAAGCGAGGCAGTAGGGTGTGAACGGCACTACTGTACCTTATGCGGGCGAACGTTTGACTTGGAAATACCATATTCCTAGGGCTCTGTTAATCCAGTCCAATCTCAAGACCTACATCGTATTGTGCTCAAACGAAATTCTTAGAGTCAGCACCTGAAGAGATATGTCCATATTGGTACTAGGTGCAGTATTACAATAACCTCTACACTTCTCTCGTACAACAAAGTACCCTATGTCTATCAACGCCAATTCAATGCACATGCAACGCCCTTATACCAAAGCAATGCACCTACAGCCTAAGCCTCCCCTCTTCAGAACGCCCACCAAACAACCCCAAAAAGCCACCACCTCTCTCTCCTCCATCTCCAGACCCTCTAGTTCGCTGTCCTCTATCAACCTCATCCTCCCCACCAAGCCACCTCGGCCTCTCGAAATTCCAATCTCTGGTCTCAAAGGTATTTTTCACCCTCGCGCTGAAATTTTCGAAGAAGTTGCCACCCTCTTCTTCGTCGTCAACAGGCGGCCTCCTCCTTCCCAGCGGCTGCCGTCTCGAACTCGGCTCCGCATTCGCAGCTAAAGGCGGGTTATCACTGTACCGCTCCCCGTTTGGCGAAGCATTCCTCTGCGCAAGCCCAAGACTGCCATTGTTGGAGGAAGATTGGATCTCGCGCTCGATGAGGGCACGGCCTTCGCGCCAGCCGCCGGTCCCCGCCGCCTCGACAGCCTCGTCTTCTTCGTCCTCAAGCAGATCACCGAAGCCACTTATGTTCTTGACTTTCTTGTACAGGCCGAACGCCGTCGCGAGTACCGGCACGAGAATGAAGATGGGGAAGTAGTCACTGAACTTTTGGCCGACGGGCGTGCTTTCGACGTATTGACCCAACAGCTTAAAGAAGCTTGTTTCGTGGACAATTGGGCCACGCGGCATGAACGTGACGAAGTTGTACGAGAGCGGGACGGTCAGCTTCGCTAGTTGGAGGGAATACCAGGTTGCAGATTCTTGGTATGTGTTTCGACGGACGAGCGCACGATTTCCCCAAATCTTGACTTCGGTCAGAGAGAAGAAGGAGCAAGTGAGCATGTAGCAGAGCCACATGGCGGCGATGAGTTGACCGCCAAATCCTATTTGGCCGCGCGATGAAGAGGGGTGGTGGACTACGCTGCGGCCGATGATGGAGAGCTTGGAGTCGTAGACAAAGGAGCGGATGCATTCGGACCAAACGACTGCCAGGGATGCTAGGGATGTGAGGATCCAGGCGAAGTAGAATAATGTCGGTATAACGTGTACGTGAAGGAGGTATCGAGTGTAGGGCGTGAGCAATGTGAATCGATCCATGAATCCACCCTTGGCCGCCTGGAACTGTGACGTCTTGAACTCTAACCTCTGGCTTGCTTTTGAGTCGAGAATTGCCTGAGTCTTGACAGCCTTGTGGATCAAGCGATCCCATTCGCTCTCAAACCGCACCTTCGCATGCCTCGCTCTTTTCAACTTCCTCGTCAAATCCGCAAGATACCTCTCCGTGATGACGGGCGGTACCGTTGCGGTGCTCATCCGTCCCACCACACTCGCCCTGCTCTCTGGGAGACTGCTCTTCTCTGCCAACTCATCAATCCATTCCTGAAACTCCCTTGCCGTAGCGTTCTTTCTCTGCTTGAGCTGCACAACCTGCCACTCATACTGGTCCAGCTTATCCATGCTCTCTGTCAACTTCTCGTGAAGCTTAGGCGCCTGTGCCTGCAGTCGTTTCAACCTCCCGGTGATACTCGCATAGCGGTACAGATTCCGCGGAAACGCAACGAGTCCGTGACCCATCAAGTATATCGCCAAGGCAAGCGACCACGCATACGCCAGTGCCATGACCGTACCCTTCAAATTCTCTAGATCAAATCCGTTGTACCATATGTAGTACACCAGACCAAGCACTCCAGTCCCCAGCATCACAGCCCAATATCGCCCATTACTCTTCACGCTGTACAAAGCTCGCGCCTTGGGTTCTCGGTACCCACTATCGACGTACTCGCCCAACAGTGGGAGGATAGCCCATGACAGTACGAACGTGAGCCAGTACGTAACGCGCCATGATTTGTAGACGACGGCTTCGCCGAGCCAGATACCCTTGGTACCAGCGCTGCTAGCGAGATCGATGGGTACGAGGAGTACGATGGAGGCGGGGAGTGCGATGGTGAGGAAGACTGGGACGGTCACGTATGCGGGCGTGGTTCGTAAGGGTAGGTAGTATCGTAAGAGGAGGAGTACGGCGGCGGCGATCGTAAGGAGAGCCAGGGCGAAGAAGGCGGTTGAGCCAGCGGGAGAGGCCGGCATCGTGGAAGGAAGCGCACGTCGGCGCGCATGCAAGATTGTTCGCTGGAGGGAGGCAGAGCGCGGGGGAAATAGCGGTACGACCTGGAGTTGAACAGAAGGTTGCGTCGGGAATTACATCTGAGTGAGGCGGCGAGGGATGGAAAGGAAAGGTTCATAAGCAGACAGGCAATCAACCCTTCGGCATGCGGAAGCTGCGGTTTCCGTCGCGACGTCCTTCACGTCCTTTTTGTTCTACTTAGATCAAGTCGCGAGCATAGCTAGCTCGGAAAACAATGAGGTCCGAAAGCCCCTACCATATTCGACGCGGTCACCATGCTCTCACGTCTCTGCGGTACCTGTGCTTCAGGGTCCTCGAGCCGCCGTCGCGCATGCAGTCGTCATACGATAGACGAATATACCGTTTCCGCTTGGCCCGGCTACGGCCCGGTGATTAGCTAAGTCTTCAAGCCAAAACCATCTAACGAACCTGCCGAAGGCGATTGCATCATTCAGGGCGACTGTCTTTCACTGCGGGGCGCGCATCGCATTTACTAATCACCATCCACCTTCTGCATCTGCATCTGCGGTGATCTTCCGCCATCGAGACCCTGTATTCCAAATCTCACACATCACACCTTACACACTCCGCCCCTCAAGTAAGTCGCATAAAACAGCAGCATCTACCTGTTTTTGCATTCGCTCGTATCCGAACTGTTTTCACGAAGACTCTACACCCCTCACTCTAACACAGCTTCAGTAACCGAGTACAACCGCAACCATTTCCTTCCTCCGGCACTTCTTCACGCGCGCTCCCAGCCCCGCCACCATGTCCGCCACAAAGACCAAGGTGCAATCCATCATCGATGAGAACCCCGTCGCAGTCTTCTCGAAGAGCTACTGCCCCTACTGCCGTTCCGCGAAGCAGCTGCTGAGCGACAGCGGCGCAAAGTTCTACGCCATTGAGTTGGACCAAGTCGGTATGTACACCCCTATGGTATCGAAGCATAGTAGATGAATAGGCGCTGACAAGAGTGTTCTGTAGACGACGGCTCCGCGATTCAGTCTACGCTCGCCGACATCACCGGCCAGTCTACTGTCCCCAACATCTTCATCGGACAAAAACACATTGGTGGAAACTCCGAGCTGCAGGGCAAGAAGAAGGACCTGCCTAACTTGCTCAAGACCGCCGGCGCTGTCTGACTATCTGAGTCGAAGCTGTAATGGCATACCTATAGCATAGTAATCATAGACTACGGATAAACGAAGTCGATTTCCAACTTCAGGCACTTTGTGATGGACTCCAGAGAACTCTTTAGGAGCGAGTGTGAAAGCATATTAAGTGATACGGGTGATAATGCTAATTTGTTTACTTGCTGTCAATCGTGATACTGCCAAACAATGCATTTCAAACATGACCATTCGAAATCTAACAGGGTAGTCTTGGTTTTGGACTTATACTCCACCTGCCTACTTCATACACCGTCACCACTGTGCGTAGATATGATGCGACTACAACACCCAGTTTTAGCGGGCGTTGTAATGCTCAAGCCCTAACCATGACAAAAGCCGAGGCCCTCATCCTGCAACCCTTCATCCCCGCCATCTATGTCATTACGTTGTTTCGAATGCTTGCTTTACTGTCGTGTCCTCGTGCCTCACTGATCCAACAAACCCCGCACTATATCCTTCCACGCCGATGCAGGTTCCTAAGTCTGCATCGCATCCGTGTAACTCTGCGCCGCCGTAGTCGCAAAGTACCTTACATCGACATCATCATCTTGCTGCAGCTTCTCCAGATTGGGCAAGATGCTCTTTGTAATGAGATCCTGTCCCTTGGGGCATCCCTGGCCAGGGGTTCCTGCTTTTTGCAGTGCAAGTACAGTGCCTTGCTCTGGGAGCTGCTTGAGAGTGTCAATGAGGACGGCGTATGATTTGGCAACGTTAAATCGGATGTTGGGAATGTCGTCGTTAACGAGCTTATCCATCATAGGGAGAATGGATGCCTCAATCACGTCGAGACTGAGAGCGGGTGCGAGGGTCTGGCCTGATTAGCGGATGTCCGTGGGAAGGGGACGACAAACATACCGAAACAGCAAAGCAGGTAGTCATTCGGTAGAGGTAGTTGGGATGCTGGCCCATGGCCATCACTTTGGGCACAATGGCCTCGTTGGCCCACTCTACGCCGAAAACCTCGGTAAGCTTCTTGAGATTCTGCGTAGACGCCTCGCGGATGGAGAAAACGGTGTCGCCGAGCCAGCTCATACATAAGCTGCTAAGCTTTTCGTCGAAAAACTTAACACCTAACTGCGAGGCAAGAAGAGGGACGTATTCGATGATCGCCAGCCGTACACGCCATTGCTTGTCTTCTGCGAGCTGGACAATGGCCGGTAGAAGAGATTGTGAGAGAAGTTCAATGCCAATGACTGAAGTTTGTTAGGAGGCCAAACTCATGCACGCGGCTAGCAACGTACCGTTATTTACCAGCTCAAGCTTAGATATTATGTTAAGCCTAACGTCTGGGAATTCATCTTTGAGCATCTGAAGGAACATGGGCAGAAGATGTGAAATGGTCCTACAGCATGTCAGCAAACGCACGTCATCGGGGAACAGCACGTTCTTACTCGTCCTTGCCGAGAATTGGGGCCAGCCCGCTAATCTGGGTACCAAGTGCAGCGCGAACATGTTGCGATTGGTCGGAAACGAGCTCCTCGATGCTTGGCATCACCTCCTGGAGCAGAGTCTCACGTTCGAGGAGCGCGCAGAAGCCCGGGATCTGCCCCGCGATAGCACTTCGCACCTCCGCCTCGGTGTCCTTTAAAAGCTTTACGAATGCGGGTACCAGGTCTCGGTTGACAACCTCCTCGTCTACGGCTTTCGCGATCTAGACTAGATTAGCTTGGATCTAGTTTCACCTGCCCGATGGACACACCTTCTCAAACCGATCAGCAACCATGTAGCGCACCCTCCAGCTCTTGTCTTCGAAAAGACTCCGCAGAGCTGTGAGGAGCACGCCATGGCTCGACTGCTGCTCCTTTGGCACTGCCTCTGCGATTGCGATCAAGATATCCACCGTCAAAAGTCTGACACTATCCTGGTCGTCGGCCGCAAGGTGCTGAAAGAGGGAAATCATCTCATCGATAACGATGGCCGGTGGCATACACTTGATGAATTTTGCGAGGTTGTTTGCGGCCTGTCGTCGCACCATCGGGGTGTCATCGTGCACGAGCTGGCCATAATGCTGCCTGAGCTGCTCCTGCGATGGTGGGGGAGCTCGTGTGTAAGGTACGCAGTAGAGACCGGTCGCCGAGATTTTTGAGGTGAACCAGTCGGCCTTTGACAGGCGCAAGACGAGCGGGATGAAGTACTCCTCGATCTGTTGCTGCGAGAGCTCTTCGCAAATCTTGTTCAGGGATTCGACGGCCTGCCAGCATCAGTAAAGCGGCCCGTTTCGTTGCAGATGTGCGCTCACCTTCTCTCGCACAAGCGGCTCTTCTATCGCAGCGAGGTTCTCCAGAGGCGAGAGCAGCACGTGTCCGAACTCTGGACCACCAACATATTCGACGAACTTGCCCAATTCCTCACTCAGAGCTGTCAGCACTTCATCTTCATCTTCTACCGATTCTGTGCGCTTCGTTAGCCCACATTAGGGTCCGGTTTACTCTGCTGCAGCCTACCATCGAGGAAGGGTATCAGCTCATCCCGCGTCCGCTCGGCACCCAATGCCAGAGCTATCGTGTTGAGGCGGTGGATGGCGTTCAATCGCAGCAGCACATCGTCATGCTTAAGCTCGTCGATGAGAACGGCGATCGGATACAGCTCGTCGTTTTGGTTTGCTTCCATGTTGCACGGCTGCGCTAGATCACCAGGGTTTGTTCTTCGAGGGGCAGCGACTGTCCTCGGGGGTGCGCGAAGGGCAATGAGGTATCAGAACGGCGCGGTGGGGCCTTCTGGAATTACTCCTGCGCGAATGTAAGTCCGGCGGGGGAGTGTGCTGGGGACCTGGGGTGGTGTGTCGCGGTGTTGACGTACCAGGTGCTGGGTGGGGAGCAGGCGGGCAGGTGCGACGGGGAGGGTCGGGGCGGTTTTCAGGAGATGGAGTGTGAGTATGCGAGTAGAAAAGGTGCCGCCCTTCGAGTGCACTTTGTTTGTTTTCGAGGTTGGCGTGTTGCGTTTCTTGTCGTTGTTTCGTGCTTGCAGTTCCTGGAGAGTGGGTTTAATTACTTGGCATCGGGCTGTGGCGGGGCAGGTGGCTGCTTCCAATTTCTCTCTGCGCGCCAGAATCTCAACCCACATCAGCACCAACGACCATTGCGTAGGGTCTTAGTGGGGCCAGTGGAGTTTCCTCGCAGCAATGAGCAGTCAGGCTCAGGAAAGAGATGGGATAGAAGAGGAGGCTCACAACAAGCCGTCCAATTCGGAAACCCAGCCACTGCTGGAGCGCAGGACCTCGCCCACCTCTATCAATAACCAACCTAGCGACAATCCCACCAAACAGCTGACCGCGCGACATGCTTTCGCCGTGTTGGTCACACTCCAGATTGGGTCTGGCATCTTCGCATCGCCCGCGCAGGTGGATAGCAATGTGCCATCTCCTGGTGCGGGCCTGCTTGTCTGGGTGCTTGGTGGACTGCTGTCATGGGCTGGAGCTGCCTCATTTGCTGAGCTAGGCGCTGCCATCCCCCTCAACGGCGGCATGCAGGCCTATCTGGCATACGTTTACGGAGATACCATGGCTTTTCTGATGGCATGGATCTACATCATGGCTGCTAAGCCTTCTGCTATGGCCATCCAAAGCATTGTGATTGCCGAGTCTATCGGTTCCATCAGCTCGAACCCCACGGCTGCATGGCTGCTGAAGCTTATAGCTGCCCTTGCTTTCGTGGTCATGGTTTTATTGAATTCGATCAACACCAAAGTCACCCTTAGACTGAGCGAGTCTTTCACAGGCATCAAGCTACTGACTGTTTTCTTGGTTGTGCTTGGAGGAACTGTGGCTGTCATTGCTCATCTGGTGAATCCGAACTCTTCTCTGTCAGGCGGTGAAGACTGGTATAGCAAGAATTGGTTCGCTACTCGATCTACTACATCGGAGGGACACACTATTGATTGGACATCCATGAGTACATGGGATCGGTACGGACACTACTCTGCTGCCATTTACGGAGGTCTTTGGGCCTATGATGGCTGGGATAATGTGAGTCACGTTACGCAGCCAGACTTTCGACAAGCAATGCCTTCTACAACAGTCGAACTAACTCAAGGCTAAAGGCAAACGTGGTAGCGAGTGAGATACGAAATCCAGGACAGGCGCTACCCAAAGCAATCAAGGCGGCCATGATCGTCGTGCTGGGCTCTTATGAGCTCGTGAACATCGCATACTACATTTTACTCCCCTGGTCGGCCGTAAGCTCGAGCGATGCTGTGGCCGTTGTGGCACTAGGTTCCGCATTTGGTCGCTGGGCGGGAGTCCTCGTTTCCATTCTTGTTGCTGTCTCTTGTGCCGGCTCCATCACCAGCAATGTCTTCACCATTGGTCGCTTGACAGTAGCTGCTTCAGAGCGCGAATATCTTCCCGCTATCTTAGGCCAACGAGGGTTGCCTTGGCGCCAGACGCAGGCACCAATTCTCTCGAGCGACCCTGACATTGATTCGCAGATGAATGGCATCGCTTTCCAGAACCAAGACAAACTGTCTCACTTCGATGCGCCTATGTAAGTTTCGTTATGGACCCACTCGTCCCCATACTAATATCTCGAAGCTATGCGAATCTCTTGGCGCTTTCACTCACCCTCGTCTACATATTCACCGGAAGCTTCAGAACTCTATTGACCTTTGTGGGAATGGCAATGTGGGTCTTTTATGTCAGTACCGTGTTGGGCTTGCTCCTTTTACGTCGCCGTGAGCCAGAGCTCCACCGACCGTACAAGCCTTCCGTGATCCTGCCTGCCACGTTCGTCATTGTAGGCACTTTCATTGTTGTTCGTTCTGCCATCTTTGCGCCAGCACAAGCAGGTGTACTAGCATGCCTTCTGATCATCGGTACGTTGATCAGTCGACTAAGGGCTAGGTGATCGCTTGCGCTGCGGTATGTAACACACGTCAGCATTTGTACAGTGGGCTAGGATTGCCCACATTATGCATCACACAATAAAGCCGTCTACCATGATTTCAAGCATTGCATGAAGTGCAAGGGAATGATTCAGTCTTAACATTATTATACTTGGCTCAAGCAATCTTTCGTTTATAGCTTGCCCTTCTCCTCGTCATCCACCCCAACAACAGTCTCCTCTGTGCTCAACACCGACATCTCCTTCTCCTTCTGCACGAGCCTAATCTCGTCCCCTTCCCCACCATCCCACTCCCCCTCTTATTGCCCCAACTCCCTCACTCTTCCCCCGCGACGACTTGAACCGCCCCGTCAAAATCCTCTCAAACGTCGTATTCCCGAAAATCTTCCTCATCAACGGCCTCAACGTCGGCAGCACCCCCGCAACCATGTATATCCCCGACTCGGCAATCGTCCACCGCAGCGGATCAATCTGCTCGTAGGTGAAGTCGTCGAAGGACTTCACGCGCAGGAAGGCCGCAAAGCGCATTACAGCGGCTACGACGCCGCATACACAGACGGAAAGTACGACGGCTAGGCCCAGCTTCGTGGCGAAGGAGACGCGGAGTTTGTACAGCGCGGGGATGGGGATGGCTACGACGATGAAGGTCGTTATGACGTTTGGAATGGAGAGGAATTTCCAGAGGATGAGCCCGTTGATGGTGCATAAGTCTTGCTGGCTCAGGGACCAGCTTGCGCTGAAGGGACGGCAGTTTGCGAAGGGGATGATGACTTGGACGAGGAGGGTGACGAGGCAGAGGATGAAGGTTGTTCTGATGACGAGGCGGTAGCGTGCGGAGGTGCGGCCGAAGATGGTGTAGAAGAGGCAGAGGATGGACATCTTGGAGAGGCTGGTTGTGAGGGGGCAGACGAGCTGCATTGCGGTGTTTAGCTGGAGGGAGGTGGTGAGGGTGGCGTAGGATAGGGTTAGGGCGTGTCGTCCTGCGCCGCCGATGTGCACCATCACTATTTACATGTCAGTGAACAGTGCTGGATGGGGTGTGGGAGGGAGAACGTACGGAAGCCGAGCGTTATTTTACTGACGCAGACGAGGTATGTACCTGTCATTAGACTTATCATGTACCAATTGGCTTTCTGCTCGCCGGGCTGCTTTCCGTCATTGCAGAGGAAGCGAGACGTGTAGAGAAGCGTCATGAAGATTGTTTCGAGGACGAGGAAGGCGATGCATGTTGCGAGTAGCGGGCGCGAGCTGTTCTCTTCTGCGTAACCTGGCGGGAACTGGTCGAGCGATGGGAAAGATGGAGCGGAGACCATGGTGTACCTCGACTCAGATACTGTGCTAGTGTTGAGGATTGACGACCAATAAGGTATGGAGTTATGCCGGGTACAAAGCACACAGTCTATCCTGTGAACAAGTGCAGTTGCGTACTTTGGGTTTACTCAAAAGAGTATGAGGTGAGGAGAAATGTCATCGAAGTCAAACGAAAGGATGAAAATGCCTGACAGCGTCGCAGTAACGAATGTATATATCTCTTTACGATCCAGGAAGGCGGTTCTGTCCTACCACACGCAATATACGACAGGCTGCATGAGTATATTAAATCGCCTTCAGGCCCCACAGCCTTGTGCAACCTTGCTACCGGCGTTCACCCCTACAGGGACCAGCCAGAAGTGGTATTTCGGGGTCCGGAGATACTGCACAAGTGCCAGAACAAGGAGCTACCGCCATACGAACACGCCTTGGCGACGGTATCGTAATTTGATTCGGCCAAGGAGATGCGGATACCTGCAGAGGGGTAGGAGAAGAAACACGGCTGTTGCACGATGCGTATAGCCAGGCGCGCATTCTTGACGATTTGCAAGGCTGAAGGTGTGCTAAGGTAGACGTTCTCATGGTTCGTAGGACGCCTTGCGCAACTCTACAGGGCACGTCGGCGACGCACTGGACATGCGTTCCCGGTCATCGCGCTGGTTCTTTAGCTCATAAACTGTAGCCAAAGAGGGCCGCAAATATCCATTGGATGGGAAAATGGACCATACCAAGGTGGCCTTCCTATTGAGATTGGAGCACAGCGGAAGGAACCGTTTCGGGCGAAGTGTTCGCTGATGCCGCCTCGACCCTTGAGCGGGAGGCTTCGGTTACCAAGACTCGGAGATGCGAATCAACGTTTCGAACCGTCGCAACGGAGGTGTGAATAACATGTGGAGTGGTCGCGCGAAGATACGCCGGTGGTAAGGCGTGCAGCACGTGTGGGGGCTGAGCGAAGTACCGAGGCCAGGGTTGAGGCCAGAAGCGGAATGGTGTACGCCGTACGCTGGCGTTCGCCGTTTATCTCACGTCTACTCTTCAAGAGACGGCGACCTGTTCGACAACGGATATCCAAGAAGTTTCTGGACTTCGGCGACATCGACTTGCGTGTTTATTTCAATCTCGAGACGGGAAGCGCGGTGCCTCCACAGGTCGGAACCTCAGGAGTCTCTGCTGCTAATGCATGCGGGCAGTGGCTAGACACTCATATATGAGAGAACCAAAGCGTACCTTCGATGACTAAGATGTGAATGGTGTTTTCAGGCATGTCGTTGATACCGGTGGTCGAGAAAAGAGCGGTTGAGGCGCGCTAGCGGTGCGGGCCGTGGCGAGTGGAGGATTGCGCAGAGCTGACGCTGACCTCCAAGTCATTATTCTCTTCCTCCCTGCTCTGCTCTCATCTTGATATGTGGCGTTTTTGGACTCAACAGCATGTGTCTATCCAGAAGTATTGCAGTCCATCAGCTGCAGCCTGCTCCGCACAGAACTGTATCTTCCTCTATTCGGCCTTGCTCACAGTCTTATCCATGTCTGCGTTAGCTTCCAGGTCCTGAAAGATGACCTCTCTTTTCCCCACGTATGAGAGAGTAATGCCTAGGCAGGCGCATTGTCGCTTTCGGGTTCGCGAATGACGACATCGCCGTCTGGTAAGCGTTGTAAGAGGCGTGGGAAGGCCATGGGTGCAGGTCGAAGGCGGTATCCTAGCAAGCGCAACTGGTGTGGCTCGTTCCGTATATCGGCGCAAGGCACCTGAAGGTCGACAGAATAGGAGCAGACGTCAATGGGCCGACCATAAGAAGGCGTGAAAAGATACTGTATGCAGTGGTGTGTCGCAGACTCTGTCCGCAAGACTAAACAAATCTCTAAAATATCTAGCCCTTAGAGGATATGGTGTTAACAGCCATCCAGCACGCTGTTCACATACCTGCGAACCCCAGTACCGAAGGAGAGCGAACGCATTGTGAATTCGTAGCTACTCCACATGCTTTTCTCATGAACTTCACTTACGATTGGACATCACAAAATCGTCCAAATCCCGATCATCGCAAGTTCTCCCTCTCTTTGTCTGCATAATACGCAATGACCCTCATCAGACTAGATGAATCATCTCCTCCCCACCCCACCATCCCTCCCATTCATCTTCCTTCCCAAAGATCTCCCCTCCATCGCCCCCACCAAGAATCCCGGTCCTACAACCTCAAATAAGCCCCCTCTTCCCAGCATCTCCCTCACCACCAGGAAACTTTGCAGCCCATTCACCCACGCTACCCTACTTCCCTCTCTCGCTCCATGCGGTGCCAACGCCACGAATCCGGTCTCCGTAAAGATAACTTGATCCGCACTGAAAAGCCTAGAGACTGTCATGACGAAACTCGCGGTCTCGGCTGCAGTGGGTGAGGGGTTAGGCGAGGCATAATGCTCGTGGAGGGCAGTTGTACCGCGGTCCGACACCTCTTTTAGGAAGACGAGGATCTTAGGAACGAAGCCCGGGGGGTTGGAAGACATAAGGGATACGAGGCTGGAATTTGTGTTGGACGCGGTGATGAGGTTGTCGAAGATAGCATCGTGATTTTGGGTAGATTCGGAGAGAACAGGGTATTGGTTTCCTTGGGCGGCGTAGAATGCTTTTGTGGCGTACCAGATGCGTATGATGTGAACGAGGGTTTCTTTGTGCGTCATGCGTTTTTCTGGTGATGATGTTGGGGTTGGAATGGTTTGCGTGATTTTGTCGAAGACTTTGCCGCGGACGGCGATCATATGGGCGCATTGTTTGTCCAGGATTGCGGCGGGTGGACCGTTCATTGCGGCATGGAAGTTCATCGGGCGCCAGGAGCGGTGAGTTGGGTTGACGAGATCGGGGCGTAGGTCGGGGACCCATGATGGGAGAAGGTCATGACTGAATAGCTCAGGGGCGGAGAAAAGATCGTCAGGTACGTGTTCTAAAACCTTCTCTGCATACTTCATAACGAGACTCTGGACTATGTCCATGACGGCTGGACTTCGGCGTTGTTCTAGACCTGCAAAAAGAAGGACGGTAAGGCCCGTGGAGGATGTGCTGGCGCGCGAAGTCTACGAACACTTCTGTAGGCGATGACATGTAGTGTGGTGTAATACGCAAGCTCAAATCCTGGGGTATGAAGCCCAAGATTTCAAAGACACGATCTCGATCGTCTTTGCAACCCCATCGCTTGAAATCCTTTGTTCGAACATAGATTTGCATAGTGTAGTCTTGAAAGATCGTGGTTCCGCTATCGTTCGCTTGTAACTGATCGCGAGCGTATACTAGACCTAGAGGATAGTATATAGATCCACCATCATGGTCTTCGTCGAATGGTCTTGGTACATATTGCTCCGCAGCCCATAACATCTTGATTGCTCGTCGAAACTGTGTCCATGGAACGGTGTGATCTCCTATATGCAAGACAAGATCCTTCACCAACAAGACTTCCTGAATGACCCACATACGACTAAACCAAAGTCGTTCGAGAACTTCGTCCACATTGGTTTCGACACGCGTAGCCATGATCTCAGATGCTACATCTGGATTCATGCGGAAGGTGTTGAGTTCAAGAATAACCGGATGCGGACGAACATTATTATCACACTCGGGTGACCTGCTTGATTCCGCTAGGATATTCATGAAGTCCAGGGCGCCAGAGGAAGTCTCAGATGCAGGGCCCAACCATGCTATAACCGATTCGGCTGTCTTGTAGATTTCATCCATCCTCGCGACCTGATTCGCCTTCTCACCTAGGTCTTCTTGATTGATGCAAACGCTGTACAGATCAGCGGCTAGAGGAACTCACTTTGACTTTTGAGCGAGAACTCACGCATCGACCCATATTGTCAACACCGCGTCCTCCTGCCTCAGAGCCCGCAAGGCAAGATCGAGATTCCCCCTAATTTCTAACCTCCCACTCTCTAGAAAGAGCTCTCCTCTATAGTAAATATATTGGTTGAATGTTCTTGGTCTCTTATTCCAGCGCCGTGGGAGGTGGCAGATTCTTTGTGCAAACGATAATATCATACAGTACTATGATACACCAGCTGCCCCCTCTCCACCGAATTTTGTATTTCTGGGCATTTTAGCGGTGTGGGTCGAGAAGAAGTGAGGGTGTTGACTGCAAATCGACTCTCTACTTCACTTTCTCGTCTGTAACATCACCATCAATCTGAAGGCCTTCGCGGGTACCCATGCATAACGAGGGACATCCGAAGAATTTCTACGACTACCCGGACGCCCCATCCACAACAGCAGTGTGTCTTGATGTTCGGAACGTAGACTGATTTCACGTAACCCACTCATGCTGAACATTACACCACAACAACTCAGCGGGATTCTTGAGCCATGTTCGCAGGCCCTGACTTTTCGACGCCTGCAGAATGGAGCGCGAATGCCAGCAAGCCGTTCATAGGTCCGCATTCATCATCATGTGGAACCCGAGATTCGCCACCATACCGAATGATCAAAATGGACTGAGCGCTCAATATCGGAATTTTTCAGTAGCTATTGGTACTGGAGAAACCACTTTCATGCCTCTGTATATCTCCGCATCTCTCTCTTGTGACCACTAGGCGGCCTCGTCCTCGATCTCAAGATTGCCTACCTTGAACTTTTTCCCCTTCATATCCGCATAGTCGTTGTGATTGTGGTAGCTCTTCACCCTTTCTCTCACATATTCCAATCCTCTTACAGGCGTCGCGTTCTCTGCGTCTTCCCTCACTAATCCTAACCTCTTCAACAACGGCGAAGGCGCAGGCTTGATATCGACATCATTTCCCGGCCTTACGAAGTAGAACAGTCCTAGGCGATGAATATGCGCCTGATCAACTGGCGGCCGTACTACACGGTGAATTGTTGACTTTAGGTATCCCGCGGACCAAAAGTCAAGCGTATCACCAACGTTGCAGATGATGCCGTTGTCGACTGGTGGCACGTACTTCCACTCTCCAGCCGGAGTCTTGAGCTGCAGGCCCGCAACATCCTGGCTCCAGAGCATAGTCAGTGACCCAAAATCGGTGTGTGCGCGGGACCATGTGTTTTGCACTTTCGCATCGTCTTCCTGGCTTCGCGGGTGATACACCATGTATCGTAAATGATCTTCGCTAGGTGTGCTATAAAGATGTTGCTTCGAGAAGTAGTCTTCTGGGAGTTCAAGAATTATAGAGAAGAGCGTAAGGACTTTGACGGCAACTTCCAGAGACCGCCGGGAGAAATCCTCGATTTCGGAGCGGTATTGTTGAAGGAAGGGCTGGAAAGGCTCGTCCTTGTTTGAGGGAATGAATTTGGGTATGTTGACTGACTCGACGTTATCGAGAACCTCGGTGCCCATAATCTTCTTTTCGTTCGCCTAAAGTGCACGTCAGAGATGATCAAATGGTTGCAAACTCGTTCACTGACCGCGCGATAGCCGAAATAGTTGCCCTTGGCAAAATCGCATCGGTACTTTGGGTCACCCTTCTCTTCTAACGGAAGATTGAAATACGCTTGACCGATATCATACTGGCGCTCTACCTCTTCCTGCGTAAGTCCAGTTCCGGTTATGCTGAAGAAGCCTGTCTTGTGGACCTAGCAGAGAGTCAGCAACCATTTCTTGTCCACGTTCTCGGTCAACGCATACGGCGTCTCTGAGGTCTTCTGCCAATCTTTGCTTTTCTCCCGGCTCATCATAGTGAGCAAGATCAATGACTTTGATGTCGGCCCAGTCAAGCTTCTCATTGGTCTTGCTGGGTCTTTCCCAGTTTGGAAGGGGTGCAGGTGCAATGGAAGGCATGTTGTCGCAATGTTGACTCGCAACTTTCAGCTCCCAGCTGGTCCCAACACGTATAAATACCGCGGACGTGTTCTTTTAAGCAACGGTCAGCTGCAATGTTCCGAGATGCATACCCATGTCATTACGCCCGATGCTAGGTCGTAAGCACGCAATACCCCGCCAAGAGGGCGTAATCGCCACAAGCCGGTAACAGTTTGCGGTCTGCTCTCACCGCTAGATACCGCATGTCGATAACGAGGCGTCTGTTTATGCTAAATTCAGTAAAGGTTTCGCAGGGTCTTCGAATCAATGGAGCGAAAACCCGATATCCTACGATGGTAAAACGGACTTGGGCGGTATAAGATGCTTTGTTCCAAGAAAACTGTTGTTATGAGACATTGGCATTCGTTCTGAGCTCCATCAGACCCTTCATATCGCGCCTCTTCCGGATCGACAAAGCCATCATCACTGCAATGGCCAATTCCTTGAAACTGCCGAATGAGCTGCCTCCACCAGGAAAGGTCGTCTCACCTGCATCACCAGTTGTTGAGCCCCGAAACAACAACGATGCTCTTCTCAAAGCCGCCCATCGCAAAGTCGACAAGCGCCTTCTCCTCTGGTATGCATTCGTGTACCTAATCATGCGCATACACGTCTCCAACATCTCGAACTCGGCCATCATAAATCTCGAATCTGGAGATGGAATCCGTCGTCAGCTCGGCAATCTCTCATCCTCACAATGGGCATGGGCGCTTTCCATCTTTTATTATCCCTACATGTTCCTCGAACCGCTCGCTACGCTAGCTCTGAAAAAGTTCAACCCCAATGTTTGGATGTCGCGGATCATGCTTACGTGGGGTATTATAAGCATGTGCCAGGGGGCAACGCAGAATTATGCAGGTATCCTTGTCTGCAGGTTCTTCTTGGGCGCTGCAGAGGCAGGGTTCTATCCAGGAGTGCTGTATCACTTCAGCTTTTGGTATAGGACTGAGAGGTTGCCGCTGAGAATTGGATTCTTCTACGCATGTGGTATGTTCTCGGGAACAATCAGCGGCCTGTTGGCGTATGCTATATCATTCATGAACGGCGCTGGTGGATTGGCTGGTTGGCGATGGGTGAGTAACATGGGAACTTTTATAAACTTTACCATCGCTGACTTTCGCAAAGCTCTTCATCCTCGAAGGAATGCCCGCTATATTCTTTGCGGTTATCACATTTTTTTCCCTTCCGAACTACCCCGAGACTGTCAAATTTCTGAACGAGACCGAGCGCAAGGCAGTCCTCGATGATCTTCCAAAACAGGCACCCACTATGCAAGCAAAGACGTTCAACCGGGAGCAAGCAGTATCTCTGTTCAAAGACCCAACGTTCGTTCCCTTCCTGATGATCTGGATTACGCACGGCATTGGCGGTTGGGGAATCTCCTTCGTCTTACCTACTGTCATATACGAGCTCGGCATCTCCGACACTGCCATTAGCCAGGTTATGACAATGGTAAGCTTTACAATCCTCTCCCCAGGAGTGCAATCCGTCTAACGTAATCCAGCCCCCCTTCACCCTCGTCTTCGTCATCCTCTGCTCATTAGCCTACCTCATCCACACAGGCCGCCTATCCCCCTGGATCGCCGGTCTAGCCGTCGAAGTCACCCAGATAATCTGCTACATCCTCCTCATCACGGTCAAGAACTCCGTCGCAAAATACATCTTCGTCATGATTGCAACCGCCGCATCGCAGTCTTTCTTCGCGCTCATGTGGCCGGAGCGCATCCGCGCTGCGAAGGGCACTACGACGGCAGGGCTGGCGATTGGTATCACGAACGCGAGCGCTCAATTAATGGGTATTGTGGGTCCGCAGATTTATCAGGCGAAGTTTGGGCCGACGTATAGGGTCAGCTATATCTGCTCGATTGGGTTATTGTGTGCGTGCTTGGCGGCGATATGTACAAGCTGGTACTTTGTGAGAAGGGGGGATAGGAAGGCTGTGGACAGCGAAGAGGAAGTCTCGGCGCCGTCGTCTGTGGATTTAGTACCGTCGAAAGCCGCATATTGAATAGAGCACCAGGTGATAGGAGAGCTCTAAGAGTGATAAACATCGTGGAGGTGGAAGTTCTCCCTCACATCACCAATCAGCGGCACAAGCTGTGCAATTTATAAAGTCGAATGTAGACAAGGGGGTGTGGAAGAAGTAGGAGTTAGAAGTAGGAAGGCGACACAGAGGTTGACTGCACTATTAGTACTAGCAAAGCGCCTTCGCGTTCCATGGTTCCATCCTAAGCATACCACTTAACAACCCAACAAAAGTCACATCAGCTATTCCCACGGACGTTGCTTGACAGCAGGTGATAATGTGCTCAGAGAGACTCAGGTGCTAAGCAAGACACAGCAAGAGCCTGTCCTCGATTCAACATTTCAGTCGCCCAACAATAATAACAGGTTCCCTTTCCCACCATTATCCCCTATCTCACGCCCCAGGCGTCCTCCTACAAAGCGGCCTCCTCCTCTCCAACGTATTCGCATCACACGTCAACCTCGCGTCCTCAATGCACGTCAACTGCGCACCGCCTGTCCACCATCCATTAGCCCAACTCTCACTCTCACTTCCCTACCAACTATACACTCACAGTTATTAATGTCGTCCGGTACGCACCGCCCAGTTTGCCCATTAACATTACAAACATCCTGCTTCAGGCTCGTATTCGCAACGCAGCAAGCGCCGGTCGGAACCGGGCGGTTGTCATTCTGAGGTTTGGGCGCCGCGAGGGCGAGGAGGGGGAAGAGGGTTATTGCGAGGGTGAATTTCATGGTGGCGGTGGGTGGGTGTGTATGCTCCTTTCTTTAAAGATGAAATATACAGCGGTAAGCGTGTAGCGTGCAAAGAATATAATCGAACCGGCGATGTGTGAAAAAACTGACAGTAAATAGACAGTAGAATGTAATGGAGTGAGTGGCTGCAGAACCTTCCTTGTGCGATGCTCAAGTGGGTTTTATACTGCAAGATGGCAAGATGAAGCTATGCCTTAAGTATCGTGTTAATGCTGCAAGAGGCTGGATTGCTTCAGCGCGTGGCCAGTGCTAGAATGGAAAGCCTCAGATGGCCGTCTGAGACACCAAGACGGCGCGAGTAGCCGTGCGCTAGGGTAAGATGGAGCTAAGCGATGGAGTGGGCAAGCCGGATTAGGAAAGGCACGATAGGGACTGTGGATGTTAAGGTGTTTGGAGTTGTCAGCACTGCTAACCTCAGGTACCATAGGTAGCTATGCATGGGGCGGATAAACGGAACTCTCTTGCATTGTCGATGTCTAGGCCTGTTGAAAGCGACTATACTTGAAGCACTACTCCTATATGCGAAAGTGATTGTGTAAAGGAAAGTCGACGCGAGACGCGATGGAGCTGGGGCCATGTTGTCAAAACGTAGCGTGAAACGTGACACTACAAGCTTGAATGCCTCGGTCAGTTTAGCGATCTATAGGACACTTCAAACGTTCGCGAATGTTGCAGGAAGCATAGTGCGTATTCCTGGACGTTATGTCAATCTTGCTGGAGTTTGATGTGTTTGGTGACTCCGCTACGTCGCGCTCGAGGTTCTCATGAAATTCGAACGTGTAAGTAATTTTGCTGGACTAGAGTATGAAGCAATGCATTTTTCGTATTATGTGTTGGAAATTGAATAAGGAAATGAGAAAGAGCATCAATAATTGTGAAGGGGTATGTAACAGAAAGGAGAAACACCAGATAATAACGCCTCTCGCCATAGACACATCTTGTCCCTTTCTCCATCTAATGCCCAGCGCCCGACCAACCATACATCTTACTTCTAGCTCTCTTTCTTCTTTTTGCCTTCCAGCTTCGCTTCCAGGCCTTTCTTCTTCTCCATCAAGGCCCTCTGCGTCCTCTCCGTATTCTGCTTCTTCAGGCCAAGCTTTACATCGTTCAAGGCTTTCTTCAGATTAGCTCTCTTCAATTCTTTTTTGGCCTTCTTCAACGCCTTGTCTGCGGCGACACGCTCTTTGGTGCCCTCTTTTGTATCTTTGATCACCGTCTCAGCTTGCAGGACAACAGTTTCGAGCTTTGCAATGTTGCTAACGAGGGATTCGCTGATCGGATCTGTCTATGCGTTAGTGGGTGCGTGGCAGAGGTAGTAACATGTTGGACTAACCGTCGTCTTTGTCCACGACTACAAACTTATTGTCTGCATTCATCAGATTCGGAGGGTTGAGCAATTTCTCCTTCTGGATGGACCGTGTGCCGATCACAAGATCAACAGGCGCTGTCTCTGATACCAAGAAGCGCATTTGGTTGAACACTCTCGGGCTGGTCTGCGAGAACCACGATACACGAACGAACCCCAACACTTTGTGTACTTCACCAGTGGCAACCATGCCACCATTGCCTTCCCTTGGTGTCAAAGGCTGAATGTCGGATTCGGCGAAGCCAAGACGACGCGCAAGATCCATAGAGATAAAGTTGCCTTGGGTATTGCCGGTGTCGAGGACGCATCGCGCTGGAGCAAAGCTGCCGCCATCGCGTTTGTAAGCAGATACTGTGAGTGTGTACCAGTTATCTCTTTCATCGAAGTACTGTAGAAGTTAATATTTCCGCTGGACTTTTGAAAAGAACACATCGTACCTCTGCATGGGTGTCTTCTACTTCGGCGATTTCGACAGTGGCCGCCAATTCCCTCTTCAAGTTCTTTGGACCGAATAGCGCGGCCTTGAAGCACTGCCACCACGATACTTCCACCACGGCAACATGCGTTTGGCGTCGCTTGATGGCTGCTTTTCTGGCTTCGAATTCTGGGTTTTCGGCTACGATGGTTTGTGCTGAGACGGAAGATGCACGACCACGTGGTAGCTTCTCAAAGTCCACGGAGAGGTGCTGCCCCTTCTTGTTTGAGTCTGCGTAGATTGCGTGGTTAGCTGTGGCCGGCCCGAGGTATGGTGCAGGTCAAAGTCTGGACACCGTATGGAGGATCTTAGGGTAAGACTAGCCGCAACACGGCGTCCAAACTTCGGGATTATACCCCTAGCAGGTTGAACTCACTGAGAGCTGGAGTCTGACTCATATTGACTGTCAGTTTGAAATAGTAAGTTGGGATCTTTGGTAATATCCGTGCCGCAACTCGGGGAAGGACGAAGGCTTAAATGTAGGCAGGCTGAGCTAGACGTCTGGTCGTTCATTATGAATCAGACGAGCAAGGCAGCGAAATTGTGTTTCCAGGGGCCATTTTGAGCCTCATCGCAGCGGGGGTAAAAGCCTCTGTCACCGGTTCTGCGCAGCACTGACTGGAACGTGGAGGCCGTGCACTCAGCAATGTTTATGAAGTAGGCGAAGTATTGGCTTTGGGGCCAGGAATCGACCACGCGGATGATTGCGCCGCCCTCCATCAGTGTGTCGGGGGATGCTACCCTGGCCGCCATCAATATTTTGGGGGTCGGTTGTGGCGAGTAATCCGTTGGCTGAGCGCTCGCGGGGGTCATGTCGAGCGCGATATGCCGCGATGTCAGGTTTCTATCCCTGATATTGGGTCACGCTGCACTCAGCTGCGCACCTGTGGCATAAGAAGGTCCTTCCATCTCTTACTGTTCACTTCTCCTATCCTTCCGCCGTCCGCCTGCTTTGATTCCGCGGCATCTCGCAAAAGATGTTTTGAGCATTGCCCATCATCCTCGGCCCCCACTGTCGCCTGCGCACACCAACAATCCGGCGTTGCCAGAAGATGGCCGTAATGCTATCACGTAGCAGCGGTTCGCTTGAGCCTTGAGGCGTTCAGCAGTATAGTACTGCTTCAACCGTTTGGATACGCTTTGTCGATTGAGTCGGCCTAGGAGAAACAACACGACGTCCAAAATCGCGATGAAAGCTTGCGTGCCCGCACGATGTGGCGCGACTTCCCTCATCGATATCTGCGAACCTACCGCGAAGTTATTGTGAGGTGGTTCGAACTTGTCGTTCATTCGGCGGTGGCTTACAGCCTCAGGCAGGGAACTGGTGGAGGTTGCATGAACAGGCTGGGGTGTTCAGCTCTCTAGCGCGAGGCTGAAGATTCAACCTGGAAGGCGCAGACACAGGTCTTGATCGGTCAAGAAGCTGCTCAGCTATCAGCCTTGTGCCGTTGCCTGATCTTGGGTTTCGGCGATCGCCGAGGTAACAGCTGAGGATTGAGTATGAGGAGGGGTAAATTCGCACCGTGCTCCAGTCATAGACTCGATTTGCTGACAATCTGAAGGGCTGCCCAACGTGAGCTCGCACTCATATGAGGCTGCACCGTAACCTCGAAACTTCCTGTAGACCGGTTCTCTCCTGCGAAAGCCAACGATGTTCCTCGAGACAAGTGGACATGCGTAACTGCTGGTCCAGCTAGACGATGGCTGATGGTGGTGTTCGTGGACGCCATGGCGCATGCCACGGGATACATTTGGCGAGAGAGTTCAGAAATCGGGCGGCAAAAGGGAGAGATGGAGCGATATGAGGTGTGAGGCAGCAATTGTCTTTCGAGGAAACCACATGGAAAGCCACTCCGGTTTATGACTCTCGAGTCCTTCAAGAAGCTAAAGCTAGAGCTGCAAGCAGTTATGGACCAAGTCGGCGGTGTGCATGCACGCTGGACTTACCTTGCATAGTCGATGCTCACGAGGGTAACCCGCTGCAGTTGGCAGCATCCGAATGGACCAGAGCCCTGCGCGACTTGACGATGATAGGCCGGAACTGAGCAGATGCATCGCTTGCCACAGTAACCTGCAGTGACGAAGTGAAGCTGCGCCTCATTGCCTGACCTGCCGATTGCCATCAAAATATAAGCCGCAAACCTCTTGCCGCGATTTCTGAAGCCAGAAATCGAACTTGGTCCTAACGAACAGGCTCGCAATATGAGCATAGAACTGCAGAAGATGGACGAGCGCCCTTTGACTCCAGATCGCACCTCTAGTATCTCAGCCACGGCAACCGCAGTGAACAGTCCCGACAAGCCCCAGTTCCCGCAGAACGCTGCGGAGCCCGACGCCGACAGCCTTTGCTCCAGCTTGGACACCATATCGAGCGACAGCGACGAAGACGAAGATGAAATCCCGAGTGCGGAAGGCAAATTGCCTGAAGACGCAGTTCAAGGCTGGCCTCAGTTGGCTCAGCTCATGGCAGACACGCCGGACTTCGCAGCCTTCCCTCGTTTTCGCGATTTGAATGTCAAGAGCCTCTTGTATTATCAGGTCGAGCTTAGTAGCCTTAGAAAGAAGCTCCAGAAATTGGAGCATGCTGACAAGGCCCATTCCGAGCGCAAAAAGTACGCACTGTACGCCGATACGTTGGTTAACGAAGCGAACGCCTCAGAGCAACTTGAAACGGTGCGAATGATCCGGACGGTGCTGAAAGAGTACAGTATGTTTCAAGACGGCTGGCATAGTTAGCCGTACACAGCTAAAACGATCCAGATAAGGCCTTGCTGCAGTACTCGCAGATATGCGCATTGCCAGATCCCGAGCCGTTTAACATGCGCACGCTCCGAAAGTGGCTACGCAATGGAGAATGTGGTGACTTCAATATACGAGCCCTCGATGAGGGCGGAGCGGTGAATACTTGGGGACCACTCCAGAATAATCCCGACGATAAGGAGAAAAGCCTATGGTCGCAGTTTGGCAATCTTCTCTGGGGCCTCGTGTGGATGCGGCGGCCTGCAAAGAGCATGTACGAGCCAGACCTAGCGCTCACCTCGCCTCAGACAGAGGTGGATGGCTTGACGCACTGGTACGCTTCCGAGTGGAAACCGTTTAGCAGATCATTCAAGAAGCGGAAGGAACGAAAGTCAGGCAACGGCCCGAATGATGTTGAACAGAATGTCAACGGCAATGTCGCGGAAAACCCTGCTGGTCCTGCAGCCCCTTGGGCGAAAAAGGCCCCTAAGGAGAAGGCGTTGGTCTCATGGTCGCAGAACAGCGCGTTGAGGTTGACATCCGGCATCTCAACCGTTGTCGCTTGTCTCTTGCCAGTCATCGCCATATCCGTCCTGTCGCAGCTCCAGGGCCTCAAAGCTCTTCTCCTTTGCCTTGCCGGGTTCTCGCTAGTCTTCGCTATAGGTCTGATCGCTCTGACGCAGGGTACCAGCAAGAGGACTGAGATATTCGGAGCCACTGCAGCGTAAGTGACCCTTGCTAGACGATCAGTGCGTTAGCTAACATCTTTCCAGCTTCTCAGCCGTCATGGTAGTCTTCATCTCGATTCCGCCGGCACCTGTGATTTACATGCCTCCAGGCTCGGCCATACCGTCAGTGTCTCCGAGTGCTGTTATCTCGGCGCTGGCCTCTGGTTGATAGATGCTGTGCCCTTGGGCTGATGTGTATACGTCAAATGAAAGCGTGTTATTGCAGTTCAGAGGAATAGAATGAGAGTAATTTCTGAGTCATCGTTGACGTTAAGTTGGTCGCGGCTGCCCTCTGTTGCTGAGGCAGTTGCACTTGGCACCCTTGGTTGAACAGATCCCTTAACAGAGTCTTTGTGCGACCAGTCATGCTACGGTTGGGATGATTGTGAAGCGTATTGAAGACCCCAGTTTGCGTTGCTGCGCTTTCCTCGCAAAGCCTTTCCACGACGCATGTATTAAGGAGTGCCCTGGCTGATGGATAGCACAATGTATGACCATTTCCGTGACCATCATCTCCATTAAAAGAAGAGACAGACCTCTCTTCGCTGAGCAGCATAGCTCACCGTAGGCCGAACCAATGGTATCCGCGGACAGACTGAGGATGTTCGTCGAATCCTTCCGATTGGCCTGAAGGCGCCGCACCCCCCGACTCTGCTCTCGCTTAGCTACGCGGTTGAAGAATTCATGTAATGATATTTCACGAGTCACACCCTCCTCCACCTCCTCTTCCTCCTCGTCGCCTTCTTCGCTGATAGGTCGTGCAGGGGGAGCATTTGCTCGACCGACTTGTTGGGGAAGGCTGTGTTACGAAGCGTTATACGAAACGCCACCTGTGGCAGTGCGCCGATGTGTGCAGGCTTAGAGCTAAACACGAGAAGGCATGCTAGTATGGCATTGCAAGTACTTACAGTACACTGTAATCGCTCGTCACACGCTACGGGACGCATTCGTGTAGACAGTAGATCCTCGTATCAAGCCAGGTACAGCCACAGCTGGAGAGGCGAGGGGTCGTTCTGTGGAATATGTACAGACACGAGGCGGAGATTCTTGTGTGTAAATCGTCTGGAGTGTCGTATTCTGGGATCATTTGCCTGGCAGTACATTCTCATCCTGTTGCCACGCGGTTCGTGGGCCAGGTTTTGGTCGTGCAGTAGAGTGCGCAACGCAAAGCTTCGTGATGCACTCCATCTCGACCATAGGATGACACCTAGGAAGGTTTAAACGAGGTTGCAACGGGCGTCACCCTGGTATCGATGCCGACAAACTGGGAACACGAGATGCCAAGGCTCGTATCGCTCATCGTAACTGTTGTTGCACGTGGCTATGATGACGGGCTGCTGAGCTTGGGATAGTACGATTTGGCCTGCGTACCTTGATGAGCATTTCGAAGTAAGGAATGACTACTTGACCAAGGTAGAAGACAAGCGAGTTCCATGCTAGCTGCCAATAACCCTCCAATATCTCTTCCTGGACACAGGCACCATTGTTGGCTGCATCATCTTGTGACCAAAGAAGTGCATAGGCATAAAGACAAACCGTGACAACCCATCAATTGGGCATGCAGGTGCTAATATTGGAAGCGGCTACAGTGGGCCAATACTAACCTGATGTAATCAGCAGATCCATCGACTAGGGTCAGCTATTGTGTGGGCTGCCTTGCACTTGAACCTTCTCCGGGCCTCTTTGTCAGAGGGACCGTCCATACTATCGGCTCTGATTAGAACCCGTGGGGGGTAACTGTTGGCCGTTGCCGATACGACTCGAACCCAAGACTTCCTATCGCGTCAGTCGTATAAGATGACGAGCGATGGGAGGGTTGTGTGTGTGGAATGGACCCCGCATAGCGGATTTGGCCCTGCCAAGTTCGTACCATACTCGCGCCAGTGCAGAAACGTCGTCCAGGGCTCGATTCCTTTGCGGGACCTCAATCCTGGGTCCAGTTTGGTGCTTTTGGGGCTTTTGGGGGCTTTGGGGGCTTTGGGGGCTTCGAGGTCAGAGAAAGCTGCCTCGTCGATTCAACTTGCTGCCACGTTCGGCTTCCTCACGGCCATGGAAGAGCGTGTGCAGTGTTCTCAGCAGCAGGTCCAACGTCAGCCACCTGTAGTGGTCGTGTGTCCACCATTTCGATCTGCGGGTGTGGAGGGTTCGGAGGCCAGCCGCGTGGTGGCCAGGGGGACATGGCGGGAGCTGGTCTGTCGGGCCTGGGGGAGCGACGGTTCGGGAAACATGCAGTCCCTGAGGCTTGCGCTGGCTGCGCTGCTGCACGATGCTGGTCGATGATGTATTTACGTAGACACATAGATGCCAACGTCAGACGCGACCTCCCCTTTCCAGCGCATGCTTCATTAGCCCAGACCCTCGAATAAGAGGCGTCTACGTTGCGGGTTGGGTCTTGAAACAGACAGAATCCACTCAAAAAGGCGCCTCCTCCAGCGCTTGCAAGAGTCCCACTTCCATCGAGCCACTCAAGCGGGGTGCAAAGCGCCTGCGCCGCAACGCAACCTCCTTCCCCAGGTGTCTCCCCAAGCTCGTCCGTACTCGATATCCTTCGTCACGCTCGTTTTGCCTCTCTCAGACGCCGCGCCGCACATTGTATCTATCTCTGTGCTTCACGTGCGCTCGTCTGCCGTCACAGGCTGTTTTCCCGCCCACGGCCCATTCCTGTTCCCTGCAAGCCTCATCACTCGCACGCGCCAACTCCTCCACCACCTCCACTACCACGCCTCGACAGCCCCTCCCAAGGCGACTGTTCTGAAACCTTCCTCGACTCACATCCGCTGCATTTGCTTGCTTTCCCACTGCCATCTCGAACCTACACTCAGCCGCTCGCCCGCGCCTGCATCGTCCCACACCTGCACCCAGTAGCCTCGACTCGCGGCCGCCCACGTCACTGATTCGCCTAGGAGGCAGGCGCTCGACGGTACACTACGAAAGCACACAACGGCGCTGTTTCCGTTGCTGCCACGACCTGCGTCTTCTGGATTAGCAGGACCGTGGGAGAGTCGGTCCGCGTCCTTCGGCTGACGGCAGCTATCCGCCCCGCTGGGTTCCAGGAGCTCTCCACGTGCGACCTCGATCCTCCACACACACGACACCCCTCATTGTCGTCACACCCACTGCGAGCTGCGACATCAGATACTCTCCACCCGTCTGCAACGATCCTTCCATCACCGCGTCACGGGCCGCACCCACCGCGTCTCGCCCAACTCCACGAGGCTTGCAGTCCTCTGTTCGCCTTGGATCGCTGCGTGAAAGCGCAAGTCTGAAGACACTTACATGCAACACCTCGCATACCCGGACACGCAGTCGTCACCCTCGAGCCAGCCCATCATGTCCTCCCCCGCGCCACTCCTCCGACCGCCGATCCCTGGCGCCCGCTCTCAGAGTGGCAGCCGTACACCTCGCCTTGGGCTCTCCATACCCCCATCGCCTCATGCACGGCCTATCGTAAATGGCACAAGTGATGCGCAGACACTCGGCAGACCCGCCCCTCCGAAGCTACACTTGTCGACTCCTATGGGCACCAATCAGACCCCGCACGAAGGTCGTGCGCAGCCTAGGGGTCTGCCACCACTACAGATTGGTCCTGGCCTTTCACCAGCGGGAGGCTCAAGCGATGCGAGCGCGCATTCGAGATCCGGGAGCTTTGGCGAGGTCCCAGCAAATGGTTCAGCTTCCTCATTCAACGGGGCCCTCGGGTTCCCAGGCCTGCAGAGAGGCTCGGATCCCATCTCGGCGATATCCCACGGCGGAAGTGATAGCGCTCCATCCATGGAGAGGGAGAGCAGCGGCCAGCCGCTGCCCGACTTGGAGCAATTGGCTGCCGAAAAAGGGGCACCTCTGGATGTGGATGATCTGGACGATGTGGGCTTCAAAGCAGCTTCTGCAAAAGGCTTGATCGAAGAGAAGGATAATTTAGGCGAGGGTGCTGGGGGCGCAGTAACCAAGTGCGTGCTCAGAGGTGGAACGAAGGTGTTTGCTCTCAAGGTATGTTCCAACATCTACCTCCCTATTCCAGCTTACTGACATATCAGATCATCACAACGAACCCAGACCCAGATGTCAAGAAACAGATCGTGCGCGAGCTCAACTTCAACCGCGAATGCGCAAGTGATCATATCTGCAAATACTACGGTGCTTTTGTGGATGACAGCACCGGAACCATCAGCATTGCCATGGAATTCTGCGAAGGTGGATCCCTGGATTCTGTATACCGCGAAGTCAAGAAATTGGGCGGTCGAACTGGCGAGAAGGTCCTCGGCAAAGTCGCAGAAGGCGTCCTCAACGGCCTCACCTACCTTCACGCGCGTCGCATCATCCATCGTGACATCAAGCCGAGCAACATCCTTCTCTGTCGTAACGGACAAGTCAAGTTATGCGACTTCGGTGTTTCCGGCGAGTTCGGTACCAAGGGAGACGCTAACACCTTCATCGGAACGTCATACTACATGGCGCCTGAGCGGATCACTGGCCAAAGCTACACCATCACCAGTGACGTGTGGAGCTTGGGCGTCACATTGTTAGAGGTAGCGCAACACAGGTTCCCGTTCCCCGCCGATGGTACTGAAATGAACCCTCGCGCTGGGCTCATTGACTTGCTCACTTACATTGTGCGACAACCGATTCCGAAGCTCAAAGACGAACCAGAGAACGGCATCCGGTGGTCCGAAAACTTCAAGTATTTCATCGAGTGCTGGTAGGTTTCACTCTATTGAATTTAGCGACATGACGCTGACCTAGATTAGTCTTGAAAAAGAACCCCCGCGACGAGCCTCGCCATGGCGCATGCTAGATCACCCATGGATGCTTGAGATGAAGACGAAAAAAGTTAACATGGCCCATTTCTTGAAGCAAGTTTGGGATTGGAAAGATTAGATTCGTCTTACAATTTAGCGATATTCGATTCAGCGGGCGACTCTTCTCTGCAACCATGTTCCACCCCATCTTGGGGACCATATCTAGGGCCGTGTGCTGGGCACAGATTACGGCGAGATGGCACATTTTAGGACATATCGGAGGCTTCGGCGGAGGAAAGCATCATAACCGGCATGCATGGGATGTTTGGTTCGGAGTTCCAACATGATTTAATGGATTGCTAACAGGCATTGAATGAGTATGGGGTTGGGCTGTCGAAGATGGCTGATCATGGATCGCCATGCGCTGGCAGGCATAGGCGGGCGTTTTGTTTGTCCTGGCACGCCGACTGCATGTTCTGGAATGCAGGATACCCTAAATAAATATATACCAACGCAGCTTCACACAAATAGACATTTCTGGCATGACATAGGTGAACTCGACTAAAATCTTACAGCCGTTGCTCACCCGCTGCCGCTCGAACGCATTCTTGGTGGGTCGCACGTCGGAGACAAGGTCGGGCCGCTCAACTTCCGATGCGACCAATGGCTCTCGGAATTGAGTCAGAAGAGGGCTACTGAGTCAACTTTTGTGTCCGCCGCAGAACGCTCTGGTGTGTGGATTCTAGCTTCTGGGGTTTCTTGCACAGTCTGAACTAACTCGAAGCACCGAAGCTTCTTGCGATTGCACCCATCGCAACTTCCTCAGTTGCCCCACCATACCACTTCTGCCCCGCGCATACGACGATAAACGCCCGCCATGCCGACCATTACCGTGGACAAGGCAGCCCTCTTCAAAGAGCTGGAGAGGGAATACACAACAGAAGAGTTCGACGAGCTATGCTTCGAGTTCGGCATCGAGCTGGACGAGGACACGAGCCAAAGCACGAAGCCTGAGGACCAGGCGCAGCCACCGCAACTCAAGATCGAGATACCCGCCAACCGATATGACATGCTATGCTTCGAGGGCATTGCACTGAACCTGCGGGTCTTCTTAGAGAAACAGCAGCTACCCAAATGGAAGCTTTCCCCGCCCCAGTCTGGGGAGCTCGAAACGATCACAGTGAAGGAGGAGGTGCGTCTATGCAATTCGACCCGAGGAACGGTCTGGGAAACTGACTTTGTCGCAGACAACACAGATTCGGCCATTGGTCTCCGGTGTCGTACTACGGAACATCAAGTTCACCCAAGAGCGTTATGACTCGTTCATCGCGCTGCAGGACAAGCTCCACCAGAATCTGGCGCGACAGAGGACGCTGGTATCAATTGGAACGCACGATCTTGACAGTATGTTTCGCGGGAAAGATCGATAAGTGGCACGTGCTAAAGATGTACAGCTATCAAGGGCCCCTTCACATACGAAGCTCTATCGCCTGAGGAGATTAAGTTCACTCCCCTGAACCAGAGCAAGGAGATGAACGGGAAGGAGCTCATGGAATTCTACGATGTGCGTCCTTGATATCCGCGTGATCACCCCAACTGACCCGGAGTAGAAAGACAAGCATCTCGGCCGCTACCTGCACATCATTCGAGACTCCCCGGTCTACCCAGTGATCTACGACTCCAACCGCACCGTCCTCTCATTACCGCCGATTATAAACGGAAACCACAGCAAGATCACCCTCGACACGAAAAATGTCTTGGTCGAGATCACAGCGTTGGACAAGACGAAAGTTGAAATCGTCAATCACATACTAGTCGCTATGTTCGCAGGCTACGCAGAGTCAATAGAACCGCTCAAGATTATCTCGCCGCACAATAACGAGTCAAGAGAAGCGCCAGACCTTACTCCGCGAGTCTTTCCCGCCGAGGTTGACTATCTGAATCAAGTTACCGGCCTTGACCTTCCGAAAGATGAAATCTCAAAGCTTCTAGCGAAGATGGGCCACGATGTAAAGCCGTCAAGCTCAGACAAGAACATCTTGGATGTCGCCGTGCCCATTACCAGGGCAGATGTGCTCCACCAAGCCGACATCATGGAGGACTACGCCATCGCATACGGCTTCAACAAGCTCCCCCGCTTCTACCCCAACAAGTCTTCCGCTGTCGCAGCGCCCCTACCCATCAACAAGCTCGCCGACATAGTCCGTCTAGAATCTGCAGCAGCAGGCTGGACAGAAGTCCTCCCACTGATTCTTTGCTCTCATGAGGAGAACTTCGCGTGGCTCAACCGCAAGGACGATGGCAATACCGCCATCAAGCTCGCCAACCCCAAGACCGCTGAATACCAACTCGTCCGCACGTCCCTGCTCCCGGGTCTCCTCAAGACGATCAACTCGAACAGGCATCACGCCGTGCCCATCAAGGTCTTCGAGGTCAGCGACGTCGGTTTCAAGGATGAGTCGCAGGAGAGGAAGACGAGGAACGAGAGGCATTTCGGAGCGGCCATCATGGGAAAGACTAGCGGATTCGAGCAGGTACACGGGCTGCTGGATCGGTTGATGCTGATGCTGAGGTCGGTGTTCATTACGAGGGAAGAGGGGTTGAAGAATCCTAAGCTTGGTGGGTACTGGATTGAAGAGCTTGACGGTAAGTTGTCGCGATGACCAAGTTGTGTAGGTTGGTACTAACGAGCGCAGACCCGACTTTCCTCAAGGGACACTCCGCCGCTATCAAGCTCAATCTCGACGGCAAAAATCACACCATCGGTGTCTTTGGCATTCTGCATCCTTCGGTGCTGCAGAAGTTCGAGCTGCCGTATCCCGTCAGCACCGTCGAGTTCAACCTCGAGGTCTTCATGTAGAGGGTGTTAAAAGCTGAGTGCGAGCACACCGCTGAGACGGCGCAGTTACGTAGAGTACGATAGAGATACCTCGTCCGCCTTTTTTGGATCAGAATCAAAAAGTCCACAACATTATCAAGCCTTAATGACCCGCTTTCAAATTTGATAGTACTGCATCAAGCCTTCACATGATTCGCCTCTAAATAATTCGCCTCCAAATCGTATACTACGCCTCCAACATCTCCCCCTCCAACGCCACACACCCCATAACCCCGTCCCAGCCCTACAGTTCACATACTCCCACCTCGCATCCCCCTCCTTGATGACACTGACCTCATGCCACGTCCTCAACCTCCTGTCCTCCGGAAACGCCTTGTAATGCGCCAGCGCCCCGCGCCAGATCTTCAAATGACTGCTGTGGGTCTTACTCCACCTTTCTAAATCCTCGAGATTGTGGAAGAAGCCTGCGCCGCATGTTTCTTTTCGCTCTTCCTCGTCGCTTTTGATGGAAGGGTTGGAAGAGAAGGAGGGAGAGTTGCGCAAGTAGCGAATTCCCATACACCCCGTTTCCGCTCGATGGGCGTTGAGATAAGCCAGTCCTGCGCGCAGGGTAGGTTCCAGCTTTTCTTCGTATGCAGCGGTTTCTGGCGGGGAGCAGTTAGCCCACCATTGGCCTGAGCGGATGTGCACTACATTCTCGCTATTCGAGCCGCTAAGCACCTTTCCTGTCCCGTCAGCTTCCTCCTGCACTCCTTTATCCTCTCTTGCTCCGTCAGGCCGGGTGAATAGGTCGTTTGCAGAATCCGGAATCCGATCCCGAGCCGCACCCCAGTACGTCGCTAGATCGTGCTCGCGCACCTGCGTGCCTGGCAGGCGTGCGAGGCCGGGGAGGTACTCTGTGCCCGAGTAGTTTGTTTCGAGGCGGGAGGTGGGGTTTGTGAAGGACTCTTTCCAGAGGGCGATGGAGGAGCGTGCAGAGGAGGGGAGGGTCTTCCATAGGCGCTGGAGGTCGAGGTTTGGAGGATGAGAGGAAGAGGGAGGTGCGGAGCTGTTGGTCCAGTAGCATACCCAGATTTGGGACCCGGGGAGGTCGTCGTTCGTGGGGTCGAGTAGTGTCAAGGTCTCGTATACGCTGTTTGAGGATTCGTCGTTTGTGGGGTCGAGTAGTGTCAAGGTCTCGTACACGCTGTCTGAGGATTCGATCCATGTTTGGATTTGCTGCTGGGCTTGCTTGAGTGCAGCTGCGATGCCAGGGTTGGCGGAATGGGTCTGTAGGCCTACGTAGAGAGTGTGGATGTGTGTTGTGGTTGAGGGAAGGGTAATAGTGTAGCGGGGAACTGGAAGGGTATGGTTGGGAGGTTTTCGGAGAGGATAGGTTCGTGCGGAAGGGATGGGGCAGGCCATGGGAAAGAGGGAGAAAATGAGGATGGTCGCAGGACTATAGTAGCTGCCTGTAGATGTAATTGAGCACGATTTCGTCGTCCGCTGGGTCCAGATAATTCTGAGAAAGGTCTAAAGCTTCTAGATTGTTGCTTTGACGTATAGTTGGGTTGAGGTGCGCGTTGAGAGAGCTGCTGCACTAATGGAGCAGCAGGCGCGGCCTTGTGGCTAGATTCAAAAGTGCTTGGTAGTAACAGGAAGTTCTATTTGGATGAGAGAAGTATGAGGATTTCTGACAAGCAGTAGAAACGGGCTGGACAACGCAGGTGAGATTCGTAGCAAGAGAATAGACTATATCATCCGCGTTCCATCAGTGGATCGCACTGCAAGTCGTTCGCTACATTGGTGGTCTGAGATCACTCCGCTTTCGCGATGTCAAGCGCATTGACGGATATGGCGGATAATGCGGGATGCATGTACGATTCAACGGAATTGGATTACGTACCTCAGGTTCGGAGCTTCGGTGCTCGCTCTTATGTAAGCTAGACCAGCCTCATTGTCCGGGTGTACTGCGTCCACAACAGCATTGTTCGCGTTCCTGTCGAGTCTTTCGTTTCCTTTTGATGTCAGCATATCCAATGACGCAGGCTTACAACCGGATCGCGTCTATTGTTCATCGCCGCCGGTGAGAAGTGGCCATCGATAGCACGCGGGCGTGTTCCTAAGCGTACCATAAAGCAAGGAAACAAGGTCAGAAGAATATAGATTGCGCTCATTTATTGCATGGTGTACATTGGAACGAAGGTACGATTCAATAACCTATCTTTACTCACCCGGATGTTGCCTGGAGACCTTACGCGTCGGAAACAAACCTTGGAATGATGCGATCGTCGGGTCATGAACCCTCGTTGCTAAGCACATCTATTTTCGTGTCTAATTAACCAGGACTAAACACGTGCATGTCGGAACAATCTAGAATGAATACAATTGGCCTATCTTAGCGCTTGCGCGTTGACATCTCTCGGACTGTACATACGCGACATGCTCCGCGTTTCGGGGGTTCGAGATGGTCGACCCTGCATGCGGCACAGCAAGATGGCCCCCAATCAGGGGTCACGACCAGCCACACTCATTGAAGCGTGCAGCTGTCCACTTGTCTCATATCGAAGTGCTCGGACTGATTCCGATTATTAGAACGAATCCCCCACACGCGCAGAGGAATTATAATGCTAATTTCGACACCTGCGGCTTCAGCCTGAATGGTAAACGTTAAGGATCTAATTCAAAGCTAAGGTTGTCCATACTACTACAATGACCGACGATGCTGCCTCTCTTATAATGAGTTACAGAGATGCTGTGGACAATCTAGGAGACCAGGAACCGCTGACCATGTTCGAAGCGCAAGCCGTTCTCGAGAGCATACGGGTTGAAAAAGGGTATCTCGACGAAGAGACTTTAGGAGATGTACAAGCAATGAGGAACAGGAGCCGTCAGACAATCACGCGTTTTGTGGACAAAGCCAGGGAAATGGAAGCTGCATACACGAAAAGGTGAGGGGACGGTCGTACCAGCTATGTGTCATTTTATGCTGAAAAACTTTCAGCATCTCAGGAAAACTATACTCGTCCAAGTACCACTTCGTGTACGAGTTGATACAGAACGCTGATGACTCCGACTTCTCCATCGCCAAATTGTGTAACAATGCGCCGTACATACATTTTAGCGTAACACCAACAACTCTCACCGTTGATACTAACGAAGATGGATTCACACGCGCCAATGTTGAAGCCATCTGTGCGACTGGTAAAAGTTCGAAGAAAAGTACGGCTTTAGACAATCACATCGGCGAGAAAGGCTTCGGCTTCAAGTCCGTTTTCTCTGTTGCGCATGAAGTATTCGTGCAGTCAGGCCTTTGGGCATTCCGGTTCAAACACAAGCGGGAGGACGATGGCCTGGGAATGGTGACTCCTTTGGATGCATCTCCCGAGGCATTACCACCCGGTGTCGTCACGAGGATAAAACTCATACTCTCGGATTCTAGCGCTAGTGGTCACCAACGTATGCTTGATGCAATCGACCAGATACCAAAGACGACCATTTTACACCTTCACAATCTTCGCGTCATCACGATCACCACTGCCGATAGCGAATCTCCGACCACAACTTCGATAAAAAAGGAGACTCTTGTGGCCAACGGCCGGGGCGGGATCGTGAGTATCCAGAATTGGACGACGACCGATGGCGAAATGGAAAAAACTCACGAAGATATGTTTTATACTTTCACTCGACACCTCACCTCATTGCCACCTGATAATGAGCGATTACACCGCACCAACGCCACAGTTGAACTGGCCTTTCCCATTCACGCTGTGACGAAGAAGCCGGAGATCTCTGCATCAGGTCAGCACGTATTTGCCTATCTGCCGTTGCACCAAATGCCTATCCAGGTACGTTTCCACTTCTATCGGATTAGAAATGGTCTCCCGAGACATCCTGTGTCCCAGACAATTTTATTCAAACAAATTTACCACTGAACAGTGTTCAAGTTGTATGAGCACATGATAAGCGGTTCTCGATTCTGACGAGCTATAGTTCATCATACAGTCTGATTTCATCACAGCTACAAATCGCGAGACCTTGTCAGATTGTGCCTGGAATGAAGCCCTCCGGACCGGTGTTGCAGAAACATTTTGTGATGCTGTCGCCACTTTCGCCACCAAAGCCCACCCTTTGAGACATCTGTGGCTTCAGTTCCTGCCAACGGAACCCATGCGTGTACCCTTCTGGGATCATTTATATCCCGCAATCAAGTCAAGACTACAAAACTTGCCTATTTTGGAAACTTGGCAGAGTGGTGTTCTCAAGAAACCCGCAGAACTACGCCGACTCCCGGATTTCTTCTTTCATGAAGGCGACCCTATCTTCAGCGATCTCTCCGACGAGATATACCCCGCAAAAGAGTATAAACAAGCATCTATTGGATTACTCGCATCCCTTGGTGTGCCATTAATGCAATGGTCTGAAGCATTGTCGCGGGTTGAAGCAGATATTGTAAGCCCAGTCTCAAGACTGAAAACACGTACAGCAGACAATGCATGGCAACAAGCCTGCGCTCAGTTGCTCTTGCAAGGTCTTAAGATCAATTCAATCCAGCAACGTGTCAAAAAGCTGGCTATTATACCAGTCAACAAGGGGAAATCCTGGACTGGCGCGCCTGGAACGGGCCCCGGCAGGCTCAGCAAGATCTATCTGCCAACGACTGAGGGTATCGATATACCCACGAGCATCGGTTTACACCTGGTAGATATTACGACTGCTTTGTTGCCTCATCGCGGAGAGCTTTTTCGCCAACTGGGAGTACAAGACTGTCCTAAAGATGAGGTGCTCTCGAATATCGAAGCGCAGCATAAAGCACATGCTAAGATCTTCTGCGTGGACGACCTTTTAATGGAATTTCGGTACCTGTTTCACTTCCATACGCATCCTGCACTGCTTAAATCTTGGCTCCGTATTGCTGTGGGGAGAACTAAGGCTGTAAAGGCTATGAGTTCTAGGCCCATCTACTTCCTGTCGGCAAATGAGTATGACACCCAGAGTCTACTGGCGGGTAGCTTCACAGAGGGAGGTCACCAAAACGAGGTAGCTAACTTCGTGTACGAAAAGTTACAGAAGTTAGAGAGACCCTATGCATACAGCCAAGTTCATGGCCACTTCTGGAATGACTGGCTTCAATTAGTTACAGGTGCACTGTATCATCCTCCTCTCTTGCAGCCTGGCAATACCTCGGAGCATAAGATTTCGAAGACAATGCTTGCGGTACTGGAACACTGCCCTCATAAGTTCGTCGGTTTCTTGAAAGCTCATTGGAACGAGTACAAAACCGAGATACATCTTGTTGTTGAGCAACTCAAACTTTTGGAGGTTCCATGCACTTCGGGTGAATCTATTGAACTCCGGGAATGCTACTTGCCAACGACTGAGATCATGTCCGAATTGCAAGCATTTCAACCATTGGGAGCTGGATATAACATCCCTATCGTACAACTTCCCGAGGAGTGGAATCAGGAAACAAGACTTCAATGGGAGTTTTTGTGTGAATTTGGTGTCCGGTCCAAGGTTGACTTGGATTTCTATACAACCATTCACAATTACGTCGACTGGGAGGAGGGTTCGCAACACCCGAAAGAAGCGCTCATAAAACTGTATACAGGTGTGGCCGGCCTAGCCACCGCGAGCGACTTCGACAATCTCAGGTAAGAGTTGCGAAAGTCGTTTCCAGTAATATGCTAATGTCACCAGAGAGGAGCTTGACTGTGTTTATTATTTCTCTGAGGATGAGTTATGCATTCGCGACCTTGCATGTTACGTCTGGGAGGGCCCCAGGTTCCTTACGGTGAAGGTTCCTCTTAGTCAACACTACGGCCATGTCCCGCATCTCGGGGCCTTCTTCAAGATGGCCCTTGACATATCGGATTATACTTTGGATGATATCATCGAAGAGCTCGAGTCCATGAGCACAAGTGGAGATCCCGTGATAAAACTACGCTTTGAAGAAATCTACCAGTGGTTGGACGACAACGTGCGCAGTGACGCAGACTGGGACCGGGTCAGGTGAGTCTTCGTGCCATCTCAGCTTCTGCTTGAACTGACGAAGCCTAGAAATGCATTCATGGAGAATTCCTATGTCTGGGGTCCTGATGAGGTGACGTATGCTTTGGGTAATTGCTTGTGGCTAAGTCCCTTTCCCCTTGCCGGATACGTGGAGCTATCGCAGGTCTACCCAGAACTTGAAGACTTTTTCGTCAAACGGCTTCACGTGGAGAGGGCCAATCCGAGCATGCTTGTTGATGAAATCAAGAAAATGTCAACGAAGCGCTCACCGCAGGTCGAGATTATCCGGCAACGGTTGATTGACGTTGGTAGGCTGATAGTAAAGAGTGGAATCGACGATACCCTATCGAAGTCTCTGGCAAGTCTTGCAAAAGTCAAATTCCTGCCCAAGGCGGTAGACAACGGAAGCAAGACGCTGGTTGGGAAGGACGACGACTTCGCCATCAATGACCACCAACGCTTTGGTGACGCTTTCAAAATCCAGAATGTCTTGCTTGAATTTTCGGTTGAAGAAGTGCATATACTCAGTACGATGTTTGGATACATGGGACTGAGTGACAAGTATCTTTCACAGAGGGTGAGCGAAGAGTCTGCTGTGGGCGAGGGTGCGATTGAACACCAGTCTCTTAGCAGAGCGTTCAAGTCGAAAGCCTACGCTTTGTATTGGTAAGTGCAAGTTAATCGTCTCAAAATAAAGAGGTGAGCACGACTGTTCAAAACGATGTTTGCTGATATACTTAGCTGCGCGGCACGGTATAAGAGTACGAAGGCCTTGCGCGGAGACGTGGTGCTTTTCAACCATCTTTCCAATGCACGAATCTACATCACGGACTGTATTAGTACGGACCTGGTGCTCGAGCTCAAGAATGGACCCATCAAAGTTCGTAGTGACCGTCTGGCGGTACACCATGAATTTTGCAGTGGTCAGCTCAACTTCTATGTTCCCAAGGACGAGCGACAACGGAAATCCTGCTACCGTTCTCAGCTTCCAAAACTTCTTGCAAGCATTATGGGCGTTGATCTAAATGCGACGCAGGCCATCCTCCAGATTTTGAGTTGTAATCTGCTGGAGCTGGACGATATCTTGTCTGAGCAAGACATCACCACCGTAGATTGGATTCCAAAGCCGACGTTCCGCGCTCCAGCTTCCCCTGTTTTTGGACCAAGCAGTCCTAATGAGCCACTTACAAGTCCAGTCAGTCACAATTTGGAAGCTTTCGAGCGGGCAACGCCAACACCCTCATCAAGCACAACTGCCGTGTCACGTGCGTCTACTGCGGGCTTAGGCGATCTCTATGAGCAAATCCCTAGGACTCCAGACACAAGCACATCGCGTCCTCCGCTTTACGAGACATTCGTTGAAGAGGTCGTGCAAAGTGCGTTTCGGGCGAGGAACCGGGAGAGGCGCCCTTCGCCTCATCCAGGAGCACACCGCGACGCTTCAGACAATGATCTACCTGCACGCGAATACGATCATGAAGAGACATTTGGCAGCCGGCACACAGACGAGAGAGCACACGATAGTCGGATCGGCGCTTCGGGGGAAGCTTACGTATGTATTTACCTAGCGACTGCGACTCGACGCTGACATGTCTGGAATGTAGGTATTCGAAATACTCCGCAGTCTGGACCTTCCTGGATTCAGTGAAGGAAATTGGCGCAGCAACATGCGACGCGAGCTGCTTGCGCAGCCTCGATACGTCAATCTAGGTTCTTGGAACGGAAGGGAGACGGCAGATTTCGTCTACACAGATCGTGACGGCAGCTTAACGCAATATCTGAGAGAACATTGCGTTGGCAGTATGCCGAACGGCATCGCCCGGGATCATGACTTTTCGCAGCACCCGATTGAGTACTTCCTAGAGGTCAAGTCTACAACTAGTGGTTGCAATACTAGGTTCTATATGAGTTCAAGCCAATTTGAGCGGGTATGTCAATTTTCTTGTCTACTATCTGATGATGATAGCTGACTATGAACAGATGAAAAATTGTGCTGTGCCCGTCTTCAGCCCACCAACGAAAGTCTATGTGATACTTCGTGTGTTTGATCTAGGCCGGAACACAGACATGAAGATATTTGTGGATCCGTGGCCGAGAGGATTCCGGACGGATTATATCAAATTTGAGGCTGGAACGTATCATTGCACGACACAGGATACACCTTACGCGGGTGTACAGCTTTTCCAATAATCTTAATTGGCTGAGTAAGGTCTTATGATCTCATTACACAAGATACGCTGTTTACATCTGCTGCGTCTAAGACCGAGCCTTGACACTCCTTCGCCCAATCTCTTCAAGTGATTATCGTTCCCAAAAAGAAATTGCCCACGGCCTGTGGCGTGTTGAGGATCGGTCAAAGGCAGGCGGTGTGCGCAAACAGACTTAGTGCGCGACTGCTCTGGCAGGAAGGAGCGGTAGAAGAGGACCCTTCGGACTTTTCGGACTTCTCGGTCCCGTCATGGATGCACAACGCCGAGTAATGCCCTGGGGCTGGCCGCAGCAAGCTTGTCCCATGCCCGCTGCATGAACCTCAACTGGGCATTGTATGGGGATACCACTATCATCAATGTGTCGCTACCCGTGTCCGCGTCCGAGAATGCTATCACAATTCGGTGTGCGAAGTGTAGTACGATCACAACCTCTTCATGACAATAAGAGGAATTATCGGCGTCTTGCTTCGTCGAGAGCCTATCGACAAATATTAAACCAACGGGGCCATGGAATCCAATCTGACATTTGTTGAAGTCCGAGAGTCGCTCTCGCATGACTAGGTCGATTGAAGTAGACTCTTCAATTAGGACGCAGCTGCGGTTTGCGATCTACGCAACCGCGAAAGTTTCCTCATTCCGGAAGCGGCTTGTGTCGTATTGATTCAACATTATACCCCGACCAACGATGCCGCGATAATAGACTGGTGGTGGATCGGAGTCGGGGTCAGTGTCGGGATCGAAGTTGAATTGCAGAGATGGCGATCGAGCGCGGCGTCTTCGTGGGGAATGGTCTACGTTCTCATCCCGCCCAGGCAGAGGCAACAGCGAGTGTGGTAGAGTTCTTCGTATGTGTCGTTGACGGTGGGTGACCGCTGAGGACGGATACGGCGATCGGAGTAGGCATGCTCTTATGGACCTAAACAGACTTGCGCTTTGAGAACAAGAGGTTGCTATAGACAGTGGCGTGTTCTTGTGGTGGATGGAGGATGGATCAAAGGTAGGCGGAGTAGTAATAAACAGTTTCAGTGCGCGACTGCCCTAGCGGGAAGGGATGCTCTTGCCTGGGGTGACTCAGGATATTATAAGTCCCAAAAATTTGAATCTAATGACGTATCGTCGACGTTCATCTACAGGATGGCCTTTGGTGAAGGCCGACCTTTCACCCGGGCACTATGTTAAGCTCACTAGCCTTACACAACTTTGCCGAGGCAGTTTGCAGGGACAGACTCCAGGTCGAACAGGCTGACTATGCAAAATATGTGTGGAGTGTAAGGTTTCTGAGTTGACGCTGTTTTCTCGGAAAGCCAGGCTGTTAGGATCCAGGACCTAACAGGTAGCAGGACGGCCTATTATGTAGCGGAGCCTCTAGACGAGCACGTGTTAACTATAGGTGATGCCTATTTAAGAATTAGGGCGCTTTAGGAAGTTATGTAACTACTCTCTAGAGAGCGCTCTCTAGAAAGCGCTCTTTAGTAAGCGCTTACTAGTAAGTAGCTATATAGGATTAAGTATATAGGAGTAGAAGAATTACTATTAATTCTTATATTTAACCTAAGTTTTAATCTATTATTTAGATTTACTTAGGCCTCCTTATTAACTTATTATACTTTATAAGATACTTTTATATTAATAAGAACCCCTTCTTTCCTTCCCTTAGTAAGTCTTACCTAAGAACTAATCCTAACCTATTTAGGATTAGCTATCCTCTCTAGATTTAATATCTTAAACACCCTTAATATAACTATAAGAACTTCTACTTCTTCTATAGCTTTAGATAATAATACTATTACTCTAATAGGTAACTCTAAGAGTAAAGTATATAAACCTAATTTATATTATAGTAATAGAAAGTATACTAATATATAGCTTTTTTAGTTAGACCTCTATTTCTTTAAACTTAATAAATAACCTAAAGATAAATAAAAGGTTATCTTTATAGCTACTTATATATAAGGTAATACTAGAGAATAGATTTAACCCTATATAACTAAGTATCTAGAAATAGACTATAATAATAAAGATAAGGAATATATAGATAACTATATAGATATAGTTAATATTATTAAAGTTTATACTAACTTTAAGAAACACCTTAAGTAGATATTTAGAATTACTAATAAGGTACCTATTATAGTATAAAATATTTAAACTATAATATAATAATAATTAGTAGCTAAATATATAGTAGAGTTCTATAAGAACGCTATATAACTTAACTAGGATAATAAGTTACTAATAATAATATATAAATAAGGTCTTAAAAACCTCTATAAGAAGAACTTCTATATAGTAGGGAATTATTAGGACCCTTAATAAATTATATAATAAATTAATTAGAATTAATAGAGAATAGTTTACACTATAATAGAAATTTTAATATAATCTAAGAAATATTAGTTTTAGATAACTAGTACCTATAGTCTATAGGGTACTACTAAAAGGACCCTAATATTAATTATAAGACTCCTATAGATACTAGCTAATAAAAGATATCTAGTTTAACTACTTAGGTAAAGAAAAAAGAAAAGAACTAGGCTTTTATAAGCCTAATATATATATCTTAGATAGAACCTAATACTAGGGGACTAAGACTTATATATATTTTATATATAGTAAACTAGGCTATATTACTAGGAACTATAGATCTAAGAATAAGGTTATTAGGTAGTTAAATATACTTACTATCCTAATAGAGGAAATTAAGGATAAAGAGTAGACTATTATAAATACTATTAATAATCTTATACTTAATAATAAATTAGAATTAGAACTATTAACTAATTTATAACTTTATAAGGATATAGAAGAAGAATAATCTAAAATAGTAGATAAGAAAGTTAAGTAGATATTAATACCTTACCTATAGTTTAAGGGTAAAGAAGTAATCTTTACTAATAGAGTAAATATATAGGAATACTTAGATAAACTACTAATTTAACTATAAGATAGAGATATATTATTATTATCTATAATAATCTTACTATTATTCTCTATACTACTAGAAGCTTATAACAAACGCCAACTAGAAATTATTATAAAGGAAGATAGATAATAGGTAGATTATAAATATATATAATAAGACCCTAGTAAAAACTTCTATAATAAAAACCTAGATTATTTATAGAAGTACTACCTAGACCACTAAAACCTATAGCACTTAAATATCTAATAGATTAAATATAAATATAATTAGTATCTAATCTACTATAAAGCTAAGAAGCTATATAAAGGTAAATAACTACTATATAAGTAATAATACTACTAGGAATAGTATAATTACCTAATTAATAAATATAATAAATATCTATAGAATAAGTAAGAAAGGTTATACTTTCTAAGCATAAATAATATATAGAATATAGTAACTAGTACACTCTATAATAGAATATATACCTAAGATAGATAGTAAACTTACTTAAATATTAACTATAGTAGATACTAGGATAATAAATATATCTATAGATTTAGTAAGAACCCTAACTAATTAAGAATAATTATTAATATTTATATAGAAATAAGTATAGTATAGAAAGATAAAGCTTCTAAAAAGAAACTATAGTAGAAGAATAACTATAGTAGAAGAAGAGAAGAGTAGAAATAAAAAAAATAATAATAAGGGAATATAGACTACCTAGCTTCTAAAAAAAATAGTTTTTTTTTAGACTAAATCCTAGCCTATAAGGCCTAAGAAACCCTTAAAAACTAATAGATAGGTAGGAAGATACTATTAGAGAATTAAATACTATTAATAGTAAGGTATTAATTAAGCTACTAGTTTAGCTTAATAAAATATAGATTAAGGTACTATTAGATTTAGGTATATTAGAAAACTTTATATCCTAAGAAGTAGCACTATAAGTAGAACTCTAGCTAATACTTAAGGATAAAGCTTATTCTATCTATATTATAAATAGAAGTTAAATACTAAATATACTATATATTACTTATAAAGTTACTACTATACTTTAGATCTATAGATATAGGGAGATAATTACACTTAATATACTAGATAGGTCTAGGTATAATATTATATTAGAATTACCCTAGTTAAGGAAGTATAACCTATATATTAATTAGGGTTTAAGAATACTATCCTTAGAACGCTATAAATATATATTATAAGCTAAGCCTACGTAATAATAGAGATTAACAGTAGATAAGAGTATTATTAATAATATAAACTTATAATAGAAAGTTAAAAAATAGAAATTACCCTTAGTAGATACTAGTAGGAACTACTAGGTTATAAAGTATAAAAAGAAGGAAGAAAGTATACCCTTAGAAGTACTAAGAGAGTATAAAGTATAGATATATATATTTATAGAAAAGAAAGGAAAAGTAAACCTACTAGAATATTAACCCTAGAATTATATAATTAACCTAGAAGAAGGAAAGACGCCACCCTTTAGACTACTATATAGTAAGATAGGAGAAGAACTCTAGAAAGAATATAAATTTATTAAAATAAACTTAGTAAAAGAATATATTAGACTATTAAAGTTACTAGTAGTAAGCCCTTTTATATTTATTAAAAAGAAGGATAGATTAGATAGACTATATATTAACTACTAAGTAATTAATAATATAATAATTAAAAATAGATACCTATTACCTAATATCTTAGAACTTAGAGATAGACTCTTATAAGTAAAAGTTTTTATAATAATAGACTTAAGGGACGGATACTACCTAATTAGAATAAAGAAAGGTAAAAAATAGAAAATAGTATTTTAATTATACTATAGACTCTTTAAGTACCTAGTAATACCTTTTAGACTTACTAATACACTAGTAACCTTTTAAGTACTTATTAATAACGTACTCTATAAATATTTAGATATATTTATTATTATATATATAGATAATATTCTTATCTTTTTAGAAAATAAATTTAATTATACTAAGCACATATAGATAGTACTAAAGGTACTAGATAAAGTATACTTAAGAATTAAACTTAAGAAATACTAATTTAATATTAAATAACTTAAATTTCTTAGACACGTTATTACTACTAAAGAAATTAAGATAGTACTAAGTAAGATAGAGAGTATTAGAAATTAGCCTATACTAAAAACTATAAAAATATCTAAGAATTCTTAGGATTCTATAGATTTAATTAATAATTTATTAAAGATTATATAAAGGTTATAATACTATTAATAAACCTTACTAGAAAGGATATACCTTTTAAATAAATAAATAAGTATAGAATATTATTCTAACTCCTTAAAATAGTATATATTATAGAACTAGTTCTTATTTATTTT